GCCTTCGCTGGTTAGGGCACGTTCTCCGTCGTTCACCACAGGAATTGACGTATATTTCGTTACTTGTTAAACCCTGTAATGGTTGGCGTCAAAAGCGAGGTGGGCCAGTCAAGACCTAGATTGATACAGTTAGAAAATATTTTGAACGTATAGAGAGGACCAGCTATATATGGACTTAGACGATGGAAAAAAGAATGGCTTCTATTATTAGTAGCGATAGCGTCAGATCGAGCAGCTTGGAGATGTCTTACCCTTGTAGTCAGCGGAGCCAGTCTAACCAGTAATGGTGAGAGTTGTTAGAAGAAAATGGAATATCACTATGGTTAAAGATGGAATAATAGAAAGAGTAGATAATGAGCGGGGTTTGAGCAGCAGAGGTAAGACTAATTCCTTAGGCTTAATTAGGTGGGAAGTAAAGGTTGATTGCCAGCAGCACTTGGCTAATCTGGTTCAATCCTATCGGAAGTTGGTTCATCTGAATTGTTGCTAATCTGAATACCAAATTGCTCAGTAGTTGTGCCTCCAAGAAGAATGCAACACATGTTGTCTAATAGTGTAATGATGATGAGTAATAGGAATAAATGGAAGAGACGAAATGGAATTCTGAAAGAAAATTGAGAAACTTTAATTGCAAACTTTTACTTGTGGTACTACACTCGTAAATCTTGGGCAGTGAATAGTACAGGGAAAATCGAATAGTTTAATTTTTTAATGTTTACTTCGAATTTTACTGTTTTAGTATTTATCTCTGGTTTCGTTGGTGAGTTTCACAGAGAATTAATTGCTTCTTAAGAGAATTATCATTTGCTGCTGGAAATATGAATAAATGAATAAATTCTCAACTGCGACCCGAATTTCGTGGCATATTTCATTTATTTTATATTTGAGTTTATTGCTTTAATTGCTTATTTCGTATTCTAAAAGTGAAAGATAACTCTAAAAGTAAAAGCAAATTAAATGAATAATAAAATACTTAATGAATATTAAAAAAGTCTTCGAATATCACAAAAATTGTTGTTTCTTGTCGCTTTTAAAAATAAAAAATATTTTGTGAATTATTTAGAAATAATAAATAAAATAGAAACGAACAACCGCAAAATGTTGGAAAATTGTTTTTCATGAAAGAAATTTTATCAAAGAAAAAGTTGATAAGCGCACAAGTTGATAAGTTGATAACCAGTTAACGAGTTAGTGATAAACAAATCTACAAATAATTTTCATATGATTTTCTTTACATTTAAAAAAATTATTTGTATATTTGTTTTTTCCTGAAAAAGCTAAAAAAATTCTTCGAAATTTTATCGGGTGATAGGGAGCAGTGCTTTGATTGATTTCATTAGTTCCATAAGTTCGAGAGTTTTGCGAGAATGAGAGTTTTTGTAAGAGAGTAAATCTGAAAGTAAAAAATGAAATCCACATTTCCATCTAGAAAATTAATTGCCTACTTCTTTCTCCAACAGAACTTTCTGATATGATCAGTCAAGATCAATTTTTTACAATATTTTTTATAAAAGATTTTATGCAAAAATTTTAATAAATCTTATTTTTTGAATTACAAAAAGCTTTTTGGTGAATTTTATGAAAAATTTTTCAATTTCCGATTTTCAAAAAATTTCGAAATTTAAATTTTTAAAAATTTTTATCCATTAATTGAAATAAATCGGAGTTTTTTAAAAATTTAAATTCAAAGAATTCGAAGAATAAATGAATTTGTTGATGAAAATCAACATGGTAGTTGAATTTAAAAGATAAAATATTGGAAACAAAGGATATAAAGACTGATAAAAATCAAAGATAAAGAAATAGTGACAAGAAATGGGAAAAGGAGAACATATGATTCAATAAGTTAAATATGGTTAAGAATTATAATGATGGCAGTGGTGAGGACGGTGATGATACTATTTCGCAGTATTTGCTTTCGCAGTATTTGATGAATAACGAAATTCCATTAATCGGGTAAAATTACTTATTGATGAAGAGAGTCCCTACTGTACACCATTTAATATTTTACGATGGATTATTGCTTACGGTAATAATGAAAAAGAAGCCGCTAAATTGATAAAACGTCATCTTTTGATAAGGAAAATTAAGCGTTAAGACGATATTGAACCACAAACTCAAGGTTACCTTTCGTTTTCTTGTTTCATCAGATTCACTTTTTGGTGAAAATGGTGAATGCTGTTAATCTACCCTTAGCCAATAAATTTTCTATGACTCACATTCATTGCAATTTATTGCTATCTCATAATTTTCGAATTCCCTTGAAATTCACTTGAACAATGAAAATTCAAAATTTTCAGATGATTTTTAAAGGAAAATCAATAGATCTATAGATGATAAGATCACTGAAATTTCTAATTCTTTCAAAATCTTGAAATTTATAAAATTCAGATGTGAATGAAATATGTTCAGTTTATTCACCCATCAGTATTGTTGGGCGAAATAAAATTAACGATAATAAAATTGTCATATTTGAATTATCAGAACGAATTGATATTCGTAATATAATTGCTGATATCCAAGCGACACCATTTATGAACAATCGTTTTCGAATTATGGAAAGAATATTTCAAAAAATTAATAAAAATGAAAAGGAAATAAGAAAAATGTCGTCTGCAATACTTATCATTGATTTAAAATGTTTTTACCTTAACCCTGATTTAATAAACATTCTTAAAGGTTCATTAATATTGAGTCATCATAAACCGAATGTTGGCTGCTGCTCAGATTAAAACCAAGGTCTCGCGCTTTGCTTCCGTCAGGAACGTATCATTAAAAAATCCGGGTGCTGTAAGCAACAAATGCACTGATCTCAACAAGCTCCTTGGAAAAAATTTGAAACATTTCTCTCCTTTTTATTGATTCCAGTGGAATTACCATGATTTTATAGAATTCTTTGAAAATTCCATTTTCGTATGGAATCCTCTAGACTCATTAATTCCAGCTATTTGGCGTTGTTTCTGAAGAATTATTGATTAATACTAGTAGGTCAAGTAACACGTTGCTTCGAATAAAATCAAGCCAAACTAGCTTCAATTACTGATTCTTGGCAAGTGTAAACCTATCATCCTATCATCCATCCAAGTGTAAACCTATCATCAAAAGTGAAGAGTGCTAATTTGCCAATTATTTCTTGGACTAGTGGTTCTTCAGCAACCTCATCCTAATAGCTACTGCAGCTGCAGCAGCTGAAACCGTGGCAAATTTGATAATGTTTTCTAGGCCTTTCAACTAATGATAGTTTATCTTATTTGTGATGTTTCTAGGACCATTTCGTGTTATGTGGGTTATGTGGGGAACACTTACTGAACAATATCCAGGTATTCTCCCAAATTATAGAAATCAATGTTCCATCATTTATGAATATCCTCTGGTCAGCATGTTCATCGTTCGTCACCGAAAATTAATCACGTTAATATAATTTATTTCTAAATGTATATCATTAAGTATAATAACACTAATAAATTTAAATTTATTAAACAATTTTAAACGGGGATAACGGGATTCTTTGGATTACAGGGTTCTAAGAATTTTGGGATTTTAAGTTAGGACATTTGGAATTTTAGATGAAGATTTTTGAAGCTCTTTTCGAATTCAAAATTTTTTTCTAAGAAATTCTCCAGATCTTTTTGACGAAAAAATAATTAACTGAACATTCAAACCGACATATTCCACAATTTAATGAAGCTGATTGATATCACAGAAGAAAATAGTGATAACATCGGACAACTGGAAGAAGGAAATCCTTAAATACATTGATCCTGAATATCTGCCTGTTCATTATGGAGGATTAATGAGAGATAAATATAATGATGAGCGATGTCGTTCAATTATTGCTATACCACCCAATTATTCATATCCAAAATTCAAAGTTTTACCTCAAGTCCAACTGGATGAATTACTTGTACCAGCAGGTTATTTATTTAATTCTCCAAACTTTAATTTATGTAGTAATAACACCAAATTTATCTCAAGTCATTGTGGAATGCATTGGCATGATGATTTATCCTATGCAAAAGCTAACTCAATTCGAAGCGCTGAAGTTCTATTCGCCGCAGGAGTAAACCTGTCCAAAAATCCGGGTGATGCTGGCGACTCACCTGTATCGGGACTCCCTGGCATAGTTACCTAATGCAACAAACCAGCGGAGCGAGTTTAACCAGTAATGGTGATGAAAGAAAATGCAAAAGCTGTCCAGGTTCAAAGAAAAAATGTCATTAATAAATTTTTATGGATATAACCAATTAAATTGATAGTAATTCAATAATCCAATTTTCGAGATTTCTCAATTTGTGGTAATTGATAAGATTTCTTTTAGTTTCCTTATAATATTTCGTAACTAATATCTCTGATGGCATTCTTCGTCTTCATCTAAGAGCTCTCACCATTACTGGTTAGACTGGCTCCGCTGACTACAAGGGTAAGACATCTCCAAGCTGCTCGATCTGACGCTATCGCTACTAATAATAGAAGCCATTCTTTTTTCCATCGTCTAAGTCCATATATAGCTGGTCCCCTCTATACGTTCAAAATATTTTCTAACTGTATCAATCTAGGTCTTGACTGGCCCACCTCGCTTTTGACGCCAACCATTACAGGGTTTAACAAGTAACGAAATATACGTCAATTCCTGTGGTGAACGACGGAGAACGTGCCCTAACCAGCGAAGGCGATGCTCTGTGATAACATTATTAATACAGATGGTCTTCATCAATCGTAAAAGGTTTCATCAATCGAAAAAACATATTCCTAGCTGTCGTTATCCGGGTTATAACTTTATCTTTTACCTGGCCATTTGGGATCAGAGTGGATCCAAAGTATTTAAAGCCCAGCACTTCCTCAACCGGTAATGAATTGATAAAAATAGGTATTTTATCAGCATCTTATATGTAAGACGAAAACACTTTCATTTTATTTACATTGATTTTGAGTCCAATTTTCGCTGCAGTTGTTGACATATTGTTTAACAATTATTTGCATTTCCTCGTAACTTTCAGCAAAAAGTAATGCACCATTAGCGTATTCAAGGTTTGTGATACTATGCTCTGGGTTCATCTGCACACCTCTTGAGTGCTGACAAGCAATGCCCATTATAAATCTGTCTATCGCATAGTTGAATATAGTAGGGGAAAAAACGCAGCCCTGACGCATATTATTTCTTATTTCGAAGGAGTCTGTTCCCCATTTACACAGACTTGCGCCAGGATATGCTGATAAAACAACTTTATGAACCGAATGATCTTTTCTGGGACACCGTCATATTCCATCACTTTCCAGAGCGTAGCTCTATCAATTGAAGGCAGCTGCAAAATCGATAAAGCAAGTAACAGAGGGTTGCTGGTATTTGAAGCGATGTTCCAACACTTTTCTAAGCGTAAATATCTGATACCGCGTCCCGGTCTGAATCCAGCTTAGTTAGGACGCATTCTGCTATCTCGTATTGCCATGAGTTTATTTAGTAGAAAGGAAGCGAAAATTTTTCCGGTGATGTCCAATAGGCTGATTCTTCGGTAATTTTCGCAGTATGTTCTATCACCTTTCTTAAAATTGCAAATAGAATTACTTTCCTCCAGTCTTCTGGTATTATTTCTTTTTGCCATACCAAAGAATACATTTATTGAAAGTGAATTATGAACGATGATGGGACAACATTTGAAGAGTTCGACCCGAAGACCATCTCCGGGGGTTTTATTGGCCTTAAACTTATGGATTACAGAGATTATTTCCTCTTCTATTGGTGGCTTACAGTTGCAAACGTAAAGCTCGACGGGCAAATCAGTTATATTCGGGACAACAGATGGTGCATCGTGGTTATGTTTGGCTTCAAAAAATTCTATCCTTCTTCTGAGGCGATCCTTAACAGCTTTAATAGGTGCTCCATTAATATCCCGTATCATTGACCCCTTCTCGAGTTATAGCTGCCTTGCGGAGAAGGCGAAACAGTCCCTATTATCACCTATTCGAGCCACCATCTCCATTCTCAAAACCATATCGCTCCATTAGCGATTTCTGTCCCGCTATGCTGCTATCTTTGTAATTCTTCGAAGTACCCGATGGTCAGGATCTCTTGATATTCGAGCTTTGGCAGCTTTTTCAGACAGTTGGACAGTTGCTTCCGACACCCAATCAGCACATTCCTACTAGTATGCCTAGTGTGGAAGTGGCTGATTTTTGTAGGCATATCTTTAGTTGGGACCAGTATTCATTCGTCTTTCCAGAGATTTCACTGAGGTATTTCAATAATGCAGTTTGAGATGTGTTTATCATTTCCGGATCTTTCAATTTGAGATAGAGAGACCTTCGGATACTTGTCAATTTTATACGAATCTTAGCTTGAACCATAACATGATCTGATCCATAGCAATTACCAGTTTCAGCGCCTCGATAAGAACGACTATCGAATATAGAACTCTTCCAGCGATGACTGACTAATAATGAATCTGATTGGAATATTGGTTGTCCGGAGAGTTCCACGTAACTAGATGCCGAAAGCATATATTAGTAACAAAGAGTTCATGCTCTTCTGAAAAACGAAAAGAAAAGAAAGAGTTCTCCATTGGCGCACTGGACCTCGATGCCATATTTGCCAATTACCTAATTCATCGAAACGGCATAATGATCTACACGCGCATTACAGTCTCTCCCGAGTATGACTGACTATATCATCTCTCAGTAGGGATGTTTTTAACAGTTGAAGTTAAGCATATAATTTATCCTTATCGCGGTCATCTGTGCATAAAGTTTGAACATATTATACATTGATAACCGAAATATTGGAGAAATTTCCCTTGAAATGCGTGTAGGCCATACAGTTATTTTCTGATGGCATTGTAGAACATTTTTTCGAAGTATAAAGTGAATTATAAGCTGGATAATTCTCATAAAAATTAAGAAAATAATTAATTATTATTAATAAATAATTAATTAATATAATTAATTATTTGAAAGAAAAATAATTTTTTTCAAGCAACATTTTAAAATTGTAAAAATTTTCATAATTTTACTAATTATTTAATTAAAAAATCTCAATTAAAAAAGTTTAGATTAAGGCCAAAAATTCATTCAAATGTTTAAAAAAATCGACGAATCAATATTAATTGAATTCTTCTTGCAACATGAACATGGCATTACAATGGTTATACTATATTCTTCAACTGTTAAACCCTATGAGGTATTTTAATTTCAATCTACGTTTTGGTATCTTGCAATAACTTCTAATAAAAAAAAATACAAAGAAAAGTAGGTAAAGAAAAAGCTGAGGAGAAAAGGAATAGTATCTGCAAGAATCTCAGCATTTGCTTCCGGTAATACAATCATCGTTCATTTAAAAATCCGTATGCTGCTGGGGACCTGCGGCAAAATTATTTTATTCTGGCAGAATTCAGCTAATTCAGCAAACTTAACCAAATGATAAATACTAATACTAATAAATACCAATACTAATGATAAATACTAATACTAATGATAAATAAATACTATAAATACTAATAACTAATAAATACTAATACTAATACTAATTCACTAAATACTATTTAACTAATAAATACTAATACTAATAAATACTAATTCATATATGAGAACGACGATAAACAACTGGTCGAAAGAATGGAAAAGAAATGTACAAATTAGATAACTTAAGCCTATTCAATGTCTGGACATTAACCAAATAATTGAGTAGCTTACATTCCTCAAATCCATACTCCACTTATACTTTTCTTTTTATAACCATTACCGTACCATTGATAATTCCACCCACTGGCACCATTAGTACTGGTAATTAGTACTAGTAAGACGTTTCCAAGCTTCCCAGTCCGATGCTATCCAACTGAATTTACTTATTTTCCATTTACCTCGTTATCATTTTTACGATAAATCAAAATTCATATTTTCGTAATATTTCACTGGAACGAGAACGAATTAGAAAAGGTATACGCAAGTTGTGAATGTTTACCTTTGTCAACAACAGATCATTGGAAGTGGAAAACACCTTATACTGGATTCTATTATATTTGCTATGGCAATGAGAAAGCCTAGTTTATGTCTATTAAAATAAAACAATTAATTAACAAAATCCATGGAATCGAAATTAAAAAAATTTATCCTATTACGATATTTCATATGTCTTAATTGAAAATTCTCGCCTATTATTTTCCATCTTTGACAAATCTATTCGCCAACGACCCTTGGAAAATCATTTTTCAAATATTTTTACAAAGTTTTTTTTATCTAAAAAAATTTATTAAATAAATTTTATCATAAAAACACATAAATATAAATGAAAATAAAAAACTCGAATCAAATCATAAATGAGACAGAAAAATTAATGAAATTAACGAAACGAAAAATTCATTATTAACAAAATTCATAAGACGATTGAATTCTTTGTAAAATGTAGTAGTGTGATATCACTTATCACTCCGCTCATCAAATACAATGGCTAATGGTTAAAATTATAGAACTTCTTTGATAATTCATATTTTCGATTTTTGATAACACGATGAAATTTAGAAATCGAAATCCTGCAACACACAATCTGTAAGCAGAAATTTAATTTTTCGATATATTTACCAAACCAAGAATATGAATATAACCATCCTTTTAATTTCACTTCATAATTAATGTGGTATATACAACAGAATCAATCCTCGAAATGGGTCGAAAGCCTAATATATTCTCCAAGAATACCATGTTAAATGAATTTCTCGAATCTTCCCATAAGTTCTCTCTCAACTTCTCTAGCGAAGGCAAAAAAACATGAGTATTCTTCTGCCATTTAGCTAGAACTGAAGATAAAAACTATGGGCTTCCGGCACCACTCCAATTTCACTACAGATGACAAATTTACTCATCAGCAAAAAGAAACCCAATTCAACTTGCTTAAACAGAGAAAAACTAGCAGACGAATAATTAACTTCTTTATTTCGCAATTATAATTGGCATAAATGAAATGAACATTATTCTTGTTTTTTATTAGTGACATTCTTATTTAAATTGACTGTTGCATTTAGTTCTATTTGTTCTTGTAGTGGGCATGTTGGATACAATATTGCATCGAATTTTGAACGCCATGACTGCGGAAGAAAACGGAGTATGAACGGTTGAATAAATTTAAGATATATTGCTAATATTACGGGGAGAATTATACATGGGACACAAACCATCTTCGTCGCGATCAAATGACTTGCTTTTACAAATATTCCTATCTAATTTATATTCCTGAAAATATACAAAATGCAGAAATGAAAACTGCAGAAAAACTTTTAAAAAAAAACGAAAGGAATTTTGAAATGAATGTAAACTTATTTTTTAAAAATATTATTCGTAAAATAAACTAGTACTCCGATGAAACATCGATGAAACTACGATAAGCATCTAAGCGGCCTAAAGGCGTAATGCCTTTTTGTATGGCAATAGGCTAGAATATGAAAAGAGTTAGAAAATTTTAATTCTAATGACGATTCAATGGCTCGAATATTATACAAGAATTGGCACCCTGACAATTGCCCACCTTAAAGCTGGGCATAACGGCTGAACGCAACCCTACTAAGTTGCTGTGCGACAATCTCTGCATCCTACGCAACTAAAAACTATAATAACGAAATTGCTAAACGCAAAAACATAAACGCAACCAAAACACGAATAACTACTTTCACGTAAGACTGGAACAATGGACTACGATCGATTACTAATAAGCAGCCTCCACAATAGTAAGTCATTGTCGGCTTACTATTTATCGGTAGCCGTGCTAGATTTCATTAATTTCATAATGATTATTATTAATTATTTTAGTTAATTTTTTGCTTGGTGGTTTTTTCATTTGCTTATTGAGTTATTTAGAATATGTTTATCGTCAAAATTGTTTCAATATTGAGTGAAGCTTTCCTTCTTTCAGCAAAAATTTATGCGACGTAAAACCCTTACAAATATTCGTCAGAAAGAACTTGTTTATGGGAATTTAAGAAGCAAAATCGATTCATTGATTGAAGCTAAAAAGCATCGGTTGAAGAAGAGACGTCGAGGAAATGAGTTAGTTTCCTTCGTTATCGCTGATTATCTTATAGTTTGTTTATTGATTTGTTGATAACGAATATTATGGGAAAGGAATGAGAAAGGAGCATTCTAACGCTGTGTGCTGCACGATGACAGTTGCGTGGATGCGACGGACGCCGCACAGTCGAGGTGTGCCATTTTTATTAGGCTTTATTAGAGTTTGATTTCCGGTTGTTCAGTCGGCCAACTTTTCCTATATCCACTGGAGAGCACAAAATAACTAACAAGGGAAGGGGAGAGGGCCAAGAACGCTGTGGCATTGTTACCACGATGTTATCTGGCGATTTTCGATTCGGCAATTTTTGGTAAGGGTTTTCGCCAAGAACAAAAGACTTTGTAGATCTTGAACGGAGAACGGAGAGATTAAAGAAGTATAATGAGACTTAAAACGCTGTCTTAAAATTACCTAAAAGTTGACGTATTCACTGGCACACTTCACTTATGTTCACAAATTATTATGGAATAGTAGTTCTTAACGAACTTGGAGAATTTGGCTGCGGGGTTTTCTAATTCAGCTAGAGAACCAGTTTCTCACATTCTTCTGCAAAATGCAGATAATTTCTTGTGTTAGCTTAGTATATTTCGTTGAAGGCAGATTATTACATGAAAATGCAGAATGATGAAGCCAGCAAGAATGGTATAGTAGATTACTGAGTATAGTAGATTAATCAGTGGCACTGGACAATGAAGTGGAACTTATTCACTCTAAGACTGCATTTTGCTTTCATTATTTGCCACTATACTTCATCACTTTTTGCATTAACATTTGAAATATCAAGAAAAATTAAATCTTTATATATATTTATATGCAATTTTCAATCCTTTGACTTTTTCTTTAACCTTAACGATTTTTTCTTTATTAGATGCTCGTAATATTGAGGCCTTTTCCCATGATATACTTAACGTCATCTTATTTTTGAAGAGAATTTAGGATTTGTTCCACGAACCCATCTACTTAATGAATAATCTTCTAAGCGTATTTTTGAATTTTTTAAAATAAAATTCAAAAAGCAGAGAAACATTTCATTAGGAAAAATATACTATTTCAGTTCAGTGTATAATTTCGCAAGTGGTGGAGGATCATCAACTAAAAACTTTGTAATTCCAGAGCGTTTAAGGAAAAGGAAAACGAAAATTTCACTTCCAGTAAAAAAAAGAGTTATAAAAGAAGATAAGGTCATATATAAGAAACGACGACTTTCAGAAAATAGTGAATTATCTGAATTAGAAAATTCCGATCGTTCACCGATAAAAACACGTGGAATAAAGAAAAAAGGGTGAGTTATTTTTATAGAAATTATCGTGAAATTTTTTAAATTATTATGTTTTTTCAATTTTTTAATTATTCTTTCGTTGCTTAATTTTTATTTAATTGTACTATTTTTTGATTATTTTGTTGATTGAGATATTTTTAAATATACAGAAAATTTATTACTGTTTAACTTTTTTATTTTGGTTTATTTATTCTATTTGCTTTTTGTTTATTGTTTTCATTTTTGATCTTTTGCATAAATTTTTTTTAACTTTTGATTTTATTTATTTTATTTACTTATTTGCTTATTGATTATAGTTGTCCAGTTTCATAAATTTAAATCTCTTTCAGAGAACGCAATACGAATCGTTGCCGGGTTTGTAAAAATAATATCAAACTGTTAATAACTTGCTTCAGTTGTCATTGCAAATGTATATTTTTTTGTAATGCATTAATGATTTAATGATTTAATGAAATTCCCCATGTATTTTGTTGCGATTTTGGATATTACAGATCATTTGACATGTCTTGGTTATATCGAAGAATCTGCCAGTTTAATTTATAAAACGCGATATTTGGACTGGATTTGTCCATCTTGTTTAGTTTGCTCATTTTGCGGTGAATTCATTGCCGATGTAATTTATTTAAAATAATAACATTTAATAGTACCATTTATAATACCATTCATTTTTATTTGCACAATTCATTCTTTTCATATCAAGTAGATTCTAAATTTCTAAATTCTAAATTGAAAAATTTTTTGTAAAAAAATTTTCAAAAAATTTAGGATATATTTTTTAGCCTGAAAATGTACAATGTTTCAACTGTGATCGAGCATTTCATGGAATTTGTCGTCCGAAAAATGGTAAATGGGCAAATTCAAAAAATCCAGTTGGGCATTGGTGTTGTGATTTATGCAATATTGGTTCCATCAAATCTAATTTTTTCAAGTATCTTTTTTAAAGTGTTTTTTCGTTCGGCAAAATTTTAAGAATGGGAATATAGGCATCTTTTCAGTTCTTATTTTTCTGCTATAATTTTTTATTCTTTCAATTAATTAGATCGCTGTGCGATAAAATAAAGTCTGATGCTACAAGACAAACGGAAAAAAATGTTTCAAAATATTATCGATATGTTTCTTCTATTCCGTTTTCAACAAATAAAGATGTACAAAATGGTCGAAATGAGGTTATTCATATATTTATATTTATATTTTCATCCGTCAAATTATATTTTTCACAGTTTTTAAAAGTAATTTTTATAACACATCATTAAATCCACCTTTTTCTTAATTTTAAATTTAGATAAACAATCGATTGAAAGATTTATATAAAGCAAAATTGGCTGAAGAAGAAAAGCGCGGCCGTGAAGACAAGCTTTTACGTTCAAATATCGAAAATTTTAAACCAAAGAGGCAGTCGAAGTTTCTTCCTGGATCTCATAAGGTTTTTCTTATTCAGCTACAAAAAGTTTTTTAAATTTTGCTTTTCTTTTCAAGAAGTATTATTTTGAGCCGCAATATTTTCCAGAAACATACTAAGGTTCGGAACTTCGTAAGTTGTTCACAACCCATCAAAGAAGCAGAATTAAAAATATCAATAAAAGAAAAACAAAAATCATTTGAATCAATCTATAAACGAATGAAAGAAATATCAACCGATTTCGATTATGATCTGCAAGTTTTTGGGCCTTTTAATCATCAAGAAAAAGAAATTTTTCGAGATTTTAGCCGTCATTGTTGTCAAGATTTTATAGATTCATGGAGGCAAAAGAAGAAGCAGAAAAAGATGAAAGAAAACGAGAAAATGGATCTGAGGAGAACAGAACACAATGTGTTCATTTTGGGAATCATCGTGTTCTTGCGCAGTATGTTTCTGCATATCCTCGTAACTTGGCTTCCGCACAAAATCTTTATATTTGTCGATTTTGTTTATTGGCATTCGAAAATATCGTCAAGTATGAGATTCATGTTGTAAGTTTATAATTTTTTCCATTATTTTGGTTTTCATATACTCGACAAGGATTTTTTTGAGTTTTATAATTTATAGCAATATTGCGAATGGCGGCATCCTCCTGGCAACGAAATTTATAGAAAAGATGGTCTTTCTTTCTGGGAACTGGATGGTGATATTGAAATGGTTTTCGAATTTATCTTTCTTTTTTTTATGAACACATTAGATCTTTATATCTTAATATTTTTTCAGTCTGATCATTTAAATATAACTATAGGAAGAGTGAGGAAATTATTTTCGTAAAAAGTAAAATGATCATAAAAATTAAAGGGTTATTGTCGACGGCTGTGTTTGTTTTCAAAATTGTTCCTCTCTTCAAAGACATTGCATCACGAAGTCGAAACTTTTTTATTCTACTTACTGACCGAAAATACGCCAGAAGGATGTGTTTTATTAGGCTACTTTTCAAAGGTGTAGTCATTTTTTTGCAGTTCTTTTTTGTTGATTTTTAATTCTTTAGTTCTCTAATTCTTTTTTCCATTTATTTGAGTAAACTTTTTGATTAATGGAAAAAGTTTGAATTTTTTTGCTTAAACTTAAAAAAATTTGCATACAAGGAGTTAAAAAAGTTTTTTTTCAAGTAATACTGCGTTATTCTTGGTTTAATCTTTATTAAATTTAAGGAGAAAAATCCAGGCAAAAATAATAATTTGAGCTGTTTGCTAACATTGCCATTCTCTCAGCGTGATGGATATGGGAAATTTTTGATCGATTTAAGTAAGCCTGTACACTAATTACAATAATTTCTACTAATTATAGTTGATGATGAATTTGGGAGTCCACAGATGAGAGAATTTGAATTTTACTAGTATTCCGATTTTAATAAATAGTAACTTCAAGAAAATTATTTCTAAGGAAATTCAGTAAAATTTTAAATTATGGACTTTTCCATTATCCTTAAGGATTTCAACCAGCGCAGTAAGGTCTACAGTAAGGTCATTTGCATTTTTTTTCTCTAGTTTTAAAATTGTTTGGAATCCTCTGGGATTAAACAGTATCACTCAGCGTTTTTTGCACATGTATAGAAATCACCGTTTCTTTTCTTGCTTAATTTTTGCTTGTTCCAAAACATTTGATCATTTGAGTCCTTTACTTCATTTTGAATATGTCAAATATTGTTTGAAATTAATTTACATGTAATTTATACTGTTGACCTTTTTCATTTCCGTAATTCTTTTCAAATCTGCAAAAAACGCTGAGTGATGCTGTTCTTCTCGGCCGATTGAATCCATCATGTTAAAATATGCTACCGGATATTACCATATACCTGAAATCAAATTTTAAAATTTCGAAAAATAATTTAGGCTATAAACTCTCTTTACGAGAACGAAAAATTGGAGGGCCCGAGCATCCACTATCAGATTTGGGCCTTTTAACTTATCGTAGCTATTGGAAAAATACCATTTTTTCTTATCTTCGCAGGAAAAGATATCAAGCTTCAATATCAATCAAAGGTAATTAAATACCTTAGTCCTTTTAGTCCTTTAATGTATTTAGTCCTTTTATAGTTTTGTGGAAATTTTTGATTTGATTTGACCAAGTATGTTCTGTTTTTGCATGAAATTTGGAATCTATTTGAAAAAAATTGACTGCTCGCAAATTACAATTTGTCCAGTGAATTTAAATTGACGTTTACAGACTTTGAACTTCAGATTTAAGTCATGAGAGTGGGATCCACCCATCCGATTTAATCGGAACGTTGCTGGAAAATAATATGTTGAAAATACGCAATGGTTTGCATATGATCAATTTGGTTATTTTATATTTTATTACGTTTGCTTAAATTAGCTCAGTTGGTTAAATATCTTTCAGACTTGCATGGCTCAATTAGCTCAGTTGGTTAAATATCTTTCAGACTTGCATGCATTTGCATTTTATATTAAAATGGTCAGTCACTTCAATAAATTAAAAAATCAAAGGGATTTTAACAGATTAATTTGAATTCTTTTTGAATACTTGCAGAAAAAAGCTGTCAATGCACCTTTGCACACGTTCCGGCGACGGGTTGTCGATGACGAAAAATTAATATGGGAGCCGGAATTTGATGTTGAGGACTCTCAGAAGATGGGTACATATACTGGCTGAGAGCTGGTAATATTTTGGTTTGCTTCATTAGATCTAATATTCTTTTTTAATGGGACTGTCGTGAATTGACGTTTGTAATTCATTGTTCACGTTTATAATTTATTGTTAACAAAATTTTACTTAATAATGCAATATTAAAAAATATAATGGAACTTTACGGAAAATTTGTAAAACTGTGCATTGAATATGAATGGTTCATTCGCCTATTTGTTAGAAAATCATAAAAAATAGCACTAAAAGAACATTGAGATGTCTTTTAGAAGACTTAAATTCGATGAGATTCCAAGTTTTCAAATATTTTTAATGGTTTTATGCAAACAACAAATATTTTTAATGTTTTATGCAAATTATGCATGCTATTGATTTATGAAAAATTAAAAAAAGGACCGCTTAAGTAATTTGAAAAAGGATTAACTAAATCTCATTGCGAAAAAATTCGACAAAAAGTTTGGGACTAAGGATTTGAAGTGACAGTAATTACGCGAAAAAAGATTTTTTTCTTTTTAATATCTTTCTTTATAATGATCAAAAATTTGCCAACTATTGCTTAAAGCTAATTTTATTTTGTGCTAGCCTCAAGGAAAAAAATTTAGCAGACATAACAATGGTTAAAACCACTTAATTAATAATTTCGGCGAGCAAAACGGGATTTGCCGAGGCGAAATTCAGCGTTGATTTCTTCAACAGTGCGACCTTTCGTTTCGGGAACGTACATCCAGGTGAAGAAAATAAAAAAAGCCAAAAGAGTCGAGAAGACGAGAAAGGCGTATTGTTCAAGATGTTGCTGAAAATCATATTCAGTTGGAGAAAATCAATTCGAAAACCGCTTCTTTTTGCCCTTTAGATTTTAAAATCTAGAAAGAAAACCAATAAAATTGAAATCCCTAATTATTTACGTTTAGAGATTCGAAGCTGGTCCCAACGATAAAGTTAGCTGTCCAGTTGACCATGACAGCTATTGAACTTGCATTTGAACGAGCGGCGGATGCGAACAATTCCGTCACGAAGAACCACGGAATTGATCCTTAATACAGGATGATATTGCAGCAATTAAATTTTGATTCAAGATTTCTTTTATATATTTTAGGTTTCGAATTATTTTTATTGCTATGTAAAAAAATTCAGTCAAAAGCCTTTTTAATAAATTTTTTCAGAATATTCCCATTTTTAGAAATAAATTATATAACCGGTACCAGGTCCTGTCGCAAACGACACAACAAATAGGAAGACGAAAAGCATGGAACCATAGGCAATAAAACTATAGCGAACAGGATCAGAATTCTATAAGAAAGTTTTCGTCATGCAAATAAAATTAAAAATAAATTTCATAGTAGTATAAGGGATAAAAATGGAGAAGATTCGTTATGCCTCCTCATCAAAATCGCAAGTTACATGAAACTTCATAAACTTCTTTGCATGAACAATGGATTGATAATCAAGCTGAATTAAATGGAAATTGGGGCAACACCAGCAAAAACCCTCAACCCTCATCTTCAGAAGATTTTTTCACAGTTTGCACATAATCTATAAATATTTTTAATGAAAATTAAAATTTTAATTGCGGGACAGAATTCATTTATAAAAAACGATTGCTGAAAGCCCAAATTTGATGGGAAATCTATTTAAAAAATCTGTTAATCCAATTCAATCCAATCGTAAAACTTACGTAAAGAGAAATGGAAATAACCAGAAGCACAGATGTGATAAGCATCCCGGTAAAACCAATTAAGAGTAATAATCGACGACCACATTTCGGATGATCGACCTGGATACAATGGATATCATGAGTGACTAAATTTTTGTCGGATTACTTCATCTCAAATGAGTATTAGGAACGTTTCTATCTCTTTCTGGCTCACTTTTTCCGCTCGTCATAATATGGTGCCCTAACCTTACATGGTTTTCTTTCAGCTTAATTTGAAAGTAGAAATACCAAATAAACAGAAACAAGTGTCATAGCCACATTGAGAACACCCATGCCAAGCGTTGCGTATAAAGCTCCTTCGCCTAGACCAGCATCTGAGAAAATCTGAGTGGAAAAAAAGATCGCTACGTTAATACCAGAAAATTGTTGACCACACATCATCATAATTGCAATAAAAATCGGCCAAGCATAATCGCCTTTAAAAAGATCTTTCATTCCAATCTTCTCCATCGATGCGACCACTGCCGCTTCTTCTTTCATTGCTTCCATTTCCATCGAAACCTGGATGTGCAGATTTCCATGAATTTCTATTATAAGTGTACTAAAAACCAAAAATGTCGTCCATGATTCATGCATACCCCATAATTTCTTAAACTCCTCATAATTTCATTTTTTAATTCTTTAATACCTTAAGCTCCTCAAATAATGCGAATTAGCGGTGACTAAAAGAAAAATTTTCTCAAAAATAAATAAGAGAATGGTTGAAATTTTATTACATCTTCTCTGCCACGCAGTTTCTGCAGATCCTTTTCCGCTTGCTCAGCTCGATTCTTAATAATCAAATTGTATTTTGGGGATTCTGGACATAAAAAAAAGAGAACGACTTGCACCAAGACCGGAACTATTGTGAAGGCTGAAGGAAAAAGCTACTGATTAAGCCTTTCAAAATAGATCAATAAAAGGAACTGAAGAGGGAGAACCTAATGACATCAATTAATAATAGCATGAATCTAAATTTTTGTTCGTAGCATCGTTGACGGTATGAAATTCACTATTGCAATTTAAATATTAAAATATTAAAAGAATAAAAGAGCACCGAAAACCATGTGCCAACGAGTAGCACCACCCAATACCGACGGTAAACCAACAATTTGCGAGAAAAGAATGGCAATGGTGATGAATAGTTGATGAGCACTACCAAGAGTACCACGAAGATTAATTGGTGAAATTTCCGTAAGGTACAGAGGAACGAGACCAGTGCAAAGACCTGAAAAATCACTGCCAAGACCTGTATACAATAAAACTTCACCAATTTTCTAAAATTATAACTAATTTCTGAATTTCTGTATTACCCAAATTCTATTCTCTGATTTCGGCCCAATTATAAAAATATATTATCACTGTTGTCCAACTAATTCTCAAAAAAAGTAGCTAGCTCAAATGATGATGCTAATAAGTAAGTATAGTTACAAAAATTTTCGACAAATTTACCTGAATGGATACCAATAACAAAGCGACCAATAATCATAAAATGATAAGTGTTAACATATTTTGCACCAGTCATGAATACTGCTGCAATCACGGCGATAATATTATTGAATAGCATAGCACCTTTACGCCCCATTCGATCAGCAAACCAACCTGATGCTAGACCGCCAACCATACCACCAATCGCAAAAATGCCTATTGTTAATGACCTGAAGTTTTAACCAATTGTATTTCAAGATAAAGAATAAAGATAAAGAATATCTGATCACTTCACCATAGAGACTCGGGGATAGAGCTACAGATGGCTTTCCAGCAACCACCCCAATTTTTGACATAAGTTTACTCCTACCAAAGGTAGACAGACATAATTATTTTATATTATAATATATATTTATTTTATGTTATATATTTATTTTATATATGCATATATTTAATTTCAATTATTCTTTAAATTTAGAAAAAAACTTAAAATAGATTTAGCCCGTAGTTTATAAAAATAGTGGAATAGAAACAGAAATGCTCAGGATCGAAGAATTGAATATTCTAGTAAGCAAATTACATACAATAGACACCAATGAAAAATTTAACATCTCAAATTGGATAATTAAACCGCATCTATATAGCCGTAACATTAATATTATTGCGGAGCGTTGCCTTTGCTGGCTAGGGTACGTCCTCCGTCGTCCATCACAGCAGTTGACGCATATTTCGTTACTCGCTAAACCGAGTGATGGGTAGCATCAAAAGCGAGTTGGGCTAATCAAGATCTGAACTAAGACGGTAAAGAAAAATATTTGAACTTATAGGTGAATCAGCAATATATGGACTTAGACGATGGAAAAAGGAATGGCTTCTATTACTGTCGACGACGACATCAGACGGCGCCACTTGGAAGCGTTTTACTCTTGTAGCCGTTGGAACCAGCCTAACCAGTAATGAGAGCTATTAGAAGATTTCAAGATAAAAGCAAAAAGCGAAAGTATTACTGTTATTTTATCTGATAAACATTAAAAATGAAGGTAAATTAGATGGTTACTTAGATTGCAGTGTTACGAGCTCGAATCTTCTTTTGACAGGGCTAAACTCATCAGTAAAAAATCTGAGTGGTGCTGATGACTTGCCTGTATCGTTCTATCGTTTAGCATATAGGTAAGAATGCATAAGAATTTTTTAGCAACTACTTGAGCTAACTACAAACATTGAAGTCGAACCATTCACTTAACTTACTTAATTTAAAAATGAGATGACCAAGTAAAATTTGATAATTGGCAGGTTTAGGTGCTTTGTTTGCACTCACACATCATTCTTTTCCATAATTTTTCGATATAATAAATTTAAATGTAAAATCGAAAAACGCACCATTCGCTTCTCGCAACCTCGTCATAAGTGACACTTTTTTGATATAAGTATTGGTACGAATCGACATACCACTGAATTATTACCTGAATGACAAATGTTGATCAAAAAACGAAACATGGAAAAATTAAATCGACATTCGTAAATAAATTCGTAAATAATGCATGACGCCACAAGAAAATTTTAGAAAAAAAGGAATGAACCTTTGCTGGAACATTAATGCATCCAATATGGTAACCAAATTGAAAAGAGGAAGCGGTAGCAGCTAGAAGGGCAAGAAGCAATGTCAACGTCCAAGAACCCTGAAATCCATCATTTAACTTGTGAAACTATCGGCAATATGAATCATAATTAATTTTTTGATGAGGCAAGGGAAGTAGAATGGTACATTGACTATGGTCGAATCACTATAGATTCGTTCCTTGAAGAGAGTAAAGTACTTCGTTATTCAAAGTGGAACCCGGGTGATGCCGCGGATAACTTTTATCGTACTTCTATTTTCAAGCGTTTCCTTGCGAAGAAGTCAGTGAAACCAGTAAGAATTGTCGGATGTATATATTGGACCTAGAAAATAATGTTTGCAAAATTAAAAATGATTCGTAACCTGAAGTTCATCGCTCTTCTGTCCCAAAGACTTCGCAGCAACTTTTGCATTCAAGAGTTTTTCTCTTTGGGCTGCTTCAAGATCTAATCTCGCCCCCCTTATATCACTCGGAACAACTTTATTTCTTTCGTCAGAATTCATTCTGAACATCGAGAAAAAACTCGGATAATCGAATTTGAACAGAAAAATGATGTTATATTTGCAATTCATTAGTTAGTTATTTGAACGGTGGAACCCAATATAAAGGCAAACTTAATGTGAGGGCCAAAATGACCCCATCGTAGTGGAAGATGAGCCTTTCAAATTTCAAATTTTTCAAATTTTTCCCTGACCTAAGTAAATTTAAAACGTTCATGCTATATGCATTCGGCTTAAACACATAAATTCACTTTTTTAAAGGAGAGAATTCAATATAGGGACGGTCGAGTGGTATGATTGCTTAGATCTGCAACGAGCACCGATACTATAACTTTGGTTGTAAAAATACTAAAAAAATCGGATGGAACTGGTGAAGCACCTTCTTTATCGCCTCTTTGCCAGGTGCCTTTTTGAATTAATAACCGCCTAAGTTAAATGAAGGCTAATTGCAGGAACCCAAAGAAAAACATTTTGATGACTCGAAATTTTTCAATCTTTAAAACTTATTTCATAAATGGTCGAATGATATTTTATTTCGATTAAGTTCAAATATTTACGGTTTCGACCTTTGTTTAATGATAGGAGCAAATCTGTCGTAAAGAGTGAAATTCTGGAGATTTAAGCAAAACGATAATGCAATAAATGAAAATTTTTGAGACATTTCCCAAACAGTCGTTGCCCACAATTAAGTAATGTTTAAAATTAAGTAATGTTTAATGGACCCAGAAAATATGCGGAAAAAGTTACTCTCCCGCTCCCCTAAGATAACAGATTTCCCTAAAGTAAATTTCAATTTTTAATTCCCAGGAATCTTTGATAAAATGAAACATAAGTAAAGAAAAACATAGCCGACCCAACCGACCGCGCAACAGCAATCATATTTTGTCAATAACGAAATACATTCCACATCGATGTTATATAATAAAATTTTGACCTTTATAGGTCCGTTTACAATGACCTTCGAGCGCAACAACATTATAAGAATCACGTGGTGAATATTGTGATGGTTATTAGGCTTATTTCTAATCATCTTCTTTATATAAATGAGTTTTCTTTCTTTCTGCTAAGTTAGCTTTACAATGCAATTGAGATAAAGGAGAATCTGTCTGTCTGCTACTAATGTTTGTTAAAAGCAGGCCAGGTCTTGCTCGTCAATTTTGTGACCTTAGAGAAAATATATGTTATTGGAGATCTTCTTCCTCTTATCAGGGTACTAGAGCTTGTGCATCTTTTAAATCTTCTGAAAAATTTTTAAACTAAAAACAAAAAACAAAAAAAACAAAAATATACAATATGAAATATAAGTGAAAATGAAAACTGAGAAAAACACAAAACAAACACAAAAAGTTATAAACAATTTTATAAACTTAAAAAAAACATGCAAACTTGAAATAATCGTTATATAATTGCTTTAAAATCTAAAATCATAGTGTAATGCTGTCCCAAGGAATATACAGTCCTTAGGCAGTCGCCTACTCATTCAGGCACTCGCGCCATATCTGGTTTAAACCACCCGAACAAACATTTTGAAATCTTTGTTTTTGGTTCTTTTCGGACTGGTAATCTTTTGTTCGAAATCCTTTCTAACTTCTCCATTCTTCATTTTACGGTATTGACTTGTCGATAAAAATCATCAAGTGCCTAAGGCTTAAACTCATAATTAGTAATCGAATCTAAAAACCAGCTGCATTTATTCGTGGATTTTCGAAAAACAATAGCATCATTAATAGAATTTATTCCGTATAACAGAAAATATTATGTGGTAGATTATCGCACCCACTGTTTAATCTCAAATTTTAGTTATGAACAAATTCATTCTTTGCATTATAGCAATTTTTAATATAAAACCACATTTTTCCTACACTTTTCTAAATTTCATTAGGTTGTCCGAGAATTTATACCGTCAGTTATAAAGATACAAAAATGGTTACGATATCGTGCGTTGCATATTTCCTCGCAAAGGGGATTAGCAAAACTCAACAAATGAAAAAATTGGAAAGCATTCTGCGAATAACTTTTATGATAATAATAATGATGCAGTAATAATAAAATAATAATATTAAATAATGATAATAATAATGAATAACAATATGGGCTAAATTTGAATCCAACAAGAACTAATGGGCTAAAATTACTAAAACCTATGTGCAAAACTAAATTAAGGACTCATGAGTTTTTTATTCGTTACCAAACGATGTAGTTTGTGCATCATCCTTAGCTATCTTTAAAAAAAAGATTAGATAACGATATTATTTAAAAAGATACATGAAATCTCGATTTTTACCATTCGATTGTATATAATACAATTACTTCGAATTGTAATATATTAGATTATTTTGTAATTTCTTCTTTAGATTGTTAATTTTTATTATATTTTCTTTTTTTATCATTAATTACTATTAATTACTGTTATTTTAACTGTTGTCATTACTATAAGCACATGGTGTTTGTCGCCCTCTTGGTCGATTTCCAATAAATAAATAAATAATAGTAATAATGAAAATAATATTAGTAAAATAACATTAATACAATAAAAATACAGTAAAAATTTCTTATTATTCTTACTCACTTTAATTACAATCAATAATTCTTACTCATTTTAATTACAATAATTTTTTAATGATTAATTTTTGCATTATTTTTTAACTCAATTATTTTCATTTAATTTTTAATCTTTTTTTATGAGAGTTTTTGCAGTATTCATAAACACATGCACACTTTGCATTGCTTCTTGGTATGCATTATAAAAGTAATACAAAATAATTTTAATGAATAAGTTAAAATAGTTTTTTCAATTTCATAATTCTTTTTGCATTAGATTCATGTTTAAAATTTTGAATTATTAAGGAAAAGAAGTTAAATGATAAATGATAAAAAGTGGAGGTGGAGGGGAGTATAGGATGCATTTAATATAATGGTTTGGTTCGGAAAATTCAACTTTCCAAAATTTTTCTTTATTCTAGGGAATTTAACAAGAACATCGAAAACTAAACCTATAACGATTGAAAAATGCGATTTTGTTTTCGAAAAAAAATCATCACAGCTTTTTCCTTCGCATTTGAACGCTAAAAGGAAACTAAAAACTATAATATTGAATGAAATAGAATAAAATAATGATAATCTAAACTTATCACATCGATAACCTTAATCTGCAAAGGTCAATGTCATCCTTTGGCAATATTCTTCAATTAATAATACGCATGATTCGCAGAAGTATCACGTTGCATGCAGATATATTATTATGGAAAAAGTATGCACTTTTTTCTCATCCCTTGTAGGTGGTCATAATCATCCTCAACTTCGAACACTACCAGAGACCGGGAGATTGTGAGTTTTCTGCACAATATTTCTTTCATCTGTTCCTAATAGTTCGTCCTGCTGGATGGATTATATATTTCCATGTATTATATTATTATAATTGGTCTTTGCAATAGACATTGTAGTTTACGCATTTCCTAGTCATAAAAGATAAAATTCATGCAAAATAACCGGGTCTTTTCCAAGATTTTTTTAAGCATCTTTTTAAAAGAGCTCTTTTATTCGAAAATAGTATAATCTACATAGCTTTTTGTTATATCTGTTAATGTTAATGTTAATTATTGACTGAATTATATTTTTTATTACAATAAATGAAATAACTCGAAGTTTAAGATAAAATTTACTAAAAAACACTAATCTTTAGCGAAAAAAACGAAGAAAAATACTTAGAAATACTTGAAATCTATGTGAGATCTAAATGAAAACTGTGGAAGAAAAAGTTATCTAATAATAATCATAGAAACTTATGAAATGGATAAATATAAGAATACGACTGATGATGGTCTCAAACGAATGACAATTTGTGGAAAATAAATCACTGTTTAATAGAAACTTTCCGATCAAAATATTGTATTATATTATTATAAAATGCCATTATAAGTCTTTATGAATTATTACAAAAAATATTTCACATATTGATGTCCCTAACATTATATATTTCAAAACGTGGTATTTGGCAATGGTCAATAATTCTTTAAAGTGGGAATTAGTGCCTCTGACGCCGACCGAAACGAGATTTTCCAAGACGAAATTCGGCATTAATATCTTCTACCGTACGGCCTTTTGTTTCTGGTACATACACCCATACGAAAAATACAAAGAATGTCAAAATCGCCGAAAATATAAGAAAGGTATACTGTTGCAAAATTTGCTGAAAATTATTATAATTTTTACAACTGTCTTAGCTTAAAACGTGAAACGTTAATTAGTAACAAATTCTTTTCACTATATTAGATTTGGGTGATTTCATTCTCTATCTATTAGGACAAAACTCATTAGGTGCGTTGGAAATAGAAATGCGTGTGAATCATTAGAGCAGGATTTCGCGTTTTATGATAGTTTGTTCATGTCAAAAAATCAAACCTAAACTTGATGTCAATAAGAGCAACTCGGGCCACTAGAATTCCTTTTTCAGTCAAAATCACAATATTCTTTTTTTTTGAAGTAATTCAGAACGAATTTAAAAAAGAGTAGTAAATGATAATTGATGAAAGAAAAGTGCATTGCACATGCCATAAGGAAAAGAATTCGGCAGTGAAGTAATTTTGCTATAATATTTATCATTTTAAGAAATATCATACATTTATAAATATGAAACTAGTTGCAATGAAGAAACTACCCGTCCAATTCACCATGACTGCGACTGAGCTTGCATTAGCACGTGCTGCTGATGAAAACAGTTCCGATACGAAAAACCAAGGAATTGAACCTGAAAAAATTTTAGTTGTTAAGGACACGAATTTTATTCTTTATTTTTTCCATTTTCGATTAATTCATTACTTTTGCGTTACTTTCTTATTTTACTTTTCAGGTTTATTTCATAAATAAGTTGTATTCTCATTAGCCTAATCGTGTTATTGGGGAGCCAATGAATGTCTAATGAAATTTAAATCAAATTTAAAGTTAAACCAGGTCCAGTAGCAAAGGATACGACAAATAAGATTACGAAAACCATTGATGCATATGCTGTAAAGCCATATATTTTGCTATCAGAATTCTGAAAATAGAGGACAAAGTGAAAAAAAATGAACTGAAATGGAATTTAATTTATATTTTCGAATATTATATTAAAAATCTAAGCCAATAAGTTCTGGAAACTAACATAAATGGAGATGGAAATAACAAGGAGCACAGAAGCGATCTGCATTCCAATGAAACCAACCAAAAGCAAAATTCGACGACCACATTTTGGATGATCAACCTGAAAAAAAAAGTAAAAAGAGTAAATGAACATTTTAAGAAAAAATAATGGACAATGACCTGAAGCAATAAATAATAAAGAAAGAGATATGATTTTATGAAAACTTAATGCGACAAGAAAATGGGCTTTTAATAGAAAAAAATCGAAAAAATAACAGAAACGAAGGAAACAGCAATTTTGTAATTGTTAAATTATACACGCTTATTTAAGTAAATAAATGACCCATTTCTGGTTAGACTCACTCTACTTAGTGCTAATGTTGGAAGAAATTTTTGCCAGACAGTCAGTTTGTGATAAATATACATGATGCCAGCACCACCCGCATTTTTCATTTCCTCCTGTTGGGGGCAGGGCCGCAGCTCTTGCTTCCCAACGCAGTAGTCTGGACCACTACTCCGCTTGTCTATCTCAGCTATCGTTCACTTGTTTATGGAATGGCTCGAGGAAAGATGATGACTGATTTGTCAAATATTCAAGATATTTTGATAAAATTCAAATCAAATATTTGATAAATTTATGTTCAACATTTCAAATTCTGAAGAGCAAGTATTTGTTTAGAAAGATAGTTTAAATTATTATAATTTGAATTATTAAATAATTTAAATTTTTTTTAAATTTTTGTCAACATTTTTGTTTCAATCGAAAATTTTGATGACTCAATTATGGCAAAAATTCAAATTTAAAAACAAATTTTTAAATTTATATATAGAAAAACTTACAAGATAGACGGAAATGAGAGTCATAGCAACATTAACTGCACCCATGCCAAGAGTCGCATATAAAGCACCCTCACCAAGACCAGCGTCCGAGAAAATTTTTGTAGAAAAGAACATTGCTACGTTAATACCGGAAAGTTGCTGACCACACATCATCATAATTGCAAGAAACATTGGCCATGCATATTCACCTTTAAATAGATCAGTTATACCAATCTTTCGCATTGAAGCGGCTACCGCTGCTTCTTCTTCCATTAAGTTAATTTCTGCAGCAACCTAAAATTAATATTAATTAAAATGATTAAGGCAATAAAATTAACAGTGCTTCGCATTCAGTCGATTTAGATCGATGTTCGCTAGAGAAATGGGCCACTCTTTCCGCAGTAAGAGTACATCAAGTACATTATAATTTAATGATTTGGTGTTATTTTGGTTTTAAAAACTAACTAAATTAGTTTCAGTTTCATTATTTTAATAATTGGTAAATTTCAGGTGCTGCTGTGGGTTTATTTGTCGTCAAGTAAGCCTAACCAGAAATGACGACTTGTTGAATTAATTAATTAATTGATAAATTTCTGAAAATTCTTTTTTTTTCATATATTCAGCCCATTAATGATAGAATGCTAACATCTTCTTTTCCTCTTAATTTCTTCAAATCTGCCTTTGCTTGTTCGGATCTTTTCTTCACAATCAAATTATATTTCGGTGATTCTGGACATATAGAAAAAAGACAAAGTTGTAAGATGGCAGGAACAATAGTGAAAGCTGAAATATGGTTGAAATATATTTGGATTATTATCTTTTTTACTAAAAATTTTTATTTTTAACCTCAAACGAAATTATTTAGCCTAGTTATTAAAAGTTGTCAGGACTATCTAGCATAATTGACGGCGTATTAATAGCCAGTGGAGCAAAACCTAATCAGAAATGGAAAATGCTAACCATCTTTTACCAATGCACTTAATTATTTCTCATCATTTCATATCTCATTTCAAGTAATCAATTCTCTTTTCTTATATTACTGTACATTATTATAAATTTAAAAAATTTACCGAAAACTAGAGGCCAATTTTCAACGCTGCCTAAAACACTTGGAAGACCAATGAATTGCGATACTAGAATCGCAATTGTTATAAATAATTGATGAGCACTACCGAGCGTTCCACGTAGATTGATTGGTGATATTTCTGTGAGATACATTGGTACCAAACCAGTGTTTAAACCTAAAAATTAAAAAATCTTTTGTAATACAATCTTTGCAACAGCTCTTCTGTTAATAAAATGTAGTTTTAATGGTCATTTATTTTATTCAATAAAATTTTATCATTTTGAGAAAAAGTATGATTTTTACTAAAATATTCATAATTGTAGTACTGGCGATGACAACAAAAGGAGAATTTAAATTAAAAAAATTAAATTTCCTTCTGTTACATATGCACTTGCACTACCTAGCATAATTGACGGCGTATTAATAGCCAGTGGAGCAAAACCTAATCAGAAATGGAAAATGCTAACCATCTTTTACCAATGCACTCAATCACTTCTCATCATTTCATCTCTCATTTCAAGTAATCAATTCTCTTTTCTTATATTACTGTGCATTTTGATCAAATAAAATTTATAAAGGTTACATATATTAAATGATAATTATTATATATAAGTGATATATTTAATGATAATTTTAAATTTAAGTGATATATTAAATGATAATTTTAAATTTTAAATTTTAATTTTTTAAATGATAATTTTAAATGATAATTTTAATTTTTATAAATATAATTTTAAATTTAACTTTTTTATTACAGCTTCACTTCGATAAATCTATGGAAAATATATATGCCACCTGAATGTATTCCAATGACAATACGACCAATAATCATAAGAGGATATGCATTTACATATTTGCTACCAGTCATCAATACAGCAGCAATTACAGCAATAAGATTATTGAAAAGCATTGCACCTTTACGACCCATCCGATCAGCAAACCAACCCGATGCTAAACCGCCAAACATACCACCAACGGAGAATATACCAACTGTTATTGCCCTAAAAGTTGCAAGTCATTTTTTTCTTATGATATGCTATAATTTTGAAATTCCCACAATAAACAATTTTGAAAAAAAGGTGAGAAAAATCAGATGATTTGATCAAAAAGGATTTTTTCTTCAATCTTCAGTTATTCTTATTATTTATAAAATGCTTTTAATTTTAAAATTAAAATTAAAATTAAAATTCAAAAAAAACAAAGAACCATTGAAATCTTGCAATTTCATCATATGTAACTTCTTTTCCGAACAAATACTTATGCGAATCCATATACCATCGAATTATTATCTGAAACAGTTTTAGAATTCGTAAAAATCTGCAGAATATGAAAGCGAAAGGACAAACCGCTGCAGGTATATTGACGCAGCCGATATGGTAGCCAAATTGAAATGAGCCAAGCGTAGCTGCTATCAGTGATAAAAATAGACGCAATGTCCATGACCCCTAAAATCGATTTAGTAGCTTAGAAATTTCTGGATTTTTTAAACTAGATGTTGAATAAAAAAAAATTTTTGCCGGTACTGACTTTAAGCTCTTGATTATTCGTTTTTTTGCCGAGCACTCTTGCAGCCTCTTCATGCTTCAGCAATTGCTGTTGCTCAGCCTTGTCTGATGATATACCTGTTTTTAAATCTGAATGAGTTGTTTTACCTGTTTGCCTGCCACTTGACATTTTTGCCAGAAAAAAATTGCTTATAATGCTGGAAATAAAAGAATTTCGCTTATCTCTTATCCATGTGGAATTATATAAATATTTTACTGTCTTTCACAACTGAATTTAATCGACTTTTATAATAAATGAAAAAATTCTTTGTCCACCATTTTTCTGTCAATTTTTCCATAACTTTGGAAAAATTCAAACAAGTAAAAATGATTTTTTTTTCGATTTACGATCGTACTGGCAGTAATCGATAAAATAACAAAATGGAAACGAAATCCAGGAATTTTTTTGAGTAGCTCTTCTTATATGTTGTGAGATACCATAATTTTTGCAGACTAATTCGACGTGGCAACAAAAGCAAAATCAAGACATTACAAAAACTATGGAATATTGGCAAAAAATAAATTTTTTAAAACTGAGTAGAAATAAAAAAATTCCAATTCAATAAAAGAAAATTTATAATATTGAATGATAATAATTTAGATAGAACGACATCCATGACTTTTATTTAGTTCTGCATGATACTTGGCGTAATAGAATATTTTTTTGTAATAGAATATTCAAAGCAGTTAGGCGACATTTTGCTTCGATAATCATGTCAAGTTTCTTCACGCTCGAGTTTGAACCCCCTCTTATCAGGAATAAATTTGTCATTGAAGGTGAATTCGATTGGTGCTGCTGATCCACCCGCACTTTCATCCCTAACTGTTAGAAGAATCTTAGAAGAGTATATTAACTGTAATTCAGCAAACCAAATTAGAAATATTAAATGCTATCAGAAGAAAGAAGTGCGATATTCTACCGAGCAATTCAGTTTTCCCTAAGAATAATATTTAACAAATTTATGCGGGAAATGAAGCAAAAGCAGTCGCTAGTATTGGTAAATAGTTAATAAAAATGAAAATTGGAGGAATTCATGAAAGTTCTACACGAAACGAAGTCGTCGATGACAGATCAATAAGACGTGTTTCGGTGAAACTTTTCGACAAAAAATTTTCTCGTTAATTTGGGTTCAAAAGCACGAAACAACGATGAATAATGATTGTAAAGAAACAGCCAGAGAACGATTTTATAATTTTTTATTTTTTACAGAACTTTTAAAAAAGAGAAATACAAATCAAACGAATCAAATCCTCGAATACTTTAACCAAAAACTAGTTGATAATTACTCGAATAAGTAAATATATAAAGCGATCGTCGCAAATTGTTTCTTTCTTTCATCGAGAAATTTTTTAGTTTCGCTAAAGGAAATATTTGCATACAACAATAAAAACTACGCAAAAAAAAGGAATTGAATATTTTAAGAAGGCGAAGGGAAATGCATTAAACAGCACTCGTACCCACACATTTTCTCCTTTAAGTAGGACAGCCGAGTGATCGCTGCTCAGATTATTATTCCGAGCATTCGAATATGAATTGCTTCCATCTGGAGTTTTCCCATCAAAAAACCTAGGTTTTGATCCATTGTATTTCCAATTTCAGGTGAGGCCTTTGAAAAAAATATCTCATTTTACCAATAACTAGTTAAATCAACCTAACCAGAAATGCATTAAACAGCACTTCTCATTTCCACCAAATATAAAAATCGGGGTCCCTTAATCAAAGAATCACTTGAGGATATAGAAGATGGATCACCATTATTACTCGCATTTTCTTTCTCTTCAAGGCACTAATCCACTGATTGTTTAGTCTTAATCCAAGTACCACTCGACCACTTAAATTAATTGTGTGCAATAGTGCTTTTACAAGCAGTGTTATATGTAACCGATCTGTAAAATGGTTCTTGCAATACAAATTATTTTTTTTTAATGCAATCGTCTTGAGAAATTTTTTATGTCTTTGAGAAAAAAAATTCGAAAATTTTCCGCTAATTTCATAAAAATTAGAAGAGCTTCGTGAAAGTTCCACACGAAATTATTTTTGTAAAATTAACAAAAGAATGTGTAGCAAGAAAAAAGAAAAATTTCCAAATTCCTACGATATTTTGATGAAATTTTTAAAGAAAAAAACTAATCAATCAAAAATTTATTTTTTTTAACAAAAATTTATTAAATTAATTAATTTTCTTACTTTTCATTCCTTCAACATTTTCCTTTAAAAGTATTGTTTTCAGATTTTTATTGCTGATTTATTGTGGAGAGATTTATTGCCACTGAAACGAATTTCACTGCACCCAATTTTATTCGCTACTGTCGAGGAATTCCAGGAAAATAAAAAATTCTGGAAAGAAATACTATTCTTATGAGATTACAGAAAAAACAAAATAAATAGATAGTGTAACATTTTAATCTGCAAAATAATGATGAAAAATCTATTTCATAATTGTCATGCGACCAATTTATTGCTAATTCAAACCATAATTAATTAGATCCGTTTTTTTGAAGAACTAAACTAGCCATTAAAAATGAAATCCAATTGGTTTCAAAAATTCATCCGACTATTTCTATTTCTATTTTCATATAATTTTCTAGCGATGGAATCAGTGATGACGAATGAAAATAATTAGAATTTTTAGACTTTTTTTTCCTAAATTTTCATTTCAAATAAAATATAGAATTTATAAATATAATATATGTATATATAAATTTATAATACTCAAAAATAAATAGCTTCATTAATCAACTATGTATGTCTTTGGCAGGAGAAAACCTGTCACGTTAAAAATCCTGGTTGCTGGGGACCCACCTGTATCTCTATCCCCAAATGACTCTGTGGTGAAGAAGTCGAACACTTTTGATACGGCGTATGCGTCTCCCGACGCGCATGATTCTTCCAGCCGGGTGGTACATGCGATAAGTGCACAATCTGGGCGTAAAGCGGTCCCAAGGCTGATGAATAAAATATGTTCGCAAACCAGGATGCCCGAAATCTATCGAGGGAAAACAGTTCTCTGTATGAGCGGTGAGGTATTTTAACCCTATCAGCGTGGAGCGTCCAAACGCTTATGCAAGTCAAGCGATCACTGTCCACACTTTTTCCAAATATCATGTGGATATCATTTGCTTGTCGAAGGTCTGTCTTCATCATTTCGGATCTCGAGTAATTATCTTGGCTCGGAGGTACTGGCAGTATTAAAGTGGTGCTTCGGATAACTCGGCGTGAAATGACGTAGCGATTATTATGTCTGCCAAGGCCCATTCCGCTTTGATTGAGTGGAAACCGATATAAGCGACCATATGGCCTATGTCCGTTTTAAAGGTAAGTTCTGCAATATCTCGGTTATCAGCGTCTAAGCTCCAACTCTGACCGTGATAAAGATAAGTTCTATGTGAAACTTCAACTGCTAACAAAGTCTCTACCATTACATGACATAGTCAGGGGAGACTGGAATGAACGCGTAGGTCGTAATACCGCTGCGATGACCTTTACAATTGGCAAATATGACATCGGAAATCGGTGCGCCAGTGGGGAAGGCCTTCTTTGTTATGCCGAAAAGCATGAACTTTTTATTGCTAATACTTGTTTCCGGCATCGAAGAAAACATCTAGTCCCATGGAACTCTCTGGACAACCAACATTTCAACTAGATTGATTATATCTTAGTCAATCGGCGATGGAAGAGTTCTGTACTAGATAGTCGTTCCTATCGCGGCGCTGAAACGGACAATCTTCATAGATCAGACCATGATAAAGTTCGAGGACAACATTCGCATAAAATTGACAAGCCGCAAAAAACAGCATCTAGAGGTCCTTCAACTATTTCAAACTAAACAATTCGGGAACGGTTAGCGCTTTTCAAACTAAATTATTGAAGTATCTCAATAATATCAATGATATTATATGATAATAATATCAAATATCAATGGTTTTTCTGGAACGGCACACGAATACTGGTTCAAACTAAAGGAATGTCTTCGAAAGTCAACTACTTCCACGCTAAGGCATAGAAGATAGTTGGGTGTCGGAAGCAACTGTCAAACTGTCTGAAAAAGCTGCCAAAGCACGAATGTATGGTGACTTCCGGATGCTCCGAAGATTTACAACGAAAGCAACGGACGGAAATCACTATTGAAGTAACATGACCTCGAGAATGTAGATGGCTGCTCGATTAGGCGATAATAGGAAACTAATCCTTCTTCATAAAGCAACTATAGCCTGGGAAAAACGATCAGTGAAATGATAAGGGACAGAAATGCATGGCTGTTAAGAATATTAAGGATATTAAGGAATATTAAGGACTGTCTCAAAAGATGGAAAGAACTTTTTGAGGCCAAACTTAACCATGAAGCACTGCCTGTTATTTTTGATATGACTGATACGTTCGCTGAACCACTTACAATTGCGGGCTCACAACAGAAGAAGAAATAATATCTGCTATCCATAAGCTCAAAGCCAATAAGACTACATGAGAAGATGGTCTTTGGGCTGAACTCTAAATATTGTCCATCTTCCTTCACAACGCAAAATGTACTTTATGGTATGGAAAAAAAAAATAATACCAGAAGACTGGAGCAAAACAATTCCGCTTCCAATTTCTAAGAAAGGTGATAGGACATAATGCGAAAATTATCGAGGGATCAGCCTACTAGACGTCTCAGTGAAAATTTTTGCTTCCTTTATGGAAGTACGAGACAGCAGAATGCGTCCTAATCAAGCTGGATTTATCAGGCCAGGGCATTGTTGTGCTGACCAGATATTCAGGTTAAGAAGGGTGTTGGAGCATCGCTTCAGATATCAGTGGAACGAGCTTAACCAGAAAATCGCTTATTTTAAAGACTAGAGTCCTTCGCCGACCCACAAAATATATACACTTTTTCCTCAAATTCTATTCAGAAACAAGTTAAACAAGTTAAAATCTTTTTCAGTTTTTTTCTTTGATTTTCAACAACCATAAAAAAATAACAATTTTATATATATATATTGGAAATTGTGATATTTATACAGTAAAAGGAAATGGGGATGATTAGAACAATTTGGGATATTTAATGAATTAGTGGTCAAAAGACCACGAATTAAGACGACAAGAAATTTGCCAGGGAGTCATTTGGCAAAGTACAGGTGAGTCACCAGCACCACTGCTTGAATTATTGATGCAATCAAATATGGTGGAATAACAAATTGATATAGAGGTTTCACACCCTTTAATTTGACATGAAAATATTTCATAAAAATACCAACGTATTTAAAATATTTTTTCGAGTTTCGTTTGCATTGAAATTTTGAAGAGATTAATTGAAATTTTCAGTCGTTTAAGATAGTGGTTCTTAATAGATTCACCAGGGATTCTGGAATATTTTCGGGAATTACGAAAAAATTGAATACTATAGAGAGAATAAAAGCCGCCAGGAAACTATGGAGTTGAAATGAGGCCGTGCTAGGTTTAAACAATATAAAATGCAGAAAAAAAATTCTATATTCAAAAATTTATTCTAAGTACAGAATCGATATATCCTTGGGCCAGTAGAAAGATCGCCAGACTAGAAAATTAGAAAATTATTCCGTCTTCATTATAAAACAACTATAACTTGGGAAATGGCCAGTGATCCAAGATAATAATGATGAATGCGTGTTAAGGCATTCAAAGGCCGGGACCAAATTCAATCGCGATGCCTCGTTTGTCATTCTTGATACAGCCCTCAAAACCCTCGCTGAGCCATATGTCTGTAACTGCGAACCTCCTACAAAGCGCTACCGAAAAAGATGGCCTTCGGGCTAAAACCTTTAAATATTCTCCACCATTTCTCATAAATCACTTTCAAAAGATGTACTCTCCAATATAGAAAACTAATATCAGATGGTGTCAGCAAAGCAATCCTGAATCTAATTCACAAGAAAAGAGATGGGACATGCTGCAACAATTAGCGAGGAATTAGTCCTTAGACTATTAGACCCTGGCGAGATTTTCGCTTCTCTTCTGCTTAATAGATTTAGCAGTATAAATAATGGGATGCCATAATCAAGTTGAATTTGGACCGGAAATGCCGATGTTTGACCAAATGTTCATGCTAAGAAAGGTGATGAAAGGTGAGGTGATAGATATATCAAATATCTGCAACCCACCTCATTATTGTTTCATCAATTTTGCTACTATTTTTGATTGCTACAGCGGTGTTTTGGGATGTGATGATCGCAGATATGAAGAAATATGCTAAACAATAGGAAAAATGGGGCTCAGGATCAATATACCAGACATTTTAAATACCTATTTTTACCATTTAATCATATGTTGAATTCTCAGAAATGGCCGATTTTAAATATCTTGGATCTCTTGAACCAAATGGCCAAGCGAAAGATGAAATTGCAGCCAGAATAACCACAGCAAGAAATATGTTAACCCTTCGATTCGACCTTTACTTCCGTTAATCTGCTTTGATCAATGTGTTATGCTCCTTTTTCAAGCATATAGTTTTTCTCATTCTGAATCACTCATTTTTATAAATGGCATATTTGTTTTTCAATTCAGTAATCAATTGCTCATGACTCCTGGAATAAGAAAAAATGTTGGTAACACTTCACTGAATGCTCCTTGTTCGTGGTTTTATTACTCCACCATAAGACAACAGAAATGATAACAGAATGTCGATGTATTTGCCATTAAACTATCAAAGACCCATTTGGAAATAATCCACCGAAGAGAAAGAAAATATGATAAGAGAATAAGAGAAGAGAATAGCTGCCTTTTTTGGTATGTACGGTGATTTTAAGAAAGACCAATAATAATAACAAATATTTAAGAATACACCGAAGAGCAATTAATAAGCAGTTGACTGTGTCAAAAGATTTTCTCTAAAAAGTATCCCCCATATTTTGTCATGGAACTATATTGATGAGATGGCGATTTAAAAGGTTTCTAGCATATTTTAAAAAATATCTGTCAGTTTTATTTTCTTCTTTCAGTATACGTCGACAATATTTGTAGCAAAAAAGTTTGGGGGACAATTTGACGCACTCTTCTGCCATCACTATCATCAAAAAGGCTAATTATGTTAATGTCATCAAAATTGTCTCGTTTGCCAACTATGCTAAGAAAATGATGAAGGCCTACGGCGGTATACGAAGAATGTGCTGGCTATTAAATGAAAATTGTTTTCGCAGATTGTAATCTGTTAGAATGGAGTATTAATATAAATTTGATTTGGAGTATTAATATAAATTTGATATAGTCATTGTGTTCTTGGGGAATTTTCTGGAATGATATTGGATACCATGAATTTATTTAATTCCCATCATTCCCATCATTAGCAAGTACTTGCACCGGCATACACAGCTTCGTATTTGTCATAAATAACTTTCCTCAGCTTTGGAATTTGAGGAAGCGAAAAAATCTGTTATAAGTTTTCTAAGTTCTTATCTGGTTAAATTTGACTTTAGAAACATTCATGTCAAATTTGATGATCAAAAATAGATTGCATATTGAGAAAGGAGAAATGAATTAATAAATGAAAAAATAAATGAATAAATGAATTCGGCTTTTAATGAAATTCCAGCCGAACTATAAAATCTTGTTTTCATATAATGCGAAGCTCGTACTAAAAGAAAATAATAAAATATTTTTTGGCATATTAAATTATTCTACTGAAATTAACCTATTTAAGATTTAATAAGACTTAAGATGCTATATGACTCTGCAAAATGCATCCATTTCTTCCCTGTTTTGCAATGTAGCGCAAAAGGCTTTAAATGGTTCATAGTTTGAAGGTGCGAGACCTACCATTATGCTTCTGGGTTGATTGGTCTATTAACACATTTAAATTTTGGAGACATAATGGCAAAGTTTCGTAAGATTGTAAGACTTGTAGGAAATCTAATCAATTTCAATGAAACTCTTGATCTTTGCTTATAAATATATATTTATATTTATATCTGCTATATTTCTTTCTTTACTCCTACTCGGTCGAATTCGAACCGTGGATGCGTAGTTCTGAGTCAAAGCACATATCGTTCGAATGCACAGTCCATGCTTTATTTATTTTTTACATAGCATAAATTCTATACGCTATCTATCGCTAAAATCAGCTATCAATGAGCATTTCCTATTCTTTTTGCGCTTCGTGTCAAAGGAAAAACTTGAGAATTTTTTCTTCTCTAACAAGAATATAAGTGGTTAAATCATTGCATTTTTAGTTGTGCTTGCACTAATCGCTGTTAATAGGAGGAGATAATTGAGATAAGAAAGGAGAAGATTTTGCCATGGAGCCAATCGCTAGAAATATATCTTCATCAACAGGACAGGCTCACTCTACCTGACCCAGGACCGAACTATGGTGCTCGAAAAATCTATCCTAATTCTGCAATAAACGGAAATATATTTTTATACTTAGCGAAACAACTTTTGTTCATTATTATATTAGTTTTAAAAGAAAATTTTTTAAAATATAGAAAAAGCAATGAAAGCATGAGAATTAAATTTTTCTCATCTGGAAATTGCATATTGTTGCATAAATTTTAGAGGAAATATATCCGATGTAATAAATATAATGCGATGCATTCAGGAAGATGTTACATTGAAATTAATATTAAATTAATATCACAATCATATAGAAATTCAGAAAGCTTGGCCTGGCTTTGCATAGGTATTACTGATACTGATAAGTACGAGTACTGGACACCAACCACAATTTGCTGCCTGTGGGCATCCTATACATTCTAAGATAAGATATTATAATATTCCTGAGATTTTCAACATTTGCGGGAATGCTTGTTGGGAATTTATGCAACAATAATTGAATAATTAATTTAAATGGGCAAAAGCACATTTTCGACCAATTATTACACCAAATGCTATTCGGATGACCTGTAAAATACATAAAATACTGAGCATAAAATACTGAGCTAGTCATATGATAATCGCAGTTTTTTATTTTTATTTTCACATTTTTTTTGAGAATTTTATAAACAATTTATTCCCATCATTTATTGTTCTGAATAAAATTCGGTAATACCGCAATATTTCTATTATACGACGGCAGTGCCATATAATCCGCCTTCAAGGTAAGTTCAGAAAGCGCATTTAGATTAATTAACCGCCGTCACTTCACTTCACTTCACTTAAATTTTTCACTTTTAATAAAAAATTTTCTTCCTTCAATAAACCAATCTGATGGCTTGTCCTTGTTCGAAACAGCATGCCAATGGACCCCTCTATGTTCCTCCAAGTCCGTCTCTTTTATTAAACGATTCAGAAAATAAATTTTATATCATTGCTTGATGATTAGCAATAAAATTAAGAATTGGCATCAAAATTTATACCATTTACCATATTTCTGTGTTCTGAACAGTACTCCCCATCTGTATTATTGCCTATTGTTTCTCTGTTAAAAATTTCTCAACGCACGAATAGCCAAGACGAGCCTAGCCAAAAATAGTGAGCATCTTTTTTTATCTATCATATTTGGGTTATAATTATAATCAAATCAAGACATTAGAATATTCAGAAGTTGTTTGAGGCAACAGAAAAAGGAATAACAGAAATAACATCCATTATTATTCCAATAACTAAATATTCGTCAAATATTGACGGAAATTAGTGAATATTTCGTGGATTTATAAATCATATAAATTTTTTTCCTCTCATTGCTTTGAACTGAATTAAACCGAAATAGTGAAAAAAATTCTTTCATTAATTTTTCAATAAGAAAATGCGGTGAATTGGAAAGAAAAAGGATAATACTAGGATTGGAAAGCATTGTAATTTTCCTCATTGGTTCTGATTGAATTCTCGAAAGAGCTTTTGAGTAACAAATTGTTTTTTGAATCATTCTCTGCAAAAAATGTACAATGCAAGAAAACAATATTAATCGAATCAGTCACATCTTCCTAGCAGAATTATAAAGAAAAATGAAAAAAATATTTAAAATATAATTTTTTATCCACTTGTAATAACCAAATAATAATAATAGTCGAGGTATGGATAGCTTACTTTCGTTGGACAATTCGCAGTGATCATCGAGAGGATTTGTGACGGAATTCAATGAATCACATGAAACTGATTTTTTTATCGTCTCCTTTGCCATTTTCAATAAAACTGATTGTTGCAAAGTGTCGTGCCAAAGTGAATCCGTACTCTTCGATTGCTTAAAGTAACTGTTTATTTCTACATCGTTGTTTATTTTTTACACTTCCTATTGATAGGAGAGAATTCTTTCGAGAATTTAGTGGTCTCAGATTATCATTAAGAGGCAAGGTTTCGGATCTAATCCAAGATACGATCTGGTGCTGGTAGCATGCTTCTAATTTTTTTACCAAGTAACCTCTTTACTCCTTGATAAAAATTTCTGACTCAACACCTAACTATTCTAATCAGGAATGATAAGTGCTAACCACTTACTTTCATTCACTTTGCATTTATCAGTAACTAAAAATAGCTTAAAAATTTTATGCTTAATATTTGATCAATATCGGAGAATTAAAGGGCTATAAGTATTTCTCATAAAGAAAAATGTAGAAATTGAGAATAATTTCGCATAAAAAAATCGAAATTCAATAATTCAATATATTATTAATATTAATATTATTCAATAATTCAAATCCACCTGCCGTTGACACTGCGAAACGAGGTTATCATTAGATGTAGAAATGGGCTGAACTGTGCATTTATTAGCACTAAATTTGCGGAATACAGCGCGATCAGAACTTCGCTCTGGTTCTGCATAAAATTCCGAAACTACATCGCTAGGTATGTTTATCATTCCAATCATTTTTGTGAATTCTAAAAAGGTGATTTTGTTTAATTCAATGATTTAGTCAGAAATATGAATCTATCATTTAACAATACATATTAAAGAAGCAAAAAAGAAAGCAGTACGAAATAGAAAATAGACGCACGACTATTTCTTAATAGCCATAATAGCCATATGAAAGAACCCTCGTCAATTTATTAATCTTTTTTTTGATTAATTGTATGCATGCTCGGTTTGCTGATTCTGTTGACTATGAAGTTGAATATCTTTGGGGATAAAATCAGTTGGGTCCCTAGCTTCTAAAACAGTACCCATTATTTCTAATTTGGCTGGCTGTTTAACTTTCGCTAGAGAATCATTTGAAGATGTATGAGTGATTCCCCAGCACTGCTCAGATGACTGCCACCGGGAACCGAGAATACCTCGAGTTCTAATCTGATAACGCACCACGCTTCGTCGGAGGGCAATGTTGACAAACAGCGAAAGAAGATAGAAAGGCTCATGGGATTGTTGCATCAGTTTGAAGCTGGGGCTCTCACGGAGGAGTAAACTTGTCCATTAAAAATCCGACTGATGCTGATGATCCCACCTGCATTTCTATTGCTCCTCACAAAATCTGTTTATTCCGACAAGTCAGCGAAGCGAGTCTAACCAACAATGGTGGGCACTTTAAAAATAAAAGAAAACTTCACTTTGTGTATATTTGTGCACAGCTTTATTTTAAAAAAGCCATCTTTATAAAAATTCTGAAAATGATTGACACTTAAATAATACTTTTGTGTTCAATTGAATGAATTAATTCGTATGAATCAGGAGAAAAAGGGAAGGGGAATTTAAGAACAAATAAATTCAAGACTAAAGACCACAATATGGGAACAAATGGTTTGACTGATGTCGGTTCCAATGCTCGTAGGTAAAAATCTGTGGAAAGAATAATGGTAAATTCATCCTCATTATTTGAAACGAAAATGGAACTCGTTTTTATAACCAATAGTGAAAATTGAGGATTGCTGAAACCGGTTTTGAAAGAATAAATCAAAATAATATGTAATCAAAATAAAATTACCGTCGCAATTAATAAAATAGAAACGATGGAAACAAGCAAATTGGTCGTAGAAAAGCGAGTTAGTGAAACAAATTCTATAATAAATAAACAGCTTATCACATCGAAAAACTCTTGGCCTAAAATAAAAATAACTGTCATAAAATTAATATAACAATAAGAAAAATATCCCTTCTTTTTTTCTCCTTGAATAGCAGTCACATTTGTACTTTCGCTCGATCTATTAAATATTATAATAAAATCTTTTCGACAGATAATCACTATGCGATAGTACGGGTGAGTTCCAAACATCACTCAGATTTCACATCTTCGTGAGGCAATAATTAAAAGTGCTAAATCTGACCTCGGTCGGAGCAACAAAGCAACAAGTCGCTCAATCATTAGCACTAAAGTTCTTTATTCTTACTGCTCTTAATCGCAAAAGATTCTTCTTAAGCACTGTTGTTCAAATATTTATCATTAGCCCACAATATGTTTTCATAACGAACAATGTTTGCTCATAATTTTATTTATATATTATGAAAGCTGATCAAATAAAATTTGGCTTAAAAAACCGCAAAAATTCAGGCACGCTTAATAAAGAAGGCTTGCAGATATTAACATTTAATTTCTGTTTTTTGATGAACGAATTGATTTAATTAAAGCGGAAAAGTATCCGAAATAATTAACTGGTTTCATCTAACTTTAACGATTTATTTACAATAAAAAAATTTTTTTAAATTGGAATTTGAATTTTAAAAAATGTTTAAGGTAATTATATTTTCATAGCATAATTTATAACATTTTTTTCTTCAACAGAGCCGCTTTTGACTCTAAAGTAAAAGCATCTAAACAAATAAAATTCATGATTTGGCTGACTCGACTGACTTGCGAATGAGAAATTGTCATCCGTGCGTCAACTAGGGCACGAGAAGAAGTGCCTAGTACTGCCCTTTCGGTAAGTTTATTCATGGGCAAGGAATAAGAATCGAATCCACGATACTTAAATAGAGTGCCGCTCGATCATCGTCTTCTTAAGCAACTTTATGTATGAAACAGAAGACCAAAAATTTTTGTCTAATCCAGGTTGTCTTCAGAATCGAAACGGAACTGATAGATATTTAGATGTTTCTAAAACGAAAGAAGTAAAAATGAAAGTTCGGACAAATTTACGGAAAAAACTATGATAACTCCAATTCCTTTAATTTAAATCGAATAATGACAATAAATTTAGAATTTTTAAGTCCCAAAAGTCTTATCGCAAAATATTTAATTCCAAATGGATGACTCATTATTGGCCATAAAAAAAACTGAAAACTGAAATTAGCACAGCTGTTGATCACTAGAAAATATGCTTCTTTTTATTCGAGTCTCCATATTATTTATCACTATTATTTATTATTTACTGGCGTTTTAGAATCGAAATTTCAATAAAAAATTCCCCACAATGTGCAAAGAATTTTTACGAATTGTAAAGCTGAAAATCTAAGTTTTTTATCAAATTAAACAATTTTGATTGTATGGAAATTAAATGAATTAAATGAAAAAGTCGTGATATATTGTAAAACATCACGAAAATTCGGCAACTGATTTAAAAGTCTTATCCGATTAATAATCGTATTTTCTTAATTCTTGAATGGCATTAAGAGTAAAGATTTTTAACGCATAGGCAATTAACGATATATGAGCTTAGCCGATGGGAAAGGATGACTTTTTTACTTGCAGTTAGAATCGAAATGAGAAACCTAGAAACTTCTCGCCTTGGAGGAATTGACGAAGCCACAGCAAAAGTGCAACTTACAATTACCAAATGATTCTTTTGGATCGGTCATGCTTGTTTTGAAACACACACATCGCTTTAAATAACTTGAAACACTACAAATGCAATATTTGATAAATGGAGAATGAAAAATTTTTATGGAAAAAAATAAAAGGATAAATAAGAATCCTATGGAATAATTAAGCTAAAATGACGGAGAAAAAATGAAAGTGCCGTATTACATAAATAAAACTTAATATTATATAAATAAATAAAACTTAATATTAATTAGAAGCTGTGAAGTGGAAAGTTCAATTGACGATGAACAATAGATAAAATTAAAAATTTAGCTGAGAATTAAACATTTCGCAGTTACAAAAAAATCTTTTCAGTTTTTTTAATTTATTAAAATTTAGCAAACAAAGAACGGAAGAGCAAATACAATACACTGCTCACCACTTTCTTCATTGACTTTCCTTTCGACCCAAATGGAGATTTTAGTTTGAAACCAACTGCAATTATCGCATTACTGAGCTCATGACGAATGTGAAGAATTAAGAAAAAACGAAAATTATTCATCAAATACATATATATATATATATATAAGTATTCAACTCATAAGAATCAAATGCAAAAGTTATCCTTATATTCGCGATTTGTCCACAAATGAATCACTAGGAAAACGCAAAAATTCTACCAAAAATGATGAAAATGGTGGCAATGAAAGCATGAAAATTAATAAAATTGAAGCATTAGGATTTTAATGCAAATACAGATGACATAAAATGTCCAAAGTTCAATTTCAATATTTCAAATATTTGATCTATTTAGTTCGATTCCTAGATTTTTTATAGTTTTGTGATCATCACCAGGAAAAAATTTGATACATAGGCGCCTCAACAGTATGGCCTTACACGACGGAAAAGAGGATGGCTTCTACTGTTGTCTAATATAAAATAAGATCGAGGGGTTTGGAAACACTCTGATGGCCAATGAAACCAGCCTAACTGTAAAGGTGCACCTTGTTAGAAAAAGAAATGGAAAAAAATCGGCAATTTTCGACCAGTAAATGCAGGAAAAACTGAAATTTTCATCTATAATTGTTCCATTCAACTTTAGTTAACGCTAATTTTCAACATAATATTTCCAAAAGTTAGCATAATCGAGTGGAATTCAGCGTTGTGCAGACAGTTCAGTTCCCATTTGTTGGCAATAAAACTACAAAATCCAGATGGTGTTGTCCTTTCTGCTTTCGTCCTTTTTACTTACTTTTCAGTGGCGAATGGTTAGTTGACATTTACATAGTTAACAACGGGAGTAGCGGCCAAACTAGAATTGAATTCTTTTAAGTTAAACGAAGAAATCAACAAAGATGATTTGAAGAAAAAACGATCGAAAAAAGTCGAAACGATCGATGCAAAAATAATGAAAAATAAAATAGCATAGATGAATGAATATCTATTGAAATAAGCCACAAAAGAATTGGGATGAAATAAATGAATTGCGAGCCATGAAGGCATGTCCGAGTGGTTGTTGCTTAAACCATCGTTCGCAGGTTTTAGGCATTAAGAAAACTTGACTGGTCACTATCATATTTGTATCGCTAACTCTGACTCCATGGCAAATTTAATCAAAAATTTTTCACCGAATCAACAGCAAGCGAGCAAAATGTAGGAACTGTGAGCTACTTACTTTACTAGCAAAGTCATTTGCATTTGATATCTGATATGATTTCACCACATTTTTAAGTAAAAAATTTACATGTTTATTTAGACTATAAAGCAGAAAAAAGTTCGAAAACGAGAGTTTTTTCAAAAATTTGATGTTTAAATTTATTGTCATGTATTTATCGCTATACAATCGACATGAATGCATAGTTATCTAATGAGGATCTAATTAATAATTATTGCAATCCTATTGTCGTAGCAAATGCACTTCCTAAGAAGAACCTAAGTACCATTCTTTATAGTCGAAATGAATTCCTTTACTATTAAGATGGCACCTTTTCGTTGGAGAGTTAAAGTCAGATCCACATCAGCATTCGGCCTCTCTCTTGAGAGAAACAAGTTTCAAGGGCCAAACTCATTACCGCGTGTGAGTAAAGATTTTCGCGCTTTGTGAACTCTGTTATCTTGACCGCCTTCACTGGAATTAAAAAATCTAAAAAATTCGGATAAACATATATATATATATATATATAAACATATATATACATATATATTTAACGGGAATAAGAGAGTACTTTTTGCTTTGGTTTATAAGGAATATTGAATATTAAATCGCAACTCAGTTTTATTTCGGTGACAACTGAATTTTTCGAAATCAAAATGATAAAGAAAAGACTATTTATTTATTTATTTACTCATTAATTAATTAAAAAACTAGCTAAAAACAAGCATCCATCCATTTGGATTACTATCATGAAATCTGTAATCTAATTATTCAAAAAATATGGTGAATTTGCAAGATTGGACACTTCTTAAAATAAGTCTTTAGAGTCAACAGACCATAATTAGTGAAATTAATGCTATGCTTTGAATTACTTTTGTAGATCGGAAAAAATATGCTTTGAAAATATGTGCTAAAAATGAATTGCTTTTTTTTGACGCATAGAAGCCATAACTCACCAACCATCACCATCGATATGGTTTTATTTCCATAGCGTTGTCCATCTCTAAGCGTGGAATCTATCCCTAAAAATGAAATCTGGTTGATGTTTCGAACTTAGTTTATATCAATTGAATAAATCAATTTAATCAAGTTTTATCGCGTTCTCAGATTCATAGATTTTGGCTCTTTTATTAAGCATTATAAGCATTAAAGAGAACGAATGATATTTCATTATTTTTTTTTTAAAAAGCCCTCACCATAACTAGTTAGACTCATTTCACTGGCTTGTCGCACTAGACAAATATGTAAGGGAGTCCATTGGTAATATTGAAAACACAGGTGAGTAATCAGATTTACAAAATAACAACATTTTTGGATTTCGGATTTACCCCTACGGGGAATAAAACCATCTGCATTCAGAATTGAGTAACAACCCACTAAACCAACCCATTCTACTCCTATTTCATTTTTCAAGTTAATACAACATTAATCTCGTGAAATTTATATATCTTTTTTCTTTGCTTTTTATTTTCATATTTATTTTATTTAAAATATTATCAAACAGTACTTAAGCCATAAGTAGTTAATAAGGAATAAAAAATTAATTTAAAAATTGAGAGAAAAAATTTTGTATAGAGTGAGGATTTTTAAGATTTCTGAATCTTTAAATTTCTTTACAGATTTTTATTTTATTTATTTAAATTTTATTTATTTATTTATTTATTTAAATCAATTTTGAAATTTCTTATCATTATTCCATTACAAATGCAAAGATTTTTTCTTTTTAACGGATGAAATATTTGCAACGTATTTTTGATGGAAATAAAAATGAATTATATTTATTTAACTATTTGTTTGAACAAGGTGATGCTGGCGACTCATCTGCATTTCTATCGCCAACGCATATTTTTCTAGTCCGACAAGCTAACGGAGCCAACAATGATGAATTCTCTTGAAAAAACTATTTGAACACGGTAAATAGCCATCCATACATATATATATATATACTGTGTTATTAGTATTAATAAGAGTAGTGAATTGAAGCGAGCAAATTCTAAATAATATCACAATTATATTAGAGATCAGTCAGTATTTTCTGGCTAGGCTCGTCACATTGGCTATGAGCACAAAGCACAAAACATTTTCGCCAAAGAATCATCTAGAGATAGATACTGTGGATAAGATCACTTGGATTTTTTAATGACAAATTACTCAGGCCAGAAGCAAAGGATGGACTATGATGCTTGAAATTCTAAGTAATACATCACTTGGCTATACTTGGCCTCATCCAATATCATATTGGTATCCTATTTAATTCGATTTTACAGTTAGCCGTAGTTGGCAAAGAAAAAATTTAGATACTTAAGCCTTTTGCTCTAGTCTTTTCACTTCTATAAGTTTTTTGAACGTTAAATTTAATTAAATAAATTAGAAATTTTATTGAAATTATTTGGCAAAAATTAGTAAAAATTAGTAACAATTCTATAGATAACTTTTAGCTTAAAATTTATTATAATAATTTTTATATTTTTCAAATTTTTGCAATTTTTGTTGGAAAAAAAATTTATTCAACCACATTGCTCCTTTGAAACTAATTGCAAATATTGGTTAAAAGCAAATTTATTCATGAATAAATTTAAAAACAAATTTAAAATTTAAAGTAAGAAATTTGCGATAAAAACATGCATAATAGCCATCCAGATAATCTGCTTACGCCTCAGAGATCGACCTTTGCTCAAATATAATAATGCAGAGGATGGCATATTGCTTGCCGAGTTCATTCCGATACCGATACCGATAGAGTACCGATTAAGATTAAATCTGGTGAAAAGGCCATCACAATTTGCAATGTTATGATGAGAGGAAAGGTGTTATTTGAAGTGAAATACAGTGGCGCTGGCCTCATCACGCTGGTATTTCTTTTCCAAGAGACTCTCTAACAAAGTTACTAATATTTCTATAATTAAATGAAGTGTTAGTGAAATAAAATTTTGTTTTGCTGATATTTAAAATGGTGAGTTTACAAAACCATAGAAGTTATTATTTAGTTTGCATTAAAATTCTAATCTAATTATAAAAAAAGTTTTTAGCTCATTATAAGGCTTTAAAAATACTTATGATGACCTTGTCACTAGATTTCTAGGTCACTAAGGCCTTATCACTAGATTTCTGAATCACTGAATCGCCTCATCATTAGATTTCTAGACCACTGATTCTCTTAAAAAGTAATAATAGCTCCATTATAATATAAGTTATTACACAATTTATAAACAGAATATTAGTGAAAATAATTTCGAAGTTTATAAATAGAATAAAACGTAAAAAAGTTTTTAGAAGGAATTATTTATCGAAATATTGAATGGGTTTTAATGCATTTAAAAGTGTGCCTGAGGCCTTTTGCTTCCATCAAATTAAGCGAGCATATTAGTTTTTTTTATAGTTTTTATCAATTTATCTTCGTGCTACATTCATATCTTAATTTTTTTAAAATATTTTCTCTTTATTATAATTTCTTCTTCTGCACAGTTCACAGTTTAGCTGATTATTAGGGAAAGTTTTTTTCGCTAGAGAATCACTTGGGAAGAGAAGTTTCGATAGTATCTAAGCACCACTTGGATTCCATGTTAGGAGGCTTACTCCCATTAAGGAATAGGAATCGAACCTCTAATTGACTGACTTTGAATAAATTCAGAGCAATATATTCAGTTGAGTGGATAATGGCTCAGATTATCGCGCGGAAAGACTATCGTTTTTTTTCCAGCAGGAATAAAAGTGTCATTAAAAAAATCCTGCTATTGCTACTGCTCTAGTTATTAACGAATTGACTCCTTGAAATTTGAATTTTTAGCAATATTAATAGCCAATGAGGCCAGCCTAACCAGAAATAGTAAGGGTTAACCTCTTATTTATTTTGTATCTTATCACACATTTATAATTATAATTATTACAGTTATAATAATTATTATAATTAATTAATAGAATTTGCTATTAATATTTATTAATTAAGTTTTTTTCTATTTATTCATATCAATAATAACTGTGCTTATCAAAATATGTTGAATCTCATTTATGAATTTAAACAAGTTTTACAAGAATAAATTGGGAATGATTCTGACCCAACTTATCAATCTCACAATATTTTGTTTTGACTTTCTCTATTCTTTGTTTTTTGCCCTTAAATTTTATTTTTAAATATTGAAATTAAAATTAAATTGGCCTGAGATTCTTCAGTATATTATTCGCAAGGCCATTCAAGTTAGATCAGATTTTCAATCATGTGATCTTTAGCCAAATTGGCTTATTGATCTACTGGCTAGAATTAAGAAGTAAGCATATTTTTTCCAATTTTTTATTTCTTTATCTATTTGCTCGATTGAATCTAATCCACAATATTCCAATTTGAATTTTTTCTTCACTGGTTTTACTTCATGCAAACAAACATGAATCAGCGAATCAGCGTCAGTTTATTTATTTTAGTTTTTCGAAATTCTTTTTTAGAATTGTATTTTCCGGATATATTCCGAATTTTCCAGATGATACCCTGTATTTCATTTTTTAAAATCATAATGTTTAGTAAACTATTTTGAAAATAATAATTGGAAATCAATATTTAGAAAATGTATAAAACATGTGAATCCAATTAGCTTTAAAATTTTCTTAGTTATCAAATGAAAATATAAAATTGAGTTAATTAATAATTATTAAATAGCTTTAATAAAATAAATTAAGAGGCAAGTTAAATTTTTTTCTGAAAGAAACTAATAAGGTATGGTTTATGGTTAGGAAGAGTGGGAGAGGAGGACGAGGACTTTTCCTATCTTCCAGTCGTTTTAAAATTAGGGTTAAGAAATATCCAAAGAACTAGGAAAATTATAGATTACATGTCAGTTTTGTGGATCTTCATATGGTTTTTAATAAATGATAATTTACGGTTTTCTAGGCGCCCAATTTTCAGTATGGTTCAATTTTCCATGCTACCTTTATATTTGAGTTATTTGAAAAAATGAAATTTTGAAGGGGTTTTATGTGTTTTATTTTTTCCAAACAATTTTATAACATCTGGAAAATTCGGAATATATCCGGAAAATATAAATACAACTCTGAGAAAAGATTTCGAGTCATCTACAGATTTCTGCCTATTCAAAAGCAGAATATAATGTAATATGGAGAATTTCAGTCGGATTGGATTTCATTTTTTCTTTTCATTCAATATATTCATCATCATTTTGTGGATTTATTTCTTCTTTAACGCTTTAATATTATCAGTTGGCTCCATTGTTATGGCTTAACAAGTAGTTACTTACTTGAAATTCACGAAAATTCGTTATAGAACAGTAATTCGTCCAGTTTATCGCACGTGCATTTCTGGGCATCTAAAGGTGTCATAGATTAGTCCTAAATTGTTATCACTGCATCAGTATTGTCTTGATTTATGCTTATCTGCAAGAATTCTACAGAAGTATACAGTTTTCTTCTTTTAATTTTTTAAGTTTGTTTTCTATGTTTAGATTCAATCGTTTTTATTGCTTTTGTTTGATCGATGTTAAGCATCAAAATATACCAAATACACCAAAATACACCAAAAATTAGTGGTTATCTTGGTTCCTCTGCAGTCATATTAGTCGATTCATTTCTGTCATCTCTGTTATTAATTTAATTGTATTAATTTAATTGAGTTTATCCATTTTCTTTGATTTTACGCCATTCATTCCTCGAAAATTACATATTTATTTATTTATTTTTTGCAGTACTTATCTCAGCATCATAAATTTATATTAAGGCAAGGTGTGAGTGCCATGTTGCTTTAAATATCGCCAAATATGCGTTCAATTCCCGTCCCTTGACGAGAATAAAACTACCATTAATAATGAAATCCAGAATGTTCTCGAGATCTATTTGTGCCCTTATCCTCAAATGGCTTTCTAAAGAAAGGAGTCTTAATAATTAATAGAACCAACAAAACTAGAAATGAATACTGCTGGAAGACCAAAAAGGAATTGTGAACAGTCAATTTATAGACATAATCTTCATCAATACGATAATTTTATTGTTCATTATTATATTGTTGTACGAAAACTTCTAACCATTTTATTGATAAAGCAAAGATTATTTATTCTTTAAATTTTGTTATCATAAATCATTTTCGCAAAATTTTGCTATTATTTGAAGTTTTATAAGAAACAAATTAGCGACGGCTTTTACAATTTTTTCCTAAATAATGGTTTATGAAAGCATTGATATTCGCCTATTTATTGATGTTCTTAAAATAATTTTTCACTATTTAGTTATAGTTTAAGTGAATCTTTTGACCTTATAATTCGTTAATTAACTTATTATTTTTATTAATTTTTAAGGATTCTTATGATATGATAGCTGTTTGGTTTTCCTACCAATTCTAAACGGATTCTGTGAAGAATTCAGCTTATAAATAAACTAAAATAAAAAACATTTAGATGCAATCGGATTTCGTCGAACTCTGGTTGAAGGCTGGTTCAGATGATTAGGTGGCGATCCTATATGTCATCAGATTTTTATAGTCCTTACTGAGAAAAGTTTACATCCGAAAAATGGGTTCAAGTTAGTCAATTCGACGGTATATCTAAACAATCGTCTTTTAATAGCTGCTTATAAGAACACATTCGAATTTCATATTTTCAAATATTTATGATATAAACAAATATTTTTTAAAAGAGGCAGGATAGACAAGCTTCAAGTTATCGTGTATCATGTGCACCGTATGGTATACCTCAGTTAAAATTCCGCATGATGGAGATGAACACTAACCACTTATTAAACTCGCACTTATTCGTTCTTAAGTAGTAGTTGTTGGAGATGCTTATTTATTTATTTATTGAAAACCAGCCAAGAGGGCAACAAACACCATGTTCTTTTATTAATAACAACAGTTAAAATAACAAACAATAAGAATTAATTACAAAAAATAGTAAAAAAATAAAATTAACAATTTAAAGATGAAACATAGAGGAAATTACAAAATAATATAATACAGTTACAATTCAGTACAATTCGAAGTAACTATATTATATTAATCGGATGGTAAAAATCGAGATTTCACACTTCTTGCATGATGTGAACTTTTTAAATAATATCATAAATGATATTATCTTTTATTGCTAAATGGTATTATTAACTAAATGGTCTCAAACATTGAAAAAATTTTTTTCATCCATGACAAAAGATCTAAAATGATTTGAAGAATATCCAGAAATCATTATAGAATTAGAAAAAAAATTTCGTTTAATTTTCTATAATGAATAACTCTCTAGATTTAACGCGAAAACAATTAATGAATCGAAACCACCTGATGAATTTGTCAAGATTATCCATATTATCCATATCCATATTTTCATTCTTTGCTGCCGAAAATTACATTGTCCAAAATACCTTGGAATTTTTATTTAAAAATATCTGAAACCTACTCACATGATCGCATCCATCTTCGTTCAAATACCACTTGCATTAATAATCACAGAGCGTCGCTTTCGCTGGTTAGGGGCACGTTCTATATCATCCAGCACAAGAATTGTCGCATATTTCGATATTTGCTAAATTCTGTGATAGGTGGCATCAAAAGTGAGATGGTCCAATCAAGAGATGAACTGATACGGTCAGAAAAGATTATAGAACATATAGGTGGACCAGTAATATATGGATTTAGACGATGAAAAAAGGGGTGGCTTCTATTACTGTCGAAGATGGCATCAGATCGCGCAGCTTGGAAACGTCTTACTCTTGTAAACAGTGATGATGAAAGCTATTAGGAGAAAAAAATGAAGCAACCTAATTATAGTATCTGAAATTAATTTCAAACTAAAAAAATTCGATCAATACGAAATATAATTTCTTAAATAATTAATAAATGATTAATTTTAATATGGTTAATTTTATTTTAATTCGGCCACATATTCGTTTTAAATGTTTGAATTAATAAAGAACTATTTAATATTTGCATAGGCGGGCTTGTGCCACGCTCCAGCTTTGCAACATGGTCCATATGTCACCTGTTCACATCCAGACGAAATTGTCGAATATATCGATACTATGTATCAGTACTATCACTAAAAAGTGATGATTGCAAATCGAATAATGCTGCAAGCAATTTATTTCGTGCTTTCGCTTTTTTTATCAAAAAGATCAATGATGATTCTAAGGTAATTTACGAGATTGCTTCTATCATTATTGTTAAAGGTGTATTTATCGAAGAAATATTTTTTACGGAATAGGATAGCTTCTCCTTTGAACAACATTAACACTTTTAATTTGCTTATCCCCACTGATTATTTCTATTCCTAATCGCTAGAAAGTCTTTTGGAATAAGAACACAGCCGAGTGTCCATCACCACCACTTACATTTCACTTTAAATTTTTTTCATTATTTCATATTTTTCATTCAAATAACCTGTTTTTAGTCGTTCAAGAACGAACTCACGCGGCTGGAAGATTTTTTGGCATCATACAAAACGAGATTCCTCGTGAGCGATAATTTAACTCATGTCGATTAACTCATGATATTTTGCCGAAAATTCATACAATTCGCATCACACCATCAGTCTTAAAGCAGTTCGAGATCTCGAAATCATTCCGGCATATAAGGCTGTATTTAGGTCGAGGTTATTCCACTGAATCATTTAAAAGGAGTTATCCGAGTGGTCAGGTTTTTTTTACAGATTTTTTTTACTCTCATACTTTATCGTTCTTTATCGTTTTTCTCGAGTGAAAAAAATGCTTAAGACAACATTTCTGATCATGGAAGACCATCGTAGTAGCCAGTCTAAATGGAAAACGAAAGAAATTTGTTTGAGGAAATTTCTAGAGAAGAATCTAAACCCTTATGAAGGTGGCGAATGGTACCATCAATTCATATTGCAGGAAATCATTCTTTACTGGGCTGATCGTTCTGAATTTGAATTCACGAATTCGATCACAATTATGCCAACAAAAACCGACCTATAACTATGAAATTCCGAAAGGGCTAAGCAAGACATCTACAGAAAATTTGAGTGATCTCTAATATTCGTATTTTTGCACCATTTCCAAAATTTTATTCCAAAATAATTTGTCATGGGAGAGTAAGACATACGAAGATACTTACTTTCATCCTTCTGGAATGCAATATTTAAGACTAAATAAGATCCTCAATAGTCTCTGCATAACTGATGCCGCACCAGTGGGTATTGTTAATAAGGCGAGCTCAGTAATTAGTCGTGCCACACTCAAATTGTCTTTTCTTTACGATATGTAATTGGTAAAAATATGAGTTATTAATTTTTTATATGTTAATTCTTTTATAAGCGAAAATGCACAATTTTTTTCGGTATTATTAAGCTTTTCATCGCTTACTGAGTTATCTATTTTAATTGCTTCATTAGGACAAATGCTCGTCGAAATGTATTGTGATTGTACTGATTATCGTTCGCCGTTTAAATAATCTTTTCGCCATTTTGCAAGTTTATTTTTCACTTCGAATCTGAATCCACGAATTCCATTGCAATTTCTCTCCAATGTTGCCTTTGATTTTTTTTTCTTGGAAAGATTCGTTGAATTTCAATAGCAGCGAAAAAAATGAATAACGCATGTTTTATCTCACGTTTAGCAACAATAAGAAAAAAATGTGCTTGGTTAACAATGTTTGTCAACTATTCATCAACTTTTGCTCATTGGCAATGTTAAATATTGCGCATTAAATATTAGACTTTTTAATGGATTAACCCAGTTCTTTAACCCAGTCACTTCAATTCCTTCTTCAATCACAACTGATTAGACTGGTTAAGCTGGTTAACTCGCTAGATCTTGTGAATAATATTAATAATTAATAATATTAGCATTCTTGTAAGGGAATATTTCATACATTCTTTTATAAGCGAAGAAGTTATGCCTATCATGCCTTTTCTTCTAAGGGCATCCACCGTTCCTTGATCCGCCAATTTTTCATAAGGTACAAATTTCAGAGAGTCACTTGGAGATAGAAGTACAGCCGAATCGTTAGCCCAGCTTTTGAAAGATAGGTTTATTTGTGTGGCATTGTTAAAAATTTCAGCTTATTAGATCTCGGTAAATTCGATATTAAAGTTATAAGATTTATTGCGCTTTATATTAATATATTTAAATTCCATAAATAAAAATCAGGTGGAAATGAGATATGCAATTGATCTAGCTCGTTCTCATTGTAAATCCCATAGAAGTTGGTGATCTGAAGATGGAAGTTGAAAAAAAATAAAAAAAATATGCCAGCAATTCCTCAATTAATTTTGCTAGTCGCAAAAATCTATGAGAAGCCAAAGTATATTTCATTTGTAGCTGAATAAATACCATGAACTGCTTTTATTCTGAAATTTGCTCTAAAAATTTGAATGTTCTTTTTAAAACCTACAAGGTCAAAATTGAAATTTCCGTGAATAAAAAACACCAAACAATGACATTTATTGAAACTAAAAAATTAAAAATAATGAAAAATGGGAATATTTTAAATGGATGATATTCAAATCAAACAATGAAAAACATATGTTCAAAACAACCTTTAATGATATAAATCATAAATCATTTAATAAATCATTCGACTTGCAAATCAGGATTCAGTTTTGGTGCTAAAATATAGAAAAATACATATATGAAAAATTGACTGATAAGTAAAATTTTATCATCAAACAGAAATATGGGAGGTACAAAGATTTTGCCCTCAAGATAAAGTTATTCAATTAAATATTTCTCGATGCAGCCAATTATTTATAAATTTCTCGCTGTCTAAAAATATAATTACGAATAATTAAATAATTGGTGACAAAACTCTATTTCTACTACATTTTAAAACTTCTAACAATTTTTCATTGTTCGTAAATAAAAATTGTGTATTGTAGCAATAAAAAATTGCCTCACTGCTATTAAAGAAAGTTTTTTTTTTTAAAGCTCTTAAATTCATTTTTATCGAAATTTGAGTATTTCCACAGCATCGTATCATAGATCTTGAATACGCTGATAATCCTTTTTTTTTGACCGTTGTGATGGAATACAACAATGCTAAACAACGTGTTAGCAACTCCAGCGAGAATCGGACTCAGGAGCGATGTAAATAAAACGAAAGTCTTTTCGTATTATATACAAAAAGTTGATTAAATGCCTCTTTTTATGAATTCATTGTCGGATGAGTGCTCGATTAAATACCTTTGATCCACTCCAATACCGAATAGCCAGATAAAGGATGAAATTGAAATAACGACAACTAGGAATATGTTTTTCGGATTGAAACTTTTATGGAACCGTCGCGAAATCTCCATAAAGACAAAAATCCGCGTCCATATAGCTGCAATTCGTTCGATCTTGCTATATGGCTGCGAAACATAACCAATGAGAGTAGAAGATATTAACAAGCTTTTGACAAGTTAGCTTTTGACCACTCATGTTTAAGATATTTTACGGACCCGTCGAGCGGACAAAATCGCACATGATTATATCCATCTTCGCTCAACTACCACCTGTATTTATCACAGAGCGTCGCCTTCGCTGGTTAGGACACGTTCACGTTCTCAGTCGTCTACCGCAGGAGTTGTTGCATTTCTTGCTAAACCGTGTAATGGATGGGGTCAAAAGCGAGGAGGGCCAGTCAAGACCTGGACTGAAACAGTCAGGAAAGATTTTGAATGTATAGGTGAACCAACGATATATGGACTTAGACGGTGGAAAAAAGAATGGCTTCTATTATTAGCAATGGCGTTGGATCGAGCAGCTTGGAGACGTCTTGCAGCCAGTGGAGCCAGCCACCCAATAATGGTGAGAGCTGTTAGAAGAAGAAGATCAAAGTTTGAGCTCGCACATCACATGTGATAAAATATGTAGCGCAGAACTTTGAACAAAATCCCAAGTTTTTCCCAAAAAAAACCACAAAATAGAATTCAATTAGAACTGAGTTTAGAAATATCCATATTCAGTAAACTACTATGCAAAAATGATTTATTTCTTCTTTCAAAGCATTCTGATTTCATCTGATTTCACTTGGGTCGACACGAGTCTCCCTATTTCCCTTCATCCAATAACTGACTAGCCACCTTTCACTCATAATTACCGCGAGATAAACCAAACCTCGGTTGAAGCAGGCAAATATGGATATGGCGACTGCCTTTTAGCGTTATAAATACTAATTTGCAGCCCTTGCTGTTATATTTTCAAGAATTTGTGAGATTGAGTGGTAGTTATAATTGAAACTGCGGAAAAAAATGTCAGCGGACGGATTGGAAAATGGTTCGTCAAATGTTGATTTGCATGTTTTGGATGCAAAGCGATCGAGACACGACTCGCTTGATGTGATCAGTTGTGAGGAGAATAACACAAATAAGGTTTTTTTCTAAAATTTATTTTTTCTCAATTTTCGATTTTCCAAATAAATTTCGGAGGATTTTCCCCGAAATAATTCCGCTGATTGAGCAAACGGGCAAAATTCTTTCCAAGGATTTACTTCAGATTTATTCTCTAATGACGAAGAGAGCTGAACTTATAGTGTGCTGAGCTAAGCAAGTTGGAAATGGTAAGTTTTTCGAACGCTCGCCATATCTCTTCTAATTTTTGAAAAAGCTGGGACCTCGTCCTGGGAAAGCGGTAGTGGGACCATCACTGGCTAGGCTGACTGCGCGGGCTACGACGCTTCCTAGCTGCTCGATCTGATGATAAATCTGACGCCACCGCTGGTAGTAATAAAAGCCACGCCCTTTTCCATCGTCTAAGTCCACATATCGCTCGTCCCACTGTACGTTCAAATTCTTTCCTGGCTGTACCAGTCCAGGTCTTGATTGGCCCCTCTCGCTTTTGACCATCACATGGTTTAGCCATTAACCAAAATGTCAAATTTCAAGTCCTACAGTGAGCAAAAAAGAACGTGCTCTAACTAGCGAAGGTCACGCCGTGGGATGGTATATTAATGTAAAGTGGTAATCGATCAAAGGCGATGGAATCGTTTCTGCTCGGGCGAAGCTGTAAAATCTGTCTTAGATATGGGTGGTCCAACATAGATAACTTCTAAACGTCCTCCACTCTCATTGGCCATGTCTCTCAACCATATGGCAAGATCGAAAGAATCGCGGCTATATGGACACGCACCTTAGATTTATGATGGCATCGCAATGGCTTCATAAAGGTTTCGTCGACCGGAAGAACGCATTTATGACTATCCTTGTTCGGTCTGTAATTCGTCTTTTCGCCTGGCCATTCGGTATTGGAGTGGATCCAAAGTATTTAAAATCAGGCACTCAACTGGCAATGAGTTTATAAAAAGAGGCATTTTATCAACTTTTTGTAAAAAAGGCGAAAAAGCTTTCTTTTTATTTACATTCTCCTGAGTCCGATTCTTGTTCGAGTTGCTGACCCGTTGTTCAGCATTGTTTTTTACTGTCAGCAAAAAGGACTACATCATTAGAATATTCAAGGTGATACTATGCTTTAGATTGATTTGTACATCTCTTGTGTGCAGGCAGACGATGCCCATTATCCAGTTTGAATTTTGTAGGAGAAAGGATGCAGCCTTGACCGATACCAGTTCTTATTTCGAAGGATTCTGTTAGTGCCGTACTGTACCGATGTATGCTTATAAAAATTCTTTATGAATCGAACAGTCTTCTGGAATACGTCACTCTCCAAAGTGCAGTTCTATCAATTGATTCGAAGGCATCTGCAAAGTCGATAAAATATATGACCGTGTATTGCAGGTATTTCAAGCGATGTCCTTTTTAACGTGAATATCTGGTCAGCATCTTATGTCTTGGTCTAAATTCAGCTTGGTTAAGGCGTGTCCTGCTGTGTCTGCCGTAAGTCTATTGAGTAGAAGAGAAGCAAAAATCCCCGAGAATTGTGACATTATGTCCTGTCATTTTTCTTGGGAACTGGGAACAGAATTTTTTTTCTCAAGTCACCTATTATTATTTTCTTCCATGCCAGAGAGTATATACTTTACCACTATGCACCATCTTTTATCACGGATAAAGGTTCGTTAAGCCATATATTAGCAAATCGTTTATGAACCAAAATCGCCCAACAGAAGAGGAAATAATTTCTGTAAAGCCAATAAAACTCTGGAAAAAATGGCTGAATTCTTCAAATGTTGATAATGGAATTTTATTCAAAGGGAGAGGACGAAAAATTTAATGATTTTTTATGCTGATTTATGAATTAAATAATTTAAAATTGTTAACTATGAAATATTTTATGTAAAAACGGTTTTTTCTATAAAATAAAAAATACTAAAAAATTTGGCGATTGGGGGTTTTGCGCAAAATCTTAGCTGTTCCTAGTGCGCTTTTATAGATAGAGATCTCTGATATTGTTACGAAAATGTTTTGCTAATGCCACTTTTATAATTTGCGGTCACAATTCCAACACTTGCTTTTATCACTAGAATTATTTTGATCTTCATTTTCCACATATGTAATTCCTTTTTCAGCCCCTTTTCTCGTTCCTGTCCCTTGATATTGCTATGATTCTTGCATATTTTATAGCCATATTTGATTGATTGATCAGTATTTATTTATAATTATTTATCCGGATTTATTTAATTGTAATTATCTATCTGGATGGAGAAGTCCCACAGTATCTTCGCAGTATTTTCCATGATTTTCTAAGGAATCTCCCATTTAGTCTTGGGAGGATTCAAACCATATATCGAGCAAATGTTTTTATAAATGGTGCCAGCTACTTGGTTATACCTTTCAGTGTTATTCCTGCTTGCATTTTACATCTACCTCTAGTGTTGGATTGTTTCTAGGGCATTTTTCATAGTATGCATCTTGAGTATCAAATGTGGTAAATTCATGCTTCATTGGATCCGGTGCTTAGTAATTACTCTTGTGCTGTAAGATCAGTGCCTTTCCAACCACTGTAGGATTTCTTAGTTGCTCTCAGGTACCTCATCTGTCGATGATACAACGCATGGAGGATTTTGCTTTGCCATATTACTTTATCTGTTTGGTTTTTTTCCAGTGTCTTCAGGTGCTTCAGATGCTTCAGTAGTTTACCTCTTGGTCCATTTTCCACATTCGCCAAGCCCCGCTTGCGTTCTTTCTGGTTGGTATACAATATTTTAAGTGTTAGACTTGGGGTAGGAATTTCCGTGTATTATGAGAAGTTTCCGAATCTTCACATCAACACTCTTCATATTCAACTGTTTTATAAAGCCAGCTGCGTGCTGATGACTGACAAAGACTGACATGACTGATATTTAATGCATGGATTTTGTTCTTCCCATTGAATTGGTTCTTCAAGATTTGTCTTGTCCTTTGGTTATACTTGAATGGTTTCTTGCCTCCTCATCATAGTTGCTATATGAAATACTAAGGTATCCTATGTCCGCTACATGTTCTACTGGTAGGTCCACGCCATCATTCATTACTTCTTTTTCTTTCTTTACTGTCGCCCTGCCATATTTCTCTAATTTGAATGGCATTCCAATGTCCTCGCTGTAGATTTGCTTTAGATGGATGAGAGAATCACTGTCTCGTTCACTTTAGCATATATTATTAGAAATTATTATAAATGTATATATTATAATATGTATATATTGGATGGCGACCCACCTGTACTTCATCACCAAGGGACTCCCTGGTACATTTGTCTTGCGGTAAGCCGGAGGAGCGAGTCTAATCAGTATTGGTGAGTTCTCGTAAAAAATTATATATATATATATATATAATGGATTTTAAAAAAACACCGAAGTTGTCGAAATTTTGAATCAATGGTCCATAAGAGCCAAATAAATTTTTCAGGTTGATTATATCTATAAATCACTTCGCTATCGAGAATTAATTAAACGGATTTTTGGAAATGATCAAATGCTTTTGTTTGAAGGATTACTAGAATCAGCAGCTTTGGATATTTTTGAAGGTAAATGCAAATTTTCATTTTTCATTCAAGTCATTTAAGTCCTTAAGATTAAAATTAAATTTCGGAATTAATTTTAGAATTAAAAATGTTCTTAAATTTAAAAGGAAAACTTTGAAATTTTTTAATCTTTGGTGTTTTAATCTTTGTTTTTTAATCTTTGTTTTCATTTATTTTTTTGGATGGATTATCGGCTTTAATACATGACATAATTGTTCGAATTATATATGCTCTCAAGCAGCCAAGGTTATTTTATTTTAGAATTTTAAATCTATCAGTTTTTTATTAATTTTTAATATGAGTAAATTTTTAAAATAACTTTATTCCCTATAGATAATCTTATTTACAAATCGCATAAAATAGCTATTGCAGAAATGAAGAGACAAATGATAACACAGAATTATTTTGGAGCCTAAAAACAGGTGAAAGTCTCCTACTGTATTTTATCAAGTTGGTTTCAAGGATATGGAAAGAAAATGATAATCAGGTTTTTTTTTAAATTTTTCAAATTTTTTTGCTTAGTGGGCAGTACATATTTGTCAATATAATATGATAGCTACATTATATCGAAGCTGGTTTGCATAATAATTGTCAGATTTTTATAATCTCTGTGGTTGAATTTATCTGTTTATAGCAAATATATAAACAAATACTGAAAACTTATTGAGGCCTTTTTTTAGTTTTTGCTCGATTATGAACGTACTTCTCTACCGATCATCAAAACTTGTGTATTAACTCAATTTACCTTAGTTTTACGCGGCATATACGAGAGGTTAATTTTTTCACATGTAATCTATATTTATTATTGATTTTGAGAGGTACTCCAACTGTTCATTTCGAAAGCATTTTTGTTTTTTTTCGCTTATTTTGGTTATTTGTAGAATTTTTTTAGTAAATAGAATATATCAAATATCGATGAATTAGTTAATCACATTGACTGATTTTCATCATTTTATAGCAATTAAAAATATCTTTTTATCTATTTTTTGATTTTTTTTGTTTGTCCATTTTTCACTTTTAGGTTACCAGCTAATGAAATTGGTCTTGTTTTCTTACGCTTGATAGGTACTTTTTCAGTCTCAGATACATTTTTAACCGAGTTCTTGGAGCATATTTCGGATTCAAATGAAATAATAGCTGAAGTAAATTTTTTCTGTATAATCTTAGGTTTTGAAACATAAAATTCTCGTTTTTTTTACATATCCAATCAAATATATCTTCATACAAATAGTATAATGATTCCACATAACTGAATTTAATTCCAAAATTCCAAAATCTCATCTTTATAGCGTTTTTTTGCTATATATGTTATCTGATGTAGATTTTTAAAAAAGCGCTGCAAAATACGAGGTCATTGATGTTAACACAGAAATTTTGGAAATGTCACTCTGCTAATGAAATTCCTGTTTCTTATTATATTTTGAAAAGGCTTTTATCTATAAAATTGTCTTCTGGTAAGCGACCGATTGCTGATTTGGTATGTTTTAATTAATTTTAATTTTTAAATGATCAGCAACTTTCTTTTCTTCATTTTTTGTCTTTTTTTGATATTTCTGGTATTAATAGTTATCAGTAATAGTATATAAGCATTTTCTTATTTTTTATTTCGCAAATTCAGTTGGTCACAACTATGATCGATGAATTTTTGCCATCCTGTCGAACCACATTTTGTGGCCGTGAATTCTCGAGACTTTCTTATCTTGGGCCATTTTTCGAATACAACACTGCCCCTTGTTCTCCGTGTCGAATAGATCATGTAAGCTTATTTTTATTTTCAGTGATTTCACATTTACTCTTTTTTCAAAATTGTTGAACATATTGTGGTACTGGTAATCTTTCTAAGAATTTAATTTTTATTGTTTTTTTCAGTTCGATATATTTATTCCATATTTTTCTTGTGATACTTTGCCATCTCGTAGGGAAAGGGAGCTGCTATATCTGCCATATCGTGAAAAATTAATTATAGTTGGAGTAAGTTTTTGAATATTTGGTATAATTTTATAAAAGAATTCGTTTTGGTACTAACTCAATGTCACGCAGTATTCTTTATGTATTACAGCAAGTTATTTTTTATCATAACATTCAACATTTTTCCTCAGTTGCCTTATTTATATAAATGAAATGAATGGTATATCCTTGTAGAATAGAGCGTCAGGCTTCAAATGTAGATGAAAGACAAGTATTCCGTCATTTTTACGCCATCAGCTATAACTTTCTGCTTTTTTACATTTTCATATAGTTTCGTTCCTTCACAGATGGCTTTATGGCCTTTTAAAATATGTTTTATGACCGATTTGATTTTTTATGACCGATGAAGGCTACTATAGTTTTCGCTTTTCTCTCGGGCAATTAACCATTTGCAGTCATAAATGGAAAATTGGCTTGCTATTAAATCGGCTGGAATTAGAAAAGTCCATTGATTTTTCTAAAATTCGGATAACACGAATTCAAAAAGTCGGTCGCAGAAGAGTTTCCGAGTAAAATACACCATTGTACATAGTGCAGTTCCTTGATTATTTAGAAGAAAATATTCATTGTTAGCTTGGTAGAAAGAAGACATATTCATGAACGTTCATGAAATAGCTACTCGCTTTAGAAAAAACTTAAAATTTAGCGAAAACAATTCCTTTAATCTTCCAATATAATGTTAATCCAGTTTAGAATGACGCTTTAAATTCTTTAACCATAAAAATGCATAATATTAATATTGCACTCCGTGTATATGGAAGAAATTACATGAAGTCATCTTGTTCAATGAGCGTAATTGCTTGTTGATATCTGAGTGACATCTGAATGGAACACGAAAGGATAAATTAATTTCTTTCATATATATGTTATACATGAAGTTAGAATCACATTGGTTAAATTTACACATTGGAATACTTTGGAACACGAAAGGATAAATTAATTTCTTTCATATACATGTTATTCATATACATGAGGTTAGAATTACATTGGTTAAATTTACACTTTTTTTGTGTCTCCTTATTTTTTTCATTTTATTTTTTATTTCAGAAAGAATTGCAACAGATAATGCATGTTTTACTGGTCAATGCTGCGAGTCGCACCAAAACCGTTGATTTCATCGCTCGAATATTGAAGGAAAACAGTAACAGACGACAGATGCATGTATATTTACATTTACATTTTTTTCTTTTGTATTTAAAGTAATAACTATGCAGCTATCTTCATGAATTAATTAATAAATTGTCATTAATGAATTACCCATTTTTTAACTGCTTTTTTCAGCGCGAGGCGCAAAAATCCGCTTCTGATGGCTTTATGCTAAATTTTCTTAATGTAATGTATGGATTATCAGAAAAAATAACACTGGATAAAGTAAGTTTTTCGGATCAGTCTTTAAATTTTTGCGTCGTTTTACTTTGTTATCTGGAATTACATTTCGCTGCCCAGATAAACCGCAGAAAAAAATATTTTTTCTAATATGTGTTCTACGAGTGCTTGATATTGTAGTTCACGACGAATTTGAATAAAACTCTTGCTTATTATATTTTCTTGGGGAAATTTTTGATTTCAATTTTCAGATCCAAATAAAGTTATTAGATGAATAAATTTTCGAAGTATTCAATGAAGATTTATCTTTTAGTCGAAATTATGAAATTTTGAATATGGTTATAAAAGATGTGGTTATTTATTATATTTGCAAATACTTTAGAAAAATTTGAATTTGAATAATTTTTAATTTTTTTAAGGTTAATCCGCTTTATATTTTTCATCCAAATTGCAAGGTTGATTTGCGCAATGAAACTCGAATGCAGTTCAGTGAAGAAGAATTGAATCAGTTTGCATCTTCCTTAGGCAAGTTGCTTTCTTTTCCGTTTTTCTTTTTTTTATAACAAAAATAAGAATCAAATTCGTTATATTATCGTAATTATCCTTCAGCGTGTACCTCAAGCTTGAGTAATTAAACCTTTACTTATATAACAGTATAACAACAATAAAAATAATTAACGATATATTGTTACAATTTTACCAAATAAAAAAGTGGTAGTCATTATTACATAAATTACAAAATAAAACCATAAAATCATTAAACTACCCATCCCCTCCACTTATCTACGACTGTCGAAAAAAGAATTACTCTTGCTACCGTGAATTGAAATATTTATTTAAAAAAAGTACTGTTTACTATGATAAATGAAAAATAATTATTTAATAGGTTTCTGACCAAAGAAAAGAAATATTAGGTGGTGGAATATGGGGTTCATATTGTAACGAAATAAAAGCGAAAGGCGAATAGTTAATCATAAAAAAGGATGAAGCAAGGCGAAGGCGATTCTTGGTATTGCCAATCCAACACTGACCGGTTCTCCATTGCCAATCTGGGTGGTTTCTCCAAAACATTGGTAGATCAAAATTACATAGAAATTAATTTATTTTTCATTCAAAAGAAAATTTTTCTCATGGTTTTCTTTTTTTTGATATGCAAATAAGATGGCTTTGCATAGTAGCTAACAGATGCGTGAACAGAAGAAGAAGAAAAAAATCTTGTGCGATTTGCATATTGTTGACTGCTTATGATGTGGAAAGCTTTGTATCAAGATCTTTTTAATTTTTTTTTTGAATTTTAAAAAGCTTTGTAAATTTTACCGTATTACTATTATTTTATTTTATTTTATTCCTTTCCTTCGGTTGTTTCCGACAACGACTACCATTTGAACAATAAATTACGTCCCAAAGAAGAATCGATACAAAATCGATATTGCGGCCGCAACCACGCCTTTGTTGGTCCCCAATCGATTCTACTCATTTTTGAGCACATTTTTACAATTTTCAATTGGATAATACTTGAATTAAATTTATGATGCAATTTAACTACGATTTATCGATTTCGTATTTTTCAGAGAAATCTTTTGAAATTAATTTTTCAACGGAATGTTTTTTTATGACAATTCAAGCAATGCATGTAACGTTGTCAGCTGTGACGGACAATCTAAAAACATATAGCATGAAGCTGAAAGGGTTGAACGATGAAAAAGAAGCTTTAATAAGAAAATATGAACGTGAAGTGCAGCACGCAGGTTCACCTGAAGGCTTTTTTCATCGTGCTCGTTTAGATCGTATAGACGAATCAATCAAGGTAAATTTATGTATCATTTTTGCCATTTTTACCTTCAGCTTTTTTTTCTATAAAATACTTCGAACTTAAGCAGACGCGATTTGATATTCAATTTAAAATTCGGTATTATAATCATTGATAATTTTTTTTCTAAAAAGTTTCTAGCTGTTATTTAATTTATCTTTCAATGCATTTAATCTATTAATTCTCGTTTATTTTCAGAAAGTTATAAGAGCCTTATTATGTACAGAAACAGCTATGAATATGCCAAGTTTTATGGGACGTTCGCTTCGTTTTTCTTTTCTCTCACTTGTTTTTGTTGCTAATATCATAAATGCAAATTAGTAAGTTTATTTTTCTTTCAAAAAATTTTTTGAAGCAAAAAGTAACTTTATGGAAAATAATTTTATTAAATTTTCGTCCATTTATATTATTATATTATTATTCCAGATCATTTATATTATTATTCCAGATTTTTTAAAATTAAAATAAATTAAAAAAATAAAAGTAAATTTGGAAAGTATGATAAAGGTTTTAGGATAATCGATAATCGATATAGGATAATCGGATCAAAAACAAAAAAATCTTTGACTTTATCAAAATTTTGGCAAAAAAATTTTTATTGGGAATATTTTGGTCAACAAATATGAGAATTTTAACTTTATATTGTTGATAAGTTTAAATATTTTAACAGTTTAATTTCAGAATTTTACTTCTTTTTATTAACTTTTCATTAACTTTATAGTTTACAAGATGGAATTCTTCCAAACGAAGCACCTAAACTTTTTTGCGCCATGCCAGAATTTTATCTAGAAAATTGTTTCAACTTTTTATATTATGCATTACGGTAAATTTTTTGACCAAGTTGCTTCAATGAAAGCAATCTAAAATTTTAAAATTTTTTTATTTCTTAAAGTATTTCATTTGTTTCTAAGATTTCATTTTTAACGCTATATTTTTAACCTCAGTTTGCTTATTAAACTTACCGGTATTCAAGTATTTGTGGTGCTGTAATTAAACTTTTCCCACTAAAGTAATAGGAAAGGTTAAAAAGTTAATAAAAACGGCTATTCATCAAATTAAATTATAGAAATTGCGAAACAGCTTTCTTTGAAAATCTCAACATGGACCTTGCACATTATATTATTCTTTTTATCAGCGGAATTCGTTATTTAAAAAATCCATTTTTAGCTTCAAAGGTTCTATTTTTATTTTTTTAGAGATTTATTGTATTTAAAAATTTCCTCAGTTTTTTAAATTTTCAATGAAAATATTTTCATTTTAAATAAAATTCTGCACTTCTATATTGAAAATTTTTAAGGGAATATTGAAATGAAAAATATTTATTTTAATTGAATTATAAAACTCTTACAGATAATTGACTTCTTATTTCTGCTTTGTCCATCAGTGACAAATAGTGCCTATCATTTTAGTCAACATTTGCTGGGTATACCTTTGGCAGCTGAGCGATTGTTTCCGAGCTTGATTAAATTTTATTCTGGTGGGTAATTTTATAGAATCACTCATTTGTTTAACACATCTCAGAAATCCATGCAAGAAATTTTGAAAAGAAACATCAGTTTTTTGTATTTTTGAAATTGTAGATTGTGAATCGACCGGTGCTACTTCTGAATTTTACGATAAGTTTCATATTCGACATACTATACAGACAATATTTAGAACCATGTGGGATCATACGACCCACATGAGTTATATAATATCATATGCTAGGTAATCTCTTTATTTTCAGATTTATTTTGCATCTGTAAATTAGATTTCCAAATTTTTTGTTTAGGTAAAATTTTTCACTACTGATATCTTTGAAGCTATTCTGGAAGATTTAGGTGGAAAATTTATAGAAGATTTACTTGAAAATTTCTCTAATTTTTTAATTAATTTCTGAATTTTTTTGAGTAATTTTTGGTACAATCTATTTGAATAATTTAATAAAATTTATAAAAATTTATCTATTAAAATTTAAGACTTTAAAACTTTTTTTTTTGAGAAATTTTGAGAAATTGCTAAGAAATTTTTATTTTAAACATTTTCAGAGAATGTTCTCCAGATTTCGTAAGATTCATCAATATGGTAATTAATGACGCGACTTATCTTTTGGATGAATCTTTGCTTGCACTAAAACTTATCCATCTGATTGAATCAGAGATGGAATCAGACAGCTTTAATCAGCTAACCATCGAGCTTCGTCAAGCGAAAAGATTGCGATTAGCTGAAGCGCAGCGAGGTGTTAAATCTTGGTTACCTCTTGCTGGAAGCACACTTGACCTCTTTGTTTACCTCACTGCAGCTGCACGTGAACCATTTTTTCAACCAGTTAGTTTTGAATATTTAAGATTCGGAAGCTTTTTTTCATTTAAATATCTGTTTAATAGCTGTAGGAAACTGATCTTAAATTATAAAAAAAATATTTTGGATAATTTGCTTTTGAAATATTCTATATGAGTTAGCACATCTAGCATTTTTATATGCATTTTTTTTTAGTTATTAGGCGAGCGTCTTGCATCGATGTTGGATTATAACATTCAGCAGTTATGTGGCCCCAGATGTACCGAGTTAAAAGTACGCGATGCTGTAGCACGGTTTTCTTGGGAACCACGAACACTGTTACAACAGATTGTGCAAATCTACCTCAACTTGTCTTTCACAAAATTTGCAGAATATATTGCTAGCGATGAGGTTTTCTTTTGATCCGAAGTCTTTTGATTTGCATTTGTATATTTTTTTATTCGTAATGTTGCCACTGCTGTTGAAATCTTTAAGAATTGTTCAAAAATCAGAAAAGAAATACATTTTATTTATAAACATATTTTAGAGAAGCTATTTTAAAAACGGAATTTGCTCTACTTTTTTGTAATATTTAATGGATCCATTCATTCTAGCGATCATATACGCCTGAATTATTCAAAATGTTGATTTCTCGATTAAGCGTTAACAATATTGTTCCAACAAATCAAATTGAGCTATTGAAAAACCTAGCAGATTCAGCTGAATTTATATGGAAGAAAAATTTACAAATGGATGAAGATTTTGATGATATGCCCGATGAATTTAGAGGTTATCTTCGCTTTAAAAAATAAATTTTTTATGAATTGGAAAAAATGAGTTGCAGATTTTTTCAAAGATTATTAATTAGCAAATGCGAAAGAAAATTAACGATATTGCCCAAGGTCTTTCTCGATATTTTAATATTATTTATTTATGAAATACTAGAAAAAACTAAAGATAAAAAAAATAAGATTTACTTAAAAAATAATGACAAATGCATTTTGATTTATATTTATACAGATCCTGTCATGAATACACCAATGATGGATCCTGTAACTTTACCATCTGGACACACCATGGATCGCAAGCATATTTTGCGCCATTTGTTAAGTAGCAAAACTGATCCTTTCACTAGGCAGCCGCTGAGTGAAGAACAACTTGTTCCTAGTTAGTTTTCACATTTCTTTTCACATTTTCACATTTTTTTTTCACTTTAGATTTTTATTGTTTTATAAATGCTTTAGCGGATTATTTTTTAATTATTTTTGTTAAACACTAATTATAGATGAGGATTTACAATTGAAAATTCGCGCATGGATTCAGGCGAAAATGTCGCATAGAAAGTAACCGCATCGAACAGATAACTTTTGGTTTTATCTGTCATATATATAATTTAAATCAAATTTGTGAATTTGTTTGTTTTAAATTTAATTCACTGATACTGATAATTATTAATGTTTTAAATATTTTATTTCATATTTCGGTGAAAAATTTTGTTTGTGCTTATAGTTGGATAGGTTACATGAAAAAAATGACAAATTAGGAATTGTATATTTATATATTTCTTATAAATTTATTATATTTTATCATATGTAGGAAATTTTTTCTTTTGGGATTTTATAAAATTGTTAAAGAAATATTAATTCTAATTTATAATTTTTTGCTTTAAAAATTTTTGAGCGTGGAAGATAGAAGATTTTTTAAAATTTTATGAAAATTTCCTTTAGAACGGCAGGATTTCAGTAATAAAGAAGACATCCATATATTCTTGAAAATTATGTTAGCACATAGATTAATTTTAGTATTGCGATCCGTAACGATTTTTTTTCTAGGTGTTCAAAAAATAGAAAATTTTCACAGAATTAGTACTTATTTTTCTGTTGCTTTTGAAATAAAACTTGTTAAAACTGTGTTTAAATAAAATTTTTAAAAATAAAACTTCTAATAAAACTTTTGACATAAATTTCATTGATGTATTTTGTAACTTGTCGAGTGCAATCGATTTCACTTACTTATCAAAATTTTGGCTGAAATTCTGATATAATTTCAGCTTATCGTTTAGACTTTAATTATATTAATATTGCAAAGGGGCTGTATTAGAAGTGAATAAAGTAAGTTGCATAATTTAGTTATAGGAAGCATATTGAATGGTAAAATGAGCCAATGATTTGCCGAAATATTTTTATCTTTGGTGGAGTACGGCGGGTCGGGTTTTTTTTCTGTCCGCGACTAGAGTTTATAAAATTGGAAATCGACAATTATTCAATGAGTTATATGAAAAATAAGAATTGGCTTAGTAAGAGAGTTTTTTAACATATCGTGGCTTATTTTCTTATTCGACGTTTTCATTTATTCATTGTTTTTAGTTGTTGGATAAATACTCTCGGTTATTTCATTATAGAAAAAAATGATCAGCTTAGTTTCGAAGTTTGTGAAGGTTTGTTGATAAATTTGTGCTCTTGTCTGATGATTTTTTGTAGAATCGCTCAACATTTTTTTTTCAATGAAAAAAAAATAAATTAACATTAATTAACAAACACTGGCAAACTATTTTATTAATCTATTAAATTAGCCTAAAGTTCTAAAAATTATAGGCAGATATTTGAAAGGTTTTTTTAGTCCGCAGGTTATCTTTTTGGTTTTTGATAATTTTCTGCTATCTTTGGGCCACTTCGATATAATCAAAAAACTATTCAGCCACATTCAACGACGGCGCTTCCTTTGCGTTTCGTTAATTCTGAAGCTTCGTTCCAAACTAAACCATATAAACTGCATCGTCTCGACTCTGGTCCATCCGTTGATGTCGTCCTTAAGAGAGAAGATGCCTTAGAGTATTATAGACTTATGCAGGTATTCGTCTTTAATGTAATTATTAGGTAAAATATGTGAATTTTTTTTTGATTTCATAATTTTTATTTTTTTCATATTCCATTCGTTAATTTTTAGACTATCCGAAGAATGGAAACTGCTGCGGGTAACCTGTTTAAAGAACAGAAAGTTCGTGGATTTTGTCATCTTTACGTTGGCCAGGTGCTCTTTTCTTTACTACCTACCATATTTTCGCGCTTTTTTAGAAGTCCCAATTTGAAACTTCAGGAAGCGTGCGCTGTTGGCATTAAAGCTTCGATGTCTCCAAATGATGCAATTATTACTTCTTATCGTTGTCACAGTTGGACTTTTTTAATGGGGGCAACTGTTGCTGAAGTTCTGTCTGAGCTCACTGGTAATTTACTTTTCCATTATGTAACGATTTATCTCAATGAATCATTTCATTGAAGGACGAATAAGCGGAAATTCGCGTGGAAAAGGCGGTTCGATGCACATGTACGGTAAAAATTATTACGGTGGTAATGGAATAGTTGGTGCTCAGCAACCGCTTGGGACTGGCATTGGTTTTGCGATGAAATATCGTAAACAAAAAAACGTATCTTTGACTATTTACGGTGATGGAGCTGCAAACCAAGGACAATTCTTTGAATGTTCCTTTTTTTACTTTGCTTTATAATATTTACCTTATAAACAGTTGTTCGTGGGCTTATTTATCTTAATATTTTCGTTTTAACCGATTAAATTGGTTTTTGGACCATGAAATGGAAGTTTTTTTTTTATAGATGGATATTTTATATCAAAAAAATTTCAGCAACAAATATGGCGAAACTTTGGAATTTGCCGGTTATTTATATATGTGAAAATAATGGTTATGGGATGGGAACGTCAGCTGATCGTTCTTCTGCTTCAGTGGATTATTATTCTCGTGGAGATTACGTTCCTGGAGTTTGGGTAATTTCATCAACTCCATCATTTTTCTATGTTTAAAATCCCTTTTTCCCATTTATTATTACTATCAGCAATTTCTAAAATTTCTAATATTAGGTCGATGGTATGGATATTCTTGCTGTAAGGGAATGCATCCGATGGGCAAAAGAATACTGCAATGCTGATAAAGGGCCACTTGTTCTTGAAATGGCCACTTATCGATATTCAGGACACTCCATGTCGGATCCTGGAACTAGGTTCGAGTCCTAATTAAATTATGTGGGTATATCATATTCAGTATGTGTTTTTGCAAAGTGTACTATTTTAATTATAAGATTGCCAATATATGAGACGCATTAAATCAAAATGCCAAAATGAATGGAAGTCACATAAAAAGTGAAGATAATTCATTATCCATCAATTTGAGAAGCAAATTTTTTGTAGAAACCAGAGTTCAGTTAATTTTAGTTATCGCTCTCGGGATGAAATACAAGAAGTTCGCAAAACAAGAGACCCTATTTCTGGATTAAAAGATAAGTTAATAACATCTGAATTGGCTACGGAAAGTGAATTAAAGGAAATAGATCAAAAAGCTAGAAAAGAAGTATTCCTCACTTTTCTTTATTTTTTATTTTTCATTCATTATAATCTATTAGTCATCTATTAGAAATAACAAATACCATCAATGCCAAATTAAGAATACCAATGCTATTGATATTCTTATATTACCTGGAAATATTGCGTGCCTTTCCAGGTGGATGAAGCAGTGGCGATTGCCCTAAATGAACCACATCCTCCTCCAGAAGTACTGTTTGCTGATGTATATCACAATAATCCGCCTGAACTTGTTCGCGGAATTACTTTTGATGATACAGTTGTTCAACCTTTCGCAACAACTTCTGATTTATTGAAAGCGTTTGGCAAAAAATGATCTTCCCTTTACATTTTTTTTAATCGTCAGTTAAGCGATCAAACATTTTATTTGCCATATTGCATTCATTTTTTTTCATCTGCTACAAACTAGAAGAGACAAGCCAATTTAATGCCAATCGTTTTTTTGCATATTTTTTTCATTAGGAATCATCTATTTAATAATTTAAATTAGATGAAAGATTAAACTGAAAAATAAAATACTGCAACAAAATCATGATAATTCAAAATGCAAATTATATTCCTGGTCGATTCCAAGGTAACTGTCTGAAGCGAAAACAACTGTAAGAATGCAGCGACCTCTATAATTTATAATTTATCTTAATTTTATCTTCTTAAAACTTTGAAATTATAATCTAAATTACCAATCATTCCAAAATGAGGTACTGAAATGTATTACCTTTTCTGTGGCATATTTAATTCCAATCGTATTTCCTTTCTTTTCGAAAACCATGGGATTTTCCGACATAGAATTAATTCGTCCGAATCTTTTTCACCAATTAAAATCAACCAACCGGCTGTTTTTTCTTTCGGAAATTTCGTAGAATATGCTAAAGCCTGGAAATTTTGCCTGCCTAAAAAAATAGCCTTTTCTTTCCAGTCTTGCTGTATTTAAAAAATTAAAAACTTTAAAATGTGATAAAAAGAATGTAATACTTTGCATGGGTGAATAGCGTATAAGATGAATGAAAGACGATACAATTTGCCGCCTGCAGTTTTGATGTATTTAGGCGTTCTTTCATCTTGATTAATATTCAGTTTCAACTTTTTTGAATCGTCAAACAATGTACAGGAATTTATTTGTACTACTGGCCAATGGAGTAGCGCTTCCGCCGTCTGTATCAATGATTTTAAAATAATTTTGGAAAAAGCGAAAGTTTTCTAACACTTAAAATCCAAGGAAAAGCAAATAAAGAATCGAAATGAGGAAAAACTGGAATCGGATGATTATGGTATCCACCGTAAACAAGAAATAACGATAAACGTACTTCGATTGCTCGTCGCTCATCCAAAATCGTAGCATCCAAAATCAATTTTTGTACCACCTCTCGAATTTTGTCAACGTTATCAGACGAATCAATAGAATCGATACATAATTTATGTTGTAACATAGGAATAGTCTGATCAAATCTGAAAATTTCAATCTTTAGTTCAATCTTTTGCCACTTTTTTAATTTATGTAAAATTTAAGAAACCATGAGACGAATAAGATTAATCCTTTTAGAGATCAAGTTGGAAAATATCAAAAGTATAAATATAAAAGCAATGATGAAAACAGTAATTACGCTGGATAATCAACTAGATTAGTATCGAAGTGAGGGAGAACTAAAAGTGGATGATCGTGGTACCAACGTGCTTGAACAACCATTTGTATAAATATGACAATATTAACTGACGCAGAGAACCAACTATATAGAACGGCAATATCAAGCATGGCCTGAAAATATAATCAAATAGTCAATACACCAAGAAAAAAGAAACTGCTTAAATCTTTTAAAATATAAAAAAAAATTAAATTTGCTCAAGGGAATTTATTTAAAATTATTTTATTAATTCAAATCTATTTAGGAATCTATTTTATAAAAGTAATATTGGGATTTTGCTACTAAGTTTCCACTATTTTTATGAAGTTATAAGAAAAACAAGCGATTTTCCTGAAGCATCCGAATGCATTGTTCCACAACTGATCTCTGATCTGTCATATAATCAGTTTGCAATTTTAACCGAGAAAAATAGGCTTGGAAAAGAAAATGAGTTTTCGTATGTGGTGAATCCATCTGTGCTTCTTCTCCAAGCTTTATAGGCAAAAAACGTTGTAGTTCACTGGAAATAAATCAAACGAAAATGAAGATCCCCTTACTAATAAGCTCGATAAATAAATGTGATAAACATAACAAATGTATTAAAAGACACATACGAATTAACTTTATCCTCATTATGTCGAACTGGGACTTCTTCATATTCTGGGTTGTTCTGAAAACGAAACATATGAAACGTGGCTCCAACAAATATAGAAACAAGAGTTTAGTTGTAGTTTTTGTATTGAAAATATTTCAGCTAAAAATTTACGAAAATATACAATTAAATAAAGCTATGTCAAAGATCTATGCTCTTGGCGTATTGCATCAATGGTTTAAGACATTAAGTAGTGACACAGGATTTGAATTACCGATAAAATTTTTAGAAGATCCTCTATAGTTGAATGAGAATTCATAATGCTTTTGAAAAAATAAACAGTTTTATGTTGTAAATAGTAAACACTAGCTATTCGACCCAGTGGTGTTGACAATAACTTATCGTCTTCCTGAATATCTGATTTACTTCAAATCAGTTGAAAATTTAAAATTAAAATTAAAGTTGGTTAAAATTTTAATGTTAAAATTTTGAAACAAATCCAAGTCCTAACAAGTCCTAACATCAATTTATAAGAGGAGATATAAGAGAAGTATTTATAAAAACTAAGAAAAAATTGGAAATCGGCTAGCATTAGCCATAAAATTACCAAATCAAAAAAAATATATTAATTAATAGAATTCTTGATTAACTGGGTTAAAAAAAAATAAATGACAAAAACAATTTGAAACTCTTGCAAAACAGTTGAAACAATGAATTAATTTTCGAACAATAAATAAATTTTATACCTCGTTTATGTATATACACTGTGACTGAATCAGTTGTTCAATCGTCTGATCAACAAGATCGATAAGAAATCGAGAAAGGGCCTCTGGTGATGTATCTTCAATAGCATAGTAACTGTAAACTTTGACAAAATAAGTAAACAAGCGAAAATAAAAATGACAAAGGAAGATTAAAATAAGCGAGCCAAAAATCTAGAAAAAAGGAATTTTCCAAATGAAGAAAGGTTTTCTAATCAGATTAAATGTGACCATTACTAAGATCATTAAATTACATAAATACCTTGGGTTAGCAAAAAATCGCCTGTAAAGATATGTGCAAGAAATATATTCTATTAATTGCTGCTTTGTAGTAATAGTTCCTGCATTTATTTCAGCATTCACATGGTTTGGCAAAACTTGCAATAAACTGCAATTAATAACTGAATTAAAAGTATACATTATAATTCTTTTAAACTACCCTAACAAAATACACTGAAATAAATAAAACATTGCAAAAATGAATACCTAGATTCTACAGGGAAAGATTCGTATAAAAATCGCTTATAAAATGCTTTCTTTACATCTTGTACATAAATTAACGCCACAGCAGAATCATCGAACTGAGGCCGACCGGCACGGCCAATCATTTGTAGTACATCTGAAAGAACCTTCAATAAGATCACATTGTTGAACGATAAAATTACAAATTATTCCATGAAAAACAAAAAAATGAAAAAAAGAAGTATAAATAAACCTGTTACAGGAAAATCAATATATCTTTGAGTTTTTCCGTCATAATATTCTGTTCCTTTGATGATAACCAAATGAGCAGGCATATTTATCCCCCATGCAAGTGTAGCAGTAGCAACCAAAATTTGAATTTTTTTATTCGTGAAGAGCTTCAAATATAAAAATTTTGAAAGAAAGGCGAAAACATATTTATAAGAAATTGTATAATTTTTAAAATTTTTTTCAAATTTTATTAGTAGTAATTGAGTTGTAAATTATAAGTTATAACTGTCATTAAAAAAAGTAAAGTAAAATAAAGTAATATAAAGTTATTATATATAAAATAAAGTTATTTAGTCATATAAAATATAGACATTAAAAAATAAAAAGATTTAAAAACCTTTTCAACAATATTCCGTTCAAATTGTTGTAAGCCAGCATGATGAATTCCAATGCCAAAAGGTAAAGTTAATTTCAAATTTTCATCTTTCAGCATTGATAATATTCCTTCAAGCTAAAAATAAAATTGGCCAAACGAAGATGCAATAAATCGAAGTTACAATCGATTTTGTAAATTAACATAGCTCATAGACAAAGAAAACTACCTCTTCCACATCTATGTGTAGCCATTGACGAGGATCCTCATCAGTAACCAATTCCGATACTAATGCCAAAGCTGTTAATCGAGTTTGCCGCCGAGATGATACGAATATCAACACTGGTTTGAGAGGAGAATATGTTTTTATAGCTAAAATTCGTAGTTACAAATTCATTTGTAGCTAGAATTACCAGAAAATATAAATCTAATATTTCTTAAAAAGAAAAAAGGAAAATAACCTTTGAAAGCTGGCTTATTCATAAGGGCCATTCGTGGGCAATAGTGTTGTCCAGAAAAACCAGCAATATGCACTTCTACAGGTATAGGCCTCACATTAGGACGGAAATTGTAGACACAATACTTTTATGAAAAATAGACATATAAGAGTAAAGTAAATTATAAAGGAAACTATCAGACAATAAAAATGCATAGAAATTTTATTCAAAGAGAAAGAGAAAGAATTTGATTTTTTAAACCTAATGTTTCATAATTCATAAATCAGTCGTTGAATGTTATTACATTCAGATGTAATAAAATTAATTTAATAAGAGTTTAATGAATTCAAAAATACTGAATATGAAATTATGTTTAAGTTATTCAATATCCAGTATGATTTATATCAGTAACATTAATAATTAGGAAATATTTTTGGTTTTGAATAGAAAATTTCCAATATAAATTCCATTACTTCTTTTATATCCAACCATTCAGCTATATCGCCCGCATTCGCAAGAGCAGTGGATAAAGCCAAAATACGATATTTAGCAACATTTGCTTGTTTTTTTTTCATCATTTTTACTCTGCAAATGATTTTACAATTCTATTTTAGCACCTGTTCATCAAAAACTGATTTTAAACATTAAAATAAACAAACCTCGTAATAATTGCTTCTAAAACTGAACCTCTTTCGACGCCCAATAAATGTACTTCATCGATAATTAGCAACACTATTTGTTTAACATATTCACGCACTTCCCACTCACGAGTAATACCGTCCCATTTTTCCGGAGTGGTTATAACTATCATAGCAGTTTTTAAACTTCTGACATCCGGAGTATGATCACCTGTTAATTCCACAACACTAAAATGGGAAAAAACTAAATTCAAATATACTTGATACATTTTAAATTTCCAAATCTACTATTTGCTCTTTCTTTGAATAATTTTATATAAAAAAAAATTTAATCATAATATTTAGTAATAAGAAGCAATATAAGCAATATTATTAATTTTAAGTTCGAACTCATTTTATTTGAAACAATATGGATATATAAGGTTCTGATCTTGATTTTCTGGTAAAAGAAAAATAAAAGATTTAACCTAATTCCCATCTGTTGCTCGAATTTTTTTTTCCAATCATTAACTCTTTCATGTACTAAAGCTTTCAGAGGCGCAATATAAACACACTGCAAAAGAAAATATAAAATATTAAAAAAAATACTTCTAAATTTAATTCTTACGTTTAACTGAACAATATGAGAAAATAACATCAACATCCTTTTCAATTTTTTCTCCTTAAAAATACTGAATGATATGAAGAAAAGAGACTCAATTTCATCGAAACATTTAATTAATATAAATCTACTTTTTTTTCAGGTTGCTGGTTGATTAAACGGAAGATCGCTAGTTCAGCACAAAGTGTTTTACCCGACCCTGTTGGAGCACCAATAAGTAAATTGTCATCACTATGGAATAATGAGAAAAAAACCTGCAAAATATGCCTAAAACACGTTTTATTCAATGCAAATTTTTTTCCATTTGCACAAAATCATTTGAAACAAACTTGAGTTTGTATCGGATTGAAATATTTGAAATCATATATTGATTGATACAGATCATTCTTAAGCACTGATAATGGCAAAGGGTCCAAATCCAACAGATCTTTAAAAAACAAAATTATCATGCTATTAAGAATAAATGGTTTTTTTACCATCCATATTCACCGCTGTGAGACACTATATGAAAACACAAAACATTGATGCACTTGTCAGTTGTTTGATTCATCCTGTTATAATCCACTAAAATCAATTACTCCCATTAAAACCAGCTATTTTTCCACTTTATCCTCTTTTCTGTACTTTTTCGACATAACTCCTAAAGAACGCATTAAGCATTCGATACATTTCCATTTAGCATTTCAGATTCCCTTAACATCTTAACATCACCTCAAATTCCGTTATATTCCTGGCTCTATTAATACAGCTTGACATCTGCATCAAATTCTCTTAATAATTCATTTCATCCCTTCAATTTCTATATCTTAGTAATTTATTCAATTACAACTAACAATTTATTTTAATTACAACTAACATCTTCAACCACTCTGTCGTCAAGGTGGATTTCAAAATTTACCTAATAATTTTTTCAACTTTTTCAAATTTTCAAATATCCATTAATAAAACATAGACTCACAGCAAAAATAATTCTCTGTAGTGAGAGAAAAAAAAAAGGAAAAATAGCAAAAATAAAATGGGGATTAGAAAGAGAAAGCAGTACAAGAGCGTCTAAAAAGTTAAAAAAATATAAATTTGAGGGAATGTTCTCTATCTCAGTCTTATAATCCTCTTAACCTCTCTGTTTTCTCTTATACCATAGACATTTCCAAAGCAATAAGTGACAATTCTTCTAAGAACTCTCACCATTACTGATAAAACTGGCTCCACAGATTACGATGTCCACAAGCTCTTCGATCTGACGCCATTGTTGACAGTAATATAGAAGCTAGTCCTTTTTCTATCGTCTAAATCCACATATCAGTGATCTCTCTAAACATTCAAAATCTTTTCTGATTATATCAGTCCAGGTTTTGATTCGTCCACCTCGTTTTTGACACCAATCATCATAGAGTTTAGCAAATAACGAAATATACTTCAACTACTGTGATGGAAGACGGAGAATGCACCCTAACCAGTGAAGGCGACGTTCTGCGATAACATCATTAATGCAAGTGGTATTTGAACAAAGATGGATGCGATCATGTAAGATTTTATCATGTCAGAAGATTGTATCGGCGAACGCGTAAAATATACCTTAGACATGAACGGTCAAAGGCTAATAGCTTTTTAATAGCTTCTTTCACTCTCACTGGCTAAATTTCACAGCTACAATCACCATCTTGCTACGCTTATATAGTGTTGACGGATAGGTTCTCTTTAATGAGTTCTTTTTTCTAATTATCCCAGATCAGAATATATATTATCCTCAAGTCTCGGAATTACTTTAGTGTTATTATTGTGCTCCGATCATATATTTATTGCAAGTACCATGCGCATCGGAAGATGCAAATGCCGTGTCAATGAGACCTGACTTTTCCACCATAGAGCCACCTGGGGATAGAGGTACGGGTGGATTCCTAGCAGCCACTCGGATTTTTGATACCATGAAAATTACTCCTGTCAAAATAAAATAAAAATAATTTCAAAATAAAATAAAGATAATCAAATTTAAAAAAAAAATAATTTCATTTATATAAAAAGTAGAATAAAGATAATTAAAGGGATAAAATTTTAATAAAAAAAAATTTAATCTGATTCGCAGAAGAAGATAACATTATTACGTAATAATAATGGTACCCAGTAGTAAATAATAAATAAAATAATAATGGTAAATTGATATCGTTTCATTAATTTATTGATTAATGAGTAGAGTACCTTTTCGGCACAATTGTTCATAGAACTTAGAATTGTTCATAGAACATAGAATTTATACGTTTATAATTTATAAAATTTATATTGTGAGTGACAGTGCTGTGGATCAAATAATAATTGTAAAATATGATCTTCCAAATTCTCAATCACAACTTCAATCTTCTAAATTTATAAATTCTTAAAATAATCAAAATTTACAGTGAATTTCGAATGAATCTATTTTAACAAACCTCACTAGTCGCCATTAGGAAAAGAAAAATTAAAATAACTAGATTCTACCAAAACTTTTTGACATTACAAAATCAGACTTACCAGTGTGCGGATAATGGGATGATGGTAGTATGCAATTATGCATAGAAATTGGTAGAACAGTGTCATCCACAACAAAATAATCGCTGGCAACGCGAATCTGATAATTATTTGATAACTGCTTATCGTGTATTGGAATAGTGAAAATAAAATTTTGTTTTTCACGCATCATCACCTAAAAAATCCAAATTTCATTTCAAATATTGCAACAATATTAAAAACTGAAATTAATGTCGAAACTGAAAATATATTTTGATTTTATGCAAAAATATTTATAAGCAAGTTTTCACCTGTTTTCGACGAAGAATGATCTCTTCATGATGGAAAATCAAATTTTCATTTATATTCTCAACAAATATCCAGAAAGTTTGCGCACCGCCCAACAACCTTTCATTCCAAATGAAATCAGGAGTTAGTGTTATAGATATCTGGATTATTGTACTTAAAAATGTAGATAAAATTGTCGAAATTTCCATGAAAAACAAAACAGATATAAATAAAATGGGAAAATAATGAGAATATATATAAAAATATCAATAACACTGGTAATAAATGCTCCTAACAAAAAGAATACTAAAGTTTATTAAGTATATTAACAGCAGAAAAAAAACCTAAATATTAATAAGAGATTAATGAATCGAGAAGAAATCAATTACGAAAATAAAGTCAACTTTAGTGACTTAAATGATAATTTTATTCGTTGAATACTTTTTTATAAAGGCCTGATTATTATTTTTTGTATTCCTTTAAAAAAGGTTACTTAGTAATTGGCTTCACATTTGCATCTATATTCATAACAGGCAACATTCGAATGGCATTATACAACTGAAGGCCATCACATGAAAGCATCGATCCTGTATTTTTTCACTTAATAGAATTTCATTTATTCAAAATATAAATCATTTCCTTTCTTCTTTCCAGAAAATGAACCCAGGGAATTGCTTTAAAATTCATGTTAAAATTCATTGAATACGCTGATGATATAGTCTTTTTTTACAACTATAATGAAATGCGAATAATGTTAAATAATGTATCAATAAATGCAGACTTAAAATCAATGTAAATAAAACGAAAGTATTTTCGTCTTATATACAATGCTGATGCTGATAAAATACCTATTTTCACTATTCACTAATCAATTCACTACCAGTTGAAGAAATGCTTGGCTTTAAATTCCTTGGATCCACTCGAATCCCAAATGGCCAGGCAAAGGATGAAATTGTGACCTTGATAACGACAGCTAGAAATGTATATATTTTTCCGGTTAAAACCTCTATAGAACCATCGTAAAACTATGAAGACGATAATCGTGTCTATGCTGCAATTTGCTATATGGCTGCAAAAAATGGCCTTAGTATCAGTCCAGAGCATAGCATCACAGAACTTGAATACTCTGATGATGTAGACAGTTATGAGGAAATGCAAATAATTGTTAAACAATGTGTCAACAATTGCAGCGAGAATTGGACACAAAATCAATGTAAATAAAACGAAAGTGTTTCCGTCTTATATATAAGATGCTGATAAAATACCTATTTTTATCAATTCATTGCCAGTTCAGGAAGTGGACTTTAAATACCTTGGATCTACTCTAATCCCAAATGGCCAGGCAAAGGATGAAATTGTGACCCAGATATTGACAGCTAGAAATGTGCTTTTTCGGTTGATGAAATCTTTATGAAACTGTTGCGAAATCAGCATGAAGACGGAAATCCGCGTATATAGTTGCAATTCGCTCGATCTTGCTATATGGCTGCGAAACATGGAAAATTGAGTGGAAGATAATAAGAAGCTATCAACATTTGACCACTTATAAATATATCTAAGACACATTTTACCCATAGAACGGATAAATCGCGCATAATTTTATCCATCGCTCAAATACCACCTGTATTAATAATGTTATCATAGAACCATCGCTGGGACACGTTCTCCGTCATTCACCATAGGAGTTGACGCATATTTCGTTATTTGCTAAACCCTGTGATGGCTGGCGTCAAAAGCAAGGATTGCCAGTCAAGACTGGACTGATAAAGCCAGGAAAAATTTTGAACGTATAGGGGGAATAGCGATATATGGATTTAGACAATGGAAAAAATACTAGTAGCAATGACGTTGGGCCGAGCAGTTTGAAGACGTAACCAGCGAAGCCAGCCTAACCAGTAATAATGAGAGTTATTAGAAGAAGAATAAAAGCAAAATAAGAGATGTCTTCTCATCTATTCAACATTTGAAAAGTTAAAAAAAAATTAACTGGTAATTTCATACGCTATGAGCGATTGAAAATGAGATTGAATCGATTTATATGTATATGTCAAATAAAATACTTATATAAAAACCGACCAAGTTCTCGTGCAGACATATCGAGCAGCTGGTAAAATGACAAATTTCGGTACTCTATTTTTTTAATCCATTCCCATTTCACGAAATCAGCCATCTGCCTGTATAATTTAATCGTTAAACAAAAAAATCATATTGAAATTTTTTGAAAAAACTGAATAAAATTAAAAAAAACCACAAAAATTAGAAAAAAATCGTTAAAATATGAAAATATACAATAAAAAGAAAGAAAAATTAATGTTAAATCTAACTATAAATCTAACTATTCTTTTCCTTGAAAAGTTTTCACCAGAATCCGAAGAAAATAATAAGGAATTCCAGATATATACCTAATAGGTGTTTGAAAAGGCCAGATGCGTTTGCACAGACATTTAGACATGACGAAACAGGCATTGGCAGCTTGTGCCCATCCACGCCGCAAAGCAATTTCGAACATAGCACGGCAAATACGTCCGGCGTTTTGCTCCACGAAGTGCATTTCAGACAAAAGCGAAAAATCCCATACATCATAACGCGAAATAAGGGCCTGAAAGAAATCATAAAACTCAGTCAATCAACACTCTATAACATGAAAATGAAAAGATGAAAATAATAAAAACCGAATGAAATTAAAAAAAAAAATAGTGCATCGATTCTTAATTACTTTAAATTATTATTTTGTTTACTATTATGATTATTTTAAATTAGTATAATATGTGTATATTTTACTATTTTAAGTCAGTATAATATATGTATACATCGAATTTGGTGCATTAAAATATCGAAATATCGAATTCAATTATTACATTTATTTTGCTCTTAAAATGAAGAAAAAATTGTGCCTATCCATAGCTTGATTCATTTAACAGGCAAAAAATTTAATTAGATAAATATAACCGCCAACTATCATCCATATCAGTCTATTTATCAAAAGAAAGTGGTAAAATGCTCAGGCATGCTATAAAATCTTATAAATGAATTTGTGGTTAGATAATAGATATAGAATATGAATTTTAAGTGGGTCATTTTCGGTAAACAAAATCAACCAAACCAAACGTCAAACTAAATTGACACTCAAAAATGGCCTGAATTTGAATCCCGTTGATGCGCTATGTTTCGTCGACAGATGTTGAACGACGAAAGCGAAAGGGAGTAGTTCGTTTAAATGGCTTTGGTAGATACAGATTTTGCAGTTGCCCTTGATTCAATCGATATGTTGGCGCTTTGGAGAATGATGGAATGTGTCGGTATTCCAGAAAAGATCATTCGGCTCATAAAGGCATTTTATCAGCGCACATCAACACAGATCAACACAGCGCACAGATGTATATGGTGAAATGACTCCTTCAAAATAAAAACTGGTGTCCGTCAGGGCTGCGTCCTTTACTCAACTATGCTATGCAATAGACTGGATTTTCTTCTTCAAACAACTGATTACTGATCACCATTACCGATTAGGCTGGCTCCAACGGCTGCAAGGGTAATATGCTTCCAAGCGGCGCGGTCTGATGCCATCGCCGACAGTAACAGAAGTCATTCCTTTTTCCATCCATATATTTGCTGGTTTACCTATACGAAATCAAAATCTTTCCTGACCGTATCAGAGCCCAGATTTTGACTGGCCCACCTCGCTTTTGACACCATCCATCACAGTTTAGCAAGTAACGAATATGCGACAACTCTGTAGTGGACGACGGAGAAAGTGCAATAAGCATCGGAGGCGACGGTCCGTGATAATATTATTCATACAGATGGTGAACGAAGGTGGTGCGATTATGTTCACATATTTTATCCGCTCGACCCGTAAAATATACCTTGGACAAGAGTGGTCAAAGGCAGATAGCTTCTTAATATCCTCCACTCTCAACGAATCACGGCTATATAGATGCGGAGTTTCGTTTTAATGGTAATTTCACGACGGCTCCATAAAGATTTCGTCAACCGGAAGCATTTTTAGCTGCCGTGATACGGGCTACAATATCATCTTTTGCTTGGCCAATTGGTATTAAAGTGGACCTAAGGCATTTAAAATCGGGCATTTCCTCGTCCAGCAATGAATTTACAAAACGAAGCATTTTATCAGCTTCTTGTACATAAGACGAAAAAACTTTTGGTTTATATACATTGACCCTGAGTCCTATTCTTTCTGACATTTAGCATTGCTTGCATTCCGACATAAATGTGAGCAAAAAGGACAACATCAGTATTCAAGATCTGTGAACGACGCTCTGGACTTGGACATCACTTGAGCCGACAAGCAGTGTCCTTTACCCAGTCTATCGCATAGTTGAACATTGTAGGGGAAAGGACGGAGTCTTGACGGACACCAGCTTTTATTTCAAAGGAATCTGTTAGTTTCCCATACATACAGACCTACGCCGACGTACGCTCATAAAATGCCTTCATGAGTCGATTGATTTTCTTTGGAACACCGTCACGTTCCATCACCTTCCAATGCGCCTTTCTATCAATTGAATCAAAAGCAGTCGCAAAGTCAATGAAACACGTGACAGTGGGTTGCAAATATCTGAAGCGATGCGACACCCTCTTAAGCTGAATATCTGGTCAGCACAACAGTGCCCTAAATCCAGCTTGATTAGGGCGCATTCTCGTACTTCCATAAGTCTGTTGAGTAAAAGAGAAGCAAAAATTTTCACTGAGACGTCTAGTAGGCTAATCTCTCGATAATTTTCGCAGCATGTCCTATCACCTTTCTTAAAAATTGGAATTGCTTTGCTCCAGTCTTCTGGTATTATATCTTTTTTCCATACCAGAGAGTATATTTACTGAAGGTGTTATGAAGGACGATGGACAACATTTAAAGATTAAGAGTTTAGCCCGAAGACCACCTTCTCTTTGAGTCTTATTGGTCTTAAGCTTATGGATGACAAATATTATTTCTTCTTCTGTCGGGCTCGTGGAGCAAGCATATGGTTCAGCGAACATATCAGTTATATTAGGGGCAAAAGATGGTTCATGGTTAAGTCTAGCCTCAAAGAATTCTTTTCATCTTATGGTCCTTAATACTCTTGACTGGCACACCATTGCTGTCTCTTACTATTTCACTGATCGTCCCCCGAATTATATTTGCTTTATGAAGAAGAATAGTTTCCTATTATCGTCTAATCGAGTCGCCGCTTCCATTCTTAAGGCCATTGTCACTCCAATAGTGATTTCTGCCCCGCAGTGTTGCTTTCGATGCAAATCTTCGAAGCATTCGGTAGTCAGGATCACCTGACATTCGCTTTGGCAGCTTTTTCAGACAGTTGGACAGTTGCTTCCGATACCCAACTAGCATAACTCCTACTAGTATGCCCTAGTGGAAGTGGTTGACTTTCGGAGACATTCTTTTAGTTTGGAACAGTCATTTGCCATTCCAGAAAAATCATTGTAATTGTATGCTACTGAGATGCTTCAATAATTCAATTTCCATAGACTGGATAAGGATATAGCCTGTCAGTACTCCAAGGGTGTACAAATCAGTCCAGAGCATAGTATCACAGACCTTGAATACCCTGATGATGTAATCCTTTTTTCTGAAAGTTATGAAAAATAATGCAAAACAATATGTCGACAACTTCAGAAAATCAGGATCAATGTAAACGAAAACCTTTTCATTATATTTACCAGAAGCTGATAAAATGCCTATTTTTACCAAACCATTATCGGTTAAGGAAGTGCTAGACTTTAAATATCCACTCTGATTCCAAACGCCTAAGCGAAAGATGAAAATTACAAAATGGATAATGGTAACTAATCCTTTCGGTTGGCGAAGTCCTCATGCAATCGTCATGAGATCACCATAAAAGCGAAAGTCCGCCATTCGTTCGATCTTGGTATATGGCTGCGAGACATGGGCAATGAGAAGGGAGAATATTAAAAAGTTATCTTCCTTTGACCACTCATGTCTCAGAATTTACGGGTTCATCTAGTGAATAAAATTTCATATGATTACATTCAATTTCATATGATTACATCCATCTTCACTCAAATAATTACATAAACAATACCACCACATAGCATCGTTTTCGCTGGTTAGGGCACCGCAGAAGTTGACACATATATGCTTTATTGTATATCGAACTTTTTAAACTCTATGATGGATGGCGTCAAAAGCGAGGATGACCAATATAGATTTTGGATCATTGATATATGGACTTAGAAGATGGAAAAAGGAATTTCTGCCATCGATGGCGTCGGACCGAACATCTTGGAAATGCCTTACCTTAATAGCCAGCGAAGCCAACTTAACTAATAATGGTGAGTTCTGTTAGAAGAAAAATAAGACAGCAAAAGTCCATTCGATTAACTGTCAGCTAAACTTTGAACTTTAAACATATTTTTACTATTATATCATATTAATTATAATGGTTTTACTACCATTGAAAATACAAGAAAATGCAAATTATGAATGAAACAACATTCTAAAACTATCATATAATCATATTCATTATATTAATAATTATCCTATTAATCCTTTTTTAGAGAGTGTAATTATTCCATAAAAATAAAAATTTAACGCACCTGCTCTAAGCAATATATTTTACCAGGTATAGTAGCCAGCGTTTTCCATTTTATCCTTAAAGGACAGTCAGAAGCAATCTGTTCTAGATTCTTCATCTCTTCTTCACGAACCTGTTGCAAAAAATGATGATCCAAAGGTTACAAAAATTTAGATTATATAAATTATATAAATTCCTATATATTTTTTAAAAATATAATTTCAAAATCCATTTCTTACTTTCATCTGGCTGAATTCGGATGCATTTGCGATTAACAAAAGTATAGTTTCATCTGTGACGACCGAAGTAAAACGACATGGTCCACACGAAGTATTTAACATTTCTATTGTCTCAAATTTTATATAGAAATTTGATGCTATTCGTCCTAAATCTGTCGAAGATACAAATCCATTACTAAAAGAAAGAAAATTTAAATATAAGATTAACAGAATTCACTTGAAATCAATCAATCAATTTATTTTATCGTATCAAAATCGTATAAGGTTTAGTTTATCACATTAATAAGGCTAATTTTCTCAACATGATTCATCCAAAAAATTGGAAGATATGAAGCTATATAGCTATACGCTGAGTCGGTGCTTATTCTTTTAAGGGACAACAAATGTTGAGGCGATCGATTGTTGAGAGGTTAGGGTATGAATAGGAGATCGATTAAAAAGTAGATAAAACTAGTTTCAACTGGATTAACAATTAAAAATTTCTCTTATATAAGTATTTTTTCTTGAGTAAAAATTCCACAAATTTAATATTTCAAAAATTTCCACATTGTCTTAAAAAATTCATTTTTTTATTAAATCGCATGATACGCAAAATCAGGAATTATAGAAATTCTGATGGAATTAATTCGAAAAATATTTCTTTTGTAGGAGGTCGATACAGGAAAAGCTCAGATTCCCTTGCTATAAAAATACATACAAATACATACATGTTTGCTATAAATGATGCAATTTAAATTCAAACACGATTTTAAGACACAAGTTTTAAAAAAAATCAGAAAATAAATTGATGAATTTTTTGGATTTGAATAATTATTTGATTATTAAAGCAAACATGAAAAAATATTGAATAATTCTAAAAAATTGAAAAAGAACTAACAGACTATCATAACGAATCATTTGATTCATATCAAGTTTTTCAGCAGCATCCATTACAAGTTTCGACAAAAAGCGAGATAGATTTGGATCATCCCGCAATTGTGCATAAGTAATTCCATAAGCCAAAGGATTTTTATTGGCACGAATGAAGAAATAAGTGTAACTTAGCCATTCTACGGCTTCACCAATACTAGAGACAGTACCTGGAAATTTGAATCATAAAATAATTCCAAAAAATATAGAAACATGATAAAAAGCTATTGGGTAACTCGAATTTGAATAAATTTTATAGGTTCGTTAAGGAGAAAGTCGAAGATTCAAATCCAGCGGCAGATTTTTTGATAGTACATATCTTTGTCAGCTTGGTAGCTACTTTGTATTACGATCGAAAAATAAATAAAATTTTGCTTACCAAGAGCGATTTCCGCATTTAAGTTATCGTATAATCGAGACTGAAACTGACTTTCAATTGGAGCCTGCCTAGTAAGCATTTCAATGTATTTTGCCATTTTATCTTTCCAAGTAATTATCACACCATGTCCTGAGGAAAAAAAACCACGTTGAAAAGAAATCAAACAAACATATGAATGAAAGAAGTAACAAATATTAAAAATATTTTGTAAAAAAATTTATATACCAGTTTCTTCATACTGTGGCCTTCCAGCTCGCCCGAAAATTTGCTGAACATCAAGCACTCCAAGATCACACATAGTTCCTCTTTGACTGTCAAAAACGTCAGTACCCTTTAAAAATTTGAGATAATAATTCATTACAAAATTTCAAAATAAGAAACTATACCTTGATGATAACAGCATGAGCGGGTAAATTGACTCCCCAAGCTAAAGTTGCCGTACAAACGAGTACTTTTATATATCCTTTGGTGAATAACTTCTCAATTATATTGCGATCATGTCTAGCTAATCCAGCATGATGGATGCCAAACCCATACTGAACCAGATCATATAACAGTTTATTTCGTATTGAATGTGCCTGTGAGATATTTGGAATACAAAATGTTTTTTGAAATAAAGTTTTCCATGAAATATATTTCAATAACAAAAGATGTGTAAAAAATCAATCAAATTCGTTATGAAATAAACAAATAAACCATAAATTTGTTACTTGAAAAAAAACCAACTGAGAAGCGAAAAAGAATAATTTACCAATTTTTTGCCCATTGACTGATTTTTCTCTGTCGAATTTAATGCTACAAAATCACGTAAAACTCCCTGAAAAAAATTATTTTTTGAACTAATAATAAAATTTGAAAATGTGAAGTTTTTAAAAATATTTTTAAAAAAAGTCTGATTTTTTCTAGCTAAAAAATTATGTAATTCATTCACATCATATATCTTTAAATTTTTTTGAATGGAAACGCACCAAAACGCAATTTAAAATATTTTCAGCCACAATCCATAATTTCGAAGATTTCAGACTTCATGGCAAAATACATTGAAATGCTTACTAGGCACTTTTAGGAATGATAATATTTATTTGTCCCCTCCAAAAAAATTTTTATTCATGATAGAAAATTACTCAAATGCAGCAAAAGGGTCGAATTTAACTTGAAACACCATTATTCTAAAAAAAGGACATAGCTGCAAAAGAATAGAAAACACGCGAAGAATATGAAGGTTATCCCATTATCTTCTATGGCGGCAAATATTACGTTGGGATCCAGTGTACCAATGGACATCTGCGAATGTGCCGAGGAATCAGTTTATTAAATTTTTGAGAATCATTTCTGCTGATTAAAGTCGTAGCAATGCGTGAAAATAGGAAATATCCTAATCAAGGCGGATTTAGATCAAGCTGTGGTTATGCTGACCAAATTTTCACGCTAAGAAAGACATTGGAACAATAAATATTGGCAAATTACCCCTTAACTGTTTCATGGAATGTGCCATTGCTTTTCACATGCGCTCTTGCAAGTTATGCAACACAATGGAGTTTCAAAGAAGAGAATACAATAAAAAACGATTTATTAAAGCACCTATGCCAGCGTAAATGTGTGAATCGACTCGAACTTACGAAACACGAACAACTCAACGAAATTCAGTAAACAACCAAATCAAACAATAGGGTCCTGACGACATTAAACGATCAATGGAGTTAGCACAAATAACAACGTTGGACTCAAAGAATGGAAAAGATTCAGTTTCAGAAGCCAAAAACAAAAATAAAATAATCACCTTAATAGAAGATAGACCGATCGTAATTTTGGTTTGAAAGTGGCTTTTGCGGTAAGACCACTTACCTGTACTTAAGAGGTTCCAACCCCAACGTACGTATTACGGATCTTGAATAAGGTGATTATAATACTCTTTTCGTTGATAGTTACAGTTAAAAGGAATCGTAATGATACTAGAACATGATGCCGATAAGAACCAGCAAGAATTGGCCTTGTAATCGATGGAAAATTTTTGTTACAAATACTCCACTGATACGATCATAATTCCGACAAATTCATCAAAGATTCTAGATTCTTGGATCGATTCTTATATCTAATGATAAGGCTAATAATGAAATTTTAGCTCGAACAGAATGTAATGAGAAGAATCCCTTTTTGTCTGAAGCTTTTTCAGAATCGCTGTGAAATCAGCCTGAAAACGACACCTCGCATCTACCTGGCGGTAGAACGCACAATTCTTTAATAAGGCAGAGAAACATGGCTAGAGAGAGAAACATGAGAGTGGAATATATCAAGAATCTATCTGCCTTCTTGCCTAAGATGCATTCGCCAAATGGACAGAGTCTCACACCATCCACTTTCGTTCGAATACTATCTACATTAAAAATATCGTATGATACTAATTTGGCTAGTGTGTTCTTACTCGCCCATAAAAGAACCTCGCCACTAACTAAATCCCTGTGGTGGATGAGAAAAGTGTGAAGAACCAATCAAGACCTGCAACGATATAACCAGGAAGACTTTAAATATGACCCAATGATATACGTAGCTTAGAAGCTGGAATAAGGTGTGGTTTCAGTTATTTTTAGGAATGGAATTGAATTAAATTTCTTATTCCAGTCGCCAATGGAGCAAGCCAAAGCAAACGGCAAGCAGGGAGCTATTAAAAAGAAGAAAAAGAACGCCTATGTGAAATTATCATTCTTCATCATTTCCTAGAATTATTTAAAAAATAACCAGAAAAAAATGTTAAAAAACTAAACCAACATACTCTATCACTAGCCATTGCTTTTAAAATCAAAGCCAGTTTTGAAGTTCCATTCCTTGAGTGGACAAAAATGAGAATCTGATGTCCATTCCGACAAAATTCATGAGCTTTGATAAAGCAGACTTCATCCATGTTACTATTAATCGATTGACTGCTAGATGTTCTTGGAACACCGATAAAACTAAAGCAAATATTTTTTTAAAATTTTTCAAGGTCAATAGCTTTTAAATAAGTAAAAAAGGGTATTGACCTTATATAATACAAAAATAATAAAATAATCCTTACGTTTGTGTTAATGGAACAGGTCGAAAGCGACCATCAAAGAAGAAAAGCCCTTTCTGTGGATTAACTTTTAAAAACCTTGCCACATCCATGTAATTGGGCAAAGTCGCCGATAGTCCAATTATGCGCACACTTTTTTGACTCATCTCAATCTCAAAATATAAAAAACAGTGAATCAATTTTCTTAAAAAGTGGCAGATATATATGAAGACACGTATTATAGGAAAATTTTAAAAGACAAAGAAAAGTTCATATCTATTTGGCACAATTTATGAAAAACAATAAAAACTAAGGTGTAAAAACCTGACGGAAACATCGAGCGACGATTGCTTCTATAACAGCACCACGACTATCGTGTAACAAATGGACTTCATCAATGATCATTAAACGGACTAATGACTCCAAACTAGAAACACCAGGTTTTCGTGTAATCACATCCCATTTCTCCGGCGTCAGAACAAGCATCTGCAAGAAAACATAAGGAGATCTTACAGCGATTAAACATCGGAAAAATAATACTGAAACTATAATAATACCTGCGTATTAACAATTTCCGATTTCGATAGCACTGTATCGCCTGTTAGCTCTCTTACTTTTAATCCAAAAATGGAAAGTCTTTTTCCAAAAGTTTCGGTCATTTCCGCAGCTAGTGCTTTCATTGGTGCCAGATAAATTATCTAAAAGTTCGTGCTGACTATGAAACTGCACTGACTGACAATTATAAATAATAAAATGTGTTGGTGATCTATTGAAATGGGAAGTATATTCATATTCATATAAGCCAAGCAAAAGATAAAATCAAATTCAATTATGCAAAAATAATATTATAAAAAGTAAAATAAAGAACTATTAGCACTATTTTTATTAACAACTATTTTCATAACTAAAAACAAAAAAATAAAACAAATAAAAAAATAATAAAATAAAAAAACAAAAAATAAAAGAAATATTAACTCTTTCTACAATTTTCTTAAAAAAAAAATAATTATGATTATGATGAATAACAAAAATTAAAAATAACCTTAAATTCATCCTTTAAAATTTGACTTTTAAATGTATGTTCATGGATTGTATTTAGGATTGCTAACATAGCAATATTAGTTTTACCTAAAACATGTTTCGATTTCATACTAAATCTTAATATGACATTTAAAACACTAGGCACATTTTACGAAAACAAGGAAATTCTGTAAAAATTTATTTTTTTCATTTTATTCATTTGATATTTTTGGTTGAAAAATATAAAAAGTCATATATTATATAAGAAATACGAATAGAATAAAAAAAGACCTGCTCCTGTTGGAGCGCAAACCAGCAAGTTTTCTTTCGTTTTGTAAGTCTGTTCAAAAACCAAGGATTGTACTACATTTAATTTCACATAATTTTGAAATCCTTTTTGCCCTAACTGTAAATTTACAACATTATCTGCAGAAAAGAAAAACTGTGAATGCAAAAAATATGAGAAAAGCGAAAATTCATTGGCAAAAAATTGATAATTGATAATTAATGGTAATGATCAACTGGCCAAAATTTAGGTTCATTCACAGTAAATTTTCGCTATAAGCACAAACAATCTAGAGATTGAACCGAAAAAAAGTGGACGAAAATTAACCTCATCCATATCCTTAACATTGATTTGCTCGATATTTTTAACTATAGAATTGTCAAAACCAGGCACAGTAATCTCCTCATACAATCCAGAGAATCTCTTTGTTCCCTCTGGTAAACAATACTAAAATTTTACATTAAAATCAAAAGAATTGTAATAATAATGAAAAAAAAAATTTGTTACAATATAGAACTGAAATGGGAGAAATTTATTTTCTAAAGCAAAAAGAGGAAGAAATCATTCAGTCACAAGAAAGAAAGAGAAAATCAAACCGTAGAAGCACCGAAAGAAACTCCGATTTTCTCGCATGAAGCTAAAGCGTCAAATACAAAAGGCAAATATTCTTCAGAAGATGAGTGAATAAAATTAATCCTTAACTGCCTGAAAAAATTCACGTTCTACGCTTTGTGTTAACATTTAATGAAAGACAATATTTTTTAAATTGCATTTTAACTTGAACTGAATCATTTTTCTTCAATATTGATTCGAAACCAAAAATAAAACGAATATCGCCTTGTAACAAAAACCAAATAAGTCAATCTTTTAATTTTACTAAAATATCAATAGATTATCGAGTCAAAATTGAACAGTGCAAAATCACTCATTCATCTGCTCATAGGATACGATTTGTTTATTTGCACCGAAATCTTCAAAAGAACCAATTAATGGCATATTCCATTCTGTTATTTTCCTCTGTCCTTTCTTCCTTTCGCTTTTCTTTTCAACTTTCTTTATATTAAATCGATCACCGAGCAGTACCTTATTTAAAATATTAATTAAAATTTGAATTATAAAATTTAAAATATAAAAAGTAAATGAAATCAAACAAAGATATCAAGAATAAAAAATGAGGGTGATAATTAATTAATAACAGAGTAAAAACAAACATGGCAATTGAAAATAGTAAATTATAAATTACTTCTCGATTTGTTGATGTCGATTCACCAGATAGTTTAATTTGAACCGACTGAATAACATTAATCAAAATATTTCTTGAAATAAGAATATTTCCAATCAAATCAAAATTTTCAATGCCAAGTAAATCAAACAACTAAAATTAAAAAAAAAAAATTGACCGGTAATATTTTAAGAGAAATAAAATCAGAAAACCAAACAAAACCAAACAAATGATCTCTAATTATCAATGATCAGTGATAAATGCATGTAATATATAAAGTGGATAAAAAACATTTGAAAAACAAACCTCCCCTTGAAGTTCATCATCATTTCGCGACGAACATAACAGGTCATATAGCCTATGAAGCTGTAATTCGGGTCTTTCTAGCATATTTTCTACATTAATTAATAATTTAGCAGCCAGTAAAAAATAAGGTTCCTAAAAAAAATAATTTTCAATATACTGATTACGTAATAATAATAAATAATAATTCATCTATATTAATTTGTATATACATGGAAGAATTTGTGCATCAGAAGGAAGAATTAAGCAGAAAAACATAATGAACAAAGAAGCATCGAATATTCGTGGCACTACAGTCTCAAAGGTGTCGCATTTTGCCTTTCTCTTATGGCTTACTAAAAGAATGGCTTCAGTACAACAAATTTGGATATTGTGTATATATAATCGAAATTTATATTTTCTTTACTGCCAAAACCTTAAATAATAATATAAAATAATAGTATAAAAAAACAATTAATTCACTTCTTCTGCGGATCCAAAGCACTTCTTGCAGTAAGCCGCTGACAAGAGAAAAGCCCAAACGGTTAGTGGGGCCATTCAAGCGAGAAAAGCCACGTTCTACGAAGCTATGAATAAGACGGACTTTCTAGCGAAATCACCAACCTTTAAATTTTCGATGCATTCTTTAAATCGCCTCGATAAATTACCATCGTTTTTTGAAAATTCATTCGCATAATTCGAAGCGATTTCTTTCTCAATTCTCCGCCACTGAATTAATTTCGTAATAGATCGCCTCAAAATTGAATTTTTAAAGGCCCCTAACTCGACTAATTCAATTGAAAAAATCTCCACCATTAAAAAAGAGATAAAACGTATTAAAATAATCAGAATAGGGTAAAATGGTGCTAAGTGGAATAATTAAAAAAGTAACTTCGTTCCGAGTAATAAAGGCGAATTGATCGCAGTTTTTTCGGCCAGAAAACCATTAGATTTCAGCCAGGAATAATCTTCCATTTTGCAAAATTAAGCAATGAATACAAATATCCCTTGCCAGGCCTCACTAAGTCGAACGAAGGGCCGCGATTTCGCTAGAAATTTCAGGACGTCTATCTTGCAGCTTCAGCTCGATTGCATTCTTAAAAATTTTTGTAAATCTTAATTAAATTTTATGTTTCTTTAGTATATTTAATAATATTTAAATGAAAATAAGAAATATGATTTTAATAAATTTGGATTTTTCCGAAATCAGCTATCCAGCTATCTTTCATCGATATAAAATAATGTGAACATTTTATTGCAATACTGAATAATATTTTATTTTAAAAAGAAATATCTTTTTTTAATTTTATTAATTAATGAACAGAGCGCCTTTTCGACAGAGTCGCTCATAGAAGTCAAAAATCACATCGCAAATGATTGTACCCACTTTCGCTCAACTACCACCTGTATTAATAATATTATCACAGAGCGTCGCCTTTCTCCTTCGTACACCACAGGAGTTGACGCATATTTCGTTATTTGCTAAATCCTGCGTCAGAAGCGAGGTGGGCCAGTCAAGACCTGGACTGATACAGTTATTTTGAACGTATAGGAGAGCAGCGATATGTGGACTTAGACGATGGAAAAAGGAATGGCTTCTATTACTACTAGCGATGGCGTCGTATTGAGCAGCTTGGAGAAATCTTGTAGACAGCGGAGCCAGTAATGGTGAGAGCTCTTAGAAGAAGAGGAAGAATACTGAATAATACTGAATATTATTTAACAATAAAATATATGAAATCATAAACAAATAGCAAAAAGAAATTTCTCACTTTTTATTCCTTAATTTTTTCAAATTTTCTTATTTCAAAATTTTGTATTTATTTGCCATTTAAAAATTAACTTACTTCATCATCGAGAATTATGAGTTTTACTCAGAAATACATTCTGAAAATCTGTGATGCCCATTCATCAAATACAAGCAACTATTTTCGCAATAAAATTCTTCAAGAAATTTTTTTCGTAAACAAATTCCATTTTTCCAGCTTTGTTTAATCTATCTTTTTATATCTTTCTATCTTTTTTATCTTTCGATCTTCTATCTTTCTATCTTTTCCGAAGCCCTTTAATTTTTTCTCTTTTGATTTAGATAATTAACAATTAATCGTCTTCACAGTTGGCACACTCATACTGGCGGTGATGTTGAATTTTGATGTTGGGAATATGCGAGAGCAATTATTTCAGCTAGAAAATGCTTTTGATACTTTCCTGGTTAACTTTTTTTTTAAAATGAGAATACAGAAAACAATTCTTTGAGTTTTTTTGGGTTGGAATATTTTATATTTTATTCCTATTATTATTAATTATTCCTGGTCAAATTTTTATTTTTTTAGGTTTTATTTATTTTTTCATTTCCGAAATTCTTTTTTTAAAAACTCTATTTGTTCTTTCATATTATTCTCTCATCTTTGCCGCATTATTGCTCAAAAGCTGCTGCGTGTGAAAATCCTATAAAGATTGTAATTTCTTATCTTTGTGGCAATTTTATCATTGTATTTTTTTTCATTATTTTTTTTTGTTATAGTCACCTCATTCATCAAAAGACGACCGAAAACAAGCGGAACATTATATATTCGAGAGGCGACAAAAAGGACTTCCGTTAACTTTCTGCAAGTTTGCCTGGGGTTAATTTTTATTATCTCACCTTAAACCAGAAAACTTATTTACAGATATCCATATATATTTTTATTTACAGATTATTTACAGTTTTTTTATTTACAGATATCCATATATATCATTATTTTTTCTTTGTCAATTTTTTTATTTTTATCTTAGATTTTATACCTTTACTCTTATATTTTATACCTTTTTTATTTCACAGTTTTGAAATTTTTTTTTCAAAAACCCTGTTTATTGTCAATTCTTTCATATTATCTTCCCCACATTATTACGTAAAAATTAGCTTGAAATCTAAAAATTAGTGAGAATGAAATATAGAAAACAATTCTTCGAGTTTTTTTGCGTCGAAAAATCTTATTTTTATTATTATTGTTATTTTCTTTTTATGTTTGTATATGCTTTATATATTTTCCATATTTTCTATGTGTATATATTTTATTTTCAATGTTTTAGACATTAGCAAAAATGAAGGTGTATTATGTGAAGTGGCTTTAGGCTTCAGCCATGTATTGCTTAAAGAATGGTTTACTCAGGATCCGAATATTGTTAAAGATGTATGCAAATTTATAATAACTTCTGTGATTGATATGCAAAAAATGCAAAGGTTTCTTGTTGTTTTAAATAGAAAATATTTTATCTGTCTAGATCTAAAAATCTTCAATAAAACTTCAATTTTTGTTCAATATTTTGCTTGCTGGTTTTTTAAAAAAATTTTATAAAATTGATCTTTTTTTGTATTTGCAATATAATTTCATTCAAAACTTTTAAATTTCAATTGACTTCAGTTTATCTAAATTTCAGCACCGTATTGTGCGGTTTGTTATTTCTGCAGATTAAGATATTTTTGAAACTTAGTTTTTCAGGTTAAACAATCGAATTCGATCAGCTTTATTCCACTCGTTTGCAAAATTGTTGAAAAGAAGTATTTGCGATGATCGCAATGGAGATTTAGGAACATGGTGTCTTGCTTTCATCAAAGATTCAATTGAACAAATGTTAATGGGCGAAAATGCTGAATTGGTAAGTTTCAGCTTTTCGATTCACATTTAATTTTTAATTATGTATATAATTTTGTAAGGAATAAAGGCTTCTTTAAGGAATTTAGATATTTTATCGTTAAATTCTTCACATTCGATTTTTTTCATTCCTAATTTTTTGATCCTGCTTCTTCATATTGAAAATTTTGAAAAGAAAACTGATAACTAAAACTTGGAACGACAATTTTGAAGGAAGAATATGTATGCGATCTTATGGCAGCCATTTGCTATGAATTTTCGACAACTTGGCGTCAGGCTCATCTTGGGTTAACATGGGATTTCCATATTAGAGCAAAAAGAATTTTTGATGTAATTTTTTTATCAATTTCTCTTATTTATTAGCATTTATTTCCTTTCAAAATTTTAAATTCAAGATTCTAATTAGTTAATTTTATTACTTTCTTTATTTTTAAATGATCGGAAATGTTCTTCGATTTGAAGTTTTGCATCGACTGTAATTTCAGGCAAAGATATTGAAAGATATCTTTGATAGTTGCCTTCGATTGTTATACAAAATTTCGTTTGAACAGGGACAATCATCAACTCAAGAAGTTTGTTTGGAGCATTTAATTTTAATTCAATTTTTCCCTTAATTATATTTTTTTATTTTTTATTTTCTTAAAGTTGTTTATTTAAGTGGATTTAATCTTCAGTTATTTTTTCTGATGAAATTGATCAGTGTTGAAAGATTTTAGAATAATTGTTATCGAAAATTATACCGCGTTTTCGAGTATATACTTTCGTGGAATTTCGGAGATCCTTATCCATATGATTGTGTTGAATGTGCAGAAGAAAATGAGGGAACACCGTTCAAGCCTCCTTCGTCTTGGGAAAATATATTCACTAATGAAGATTTACTTAATTTGTTCTTTGAGGTGAGTCATTTCTAATCTTAATTTAGCACAAATATTATTTAAAAAAATGGAATGGCTCGAAGGGTTGTTGATGTCATTTCGGAGCGCCGATGGTATTTGGGCAGTAAACTTGTTTTTCAAATATCGGATGGTTTTAACCCATTCATCGATGAATGACTCCATGGCAAAACTTGTCTGGTCTGTTAAGCGGAATGAGCTTGAATGCTCTTCAAACATAAAAACTATTACAAAAATCGTCAACTTCTTTAATTTTATTCAGATAGGAAATATTCTCAATTTTTAAATATTTTAAAAAAGTGATTTGTTTTGGTTATAACAGTTCAAAAGTTTAATTGATTAAAATAATTTCAAAAATATTAGAGAAAACTTATTATGAAATATCAAAATTTTTAAAATAAAAATTTACAAAATTCTTAGTGAAAACTTTTTATAAAATATAAATATAATAATATACTTTTTATAAAATATATATAATATAATAAAATATAAATAAAAATATATATGAGAAAGAGATTACTCATAATCTTTGTATGGTTTGGGTCATTCTCATGTTCTATTGCTCCACCATAGGAACTTGACAGTTCTACGCAGTATCTTTTCTATTAGTAATGCGCCATTCTGGATAGAGATCTCTGATATGATTCCTGGAATCTGCTGAAGACATTTTTCTGAAGCCAGTTTAAGAGTTACAATTCCTAGTGGTTCAAGTATCACTGGAATTACTTTGGTCTTCACTTTCCACATTTTCTCTATTCCTCTTTCAGCGTCTAGTATTTCTCCAACTTCTCATATTCCTTTTTTTTCTCTCATCCCTCTCATTTGCTACATCTATTACTGGTGTTGGTTTCTGATTTTAATCTCTTACCACAGTATCTGTTTGATTGACCAATACTTGCTTGTCTTTTCAGGTGGGAAAATTCCTTAGGATCTTCAATTATCCCATAGCTCTATTATCCCATCTGATATTAGCACTATTAGACTTGAAGACTTCTGTGCATTCTGAAGTTTCGAGTCTTCATACCGGCAGCCTCCATTTCTTCTTTTGACTCCTATTGTTCCAGCTGCATATGTGATGGCTGACAGGGCTTACATGTTTATGGCATGGATTTCATTTTTGCCTTTGGGTTGGGGTTTGAAGGTCTGTCTTATTCTTCGGTAGTTATTAACTCCTTTAATTTGATTTAATTTAATTTAATTTAATTCAATTACAATTTTATTTAATTAGAATTGTTCTTAATTTAAAGGATTTTAAAAATGATTTAATTCTGATTTAAAATTATATGATTATAAAAATTATAAAATTATATTGTATAAGAGTTTAGGTGATTAAGATAATTTAATTAGTTAAAACGCCTCAAATATAAAATATAGAATATGAAAAATCCATTTCTAATTCTCTTGTGGGTGGTTTGAGCCATCATTAATGAAAAAATATATATGTGGAAAGTGAAGTGAAGGCCAAAATATTCCCAGCGATAATTGTATTACTTGGGATTATGACGGTCAAAATGGAAAAATGGCTCAAGAAGATTCCAGGAAAAACAAGAAATTTTTCTACAGAGCAGTAATCTCCCAGTCCTTGGCGGATGTTGAGGATGGTCCTTAACATCCATGGGAAATGATAAAGGGAATCTTTTTTTTAAATAATATGTTTTGTATATATATTCACGTGAAAAAGCTTTATATAGGTTCATAAACGTCTAAGAAATCAGGAGGAGCTTTGCACACGTTCTATTTTGTGTTTGGTGCAATTGGCTTCTGTTATGGGTCAAGTGTTCGATGGAAGTTCGGAAGGTTATAATTCAGAAAATGCAGAAAAGCGATACTTAGCTCAGTTTATAAAATGTATTCTCGATACATTTGAATGGTAATTAACTATTTTACATTTTCTGAAAAATAATTAGCAAAATACACGTAAAAAATAAATAGCCTTGATTTATTTAACTAATAATTTATCTATGATTATTAATTCTGTTTTATCTGCATTTAGTTATTATTTTAGAAAAAAAGAATTTATCAAGCACATTTTTGTTCAGAACTTTTTTCAGTGGTCCGCTAGATCATGAAATTATTGATTTTTGCAACATGATTTATAAATTATTTACTTTCCACAAGATATCTTTCTTCATGAATCTCGATGAACCAATCATTTCTGCATTTTTGCTGTATATTGTTAACATTATGGAACATTTGACACCGCTTATTATGCATGAATTTATTGTATGTAATATCTTTTTTTTATGCTGTACAGTTAAAAATTTATATTTAAATTATATATAAAAATGGATATATTTGTTTGTTAAAGGTTAAAAATGATGATTATCGAAAAGAAGCACTGGTCAAAATTTATGTTAGCTGGATCGTCTTATTTAATTATGCTCGTCGAATGAAACTTGAAGATAATTTGGAGAGTTCAACATTGTCCATTCTTTTAAATTTTGTGAGGTCCGTTCTCTCATCTCCTGAAGGGAATCGTGAAACGGTTTGTAGTTCCATTGAAGAGTAAAAAGAAATGTAAAAAAATTTCTGCTCTTATAAAAATTGTTCGTTGAATTTGAAATTTGAAATTTTGAAATTTGAAAATTTTAAAGAATTGTTTTAAAATATTTTTACGATTTTTTAGATCCTAGATGACAATACTGATGGCGATCAAGAACATGATGAAATAGCATTAGCAGATTTGCTTGAACGTATCAGAGAATTGGCTGGATTTTGCATTAAAGAATTTGCACCGCTAATACTGTCGTAAGCATATTATTTTCATAACAACGATTTTTTTTCATTAGAGCACCATTTCTGACTTGGCTGGCTCTCCTGACTGCTAGAGCAAGATTCCTTCCGATCTAATGCCATGAAATAATTCCAGATACACATTTAAAATATTTCTTCTCCGAATAGATTTTTTATCTTCCCGCTTTTGGCATCATTCATCAAAAGGTTTAATATGTTAAACAGATATCGTGGGCAACTAAGAATTTGACTTAACTCTTTGGCTATCAAAGTAAATGATATTTAAGCTTTATCTCTCATACATCCATTATGCTGTCATATGAAATTTCATTGTAAATGGTTGGTTAGAGATAGACAAGTTTCTGGTATCTTCTACTGTCATTGGCCATGCTTCTCAACCGTATAATAACATAGCATAGTGAGGTAAATGCAAAACTTTTCATTCTTTACTTTGTGGAAGAAACAATTTCTTGCCACATCTACCGAGGCTGATAGATATTTTATCAGTTTCTGGTATGTTAGACGAAAAGAATTTAGTACTTGCGCTTATAGATTCCATTGTAAATCTGATTATCGAGTGGAAAGCAGCGGCAATTTGATAAAACAAACGGCGCTATGTCGCCGATACTCTAAGGCGATATTTCTTCATGAAAGTTTTATCACAGCCTCATACTAATCCAAAGTTGTCTTAATTTAAAATTAGAACGCATCTTATTGTCCTGTTATACAATGGTGAAAAAATTTTCATATATATTAGGTTGACCTCTCAATAGTTGTTATAGTGTGTCTTACCAAACCAAATTTCTCGAAGGATGTAGATAGATTGCCTTATTCCAGTTACATGGTTTTCTTATTCCATCCTAGTGAAGAGGAACTGTAAAAGTGATTGGTGATTGGCCACAAGTTTTTGTTTTATGTGTGGGAATTTTTATCCTTAAGCTGATTCGCAGAGATTATATAGTGTTCAAATGATGACTCGCAACTGCACACGCTTTCATTTCTTTGTATGTCATTCATGTGCGGGTTGCTGGATTCATCTTAGGTTGAAAGAGGCGATCTTCGAGGATTTTATTAGAAATTCTATCTTCATCTCATTTTACGATCATTTCTCGAGTCACGATTGGATCTCTTCGCGTAAATAATGAAATGAATCGACTGAGATGCACTATTTTCATTATTTATTTTTCAGGTGTGTGAGAAATAAATTAAAGCAGTTCGTCTCATTTATGCAGAAAGGCTTTAACAAGCAAATTTTGATTGTTTGGTGGGAAGATATGCATTGGCTTCTTATAATCATTGGTAAAAATTGTCCTTTTGTTCTCTGCATAAATAGTTATAAATTGAATTTTTTTCAATTTTTTCAGATAAAATAAGATGAAATAGAACTGGCGAAATTTCATTTTATTATTTTAAGTTTATTTACTTACAGATAATAAATTTATATACTTATAGGTAATAATATAATATAATTTATGTAATATTATTGGCAGATTCAAATTCTTCGTATTATTTAATTTGGAAATTTTTGCTAATTGAAATTCATATTTGAGGTTCCATCTATGCAATAATTGATTATGAACTTTGCGACTTTCCCTATGCGCTCGAATCTTTTATCGATGCTGATATGGAAAAATATGGAGAGGATTCTAACATAATCACTAATTATATCATTAACTGTATTCAAAATGCCGATTCTTTCGATTCTGTTGATTTGCCTATTTTCGCACAGTTAATTTCTTTTTTTTTTAATTTTTCGGTTTAATTTTTCGAATTAAAGGATTAATTGCATTAATAAAAAATTAAATTGTTTTAATTAAATTTTTAAAAGATCTATAAGTATAAATATGAAAATCAGCTATTTTAGAACCATAGCTATGGTTTCTGCATGGGCTTCTATAGAATATCGTGTTTTGGAAGAATTAAACATAGAACTAACAAGCCCAGAATTAACGAGGACAACAATGTGGTGCATTTCACGTTTATATGGTGCGATGAGCGACGATACAGTCGATCGTAATTCAAGAATGCGACTTATGAAAAGAGATCGTGGATTTGCAAATTTTATCATTGAATTCCTGCTTCGAAAATCATTTGCAATATTCAATAAACTGTCGGGCGAAACTAAGTAAGCATAAAAATTCTTGATGAGCTCATGAAATTCAAAAATTCAGTAATTTTCATGGAAATCTACAAGACTTGAATACAAAAAATTAGGTAAAATTTCGCTAATAAAATTTTTAAGAAAATATTCATAGTTTCTACGAGATGTTGAATATTGCATTTATTTTTATTTATAATAAATATTAGAAATAAGAAAAAAATATTTATTGGGATAAAAAAAATATTTTCTATAAATTTGAAAATAAAATAAACAATTTTATTATATATATATATATATGTGTGTGTTTTCAGATTATGTGAGGATTCGATTGAATTTTTAGGCACTCTTATGAAAAGATGTGCATTGGAAATTGCTTCAGGTGATGTTCTATTTAATTGTTTGTCGACAGTTCGTTATGATAATTTTCCTTCTCGAGCTTCGATTATAAAAGCTTTGGCCATAATTAGTGATTCAGTTGTTGCGAGTGATGAAATTAAAATGCCACTTCAAGAGAAGATTTTCCATTTGGTTTCCTTTTTGTATTTTAAAATATTGTCGTTCTTTTGTTTATTTCAATAATTAATGATTCATTATAGTAATTAGTTAGAATTTTTTACAATTTTATTTTTTTTTTAGTCTCATAATTTCGAATTTTTTTCTAATAACACTATATTTGCAGATATTAGAACCTCTTAGAAACGAATTTTTAACTCTTGACAAAAGTCCTTCGTCAGAATCAGCTCTAATAGATTTACTTGAATGTTTCAATGGTTTCACACAAGCATGTTTTATGAGTGTCTTAGGTATGCATTCATTTTTGATGGCTATTCATTTTGTATTTGAACTAGAAATGGAACGACATTCATTTATTGATTTAAAAGAAAGAATTAAAGATTAAAAAAAGAAAAAAAGATTAAAAAAGGAGCCATTCATTCAGACCAAAATTAATCTGTTTAATTTATTTAAATGACCTTTAAGATTTTTTATTGCCAATACTCGATATATGTGTTATTTCTGCAACATCAATTCAAAGTGATTTATTTTTACGAGAAGTTATGAATTTATTTAAAGCAACGAGTGGAAAAATGAGACTTAGTGAAGAGACAGATGAAAATACAATAATTTTTTATGAAGTAAGTAAGTTTTAAGTAAGTTTTATTGAGCTTTCATTTTATTATTAAATTATGTTATTAAATTGGATATAATATTCATTGAATATAGTGTTTATTGAAGTTTAGAGAATTTTTTATTTGTAGAGGTCTAAGGCTATGAATCATTTGAGACTATGAATTCTTAGAAGAGTAAAATTTTTTATTTTAATTTATTTAATTTTAATTAAGATTTTAATAAGACTATTCGATCGTTATCGTACGGTACAAATGCAAAAACGTAATTCAGTTGATTTTGATGACGATAATAAATCAAATTATATTCTTTCAATTATTTATATTCTAGATGAATTATTGAATCGATTGTTTTTTCATGGTTGCCCTGCTCGTAAGGCTATTTGCCATTTCTAATTTGATTATGAGAAAAAATTTTCTTGTTCAAATTTTTTAGTGTGAAGTAAATCTCAATTTAATAATTTAACAATTTAATATGCCACTGTTTGCCTATATCAGTAGATTATGAGGATTATCATCGTATTTATTCCAATCATTTTCTTTCATTTTTTCATTTATAATATAAGTATCATAAATATCGCAAACTTTCCAAATCTAGAGATTGATGTTATGGAAAAAGGGATGGCAGCATTTTTGTGTGGAATGGAGATATTGTTTTCAGAAATAAATGAACTGATTCTTAACGAATTTCCTCGATTAAGGTTTCTTCTATTTTATAAATTTTGTTATATATTTTTTCTTATATATAACAATTTATATATTTATATATTTTTTATATATTTATATATTTATATTTATATATAATTTATATATTTTTCTTTTTATTAAAATTTTTTTTCCTCGTTTATTATTTCCGTTTTGCGTTTTTAGATTGAAAATGGAAGTGGATTTTATCTTACCTACATATTTTTATTTTTTTGCAAATTTTGCTTTAGCTTCTTCACATTATTAAAACGTCTAGTAAGTATGGAGCCAAGACATTTTGCTTCAATTTCGAGATGGCCATCTCCTTTATTTAATCTGCTTTATTCTGGACTAGAGTTTCAGTATGGTCTTGAGGTAAATTGTTTAAATTTTATTAGGTAGTTGTTCGGTAAATCGATTATTAGATAAAGATTAATTTTAATTTTAATTGATCTGATTCTTTTAATTCTCCCCTTTCCACTCCTTGTGGGCGTTATGGATTAACCTTAATTTCAAGACCTGTACCAGAGACCTAGAAGATTGAAGTTATTAATGCTGATTTCTGATTCTTGTCAATTACCACAAAATCTGGTTGATCGGCCAGTATTTATTTGTCTGTTTGGATATTCCACAGGATCTTCGCCTTGTTATTCCATACGATTTTCTGAGGAATCTCTCATTTAATCTTTGGAAGATATACCCAGCAAATTTTGATAATTCTACTATATGACTATATGGCTTTCAGTGTGTTGCATTTTACATCCTGCCGCTATGTTGGACCGAGACCTTTGCGCTATAATCAATGCCTCAATATTGCCTTTTAGTCCGGTTTTCTCCAACCACTAGTAGGATTTCACAATGTCAGCTACCTCATCTATCTGTCAGTGGTGCAATTCATGGAGAGTCTTGCTTTACCATGGTATTTCTTTTGATTGATCGTTTTCCAGTGTTTTATATGCTTCAGATATTCTCTCAGCAGTTCATTCTTTGGTGCCATCTTAGTGGTATATTTCTGAATGCTTCGAGTTTCATTCAAGATAGTGGCTTCCACATTCACCAAAGCCTGCTCGCCTTCCAAGGTACTTGTAGCTAGCCTTATGTTCACTATATGCCAGGTCAACTCCATTAGTCATTTATTACTGCTTTTCCTCTTTTTACCATCCAGCCATATTTTTCTAATCCTGTTGACATCCCAATGTCCTCGTTGTAAATCCGACTTAGATGGATGAGCGAGTCAATATCTCGTTCACTTTTTGCTTGTAACTTGATGTCATCCATGTAGACAAGATGGCTGATGGTAATTCCGTTTTTGAATTTGTATCCATATACACTTCTGGTGTTTACCTGGGGCTTTAGAACTACGCAAAACAATAGAGGAGAACAATATATCGCCTTGGTATGTGCTGCACTTGATAGCTATTTATGCAAGCTGTTTCAAGTTGATTTCAAGTTTTCTACAGTCCCACTGAGTTCTCAATGAATGTCTTCAGGGTTTTCTTAATTTTCTATAGACCCAGATATTCAGGGATCCATATGTCGAGTCATAAGCTTCTATATAGTCAATTCAAGTTGTACATAGATTGATTTGCCGGGATTTTGAGTCTACAGTGTATTGCTTCCTTATAAGGATCTTTCATTATTAGCATCGTCCTTCCTTGTATTAATCGGTCTGTGTGAGAGTCTGGCGCAGGCAGCTGGTGCATCTGTATCGTTAGCCCTCCATGAACCACTGTTACATTATGAATCTTCTTTTTCTCCTATATATTCTTCCAATATTGCATAGTTTCTTCTGTTATCGGTTCTATTTTAATTACCATTTTAATGCACTGAAGTTGAGAGTACATCTTAGACGGTTCCTTGGAGAATATGGCGTTTATCTTCTTAGCCTCCATTTATCTAATATGCCTCCTTAATTTAGTGGCTGGTGCTGTTAGTTTTTGTTTAATAATCTCGAAGGTTGCCCTTGTATTTTCCCATAATCTGGGTATTTTTATTCACACCTTTCTATAATTCTGTCAGCTGGCTAACTTCTCTGTGTTATCCTCTGATCTTTTTTAGCCTCCTTTTCCATGGCCGAATTGCACTGTTGATTTTATGCTTCAGAATTTCGAAAATTCCAATTTATTATAATTACAATGGCAGTAGAAATTGTTGCGAGTACTCTGTTTACATTTTCATTTATATTATCTGGTGATTCATCAATGATACTCGGTCATTAACTACAGCCATCTTATAGCGAAGATATGGGAGGTAATTTCCAGTTTCCCAACTTTAGGCGTGCATATTTCTTGTTTCCTTTTCTTGCTGAATAGTCTTGGTCTGGGATGTGGCGCAGAACTGATCCATCCTGATCCATCACCAACTGATAGAGCAGATTACTTTTTCTTATATTAAAATATCGTTCCGCCAACTGTTTCTCAATTAGTGTAGATCTTTTATCGATCCATGGTGCCTTCATTTGACCTCTTTAATTAGGTCTATTATTATAGTAGCATTCCATCTATTATTATTATTCTATTATTATAGTAGTTTCAGATTACCTTGTCTCTCCATGTAGAGTTCATTCCAGTAGCCTCTTTAATGCCAGGGTGCCCTGGTCCTACAACAACTGGCGCTATTCCAGTAGCCCACTTGTCATCGGATAAACCTAGCCTCATCCTCTAATGCGCACCTTATTAATTCGAGCGAGTCGGCATAACTCTAATGTGCGACACTTTTATAACAAGGTAGAACTGGTAGGTATGAACGTAATTTTGCCTAGGGACTATCTCGGAAAAGCAGAGGCTTTGCGATTCGAACCAAAACATTTTTATTCTATGTCAATCGCCTGCGCTACTACACTAAATCGGCTCTAATTTGTATATATATATTTATAAATGGTCAACCCATCCTTATATTTTTTAAACAATCGTAAATGTTGATCTATCAGTATAGGTGGCAAATCTATCAGCAGAAATTCTTCGACATATTGCAATATATTATTCACACTTGGAATGTTTGGATTTAGAATTATCAAAACGACTTTCAACGTTCATTAATGTAATTTTATGTTCATTAATTTTTTACCGTTTCTGTGATTTTTAGCAACTTCTTAATCGTAAAAATTTGCTTTTATTTATCACTGTTTCTGTCATACAGCACCTATAGTCATGGATGCTTCAATTAAATGGCCTTGACAATGGAGATGGCGGCTCGAATAGGTAATAATAGGAAACTGTTTCGCCGTCTTCACAAAGCAAGTATAACTCGAGAAAAAGTCAGTGAAATGAACACGATATATTAATGGGGCGCCAGTTAAGACTAAGGATTGCCTCATAAGATGGAAAGAATTTCTGTAGCCAAACCACAATGCGCCATTTGCCGAATCTAATTGATTCGCTCGTCGAGTTATATTTGCAATTGCGAACTGCCAATAGAGGAGGAAATAATCTCTAAAATCTAAAGGCTTAAGAGCAATAAAATTCTCTTCGCTTTCGCTTTCCTTCTGCTAGACTTATAGCAACACGAGATAGCAGAATGCGTCCTAACCAAGCTGGATTCAAAATGGGATGCGGTTGTGCTGCCAGCTATTTACGTCACTTACTTTGTCGATTTTGCAGCTGGTTTCCATTCAACTAATAGAATAGCACTCTGGAAAGTGATGGAATGTGATGGTTCCAAAAACGATCATTCGGTTCATAAAGGCTTTTTATACCCTGGCACAGATTCCTTCGAAATAAGAACTAATATGCGTCAGGGCTGCGTTTTTTCCTCTACTATATTCAACTATACGATAGATAGATGTATAATGGGCATCGTTTGTCGGCACTCAAGAGTTATGCAATCAGTCCCAGAGCATAGTATCGCAAACTTTGAATACGCTGATGGTGCATTACTTTTTGCTGAAAATTATAATGAAATGAAAGAATTTTAAACAATATGTTTACAACAATGAGAATCGGACTCAAAATCAGTGTAAAGTGTTTTCATCTTAATATACAATGCTGATAAAATACCTATTTTTATCAATTCACCGGTTGAGGAAATGATGGGCATTAAATACTTGGATCCACTCTAATCCCAAATGGCCAGACAAAGGATGAAATTGTAACCGGATAACGGCAGCTAGAATTCGTTTTTTCGGTTGATGGAACCTTCACCGGACTGTCGCGAAATTACCATGAAGATGGAAATCCGCGTCCATATAGCTGCATTTCGATCGATCTTGCTATGTGGCTGCGAAACATGGCTAATTAGAATGGAAGATAGTAAGAAGCTATCAACATTTTACCACTCATATCTAAGTTACATTTTATTGATTTTTATTGATCCGTCAAACAGATAAAATCTCACATGATTGTATCTATTGTTCTAATATCACCCGTGTTGATAATATTATCATTGAGCCTTCGCTGGTTAGGACACGTTCTCCGTCGTTCACCATAGGAGTTGACCCATATTTCGTTACTTGCTAAACTCTGTAGTGATTGGCGTCAAAAGCGAGAAGAGCCAGCCAATCTGGACTGATACAATCATTTCGAACGTATAGAGGGGTCAGCGATATATGGATTTAGACGATGGGAAAAGGAATGGCTTCTATTGCTACTAGCGATGGCGTCGTATGGAGCAGCTTGGAGACGTCTTATTTTTAGCCAACAGAGCCAGCCTAACCAGTAATGGTGAGAGCTGACAAAAGAATGATTTTTATCGAATCATAAAAATTTTGCTTATTATTTGTCACTGTTTTCTTCTGTCTTGCAGCATCTATTTTCATGGACACTTCAATTAAGTTGTGATCTGGAAATGGTTACAGTGGGAAGTGACGCCCTTTATAGTGTTATTTGTTGTGATCGGGTTGGTTTTTTTGAAAATTTCAGTTTTCGATACTAATTTTATTTTATCATTAAACCATTTTGTTTCTATAAATTAGCATAGCATTTCCATTTCATTTGTAAATCCATAAGCCTCTTTTAGGACGCATTTACGCAGTTTGTTAATTCACTGTTATGTCGCGAAGAAAATGTAAACATGAGGCCACGGTTGGAGGAAGCTTTTCGACCTTTATTAGAGTGTACAGTTGTTGGTCCACCATCTCGAAAAAATATGATGACATTTCGATTGCGTTTCGAAAAGTTTTTGAATGCAATCGCTGGAATTCTTGTCGTGGAATGATACGAAAAGTAGTTTTGTTAATGTGTTTTCCGTATTTTATACATATCCTCATTCTTTCGTAAACACTACTTTTTTTAGTGTTGGGAATATAAAGAGCATGATATATAGCAATGTTTATTATTCGAATTTCAAAAGTGCTATGAGGGAAAAAGGTATCAAAGCAAGCCAGTCAGCCCTTACTCCATATATTAACATCCATTTTTGCACTTTTTATACCTATTCGAAGAATTTTCTTTTACTTATTTATCTCCTTATTTATCACCCTTTTTTTTATAATAGATCAAAATCAAGTAGATCGTAAAAGATCAAAACTGAACAGAATTTCGAAAATTGGTAATTGTTAACAGTTCTCACCAACCAAGCGAAAACTCTACAAGATTTTTCTACGAATATATTTTGTCCTCCTACGAATAAAAAGCAGTATGAAAACTAATTTATCAACGTTTTATTATTCAAAAGTGTGGCATAAGGTATCAGATAGAAAAGTTCTTCGAAGAAGAAATAAATCTGAAAGTCACGTAAATAATTATACAAATATTCAGTACACACCGTTTATATGCAAAACATTAGCAGTATCAAAATAAATATTAACTGCGACAATCACAGTTAGACTTTAATTAGCACTATTCATCATTTGCTCTAAACAATCGTCCGAGAGGACCCTTTCTTTTTTTGTGAGTACCACTGTCTTCTGTTACTTCTTGAATGATCGGTCCTTGGTTTCTGCGACTGCGTGAATTTCCAGTTCTAAGAAAATTTCCATAATTTCTAATAAAAATGGCTCATAAATAAAATTGCTGCATTATGAAACCGATCAAACTAAAATTCTAAGTAATTCTAACTTGAGGTAAAATTTTGCTGTTGAAACTAACCTTGTATCCTCAAATTCACTTTCGTCCTCTTCGTCTGGCAAAGTAATAATGGGAGCTCCTCCAGTATTATCGCGAGGTGCTCCTTTTTGTCGAGGCTGAAATCAGTTTTTTTTTAAAAATATTTTCTAAATATATTTCTATAAGCCTATTAAGAGAAACAGCTCTCTCTACGAGCGGCGAGGTGTTGGCTAGCAATGAACGCCAGAACGCTTATGGATGTTGCAAGCCAAGCAATAACTGCCTACACTCTTTCTGAATATTGTGTGGATGTTCAGTCTTCCTGATTTCGAATCTCAAGTAATTACTAAACCAGAGGCTCTGCGCGAAGGTACTGGCCTTATCATAATGGTCATTAATGTGCATGATACAACTTTGACTGCATATGATCGTGATAAGGATAAATTCAATGCAGAAATTTAATTGTTAATAGCATTTTTACCGAAAAATGACATTCATAATTGGAGGGAACTGGAATAAGAAAATAGGCCATGGAGGCGCCACGATGAATTCGGTATCTGTAAAGGTAGTATCGAGGTCTGCCTGATGCATCGATGGACGAAGTGTTCGCTTTGTCGAATAGCATGAACTTTTTGTTACCAATACATATTTCCGACATAGAAGACATCTACGTGGAAATCCCCGAATAACCCAAATTCCACCCAAATCTACTTTCTTTAACAGTCCTCATCACTACTGGTTAAATTTGCTCCGCTGGCTTGTCGCACTGGATAAATATGCCAAGGAGTCCCTTAGCGTTAGAAGTATACAGGTGAGTCGCCAGAATTACTCGGGTTTTTGGATATGTTTTCTCCTGCGAGTAACAGAACCTCAGCATCGGCGATACCAACTGATCCAGAAGGCAACAACCCACTGAGCCATCCTATCTCCATCCAAACCGGTTATACCTTGGTCGGTCGCCGTTGGAAGAGTTAAGTACTAGATGATTATTCCTACTAAGGCGTTGAAAGTGGTAATCTTCATGGATCAGACCAGTGTCTCCCAAGAACATCAAGGACGTCTCTGGAGCAGCAGATGAATACTGATCCCAGTTAGAAGATCTCCTCCGAAAATCTGCCATGGATATACTTCAGTTAAGTGCTGAAAGCAATTGTATATTCTGAGATTGCCAAGGCACGAGAGATCCTGGCCATCGAGTGGTGTGGTTCGAAGAAGCGTACAATGATAGTAGAATAGAAATCGCCACTGGAGCGATTTGGTCTTATTGGCCTTAATCTTGAGGACAGCTGCTTGATCAGATGATCATAGGAAACTATTCAGCTTTCTTCATAAAGCAGTTATAACATGGGGAACGACCAGTGAATAATAAGGGATAGTAATGATGTACCTGTTAGGGGATCGTAAGATGGATGAAATTCTCTCAGACCAAACCATCTGTTGCCTTGGACTGAATCATTCGCCGAACGATGTTTGCAATTGAAAACATCCATAAGATTACGGCCAATAAGACTTTGGGATAGTCCACAGACTGAACTCTTCAAATGTCCTTCGTCGTTCTTTATAACGCACCTTGAACAAATGTACTATCTGGTATGGAAGAAAGAAATAATACCAGATGAATGCAGCGAAGCAATGCAATTTTATTCTCAATTCCTAAACAATCCTAAACAAAGTGACAGGATATACTGATAGCTATCAAAGAATCAGCATCAGCAACTATTAGATATCTCCGGAAAAACTTTTGTTTCTTAAATGAGTAATGGAATAAATTTGTGGCAAGTACGAGATACGCTATAACCAAGCTGGATTATGACGAAATGTAAATATAATGCAAGACGATGTGCCAGCAATTGCAGCGAGTCAGGATCAATAAAATGGAATTTTTCCACCTTATATACCAGAAATTGACAAAATACTTATCAATTCATTGTCGGTTAAGGACTTCAGAAATCTTGGATCCACTCTAATCCTAAACAAGTGAAATATGAAATTATAACCGGGATAATGGTAGTTGGATATTCGTTCTCTCGAAATCCTTATGGAGTTATTGCGAAATCACCAAAGAGACGAATGTTTGCGTCCATAACTACAGTTCACTCGATACTGCTATATCGCTATATTGCTATTTTAATAATGGGCAATGAGAGTGGATGTTAATTTATCTTCCTTTGACCAGTCATATCTAAGAGAGACAGGATTTGTCGAATATTTGACTACTTGCAAAACTCTTTGATGAATGGCGTCATTTGGGCCAATCAAGGCCTGGATTGATACAATCAGGGATGATTTTGAACATATAGGATGGCTAGCGATATATAGACTTAAATAGTGGAAAATGGAATGGCTTCTATTACTATAAGCGATTTAGCGATTCGGTGTTGGACCGAATAGCTTGGAGACGTCTTACCCTTGTAGCCTTGTAGCCATCAGAATGTTTAACCAATGGTGAGAGCAGAATTTTCTATATAAACTTATTTTAAACTTAAACTTATAAATATTTTAAGACTAATGATCATGATCATTAACGCTCATCATAACTCAAGTTTTCCAATTTGTGATAAGAACTTATGAGCATGTAATATAAATAAAATTTTAAAAAATTTCCATTAAACGACCATTAACCTCGCGTTCTCTCCCTTCTATCGCTGCAACTGTATGTGATCGTCTTGTTCCCAAATTATATCGAGCTCGGTTGGTAAATTCTCTATCAAAATCTTTCGCTTCTTCTAAAATAAATTGCTACATATTTTTATTTTAAATCATTTCAAAATCATTCTAAATTGTCAAAAAATGAAATAAATTTGCAAAAATAAAATTATTATTATTACATAAAATTATATACGTCTGATATGTCTGATAAAAGATAAACCATCTTAACGGAAAAAAAGCCGTTAAATGCGGTTTCAAAAAAATTAATTTAAAAAAATTTTCACAGAACAGTCTTTTTAACAATGTAAAGCGAATAAATTTACCCTCATCCAGGTTAATAAAACGTTGTTTTTCACGAATGCGACCACTTCGATCGCGTTGTTTTTCTATAATATGAGTGCGATCACCGATCGTATGCTCAATGGACATTCGATCCCCAACGCCTTGTTCGCCAGTTCGAACAGAATGACTATAATTATAATTATAATCATAGTCAATGACTATAATTTTGACCATTAAACGCAAGTCAAACACAAAAAATTTTAAAAAAATTTCACAAAGAAAAGAAATAGAGTAAATATATAAAGAAGTAATCATCGCGAAGAAAAACATAAAAAAAATATATAAAAAATAAGCAGCAAATTTCAACGGAAAAAAATCACCGAGTTTCCTTGATGTCACCCGTTTTTCGCACTGATTTTTCTACGACTCGAGGCTGATTGCCATTCGTTCCATCAAAAGTTATCATCGTTGAATGCGAAAATATATGCGAATTTGGATCATTCATCGCCGCTGTTTCCAGATTTTGCTGGGATTGTCAATTATTCAATTTACAAAAACAGCAAATCGAATGACTGAGTGACTGTTTGATTTTATAAAGTTTTGAACCATTACATTACGAAAATATAATGCTAGAAGACTAAAATATACCATGTGGTCGAACATCCCACCAAAAAGTCCACCAAAACCTCCGAACGGACTCATTAAAGCCAAATCATCGTTACCACGGCGACCAACATTTTCGATTGCTCTTCCCACTATAAAAAAAAAGGAATAAGGAAAAAATAAAATTATACAGATGACATATATTTTCATTGTTTTGTTAAAATAACGTTCCAATTTCTTATTTTTATTCGAAACTCGATTAATTTTAAAATATACTGCGATGGTCAAAAACTCCAAACGGATCCATCATTTGGTTCATCATTCTGTCCATATCTCGCATTTGACGTCTCATTTGCTGATGTACTCCCCTAAAAAAAAGCACTCTTTTCCAAATTAAAATAAAAATTATCTGAAAATATTCGGCTAAATCTGGAAAATAACAAGACTCCCAAAAAAATTCTGCTCTCATCAGATTTATAGATCCCTTAACTAAATTACACAACGATCACTCGATATTTGTTGGTAATTGACACAACCAGCTCTTACGAAATACTCTTATCACTTATCATTTATCTCTTATTATTTAAAATAAAATAATCAAACAAATGCCAGAAACTAGTTTATTTCTTTTTACCTATTAAAAGAATACAAAAATTTTTTCCAAAAAAATACATAAAAATGTATAAATACAATAAATTAACAAATTAGATATTATCATCACTAAATTGAGCATAAAGTATAAAGTATTTCTTCTAAAAAACCAATAAAATTTTCAACAAAAAAAATCCATGGAAAAGACGGAAATAAACCCGACAAATTTTTCCCTCGTTTTTTCAAGCTATTCTTGATATTTCTAATTTTGTTGCTAAGCAATGAAATTTTCATTGAAATTTTTATCGTTCTTAAGACCACAAATGTCCAAAATAAAAAAAAAGTTCGTTTTAGCTTTATTGAAAAATTTTAATCAATGAAAAAAGGCTACAAAAATGAGGCTTGAAAAAACATTTGATAAATTTAAAAATTAGAAACAAACCCAAAAAAATCATCACCAAATGGAAAACCACCGAACATGTTACTTAGCAAAGCTGATTTGTCGACAAGCTTTCACCTGAAATCATTAAAAATTAACTATATTAACTATTCAATTTCAGTTTCGACAAGAAAAAAAAATATTCGCTGGCGGTTCAAATCAAACGGTATAATGATATATTTTTCAGAAAATTAACTGCCTCTAAAGATAAAAGCATTAAAAAAATTCTTCCTCACTCTCTGCAGGTGATAAGAACCATTCTAAGCTCTCAGGTCTCTCGTAGAGGATTCCAGAATTCCAGAATAGTATTTTAGCTGGCAGTGCGGACAAGAATGTAGGACATCGTTCCTTGAATCTGTTGCAGACACTTTCCTATTTTACACAATACCTACTGCAGCACTGGGATTATATCGGCCTTTAGTTTCCACATCTTGCCTAATTTTTTCACTCTTTGGTATTCTTTCAGTCCTTCTCTTCTGTTGTATTTTTTCTCATATTCCTTTCTAATGTTTCAACCAGTTAGTGTTGCTAAATCTATCACCAGTGATTTATCTACTACTATGACATTTGGTTGTTCGTCTGATATAAATGAAGTCCCATAGGAGTCTTCACCTTATTATTCTTCACCCCTACGAAATACTGCATCTCTTATCACTTAAAATAAAATAAACAAACAAATGCCAGAAACTAGTTTATTTCTTTTACCTATTAAAAGAGAACAAAAATTTTTTCCAAAAAATACATAAAAATGTATAAATACAATAAATTAACAAATTAGATATTATCATCACTAAATTGAGCATAAAGTATAAAGTATTCCTCCTAAAAAACCAAAAAATCTTCAATAAAAAAACCGATGGAAAAGACTTGAAACCATGGAAAAAAGTGTTGCTAAATCTAGTCTTCACCTTATATTCTCCAAAATTTTCTAAAAAATCTCCGATTTAATCTTAAAACTTGGTTATATGCATCTTACCACTACCTTAAAAGTTGCGCTTTAAGTCGTGTCTGATACTGTTGCTTCGACGATTGACCTGTTCTTGAGCTACTATGATCAATGTAAGACATCAGCCAATCTTTTAGATAAACATTTTCAAACCATCTCATCTGCTGATGGTTCATCCCACTGATGATCTTCCTTTGCTTAATCTTTCTCCATTATATGTTTCAGACATTCTCTTAGCTCTTAATTCTTTAATGATACCTTACTGAAGTATTCCTGAATGCTCAATCAAGACAATGGTTTTGATACCAAGCCCCACTCACCTTCTTTCCTGCTGGTGTATAATCTATGGGTAGGGCTAGGATGGAAATTCCCAGGCGTTGTGGAGTATTTCCAAATCCTCATATCAGCAGCTTCCATGTCTTCCTTTAAGCATCCTATTGCGTATTTGATAACTAGCATATTTATGTATGGAAAGGACTTCTATGGAATAGACTTTTTTTCTCACTAAGTCTTCAAGATATTATCCTTTGATGGTACTTAGAGTTACCTTCCTTGCCAAGTGTGGTTTCTGTGAAGTGTGTAACTGTGGGATATCAAAACACTTGCAATATATGACCTGCAGGCAGATCCACTTTATCACTCTAACCACTTTTCCTCTATTATCATCCAAACCACACTAGTCCGAATGATATCCCAATGTTTTCATTGTAAATTTGTGTTAGATGAGTGTGGAAATCTTCGCTTTTAGCATATAACTTAATCCATTTAGAAAAAATTTGTTATCCACTTGCAATTACTTCATTTAGGGAATTTAGAGGGAACTTATGCAGAACGTCAGCGGGAAATGCATCACTTTGATATATACATTGCTAGTGGAAACTGTCTTGAATCCTTGACAGCGACACTGGAAATAAGGACTAGAAAATGGAAAAGGAACTTGGAAAGATGTAGAAAGTAAAAACCAATGTAACCCCAGTGATAATAGGATCACTAGGATATGATTTCTAAATTAGAAAAATGGCCTTAATATATTTCACGAATAACATTAGAGATCTTCATCCATAAATGATCCATAGGAAGAGCTAGGATTTTTTAAGAATTCTCGATCTTCCTGATCATAGAACCTGAGCCTGAGGATAATCCATAAATAGAAAGTGAGGAAGGGAATTTTTCAAATACTTTTTTGTGCATATACCATTTCCCAAAACATAGTACGACCTTCTCGTGAAGCATATGAAGCACGTGAGGCACGAAACTTTTCAACTTTTATATCAAAACTTTTTTTCTCATAATAAGCAGTTATTCATGACATATTCATTTCATTTCCTTTAAGATTTTAATATTAAAAAGAGAAAAAATGTAATGTACTCCTCTCACTAAGCCTTTCTTCTAAAAATAGCTACATATATATATATACATTTATATATATATAAAACTAAATTTCATACAAAATATAAAATGAATATAAAATATGAATATAAAATGAATATAAATATAAAATCTACATATAAAATGATTTTATTACTGGTGGTGTGGTTTAGATTACCTAATATTTTAAAAAATTCTAATTTATCTAAAAATCCTCATATTAGCAGCTTCCATGTCTCACTCTCTTATAATAAGATAATTATCGACTGAAAAATTAATTTCAGGAATGATAATAAGGGTAGGGAAGGGAAACGAGGGAAAAGCCTTACCCTAGTCGCTAGCAGAATTAGCAAAACCAGTAGATGATGTGAACTATCAGGAAAAAAATAAAAATAAATCTCCATAATTTATAAAGCGAAAACAAATGACCTGAAAACGAAAGTTCGCGATCAATCATATGGCCTCTTTCTTTATTTGATAGAACGGATGGACCGCTTCCGGTCTGGCTGGCTTGATTTATTAATACAGCCAATTTAGAGTATAGAGAATTTAGAGTTTAGAGAATTTAGAGTATATATGGATATATGGATATATATGGATAGAAATACATATGGATCCCCAGTATCACCCTTACATTTATTTATCTTTATTCTCATGAACAGCAAATGAGCCTAAAATGTTTAACCTCAACCGCTGCATATTACCCACCTATAAGAGAAGTGCATGGCCAAAGTATTAAATTAAAAAAAAGGAATAACGAAAATCTTATCGATCGCAATCTCGCGTTTATTGTTTTCCTCAATCAACTTTTCCGCTATAGGACATTAAAGAAGATGCAACCACTCAAACTTTCGAAAATATCTTTAAAGTAAATAATCAAAAATTATTGAAAAAAATCTGCACGGAAATCGAAATCGCAAATTTCAATCGATAAGTGCTGACTCACAGATCGCATAAACGCATCACGAATGAACAACTACCTTTGATATGATAAACGAACACAAAAACAAATCGGAACATCAGCAAAATCGAAACTTTCAAATAATAAATTTTAAACTTTAAAACCCATTCAAAATTTCAGCCTTATGCTTTAAATGAGTGAAAGTTAAAAGAAATGACAGACGAGAATATTGCACCTAATGAAACGATTATTTCCAGGTGCCACCAGAACCACCTTTAAAACTGCGCCTCTAAGCCGGGGCTACTCGAACCAACAAAGTTCCACAGGGCTATCGCATCAAAAGATATATAAATGATGTACGAATTTCGAACTCATACGGACTCGGAGAAATTTCCAGAACATTCTAGAAAACTCCACAGGAAGCGTCCATCCCAGTATTTCGATGCGATCTCGACCGACAACACGCATTACTGATGTGACTGACCCATTTGTTCCACCAATAATTCAGTCCCGAGATTATTCATCACTCACAATCTACTGCTTCAAATATAATATAATTATTGATTGTTTTCCTCCATTACTATCTGTCGGTTAAGCAAGCGAACGGAAAAATTTCGGTCTCTAATTTCCTACATTTTCAAGATAAAAATTTAAATGCTCACCCTCTACCCCCACCACCCGTTTTCCCCAAGGTTGGTTCCATCACTTGTCAGTACAACGAGGAGCTAGGAAATCAATTGCATACAGAGGTGCAGGCTGGTTCAGAACATCGCAATTATGTGTCACGTCCATATCTCTTCGCACGATTTTTAAATGGCAGCTTTACTCACGACGCAGTTAGGGATCCGAGTTCTAGTGTTTGCTTTTATGTCCAGATTAGTGAGTAGGTCAGCTTCCTGTGGTCAAATCGTAAGAAACAAGTTTCTGCGAATCATTCAGAAGTGTTTGGAGGAAAGTGTCACTGGAGATGGGAATGAATTTATGAATATTTGCGGGATGCTTAGCCATCGTATTTTCGTCGGGGAACGGCACGTTTCCGAGTGGAAAGCCTCAAATATATACAAACTGAAATAGGGCAGCAAAAAGCTTCGTCGCGTTTACTGCAAACTGTTCGTCTATTAAATGAATTCTGCTTTAATTTATTTTCTTAATTTCTGCTTATAACTTCCAAATTTTTTTTCAAAAAATTGTATGCGCTAAATTAAATTAAATTGTATGCAGCATTTCTGCCAAGGGAAGGATGACGAAGGAGAAAGGTAAACCTTTCAGCTGCCCTGCTATCGGTCAATAGCCCACTTCTCCAAAGCAGGTATCGAGAATTGGATAACCTGTGGCGTACTTATTAGAAAATTTGCGTTTCTCCGTGGAAATTGCTACTGCTTACAAATTATAGAAGCATGCACACGCATAGTTCGAAAAACGTGCAAATCGCTTGCACAAAAATGGAAATTCCACCACTTATCGAAAAAAACAAAAAAAAGAAGAAAGCCAATAGAAAAATTCTTATTTCAGGAAATTTTAGTGTTTTTCCCATTGAATTTTTGTATATTTATGAGAAAAATAAATTTTAGCAAGAAAGAGGAGACTCGAACAAAAAATTTTATTAGTGGTTGTTGTTCAGATTGGAGCGTCTATGCTGGGGTTCTATTCCTCGTTGTGACAAACTTGTTGAAAAATTCGATGATGCTGGCTATTTAAGTCAACTTCCATCCTTAATGGACTTATTTGTTATAATTACTTAATTTTTCAACGATTCGATATTCTGCAATATTTTTTTTAAATGATTAAGAATTGAAAAAAAGAAATAAAATCAAAATTTCCAAAATTTCAAATAAAGGAGGAACAATCGACTATTTGCATTTTATGTATTCTGCTTTTTTTAACGCATCATTTATTTGCCTTAAAAAATTGAGAAAGGAACGATAAAAAGTGGACGATCTAGCCTGATAGACCTGAAGTTCAAAATTCAGTCCTAAAATATATCATTTTATAATATTTTAATATATCTATTAACAAATTACTGATCAAAATCAAACACAAGCAGCTCCAGAAACAATTTCGATTAACAAGTTACTCATCAAAATTAAACACAAGCAGCTCCAGAAATAATTTCAATAAGTTCGCGAGTAATTACCGCTTGTCGAGTTCTATTGAAAGCCATCGTTAATTTATCAATCATTTCGCCTTAAATAATTTATAATTATAGTTAAAATATAAATATAAACATATGTTTTCACATATATTTGCATATATGTTTTCATAGATACAGAATTGAGAAAAAATTATTGAAACTTTTATTAAAATTTACTAATTAAAAGAAATATTGCTCACCAAGAAAAATAATTTATCCTGATGTTGAAAGTAAAATTATTATAATTATTATAATTTTATATAATATTATTATATAAAATTATTTTTAAACCAGTTGTTGCCATAGACCTAGTTGAAACCATAAAAACCCAGGGAAAAAAAATCCACGTGGAACATTTTCCTTGAACCTTTTAAGTACTTCCTTAGCTATGTCGGACATAAGATGTAAAAAATGAAATTGTAGCTGCAAATAGCTATATTATACATTCACATTAGTTTTTTTTTTTTTTTAAGAGTCCTCACCTTTACTGGTTAAACTCGCTCCACTGGCTTGTCACACATAGAGCAATATGCCATGGAGTCCCTTGGCAATAGAAATAGAAATACAGGTGAGTTGCCAGCATCACCCGGATTTTTGTACAGATTTACTTCTGCGGGGAATCGAACCTCAACATCGGCGCCCCTAATCGAGCAACAACCCACTGAGCCATTCTCTTCCTCATTCATTTTACTTTAGGCCACTCTATTTGCCTTAGGCCCCTAAGTTTCCATGTACTCCTCGAAGGTCGCAGGGATTCCAGCAGATCTGTGGAGGTCGGTTTGACGACCAATATTCTAAACCATCTTATTTCTCACTAGAAATATTTTAAAAATAGCAAATCACTTTGCTTTCAAAATATAGCAAAACAAACCGGCATTTTTACTCGCTGAGTCCATGGCTGTCATCCTTGAGCTTTGTTCTGAAGTCGATGACTCCTTCATTGCATAATAGAGAGTTTGAGCCAAAGAATATTCAGCAAAATTGACAACGACTGTGTCATCCAATGAATCGTATGAACCAATACTGGGACTACTCTTAATATTAATATTAATATTAATAAATAAATCAGAATTCAGCTGATTCAGACGATTCTTTTTTACAAAACTTCTATTTGATATCAGATAATTTTCCTATGAATCTCCCTCCGATTTGAAATTTATTTCTTTGTAACCTCGTTTAAAATAAATTGAAAAAAAAGTAGAATAAAAGCGTGAACTGCTTGAAAGGCAAATCTACGAAATGAACCTTAATTAAATCCAGAGTGGATAATTGCATTTTAGTCGTTCTATAAGAAACAACCGATTTGAAATTATTGTAGATTACCCAACCCTGCAATGTTTAACCATTAAAGAAATATTATAAAATAAAATAAAAAATTTATATAGAATTTATTTATATTAATCTAGAAAAATTAAAAATTTTATGAAACTGGGAAGAATAGAAAAGATCAGATATTGGCAAACTTAAAGAATAAAAGAAGAAAATTTTAAAATAAAGAAATAAAATTTTCAAAAAGTTTACTTCATCAAAATGATATCCACTCTCAATTATTGCAGTTGCAACTGTTGATGCATCACGAAATGTTGGCGGCTGACGCCCAATCTCATTTCCACTTAGCAGAATATCATTCGAATAATTTCGAGAGAAAGCACTTTTCGCTTTGTCTCCAATGAGTACCAATTTATATTCCACGTCATTTGGTTTATTGCTTAAGATGTGTTTTGCTTCCTAAAGAAATTTAGAGCACCTGAATAAATGATAAAAAAGGAACATTTATAAAGTCAGTGAAGTAAAAAACGTCGATATTCTAAAAACCTTGCAGATGGATGTATGAACGGAGCCACATAAACCTCTATCAGATGTCATCAAGACAAGAAGACGTTTTTTATTATCGGATTCGCCCTTTGTTAGTTCACTCGCTTCTTTGGAGTGCAAAATATTCTCAAAAATTTTTTGAGATCCTATACCATAAATTCGCCCACCCTAAAAAAATTCAGAAATATATTCTAAAATATTTAGAAGAAATGAATCAAAATAAGTGTTCTTTAACAGACAATTGACAAAGAATGGCTTAGTGGGTTGTTGTTCAATTGAGAGCGCAGATGCTGAAGTTCGGTTCCCCGCAGGAGAAAGCCTGTACAAAAAACCTGGCAATACTGGCGACTTACCTGTGTTTCTACCGCCAAGGGACTCCCTGGTATATTTGTCCGATGCTACAAGCCAGTGGAGCGCGTTAAAAAAACTGGTACGAATATTTGTGCCATTCTTTATTTTTTCATGATAAATCCTTTTGTCCAGAAGGATAATAGCGCAAAGATTAATATAAGCATTTGAAGATTAAAATCTGTGTAGGAATTTTTCTTGCTTTAAAAATCAAATTCAGAGCTAATGCATTCCTTCATCAACAATCGTTTGAAAACATTAAGGAATAAGAAAATAAAAATGAAATAAATGAAATAAATATTAAAACCTTCAATTCCCGTTCAGCTTTTGCGTATTTTGCGGCAGAAACCATTTTCATACTTTTCGTTATTTTTTGTATATTTTTAATCGACTTGAGACGAAGTGAGATATCTTTCAATGTCGCAAAATTTCTTTGCTGATTGATAAGCAAAAACTTGGGCGAAATAGCGGAAAATTTCAAAATAAGCATTTCCTTGAAAATTTAACATTAAAAAATTTGGTGTTAAGCGAAATTTAATGAGCGAATCAAACGAATTAAAATGTAGAGAAACTAAAAGCATAACCGATTCGCAGATAAAACGACTACTAAAAATAATAAAAAATAACCAACAAATATGCCACACATTTTTAATTCAGTGACAAAATTAATAAAAATAAATTTTTATCAACACAACAATGGATTAGAATTAATCAGAAAAAAAGGAAAAAGGAAAAGGATATCCATCCCACTACGAACATTAGCTGAACGAGGTTTATTATTTTTGTCCAAGAACGCAAATTTGAAAGAAACGCATAACAAATGCAGAAATAAATAATAATACAATAAAAGTAAAAAATCCAAAGAATGGAAAAATCTATAAAGACTGAATTTATACGACAGTTAAGTTTAGTGGTTGGCGCCTATCATTTCTGGTTAGGCTAACTGGCAATTAGTAAGGTTAGAAATTTTTGCAAAAAGAATCACTTGGAGATAGAAATTCAAGTGGATTGCCTGCAACAACAAGATTTTTCAATAAATTTTTATTCCTATTGGAGCTGGGTATCGAATCTACGATACTCGACACAAAATTAAGGCAAATATACCACCTGACCGATCTGTTCCTCGGATATGGCCACATTTATGCATAAAAAATGAAACCGATTAAAACAGCGAATTAATTGTTACCAAAAATAAAATATAAAAATTTAAGAGAGAAATTCATGGAAGTGCAAAAGTTCCAAGGTAAAAAGAAAAAGAAAATAAGCATAAAATCAAAGTATTAAAAATTATAAAAAACAATAATAAAAAAAACAAAAAACAATAATAATAATAAACAATATAAAAACACTATAGACAAGATGAGACAAGCATTGTTACATTTTGATCTTTGCTGCAGTAAATCTTTTTTGATATTCTTCATAACCGGATAATTCTTGAAAATCTTTTTCTTGAAATAAATTCCCACCAAATGCAATTAATGATACTTTTGAATTTTCAAGGAATTCTCTGGTAAAAGCCTCTGTACTGAGACAATTTTCTTCAATACGAAGTATTTTTAACTGCTCGCATTTTTCGATATTTTTTAACGAATTCAAGCGATTCTGATTCAAATTCAAGTCAGAAACTTTGATATATTTCATCTGAAAAAAAACTCAAATAAAATTATCAAATAAATAAAAGTAAAATAAAATAAAAATAACTGCAAAGAAATGAGAGAAATGACAAAAAATTAACCTCATCGGGCAAATTTTCAATAAAATTTGACGAAGCATTCAAATCATCGAGTGAATTCAAATGACAAACAACAACAGGCAATGAAGTAAATTTATTGCTAGAAATATCAAGAGATTTTAGAGAAATAAGGCCAACAAAACTTTCCGGCAATGCCGAAATACGATTTTTTGCTAAATTTATAACTTCGAGCTTTTTTAACATTCCGATTTCATCAGGTATTTCCTTTAACTGATTTTCGGCCAAATGAAGTTGCTTTAATGAAGAAAATGATCCAATAAATGAAGGTAAATCACAAATTCGATTAGAAGAAATGTCCAAATTTCGAAGAATTTCATTAACCTAAAATTAAATTATAAAAATAATTTTAAGTCATAAAATATTTTCAAATTAAAAAAAGAATGATGTGAATAATATAAAGAGAAAATAAAAACTATTTAAATATAACTATTTAATATAACTATAATATAACTGTAATATTATATTATAATAATATAACTATTATAATGTTATAATATAACTATTTAATATTTAAATATAAAACTAAACATAAATAATTATGAAATTTTCGAAATGAGCATTTAAAAAATTCGATTTAATTTGTATAAAAAATCCATCATTATTAAAATCAACAGATGAATAATAATAAAATCACAATGGGAATAATTACAAGAATTGGACATAAAATAAAAGACTAATAATCTTTATTCAATTAAAAATGAATAATTATATTTATTTAAACGAAAATTAAGTGGAAAAGTAAATATTCTGAGTTAATAATAATATTTTACTATTTATGTAGTAATTGCAATAAATGGAAAATAAATTCCATGAATCCTCAATACTATGAAATAGGGATAAAATTTAGTCTTTTTACTAATAATGTTTCTAAACGTAGTGGAATTCCAATTCCTATTTAATATAAATTTGAAATAACAGATGCCTACTTCTCTAATTCACTTGAATCTACGGTACAATAATTAAAATAGTGGCTAATTTCGGAATGTTTGCCCTTAGTATGTTATAGTTACGATAATAGGCTGACAAGTCGGAGGACCTGTTTATCCTACAAGACGACTTAAATAGTATAAATTACATACGCCTGTAGGAAAGAAAAATTGAACCATCCACTATAAATTTTTACACATCAACTTAAGATTCTCCGGAACATTTCCAATTTTCACTGATAATGTTCGTCTTGATCGTTTTATTATCTTTATATTTCAGATCTTGGTACAACTGTAAATGAAAAATTATGTTTTCAATAGCATAAAACGCCATTTCCATAGTTAAACGATCTTCACAACATTATTGTTCTTTTTTCAATGCCTTTGTTAACACCTATAAAATTTTTCTCGATCACAGTTGTACTTAAAAATAAAGTACAACTGCTTTAGATTTATCGCTGCTCTAGATTTAACAATCTAATTTACAAAAATATTTTTACGTCGTTTAAATTCTTACCCATCATTTACTAATAAGCCTATGAAATATAACTTAGAATCTTTAAGAATTAGGAGAATCAAACGAGATCTAAATTTTGCATGTAAGATGTTAACTAACTCTTTTGATTCGGATTGCACAAAATATTACAATTTGTCTGTAAATCTGAAGGCTAAAATAAGCAATGGATAGAAGTTACGCAAACCTATTTGCAAATCAAAATTTAAATCGCTTTAAGAACAATTACTGAAATAAACTACCATCTGAAATGATTTATGTTAGAGGCTGATATCTGCTTTTAAGAAAAAAAATACAAGAATAATAATCATAAAGAACAATCATCGACTTATAAAGCCATAATATTATCAATTTTTAGCCTTAATAAATATTTTATGGTACTTATTCGTTAAAGTCAGGGCTTAGGCCTCGTTTAATAATTTTCAAGAAAATAAACTGTTATAAAAATAATAAAATATAATAAAAAATAATAATAATAAAAATTTCAAAAAAATACATCGAAAAATAAAATAAAAATGGTATATATAATGGTAATGGAATTTATACGATTTACTTAAGACAAATAAGAGAATGGAGAAATTGAGAACGTGAAATTTGACCTGAATAAGCTGCTCCGGAAAGGTTTTAAGGCCACATGATTTCAGCTGCAAAATTCGGCTTTTTTGCGCATTTTCTAAATGTTTTCTCATAACGGACGACGACGGCCCCGATTTCAATGAAATTATGCGACTATGTGACGATGATTTTGATGAACCATTTCCCATATTTTATTTAGTCAATTATTTGAACTGAAATTACCCAATTAATCGAAACAGATGGGGATTATAAGAGAATAATGCAATACAGAGCACTGAAAAAAACCCGAATAATAAAAATAATGAAAAATGGAGACTGAACAACGAACAGAAGGCAAAAAATAAATGAAAAATTTAAAAATTTATTAAATAAATAATTTATTAACTGATGAAATTAAGAACCAACGACAAGCGATGATACGGCATAAAAGAAAGCGTGCGCAAATTTCATCTGAAGTATGACGCGGATCACCTTCAGCGAGCATTAAGCCCCACTTGTGGTTTGGCTGCATCTGGCGCCATTCGCTCGAGAGTTGGATAAGAACGAATGCACCCCTAATGTAATGTAGCCCCTAGCGTTGCCCAGAATTCGCTCTAGCGATGTCTCCAAAGACTGCCTACAGACAACGATGGAGCCCATTATTACAACCCGATATAGCCTGGATTAGAACTGGACCTGGAACGACCTAAAAAGTAAGAAAACCGACGATCAAAAAACATTTCTTCACCGATGCAGTGGTAGCAAAATTGCACAAAACGATTTTGACGATTTCGACTGACAATTAGGATTTCTGAAACGATCAGATCCGAATTCTCATACAGCATGATTAGATATTCCAGCTTGTTTTCTGGTGATTTGCTCTCAGGTATGGTGAATCAGAAAGGGGCGGATTACGTGAGGTTTTGGCGTGACGGATGTGCACAATTTTAGATTTTACAGTGCAACATGTGTAGGAAGTAAATGAGTGGCGGCGATCATTCCTGACGGTTTGTTCGTTTGATTAGCGAATCACGAGAATAGAGGCACAGGTGGATCGCCAACACGGTTCACATTTTTAAATGAGTTTACTCTCGCAGAAAGCAGGACCCGAAACCTGGCGCTAAGAGACGTTGATATGAGTAGCAACCTCTCTCTCACCTCGTCTTCTGGCGACGATGGCTACATTTTTTGACCAAAAATTGCAGCTGCTGTTTGCAAATTATTATTAGCGACCCAGAGTTTTTTTATTCTTTTTTATATTGCACATCCTCCTGGCAATCGCATGAAACCTACGAACACCTTTCCTGAACCCCTTTCTTTAAATACATATGAGCGCTATGCAAAGGCAATATTTAATGCAAAATCAGCCAAAATAAACTACCCAAATCACGCCCAAATGCCATACGTTTTCCTTACGTTGTATTCGAAGACCTAAAATGAAAAAAACCGCTAGAAAAATTTTATTAACTCTGTAATGAACTTTTAAACAAATTTAATTTAAATCCTCCACGACAATTGTAATAAATATTGAAAAATAATAGAAAATTTAATAAAATAAAAAAATTAACATAAACGGCAACTAATGAACAATAATTGAATAAAATAATTGCCACAAGTAATGGTGGATGACCCTTCAATTTTAAGGCAATACAAATGAATAAAGATTAAAATAATCAGTTACCGGTGAGGAATTGGCTATTCACTTAAGATAAGAAAAACAGACGGAAGAAAATAATGAACTATGCATATATTCAAATGTTTTGTTGGTGCTGCGCATAACCAAAAAATAGCAAAGTTAATACGTACATGTGCCAGACCATCTGTTAATATTGCTAACATAATTCGTCGATAACTTAATAATTTTTTTACTCAAATGATACGGATTAGTAATTAAAAAAGAAGAAATAAAGGAGGTTTATAAGATCTTTTACACAAAAAGAAAATAAAAAAGTACATTTAATACAAATTCCCCCTAATAGTTAATTGCATCTTTATTTCTTTTTGCGAATCATATTAACTGTTTGAGTAGCCGGTGGTATATAATATCTTGTTTGAGCGATACTCATCATCAGAAAAAGAAAAAAGACCGAAAGAATGAAACAAACCTGAAAAATTATTATAACTTTCAAAAAAAAAAAATGAAATTCAATTAGACAGATATCAGCAAAAAAGGCACGATATTGAATGGGTCGTTGATTATCGTTTGAGAGTTAGCAGATGGATCCTGCCTCCAATAAGTAAATCTATCATTTAAAATGCAGGTGAGTGACCCATATTTCTAGCAGTGCTTGTTTTCTAAAAATTTATAAACACATTAACAGACTGCGAAACAATTGTAACCAGAAATGCCGATACTAATTTAACTGTCAGCTAAACAATTCAACAAACAAATAATGAGAAACAATGAGAAACTGACTTCATTCTTTGTCAACATATCTTATTGCTTATCACTCTAAGTTAACATTGGAAAAAAAAATTTCTTAATATGAACTAACTGTTACGGCAACGCGATGAATTGACGCTGAGAACAGCATGGACATGAATAAGCAAATGACTGTTTCCGATAATCCACTTCTGCATCGATTTCCTGCCGATGCCATTTGAAAATTCGATAAAGCTGTCAATAAAAAAATAAATATAAATGAACCAAAACATCCAGCTAGAACAGTTCCAACTCTTGTTTCAATCAACTGATTCTACAAAAAAAATTATGAAACAAAAATATTTCACAAACTAAAAAAACTTCTTCTAACAGCTCTAACCACTACTGGTTAGGCTGGCTCTGCTCGCTACAAGGCTCTCCAAGCTGCTCGGTCTGACGCCATCGCTAGTAGTAATAGAAGCCATTCATTTTTCCATCATCTAAGTCCATATATCATTGGTCCATCTTTATATCCAAAATCTTTCCTGACTGTATCAATTCAGGTCCTGACTGGTGCTCCTCACTTTTGGCTCCAATCATCATAGGGCTTTGCAAGTAACGAAATATGCTCCTGTGGTGGAAGAATGACGGAGAATGTGTCCTAGCCATTGAAGACGACGCTCTATGATAACATTATTGATACAGGTGGTCTCTGAGCGTAGATGGATAAAAACATGTGCAATTTTATCCGCTCGACGGATTTGTAAAATATCTTAAACATCAGTGGTCAAAAGCTAACTTGTCAAAAGCTTCTTAATATCTTCCAATCTTATTGGCCATGTTTCGCAGCCATATAGCAAGATCGAACGAGTTGCAGCTATATGGACTCGGATTTTTGTCTTTAAGGTAATTTCGCGACGGTTCCATGAAGGCCGCAAAAACATATTTTTAGCTGTCGTTATCCGGGTTATTTCATCCTTCGCCATTTGGGATTAGAGTGGATCCAAGGTATTTAAAGTCGAGCACTTCCTCTTGAGTGCCGGCAGGATGTCCATTATCCAGTCTATCGCATACTTGAATACTGTAGGGGAAAGGACACAGTTCTGACGGACAACAGTTTTTTATTTCGAAGGAGAGTTTCCCATGAACATAGACCTATGCCAGGATATGATAAACTACCTTTATAAATCGAATGATTTTCACTGGGTCATAGTCACATTCCATCACTTTCCAGAGCGCTACTCTATCAATTAAATCGAAGGCAGCTGCAAATTTGATGCAGCAAGTGATGGTGGGTTGCTGACTTTTGAAGCCATGTTCCAGCACCCTTCGTAGCGTAAATATCTGGTCAGCACAACCGCGTCCCGGTCTGAATCCAGCTTAGTTAAAACGCATTCTAATATCTCGTGTTGTCTCGTGTTGTAACTCTATTTAGCAGAAGAGAAGCGAAAATTTTTCTAGAGATACCCAGTAGGTTATTCCTCGCTAATTATTCCGGCATATCATCTTTCTTAGGAATTGGAAGCAGAATTGCTTTGCTCCAGTCTTACAGTATTATTTCTTTTTGCCACACCATAGAAGGTGAATTTATGAATGAAGATGGACAAAGAGTTCATTTGAAGAGTTCGGCCTGAAGACCATCTTCTCCAGGAGTTTTATTGGTCTTAAATTTATGGATTATTTCTATTGGCGGTTCACACTTGCAAAAGTAAGGCTCGACGGACAAATCAGTTATATTCGAGACAATAAATGGTGCATCGGTTATGTTTGACCTCAAAAAATTCTTTCCATCTTCTGAGGCGATCCTTAATAATCCTTAATAACTTTAATAGGCACCCCATCAATATCCCGTATCATTTCACTGGCCCCTTCTCAAATTATAGCTGCTTCGCGGAGAAAGCGAAACAGTTTTCTATTACTATTCGAGTTACCGTTTCCATTCTCAAGGCCAAATCGGTCCAATACGATTTCTATCCCGCCGTACTTTGTAATTCTTCGAAGCACCGATAGTCAGGATCTCTTGATATTCAGGCTTCGACGGTTTTTTCAGACAGTTGGACAGTTGCTTCCGACACCCAGCTAGCGTTTCGCCTTTCCAGAGATGTCACTGACGTTCATTTCACTTAGCTGTTTCAAATATACGATTTGAAATACGCTTATAGTTCCCAGATATTTAATTTGAGATAGTTGAAAGAACTTGGGATATGTTGTTTCTTACGGTCTATCAGTATTATACGAATCTTGGCTCGAACCATAATATGATCCATAGAAGTTACCAGTTTCAGCGCCCCGATAAGAATGACTATCAAGAATGATAGAACTCTCTTCCAGTGGTGACTGACCAATATATATTCAATCTGATTCGAATATTGGTTGAATATTGGAAGAATTCCACATGACTAGATGTTTCCTACGATGCCGAAAGTGCATATATTAGTAACAAAGAGTTCACGTTCTTCGGCAAAACGTTCTTCATTGGCGCACTGGACCCCGATGCCATATTCGCCAATTAATCAAAATGCCACCATGATCTATGTGCGTATTCCTGTCTTCCCCGATTATGACCATGCCACCTATCGGTTTGCAAAAAAAAACAAACCCATTTATGTTAACTTCGGGAAGTGAAGGAAAAATAAGGATGCAATTTCCTTTTGGAATCAATTTTTTGAAGGAAATAAAATTTTTACAGGCCAGAATGGTCGACCCACATTCCTCTTTTGATAGGAGTAAACCTCAAAGGAATTAATGGTGCATACCTTGTATTTTAGCACATCAATTAAAAAAAGGACATCGTCTTAAAACTCACATCAATCAACCAAACTAGAAATGGAGAAATGTAGAGTGCTATTTGAAAAGAATAAAAAAATATACGTGCTAAATATTCATCACAATAAATGTAGAAAAAGCAAACTTGACCTTCAGAATTTGACCCACACTTATGGTAATAAATGATAGAAGTAGAGAAATCATAGCACTTCCAGAGTGATTAGCCATGAATCCACTGAAAATCAATGAACCGATGCATAAATTATATAAAAATACATCTATTATTTATCAAAAATGGTATTCATTAAATGACATTTAAATTTCACGGAAAAAAACCTTCAAAACTTTTCAATGAATGAATGGTTTTGAAAAAATTTTTATTTGAATAGAACAATTTTTAAAAACAAAACAATTTTTAAATAACATTTTTTTAAAAAATGCATGAAAAAAGAGATAAATTTAAAAGCATTCTGAATAATTCTCCAGTCTAAGCTAAATTTAAATAATAAATTTTTACAAAATAAATAATACACTTGAATGCTTTCTATTTAAGAACAAAAATTTTTTGAAATTGTAAAAAATTAAAACATTTAAATTAAAAAAAATTATCAAAAATTATCAGGATCACTAATCAAAATAAGAGTATACTAAAAAAATTCTCTGCAGACTGGTCAAAAGCAAAGAGAAATTCCCAATGCACTAAAAGGTTCCCTATAAAAATTTCCAAATATATATTTCAATAAATAATGCTAGAAATTATAAAATGAACTAGTAAAAAACAGTTGGTAAAACTAATAATATTAATATTCCAGTTGATGAAAGAAATTGCAATAATACAATACAATTTACAATAATACAATTTAACAAAAAAACAATAAATATAATAATAGCTTACGAGAAATAAAATATCATTTTAACCAGCAAGAAAAGCAATTTTTCCATCACCATATGCCAAAACCAAATCGTTCCGATAATAATCAAACTGCAATAACATTTTTTATATTCAACATTTCCAAAAACTATTTTCATAAAAACGGGCTATATCAGTGCAGCCATAAATATCTACAGATGCAGAAATCGTACGAAATACGAAGCCTTATGTTAAAACCATTTGGTATCATCTAAAACCAATTATATTAAGTATCGGCAGTAGGTGCCGCCATCATAATATACTTTTGTCTTACCATCATTTAGAACACAGTAAAACATGAATTTGAATTGAATTCGTTTATATTTCTTTGACAGCTCAACCCCAAACCAACTTATTTTCATAATCTCTCAAAAACATCTCTTTAAAAGTTCAATTAAAAAAACAACCGATGAAGGCTCAGCATCAAAAGGTTCGGACTCAGCTAATAACGATGGTGAACTACCAGCAGAATATATACAAAATCGGCGAGTTCGTGAAGTGAACATTAAACTGCCTACATTTATTTTTACCTGTCGACCAATGCCACAAGAAATAGTCTGAAAATAACGTAATAATGCTTTTTAAAAGGTTCAAAATAATTGCATATAAATTTAAAAATTCAAATTTGAATTTGAATTGAAAATTTAAATAAAAATTTGAAAAAAATGGAACAAAAACTGATCAAAAATAACATACATCATAAATGGACAGTTGAGGAGCATCCATGAGATATATATCGCCATTCGATGTGGCACATGCCAACTGACCTTCACTCAACGAAAGATTCATTATATAAGGCGCCAATCGAATAAAATTCGTTTCTTTCCACATACGAATATCCATACAATAAACAGTACGGTCATAACTACACGAGTAAATATAATTGGTGCCTGGCTAAAACAAATAAAAGAAAATTGGAAAATTACAATTCCAACGATTTTTTCTCGTTTAGTCCAAATACTTCTTAAATGAAAAGACGAAAAACATAAAAACTTAAGAACTTGAAAAGCTATCCTCAATATGATTTACCTCAAATGCCAAAGATAAAACTGCTTTCCGATGAAGTGAGAAATTCATGATGATCTCCAAATTATTTCGCACATCTAACACGCCGATTTTTCCGTCATAATTTCCAAAAACCACAATATTATTATCACAAACCAAACTCAAAATAGCTGACATCTCAGAAGAGGATGTCAATAACTAAAAGCAGCTAACTACAGATGGAAATTACACTGTGTGAGCTAAACTCAATAAATGGCGAAAATATTTTGGAAAGAACATTGCGAGACCAGAATTTAATACCATTTATAAACTTTGTTCCTTTATCATTCAGTTATTTAAAACCAAATTCTCAAATTTATTCACAAATATTTAACCTATAATTAAATTACTTATTAATTAAATTACTTGAACAGCGTCATTTGTTAATCGCCAGTGTTTCACAGTGTTGTCCCAACCACAAGAAAAAATATCGTCATTGTTTGGAACTTTACAAACTGACCACAGCCATCCCTAAAAGCAAAAAATATAAGTGTTTCATAAATATGTGCATTTACAAAAAATAACATAGAAAGCAAAACATATTCATTACATCATGAGCGTTAGCACAACTGGCCACTTTCCATTGTTCTTCATGATATCCATTCTACAAAAAAATTAATTCAAAAACCATCTACAATAATGAAACGATAATTTTCGAATATTATATATGGATAACTTTATATGATAGCGAAAAATCATGCAATACTTTTTAATAAAAAATATAGGATCGATTATAATGATTACATTTCAATATATAAAAATGTACGCAGTTTACGCAATAATAAAGCTATAAGATTAAAAGTGATTTTAAAAAAAAAATATAAAAAAGATATAAAAATAGATAAAAATATATAAACATATATATATAAAAATTAAAAAAAATAAAAAATTACCGCAACTTTGCTCATATCCCATAATGCCAAAGACCGATCTCTAGAACCAGAAATGCAAAGTTTTTTATGAGCTGGCGTCTCAAACATCGCGATCGCATCTATTGTCGCAAAATGATACGACATTATACGAGCATTTCGCTGCTTTACAATTAATCTATCGCGAAAAATAATGTTTAAATGGAATTAAATGATTAATAAAACTGGTTATATCATTGGACATTTGAATAAATTCCGCTTATTTAAAAAACAAGCAAATAACATTTTCAAAACTTTCGAAAGATTTAAAAAATTTACTTTCCGTCGCCCCAAAGGGACTTGGCAGTTTCAATAGCAAATGACGTCCGCATTGGAGAAAAATTTGATTTGTGACTTCGACATTCTGGTATTGTAACTCGATCAATTTGCTAAATACCACAGAAATATAAAGTAATTTTTATCTACAAAAAAAGATTCGCATTTATTCCCATTACCAATTTATCCTCACAGATGAAGAAAGAGAAAACCATGGAAAAGAATGTAGAGCTGGAAGAATATTGTTAGGCTGAAGAAGCGAGATAAAGTGATAAGTGATTACGCGAGAGATAAAGTAATTGTTTGTCATTTTGTATAGCACTCACATTTCTAGTCCTACTTACTGGTTATCGGATTGAAAAATTATGTGGGTAATAGTATGAGGAATTTTGGCCAAATAATTACTCAGCGCAAGTGGGTCGCGGATAACAAACTATTTCTACGAAGGTGAGGCGCCACGATACTAAAGGCGCCAATTTAAGCAATACAGCTCGGTCGCACTGCCGATCAATGTGAATCGTTATAAGTAACTGCTGAAGCGGTCGGATAACGGATAATATGCAACAAAACCAGGAGATTAGATCTATGAGAAAACTTATAGGAAAGAAAGGAAAGCATTACTCGAAAAGTTTAACAATGTAAGAATTAAACAAAAATTCTTCACGCAATTTCTCAAGAATGCCTTCAGTATAATATATAATAAGGTAATGCTTAGTAATATGGATAATATCAGCAGTAAATTAAAAGATATGCATTAACCTTTAACCTCGATTTCCAGTATCGCGCATTTGCGATAAGATTATCAAAAAACCGACAAACGAGGCGAAGTTTAAGGCAGAGTTCACGAGAAGAAAGAAAATTAAATATCATCCAAATAATCTCTTGTGGCAGTTCATCAAGTTTTGCCATCTGCAAAAGACACAGAAAAAATGCAAAACAAACTTGCAAACAGCAAAAATTTACTATTCATTATGATTTACAATACGATAATTTATTTTTTCCAGCGTTTACTTCAAACTTAAATTTCTAGACAATTCTTAATTAGTTCTTAACTACGCAATTTTTAACACTTCATTTTAATTTACTCTAACATTCGTGGGAATTATCAAATGAAAATCGGGTCAACTGAATCGAACATACGATGCACGAATCGATCTCGCAGATTTTCAAAGATTCTATCAATAAATCAGTTGATAAAGTAGCGCTCTGGAAAGTGGTGGAATGTGACTATGACCCAGTGAAAATCATTCGATTTATAAAGGTAGTTTATCATATCCTGGCACAGGTCTATGTTCATGGGGGAACTGATAGACTCCTTCGAAATAAGAAACTGATGTCCGTCAGAACTGTGTCCTTTTCTCTATCAATATTCAAGTATGCGATAGACTGGATAATGAACATCGCTTGCCGGCATTCAAGAGGAAGTGCTCGATTTTGAATACCTTGGAACTCTAATCCCAAATGGCGAAGGATGAAATTAACGACAGCTAGAAATGTTTTTGCAGCTGATGAAATCTTAATCTTAATGGAACCGTAGCAAAATTACCATAAAGACGAAAATCCGCGTCCATATAGCCGTGATTCGTTCGATCTTGCTATATGGCCCTGACTCATGGCCAATGATAGTGGAAGATAGTAAGAAGTTACCTGCCATTGACCATTCATGTCTAAGATACATTTTACGGATCTGTCAAACGGATAAAATTGCATATGATGATTGTATCCATCTACGCTCAAATACATGTATTAAATATATGTGATGTTATCACAGAGCTGGTTAGCGCACGTTCACGTTCTCCGTCGTCCACCCACAGGAGTTGACGCATATTTTTTTGCTTGCCGCATGCTGGATGGAGTCAAAAGCGAGGTGGGCCAATCAAGACCTGGAGTGACACGGTCAGAAAAGATTTTGAACGTATAGATGGACCAGCAATATATGGACTTAGACGATGGAAAAAGAAATGGCTTTTATTACTATTAGCGATGGCGTTGGATCGAGCAGCTTGCAGACGTCTTACCGTTGTCTTACCGTTGCCGGTGGTGCCAGCCTGACCAGTAATGGAGAGGATGTTAGAAGAAGAAGTTATTTGTTAGCATTGATGGGGGATCGAATGGTATCGTTGCTTTGATTTCCATTGCTGATTTCATGGTTATGATAGGAATAACAAGTTAAGGAATCCGAGGGCGACTCACCTCTACTTCTCTCGTCAAGTGGCTCTCCGACAAAGACCTCTAACTGTACAACTGGCTGGCCGAGATACAACGATCCATCAAANTGGACTTGAACTATGGAATTCTGTTGCAGTTAGACATGGAAAAAAGAATGGCTTTTATTAATGTTAACGATGGCGTAAGATCGCACAGCTTGGAAATGTGTTATCTTTGTAACCAGTAGAGCCAGCCTAGCCAGTAATGGTGAGAGCTGAATATTCTGATGAAGTCGTCCCAATCGCTGTTAAAAGATTGATGTAACAAGGCTACTTTCTCTTATGCCAGAAGCTTAATTTTCCTTAAGATCTTAATCTTTATGATTTCATCCATGGTTCAAAAAATATTAAATAAATAGATATTAAATATTAAATAAATAAATAAATAAAATATTAAATAAATAGCTACGCGAGACATAAAAATTCAACCCGGATACTGCTAGTTAGCATCTATCTGGCACAATCCTACTATATAGCTGCGGAACATGGTTTAGGAGAGTGGAAGATATCAGGAAACTTTGTCTTTTGGTTATACTTGCCTAAGCTATACATAAGGCTCAAGGCGTGAGGAGAAGATATCTGATGGTTGATCATGATCGATCTATATTCATTCTAATACCATATGCAATGATGATATAATCATAAACTGCCATGTGCGCTAGCTATCTTCTCTGTTGTTCATCACAGGAACTGATGCATCTCTGCGACAGATAGAATCGAGAATTAATCAAGATTAACATAACAAGCCTTTGACCGACACTGGCCAAGAGAAATTTTAAATGCATAGATAGCCCAGCGATATAAAGGCTGAGATGCTGGAAAAAAGAGTGGCATTGGTTACTTTTGGGAAAGGATTCTTAGGGTGAACAGCGGATTTTTTTCCCGTTCTTCCCAGACATATACCTATATGTATCATAGTAAATTATTATAAAGATATTATGTAAATTTCCATTTCTCAGTTCCATTTATTTTTTAAGGTGTTTTTTTCTATACTGATAAATGTAAAAAAATAAACGAAAAAATATTTCTTTGCAGCACGGTTGTCTAATCTGTGGATTACATGGACCGTCGTAAACCTGAAAACTGATAATTGCACTATACTTCCATCGAACCAGACAACGATGCACAATTTCAAATAAACAAAATTAATCCAAAAAGTTTTAACTTGCCCTCTTTTCTTTTAATTTATAAAAGAATTTTAAAAATAAAAATAAAAATAAATGAAATCTTTTTCGTTTCTCTTTTCATTTTTATGCTGTGCAGCCAAAGCCAATTCTTTTTCACTTAATAGGGCCTATAAAAGCCAAAAGATTGCACATCCCTTTTCTTCAAAATGCGACGAAAATGAAAATCGATGAATAATACACCTACTTGCGAATTCTCATTGAAATTAAATTCGAAAAACTACGACAATTAAATTAAATTTATTGAAAAATGCACACTGTCACAACAAGAAAGATGCAAGAAAAGCAAATTTTTCGCGAAAAGATCGAAATAATGATATTTTTATTAAATCATCATTACCTCGAGCTGAATATATAGCTGAATATATCTGAATATATAGCATGCAGTTGGGTTGTTTATAAAAACTTTCCACTGGACAGGCTAAATTTGATTTCTTTGCTCCAGTAGTTAAGTGCAAAAAAAACTGAAAGCAAATTTGACAGAAATATTTTAATAAAATAAAAAAGAATTAAAGATTTGAAATCGTTTTAATATTGTAATTAGATTGTAAAATAGAAGTATTTCTCAAATGTTTGACTAAATTAATAAATAATTAACTGTTGCGATGAACGAAAGCGATGGAGCAATAAAGGATTGAAGGAAGAACAGAAACATTAGTTCAATTACGCGACACGGCGACAATGATCTTCATTATGCGATATGCAATGGATTTCTTCATGAATGAATTCAAAAAAAATGGTGGAGAAAAGAGGAAAATATCTCCAAGAATAAAAATTTTGTAATATTTATAATATTTAAAATACTTTATGGCACAAAATTGTAATTAATAGTTAATAAACTGCAAAAGCCAGCTGATGTAAAAAGCAAATTTTTGAGAACAAACAAATAAAAGATGAATGCAACGATCTTGCATTCAGCCTTCGATCTGCGACACCACTTCTCCCCTCCCCTTAAAACACCTTTTAGGCCCAATCATCCACCTCACCTCCTTTTTAACACCTTCATCAAACCCTTTCCTGACATTGCTAAAAATCGAAATTTAAACAATAATCGACAAAATTGTGCAAAGAATCTGTTTAAGATACGAATTAAAATCTTAATAGCACAATAATAACAAATAACCGGGTTCAATTCCCGGCTGACGCAGTACTTTTAAGACCGAATCAATTGGGTCGAGCTGGATTGGATGGATTATTGTATATGTATTTAAGAAATCGTTGTTTACATCAATCTTAATTCGATTTCTACAATTTCGAGCAGCTTTCAGCACAGATCGGCGGGCGACTAGCCAGGAGAAGTGCCAAGCAAATGTAATATACTCGATGGTTCTCTGCCTTCGTGTTTAATTTAGCGTATGCGACGAGGGCGAACGAGCAAACGCCCTTCGATAGAAAGCGGTAGAAGATGGAAGCGTTTGTTTCCAAAGACACAACGATTTTTACAATAATTGTGCATTTTGATCTAATATACGGAATGTGCGTGGTGATCAGTCGTCGAGTTGGCCGCTGGCAAAAGTTCGTTGCCTGCAGACAGCGGCGAGAGTCTTTAAATTAGCGAGTCCTCGTCCACGTATCCACGTTTCGGCTATCCCTGCATAAATTTTCCCTTTATTTGACATATTCCGAATCTGTGCAGAATGAGTCCTCAATTGTCAGCTTGCGGTTCTTTCCGCTTGAGAACTGCGTTTTTTGACATTTTATACCAATCATAATTTTTCTACACTACCCTACACTTTCAGTTTCCTCACGGATGGAGTTGCAGCAATAATACTTTCTCGCTATTTCCCCAAATTCTCTACTACCTTCTTGGTAGTGCCGCTTAATGCGCTTCCTAGTTACTGCATATTGCGTCAGCTATTGCATTTTAGAAAAACTTTTAAAGTAGTTAATAATAGAAATAATAGAAATTCTTCATTTGATAACGAATCTAAAAATTTAAAATTTAAAATTCGTATTTAAATGGCATTAAAATTGCAAATGGTAATTCTAAGGAGACCACTAACTGCTGTTTTTTATTGCAGGCAGCTGCATGCCGTGCTGCATAATTGCCCAATTGCCAAATTTTTGATATATTTTAATATACCCTTTAAATAATTACCGCTAAATGCACTCTAGCGATCGCTTTTCTGGCGATTATCGCTACAAAAATGGCGCAGAAAAAAAAGATTCAAATTTCACATCAATTTTTCAAACCTAACTCGGTTGAAACAAGCAAAAAAGCAATATCGTACATGCAGCTTTCCCTGCAAATCCGCTAAAATTTGCATTTAATTTGATCGCTAATTTTTCTAAGCCTTCGTCCTTCTTCTGCCATATGTTTTTCGATTGCCTTCCATTCGGAGAATCCTTTTAATTTTTCGAATTATCAACTTCAAGATCCTTTGTAAGATAAAGTCCTTCTTTTTCTAACAGCTTTCACCATTACTGGTTAGGTTGGCTAAAAGGATAAAACGTTTCCAGGCTGGGTGATCTGATGCCATCATCGACAGTAATAGAAGCCATTCCTTTTTCCATCGTCTAAGTCCATATATTGCTGGTCCATCTATACGTTCAAAATCTTTCCTGTCTGCGCCAATTCTTGATTGGACCACCTTGCTTTTGATGCCATTCACTTCGCAAGCAGCGAAATATGCGTCAACTCCTGTGGTGGACGACGCAGAACGTCTTATCTTTTTGCCCTAATCAGCGAAGGCGACGCTCTATGATGGTACTATTGATGCAATTGGTATTTGAGCGAAGGTGGATGCAATCATGTGCGATTTTATCCACCCAGTGGTGCGTAAGATATACTTTAGACATGAGTGGTCAAAGGTTGATAGATTCTTAATATCCTTCATTCTTAATGGCCAAGTCTCGTAGCCATATAGCAAGGTTAAATCCAATTTTAATTAACATATTAATATTATTAGCTAAAAATATATTTAGAGAACTTTGTATCACGAAACGAAGAAATTACAGGCAGTTCGTTCTCCTATCAAACTTGACAAAGATGATAAAATAATAAAATAATAAAAAAATAATAAGAATGAAGATAGCAGAAAGATAAGAACATACTATTTGCCACAAAATTATCACCGGCCTATCAAATATGCTTGCGAAAGGTTCTTTTTCGGACTCTCGATTGAGATTCCGAATTAAAGGTTCCAAATCTCTCACACAGACGTAAAACTCATGCAGTCTTATCCAGTTTTTATCGTTTTATTGTAGGAATGTTCTAATATTTTTGATTAGCCTTTGAAGATTTAGGAAGATCTTATTATTTCTGGAGCTATTTCACCTTTCTTATTCAATTCAGAAGAAACTTAAGAATGCTAACTTTTTCACCAGTTCTAAAAAACCACTCCTTTAAAATACCATATTAATATTGCCGATGAAGAAATTTATTGAAGGAAAATATAGAATAAAGTATAAAACGTCTGAATAAAAACTCTCTCACATTCTCTGGTATGGAAAAAAAGAAATATTACCAGATGACTGCAACAAAGCAATTCTGCTCCTTGTTCTCAAGAAAGATGATAGACAGATATATTGCGACAATTCGAGGAATCACTCTATTAGACGTCTCAGTGAAAATTTTTGCTTCCCTTTCACTCAACAGACTTATGGAAGTACGAGACAGCAGAATGCGCCCTAATCAAGCTGGATTCAGACTGGGACGCGGTTGTGCTGACCAGATATTCACGTTAAAGAAGGGTGTTAGAACACCCTTTCAAATATTTGCAACGTCACGTGTTTTATATCGACTTTGATTTAATTGATAGAGCGGCGCTCTGGAGGGTGATGGCACGCGACAGCGTTCCAGAGAAGATCATTCGACTCATAAAAGCATTTTATCAACGTAGATCAGCAACCTTCACTCGTTACTTAAACGGTTTAGATATGTGATATAAATGATACAAATCATTACGACTCGAGAAGTGGCTGGGAGTGGTCGATCTTCAATATTTTGTTTTACTTGTCGTTTCATTCTGCTGAATATTTATTTTTGCGGTCTACTAAACCAAGAATTATGATAAGAATTATGAATTATTATTTTGCAGTCTTTAAGCATCATATAATTCAAATTGTGCCACCCGCAAATTACATTGCGGAGTGGCCAAATATAATTTGAATTTGATTATTCATTGTAAATTCGAAGGTATTTTGAAGTTTTTCGATTATTGAAGTACCTATGCCTTCTGCTTTCCACCCTTTTCCCTAAAGATGTCGCATTAACATTTGAAGCTGTTCCCATTTCTAAATTTTTTCTCATTGTTTCGTTTGCATTTCGGTACATAAATATAACCTGAGGGAACAACCGAGTCGTCCCCGTACAATTTGAATATTGTAAGTAAGTTTAGTGTTAGTAGGTTACACGTTTTCTCTGGTAATTTTCGCTTAATTATTATCCTTAAACAGTTCTCAACACTTTTTTGAACATTATATCCGATCTTCGATATATGCGAATTTTTCTCAGGTTAATTTTTCTGATCATTAAAAATATTCGTCGAATAACTGGTTTATAATTGCGAAACCCCACTCCATTAATATAATTTTTTTAGGGATTTTTTAGACAGGAAATTCCAAGACGCAGCTGTTAATCCATCTTGCTTACAGCATTTTGCAATTCATGACTTAAAGGAGTTGCTTAAAATTGCTTAAGCTGTTTTCTGAACAATAAATATGCCAACTCTTCCAGAAGTTTGTACAACAAGAATAATTTTATTGATAGTTTATTACAGTTTATTAACCCTTCTGAATCTAAGAATTCTCAAAAACCAGCAATGCAGGAAAAAAACAATTATAAGTCGCTGAACTGGAAACAAAGAAAATATTACAATAATGCAATTAATTAAAATTTTCGATAAGAATTTCAGACCTTTTGAGAAAAAAATTTTATTTTTAGAAGCGAATAGAAATGTAATTAAATGATCACATAAAAAAGATATCGTTACATCAAAAAATGTCATCACAGCCGCATACCAAATTATGAACCCAGAGAACACATCCCAATCCTCAAATTATTTAAATGATAAAAATACATCGCCTTATAATTACTTATTACTTTCAATAACTATAACTTGTTCGTTAGCATTTACTAAATAATTAATCTTACGAAATGATACAAAACGATGAAAATAAAAACAAAAGTTTGAGTAAATCCAATGGAACATGAAACAGTCATATACGTAATTTATAAACACTACTTTCCACGAATTTTTTGCCTACGATTGCAAAACCATACACGAACAACCTGAAAATGGAATAATTTATAGAGGAATTTATGCAAATATTACGCAATATTTAAGAAATGAAAATTTAAAAACTTCTTAGTTTAAAAATTTTTGTTTGTAGCACAAGAGAAATTTCAGAAAAATGATTTTTTTAAAAAAAAGTAAAATCTTCATCAATCAGAAAAAAAAAATAAAATTATTGATAATGGTCAAATGTATCAAAGGAATCATTCAATGCATGTAAAATTATCATGAAGAATATTAAAGAAATATAAAAAAGAATAAAAACCAACTTTCAAATTAAGAAAATCAATAAATAGACTCACATCACGATCCAATTCCAGTATTTCCGCCAGTTTGGCAATTTTATCATGGTCTGGTCGCGGATTTAATTTGAAATATAAAGCTAGTGGCACTCTTTGAGACAAATCAAGATTTGTTCGTTTTCTGCGTTTTCTTAAAAGTGCCCTAGATTCATTCATTCCTGGTGTGTTAGAGGTACCAGAATTTGACGCCCCAAAAAGATTACCGAGAAACTAAAATTATCCCAAAGGCAGTATTTTTAAAATAAAAAAAATATATAAAAAAATAACCAATAACAACCGATAATTACCTGATTCTGCGAATGGTTTGGAGTAGCTTCAAGCAAGTAGTGAATTGTTGCACCATTCGCTATAGCAGCTTCCACATATGCTAGCCATTCCTCTAACAGTGGTTTTAATTTGCTCATATTATTAAAGGACAGATTTAAGGCTTCAAAGCGTGAAATAGTTGTCTGTGAGAAATCAACGCCAAATCGATAACCTAAAGCTATGCCAACATCATTCTGAGTCAAACCTGGAAATTAAAAATACTATATGATTTTTAAAAATTTTTATGATTTACAGTTGCTTCAAAAAGATCCTACGTTTCTTCATTCAAAAAAATCTCTTAAAGAACTAGCAAATTCAAAGTAAAGAAAATAAAAATTAAACCTATTCGACTCAAAGAGATTTATTGGTTTGTTTAGAGGAAATTTAAAAAATTGGAAGGAAAACGCTAAACAATGAAAAATGATTTCTGTTCCTTCTGAATCCCAAAACTTAGATTTTGTTCTGACTCACCGAAATTTATACGTTTTCGTTTAAATTCTTTGGCAAAGATTTCCATTTCCTCTAATTCGATACGTTCCTCACGTGTTATTTCACTAACTGCTTGGCGGATTGCCTTAATGAAATGAAAACACTTTAAAGCCAAAATATAAATGAATTTTAATAAATTATTTTAAATTAAATAAATAAATTAATTAAATAAATCTTAATAATTTTAATCTTAAAATTTTCATAAGACATTAAAACATTGATGAATTGAAGTAATTATTTTTATTATAATTAATTAACTACAATAATCATAAAATGTAAATTTAATACAGCAGTTAGCTATAGGATGGTTAAGCGGATTGTCGTTCTCACTTTGGAGCGGTGCTAGAGGTATTTTGTTTCTAGCCAGGGTAAAACTGTTTTTTCAAAAATAAGAGGAAAATCTGGCGCATCATCTATACGATTTCTATACGATTTGTGACTTCATGGCAAACTTGTCTGGTCCAAAAAATTAGTAGAGCGAGCTTAATCATAAATTGTTAGCAAAGAAAAATTTTAATGCCTAAAGATATTTGAAAATAAATAAAAAATAAACTGCATTAGATTTCAAAAAAATTAAGTTCGATTTTAAAAAAATGAAATTCCGATAAGAATTCCAACTATAATTTCAATTAATGCCAGGAAGAAATAAAATTTTTCAGAAAAAAGAAAGAAATGCTAAAAACTGAAGAAAAAATAAAAGCTTCAATCACAAACTTCATCATCAAATGCCAAAATTTTTCGCTTTATTGAAACTTTATCAGAAGGTAATTGTAAAAAAAAAGGTTTCGTCGATGAAATACAACCATTATAACTCTATAAGTAATAAAATAATAATTTGTTATTAATAAAATATTTTCAAACTTTTGAAACGAAATTTTTAAAAAACAAAAAAATTGAGTTCAAATTTTAAAAAATGATAAAAAAAGAAGAATTTCGACTGGAAGGATTCCTTATCAGAAAGAAAGTGCCACTTTTTGAAAAATAAGGAGGGTTTAAAAATTCGAGAAAAAATTGAGATAAGAAAATTAAAAACAATAAGAATGTACCGTGCAACTCGTATGGCCCAATTCCATTATTTCGCCTTGTTTACTGGCATTTAAGGCAATATTTATCGATGTTCTCTTAGAGTTTAATAAACACACTGAGTACGTATGCTAAAAGTTCAAGGTATTACTAATTAAGAAACAGATAAAAATTCCGCCACGATTTCAGACGCACAAATCATAAATTATTGAAAAAATAAAACGAAGAAAATTCAACCTTAAACAATTCACTTTCACTTCATAAGACATTAAAATATTGATGAATTGAAGTAATTATTTTTATTATAATTAATAAACTACAATAATTATTATTATCAAGTTTTTAAAAAATTTAAAATCATAAAATGTAAATTTAATACAGCAGCTAGCTAGCTATAGGATGCTTCAGCGGGCTGTCGCTCTCACTTTGGAGCGGTGTTATCATAGGTGAATTCGATAGAAGTCCAAAAATATTATAATATTCAGATAATAATAATATTCAGATATTCCATTACTCTAAACAAAATAAAAATAATTGCCCCCTCAGAAAATGCTGCCGAATATATTTATCAGGCATATAGTGCGTCGCTGATAAAATCAACCAAGAATCGAGAAAAGATTGGGTTCGAATACGACGAACGCAGCATATTTCATTGGACGACATCGCTAAATAGTAAAGAAAAGAGAGATCGAACAGCTCAGTGAGTTATTGCTTATTTCGGAACACCTTGGCTATTGCCAAGTTATTTCCAGCACAATTACTTGTTAGACAAGTCAGCGGAGGGAGTTTAACCAGCAGTAAAGTGATGCGTTTCAGATGAAAAAAAATTTAAGGCATATATTTCACATATATCTGGGAATAGGATGGCTCAGTGAGTTGTTGCTCAATTGGGAGCGCTGATGCTGAGATTCGATTCCTCGCAGGACTAAACCTGTCCAAAAATCCGGGTGATGCTGGCGACTCACCTGCATTTCTATCGAGTGGAGCGAGTTTAACCAGTAATGGTAAGGATTTTTATAATTTAACATATATCTAGGGTATTTTTTTATAAATGCATTGTGGCCATTACAAGGTGAATTCTGGAAGGAAGAAGTAGAACTTTCTATTCCCGATTAACTGCCTGACGAAAAGCCCAGTCGTTTTTAACAGTCCTCACCACTACTGGTTAGACTCGCTCCGTTGGCTTGTCGCACTATACAAATATGTCAGGGAGTCCCTTGGCGATAGAAGTATAGGTGAGTCGTCAGCATCACCCGGATTTTTGGACAGGTTTGCTCTTGCTGGCAATAGAACCTTAGCATCGGCGCTCCGAATTGAACAACGCCACTGAGCCATTCTGTTCCAAGCCTAGACGTTAATATGATTAGAACTGATCGACTAAAGCAAAATTTAAAATCGACCAGCCAACAGCTAAATGCAAAACGAATCAACCGGAAAACCCACTCAGTTTTTCGCTTCGGTAATCGACTGCAATGCAATAGAGCCAACCGACTGACGGTTAGCAATAAGAATTTCAGGAGAGACCGACATGTAGGACTATATTGACAAGATTGTGCAAAAGTTCGAAGCAAAGAGCGACAAGCAAGCTAGGAAACCAGCCAATTCGGCACGTTAGTTTAGTTCACTCCTCTTCTTAAACAATCATCTTCGTTATATAATTCCGCAATGTCTGTTGCTCACCCCGCAAGGCTCACGCAAACTTCCCTCTCTCTGCACTTGCATTTCCACTTAATTAACCTGCAAATCGTCCTAAAGACTTGCTTTGCTGGCACTGCAGTTCCACTCCCCTCCACGTGAGAATGATCGCTGAAAAACCCGGATACTCGCCTATATCTCTCTATCCATCCACATCTTTCTACCCGTATCTCTTCACCTGTATCTCTCTATCCATCCTATCTCTCCACCTATACCTCTCTGTCTACCCTATCTCTTCACCTATATCTAATTATCTCTCTATCTATCTGTATCTCTCTATATGTCTATGTGAATCATTCTATTAATCGTATCGGAAGTAATTCTCTCAGGAAATTTGGTCCACCGAGCCAGGGAAGCGAGCCAAGGGGAAAGTGGTAAGTGTTCTCAGGGAAAAGTTTTCTAAAGTTTTTTAAAAGTTTTTTAAATATGAAATAAAACAGTTTATAAAATAGTCCTAATATAACACGTGAATATCAAATATTGTGAACAGGACAGGACACCTGGGCGGTTGCTGCGCAGATTATCGTCTCGGAGCGTCAGAGATGAGGTCTTGAGCCGGGCAAAAGGCTTCGAATCGAAGAGTGCGGGTGATGCTTGCTTGTCGTCCACTTTTGTCAAGCGACCCTTTGCAAATATTTATCACATACTAACATCGAGTGAGCCTAATTAGAAATAGCGAACACTAATTTTAACCGCTTATTTATTAAGTGAATTAAGAGGATAAAAAAAGAGAGAAAATGGTAGAAACGGTAAAAAAATAAACACCTTGAATAATCGCGAGGTGATTAATTTTGCAATTTCAGCAGTTTTAAGTTTATTCTGTTAAAATTCGGATAGATATTTGCCAAATTGCAACGAACTAAAAGTTCTAATGCTAGATCGATGCTCGTTTGAGCAGCGCCGAAGGAAGACGATGTGGCATTTGCGCGACCCCCATTTGTTCGAACCATTGCAGTGCTGAAGCCTAAATTACTCTCGAAAATAAGAAAGCTGACCAAAAATGCCAAATGTGCTATCCAGGATAAATTTTATAGTTTTAAAACGATTTATCGTCAAAACAATTTTATTTTCATGATTATAATTTTAGTTTTGATTTTAGTACTCCCTCGATTTACTTTTGTCTTCACTATGTATTATCGCCAATTCAATTTCTATCTTCAACTTCAAAGTAGAACTGTCGCTACATAGATGCTATCCTCAAATAAATCTGGTGGAAAGGACTCGCTGTAATGTGCGGAGAAAGAGACTAGAAGATATTATTTAAATATAAACCTGGAGAATATTCTCTACTCTGATGATGTCCAATATTGTCCATCGCTTGTAAGTTTTAAAATCTAAATTCAAAATTTTGGTTTTTATTCTCGAAATAAATATGGATTCAAAATAGAAATCATTCGTTCATTGAGGAGCCAAATTCCGAACAAAACGATAAATCCAAAATTTTTGAATCATCTTGTTTAGCAGAGTTATCGTAATTGGGAGCGCTTAAGTTGGATGAGAATTATTGCTTTCGAAAAAAGTAGGTAATTCGCATTTTCAAACTCTTTCTTCTTAGGATTGTCCATATTTTCGAACAGTGGCAAATTTAAAGGAGTGCGAAGTAAGAGCGCAATTATCTCCCTTTCTACACATATCTAAATAGGACTTTTTTCATTCATTTGCAATGATTTACAAATGATGAATTATAAATAAAAGAAATAAAAAATTTAGAAAATACTGCAATCTGTCAACATTTTTAAAACATATGCTGTGAAAACATTCTTAGCATTTTACAATAATATGTTTTAAGCTTTTAAAAGTGCTGAAACGAACTTCAAAAAAATAACTGTAAAATATGTTTGGAATTTGCAAGCATTGGAAAAAAGTCGTTCAGTGATTGAAATTAGCGATCATCGCTCGATCGCTCATCAAACCACTCGTATATTCGAATATATTAGCGTTGCTTTGACCGAAAGCGGGTTTCAAAACCAGAAAAATTCAAAACGATACAAAAATTTTTATTTGCCATTTTGCATGCCATTTTTTATAGATCAACGATATAAAAGGACTGAAAATGAATTAGACACCTGGTGCGGCTTCATATCGTGACATAGTTGCTTTGCGACCGTTTATATAGAAAATACTGCCAAATGTGAAGACAGAAAAAAATGCAGCCACAATAATAATAATTATAACAAGACCAAGATGCTTTTGTAACGTAGCTCTTCTTCTAGAAATTTTCACTTGAGAAATTTTCGTCGGTTCTGTTGTTGTAGCCATTCTCAGCAACCATTCCTTCGATGTTATTACTTCGCACTCCTTTAAATTTGCCACTGTTCGAAAATATGGACAATCCTAAGAAGAAAGAGTTTGAAAATGCGAATTACCTACTTTTTTCGAAAGCAATAATTCTCATCCAACTTAAGCGCTCCCAATTACGATAACTCTGCTAAACAAGATGATTCAAAAATTTTGGATTTATCGTTTTGTTCGGAATTTGGCTCCTCAATGAACGAATGATTTCTATTTTGAATCCATATTTATTTCGAGAATAAAAACCAAAATTTTGAATTTAGATTTTAAAACTTACAAGCGATGGACAATAATAGACATCATCAGACAGAATATTCTCCGAGATATTGTATTCCGGTCCAGTCACCAATCGATTCCAAAGCCATTTGGCGGCATAAGTATGTCCTTTCCTGATATATACCAGAAAAATTATAAATAATATTTTTCAAAGTAGGTCTAACCAAATGTTTGGCATCTTTTAGAGACTTAGCAATGTATTTTATCAAATCAAACTAAAATTGTTTATGGAAAATATCATTCGAATGTGCATTATTATGTTTCTGAATCATTCTTTTTTTCGCCGAATATTTAGAAATATGAATAACTAGAAGGAAGATGCCGAGCGGAATGTTGCTTCGACTAGGTATAAACAACATAAGTTCGAACCTCTGGATGACGTTGGAGACTTACCTGTACTTCTGATTCTGTGGCGACTAGGTCCAGCAATACAAAATAAGCCGAAGCAACAAATAAATAAATGGTTAGCGCTCATTTCTACTTAGATTCGCTTGCTGTTAGTACAGTGAAAAGAAGGAATCATTGAGGGACAGAAGGCTATCGGTCCGCGATCACCACCTCCATCTTTCAATTATTTTTGTCGCAAGAAGGGTCGGAATATATAATTCACAAGATAATTTGGGCAATAACCGTTCGGCCATCCCGCCTCCAACAATGATGAATGTCATTAAAAGAGGAGGAAATAATAATAATGTCGATTACTCTAGAATAAGATAGAGGAATGATGGATACAAGAGCATTGCATATGATCATAATATACGAGCTGCTAGGAATATCTAGAAACTTCTGTGAGTTGGATGCGCATTATTATGTTTCTAAATACCAAAATAAGAGGATTTAAAAGGATTACCTGTTTAGCAGTAGTTTTCTCCCTGGAATGAACATGCTCCCTGGATCAGATGCTCTCACTATTAATACAGGAATTGCTGAAAGGCCAAAAGTTTTATATTGTGCTGAGTTAAAAGACTTTTGCAATTTTTGGAAAATTTTCGCCCAACCACGATACAATGTTTTCACTTCTTCGTTCGTTTTTTTCTCTAGGCATTTGCAACGATCTCTAAAATTTTATCTCTAAAATTTTCATAATTTTTAAAATGAATTTTGAACTCATTTAATTAATTTTTATTAACATAGTTTTTTATCGTAATGAAACGCTATAACGCTATATTTTTATAACTTATTATTTTCCACTTGATAAATTCATTCTAATCAGGCAGGGCCAAAACAAAATCCTGCGATACCTGTCGGTGAAGCGATGGATACAAATCAAAAAATTACATACGAAAAAGTCTATCGCATAGCTTGTCGTCAAAGTTGATATTAATGAGAATGAAGACTGGTACTATCAATCTAATAGAAAATCTAATCGCCAATGAATCAATTAAAGTAAACAGGAAATTTTTGGCATATTTTCTAAAAAAAGTTTCCAAAGAAAACGACATTAAGACTCGAAGAGAGCAAAAGCCGAAAGAGGAGATAATTTCTGGGATAGGGTTTGGTCCTCAGAAATTTCATTATGTTTTACAATTAATTGCTAATGATATAAGCAGCACCTTATAATTACCGAAACGCAATAATATGCAAACGTTTCATGGATTAATCGCAGATTTGAGGTTGAGATATTAGTGATTTTATTAAATTTTCTATTATTATTGTATGTTCTGGACGAAAAGTAGCAACAATAACAAAGAAATAAACTTTTGTGGACAACGTGAGTGGACGATTAAAAAAATAATAAAACCATCAAAGATTTCGGCGTGTTTCTTTCGAAATTTCGCAAGACATGCGTACATTTCACGTAGAATTTTTTAAATATTTCGCTTCAAATGAGAATTTTCATTTTCCAAAAATTAAGAAATTTATTTTTAAATTTACTTTGAACATCAGTGATCGCAAAAAATAAATTTAAAAATTCCAGAAACTGAAATAAAGGAATAACAAAAATAATTTGATTTGTTTTTCAGTATTATTTAATATGTTATATATATATATATATATATATATATATATCCACATTGACTGATAAACGAATTATAACTGATAAACGACTATTTGTCCAACTAGAAATAGGGAACTGGTTTCTCAACTGGAAAAATATTAATTCTGCTGGACTAAAAATAATCTGAAAGAATGGGAAGAATGTTCATCCAACTGGGAAGCTTTCTTCCTTTCCAATATCTCATCACAAAAGAGAGTGATGAGACAAAAAAATCATGAATAAACTGTTAAAATCAAAAACCGCCAAGAATTGGTGCACAATAGAGTCGCTGTAATTCTGTAAATGTTTGGGCATAAAATCAAGAATGTCGCCCATGGAAATATGTGGGAGGAAAATGAAATTCATAACATCATTGTAAAGTGGCAAAACCTGAGAATAAGCCACAGCAGCCTCCTAGAGGAAGAATCAGCTACCATCACAATTGCTAACAAAAGCATAAAAAGTTGGACAGAGCTTGGTCAGGACATGATCCATATCTACTAGCTAAAGAAGCTAATAGTAGTCCATGAGCGTCTAGCAATACAGAGGAACCAGCTGTTTGCAGGCAAGTTCTCATCCAGATTGGTTAACAGAGGAGGATAGGAGTATCAATCATCTTCATAAGGGAATAATACAGTCCAACTATTGATCAATAAATTGCTAAGGATGACTTCCAAAGAAAATATTATCATGTTAACCTGTTATGCCTGGCATTGAATGATTTTTATTAAATTTTTCGCTTTCACTTTTCATTATTCTTCTTTACAGCTTATTATTTTATACCAACAACGACTGGCTAATTGAAAAGTCTGTCTAAAAACTCTCCGAATATTCGGTATTTTTTAAGCCTACAAACATAATTTGATAAATAAAATAAAGGTGTGAATGTCTAACCATATGGCCTAAGCAATTGTTGCTAAAACTATACCAATTGTATCACTTTGTGAAATTGAAAGTGTGGACATAGAATTATAAGGGCAGTTCAAAGAATCCAGATAATAAAAAGTTCAGAAATACGCGCAGGTATGCTGATTGCATGCGACGTCTGGAGCTGACCATCCTCATAGGTCACATAATCCAATCATTTTTTGTTTTCATCTGCGGAATTTTTTTTTTTTTTTTGCAAGTAATTTTATCCCTGCGTAATTCTTTCACATAACCGCAAGCACATTGTTTTAGGATAAAAAGTAAAAATTCCTTACTTGCAAAAAAAGAAAACGTTATAAGAGATAATTTGAAACATATTTATTCAAATTAAATTTTACTTCTCAACCTTAAACAGAATGAAAAAAGATCCATCCTAACAGAGTCCTCATTGAGCAATAATTAATGACGAACGTATTTCATTCGGGACGATTAGGCTACAAAATTATCAATGATGTTAATGCATTCTAGCAGCGAAATTTAAATTAAACCTTAAAAATCCCTTTGTCGAAGGCCTATTGGATGAAACATAAATGGGACCAATGAGAACAACAAATATTTTCGGTATTTGCTTGCGCAGCAATTGTAAAGCGCGATAAAGCACGTTAAAATTTGGAAGAGAGCAGTCGTTACAAATCTGAAATATAACTGTAAACACTGGGGATTCACTCCTATCTTCGAGAGATGCTCTGGCAAAGGATGATCATAGCCAGTGCAACCAGCTAAACGAGAAATGGCTAAGTCGGACGAAGAAGAATAGAAAGAAATGGCTGAAGAAACGTAAAATGTTCATAACGATCAATCTATAATCATAACCAGAGCGATTTACGTAGGGCAAACCTCTTCAGTACCAACAACTATAGTTACCATAATCCAAAAATTCTTCAGACGATCTTTTTTCCCTTCATTTTGATATAAACGATGTATTAAAAGTTTGGCCTGAAAACAAATTTATTATTATTATTTTATCATTTTATTTTATCATTATTTTACAAATTTATAAAATTTATTATTATCGATTTGTGCAGGAAAGCAACTTCATTTATTACCGTAATAAAACAAAAAAATAAATAGATTGGTGATTATTACTTGATCAAATAAATCACTAGTCTTGGCTCCATCTTCTGCACAATTTAACTGGTAGTCAGGAAGTTGTTCACGAGTTCCCATTCCATGTGACACTCCATATAACTTTTCATTAAATTCGAGTAAAATATCTGGAAAATTTTCTGATGCGATTTCATATAATACTATAATATAATAAGATTTCGTGATATAATTAAGCAGACCACTTTTCTTCATTTCGATTTCAAAATTTTCGTTTTTAGGATCGTGAAATTTTACAAGAATTTTGTGAGGTCTGATGCAAAAGATTAAAAGATCTTTTAGGCAATTTGAATCGAAGTCATGAAATTCACTGGATAACCACATTGTTTCAAGTTATTTCAAATTTAATGCAAAAAAGAAGGCAATTTGGATCAATTAAAACTATCCACTTGGAAATGTTACAAGGCCATCGATATTAGCATCAGCACCAATGGGAAACGCTGCTCCACGGAAATTGATATTAGTTCCAAGCCAAAGCCCTTGGCCTGTCTGCAATTACATTCAATTGAGGCTGCTTAATCCTTTAGATTCTATGGATTATATTTGCCAAAACAATGCGAAAAAGATAAATTTCCACTTTTCTTCAGTGATCTTGATACCAAAAATTCAAGTTAAATGCAAATTTATGGTAATAACAAAACTGCAAAAAGAAAAAAACGAAAATTTTTTTCTTTGGAATATTTTCTCCTTTATTATTAAAAGAATTGCAACTGATATATCATATATACAAAAACAAAAGGATATTTGACGAAGTAATTCAGCAGAATCCAGTGAATTTTAAGGCGAAGTAACTAACTGCAAGAGAATCGCCAAGAGCTGCTATAATATTGATATCCTCTGGTGACAAATTAGCAACGTTATCACCAGTGTGTAGAGTTGTTTTAACGCGAGGACATTCAAAAGTCTTTTTATTAACAAATCCACTTGCAATTTTCGAAATATGCAAACTACCGTAGTAGTCACCAGCGTTGTCAAAATTTTCATCGGATTGAGAATCTGATTCAGATGACGACCTTCAAAATTTGAGATGATTTATTCAAAATAAAGCACTGTAGATAAAGAAGTAAATCTTAATAAACTTACTCACTACTTTCCTTATTCTTTCGTTTTCGATGTGTTCCATAAGAATTTGTTTCATTTTGGCGATTTGTTTGCTAAAATTATCCAAATTTCAACATTTCTTCGTATGAATATTTAGAAATTCATTTGTTTCACAAATTCACTATTCATTCATTTGTTAAGTATCGCAGTTTAAATATTCATTAGAAGTGAATAAAATATGACACAAAAATTCACCTTTGCTAAATTGGTAAATCCAGATGAGAAACATATATTTTCAATGTAAAAAACGACGATTAAGATTCTGATTGCAAATATTTGCATTGACTTCTTTTTCGAGAATTGTTAAAAAATTTTTGAAGAAATAAATTTTGTCTCATAAAAATATTTCCTAAATTTACCTCTTATCGCCCGAATAACCGTTATTCACTACTCCATTTCGCTGGTTTTTTCAGCATAGTTACGGCCTATTTATTTCACTGTTCATCTTCTTTAAGCAGCTAAACTTTTCCTTTTTGTGGCCTCAAATTTCTTCTATGGAGGCAGAATAATTGAGCCATTGTTCTTCGGATTATCATCTCTAAGCATCAGAGTTCTTCTGAACGCTTCCAGTAGAAATAAACTTATAATTAATCCGGGGGGTCTCCAAATGAGAAAAATTTCGCATTGTGTTAAAAGCCACTTAGCAACCAGCCATTTTCTTATTTACTCTCTCTTTATTTCTATATAAATTTCTAATTTCTATATAAATAAAATTCCTTTTCATCGTAATGAATTAATTATTTACAATAAAAAAAAAAGAAAATAATTTTCATGGAATGAAATACATAAATAAGCGCAACGAAATATGGATTATGATCCAGTTTTTTTGCATGAAATCGTCGAATCGATATAGATAATTTCCTTAAACAATCGATTTTCAACGATCTGAGTCGTTACACTGGATTATAGTCCTATAAAAATGACTAAAAGGACGAAATTAATGCAACAAATATTTATAGTTGGCTCGAGTCTTATAAACTAGAAAATTGCCAGTTTGACTCGACCATTTTCATATATTCTTAATTGTAACAGGCGTATATCAGTATATAGTATTCATCAGTATAAGGCGAAATATTTTTAAAACACTCGCCATTGCTGGTTAGACTCTGCTGGCTTCATCTTAAAAGACAAATATGCCAGGGAGTGCCAAGTAGAAATAGGTGATTCGTCAGTATCTCCAGGATTTTTGGACAAGTTTAGTCCTGTTGGAAATAGAACTTCAGCATCGGCAAAAAATTTTGGAACGTTTCACGAATCATTCTTGCGCAAAAGCCATGCTAATCTTCTTTTTTTCTCTGCGTTATTCCAGTTTTATTACACAGTTCATCGGAAAATAAAGTGAAATTATCATCCTTCAAAACTTATATTTGCTGATTGGAAGCAATTTTCGGAGAAAATTTCTCATCTTTTTTTTCATAAACATTCGATAACTCAAGGAAATTTTTGGATGAAACGGCAAAAATGAATTAAATTATGAGCATATCACTGAAAATTTTAATTTCACGGTAAAATTTTTCTATGGAGGAAGAATGGAAGCATCGTTTTGATATAAAATTTTACATTCATATTACATTTAAAATTTTAAAAAATATATATAATTTAAAATATATAAAATATATAAAATTTTGTGAAATATATGAAATTTTTATTTACATTTATATTACATGGATACAATTCCCCATAAATATCGAAATTTAATGAAGATAGGTTAATAATGAAGAGATTAAAACGCCGAATAGCGTTAATGTGCAAAATTTAGTACCGGATTAACTCTGCACATATAGTATTAACATTAATATTAGCAATAAAATAAGGATAGGATAACAGAGTAGCTAGACTATCGTCCTAAATATCGAGATTCCTATTTCCGATAAGTGTATAAGCCTGTAAAAAGTGTAAATGATTCACCAACTGACCTGGTAAAAATTTCTCAGTTTTCTAACGAATTGAGCAACCAGAAATGGTCAGCACTAACCACATCATTTAAATAAAATTACCTATAGAAGTAACTTTAAGATTCGTTTGATATAAAGCAAATTGGAGAATTTACATATTCTAGGATGCACTGGTCTAAAGCTTAGGAGCATATATTAATATAAGTATATGACGCATTTTGGCCAAATGCGCTTGGCGCTACCGCTGGAGCAAATGTGTTTATTAAAATAAAAAATTTATTTGCTAAGGATTCTATTTGTATTGTATTGTATTGTATTATTTCTGAACAACGCAGCACCCAGGCTAAACTGCTTCACTCTACTAATAACCAGAAACGACGGCTTAACGACGGCTTTTATAATAAAGTGAAATTTTGTAATTTCTGTTGATAAGAGGCGAAATACGAAATACGAATTTCTACAAAATGACAAATATTTGTTTAAATTTATTGTATTTTAAGCTAAAATAAATTATAATAAATCAATAAATTTATATTGTAATAAATTTAAATTATAATAAATAAATTATAATAAATCATCTTAAGAGCTCATAAATTCGTTGAAATTACTTTTAAAAACTAAAGAAAAGTTACAAAAAATTTCAATATAATAAAAATTTGTTGAAAAATTTATCACTTTTCTTTGATCGCTAACAGTGGAATGTTATCACCACAGTTGATCTGAAAAAATTTGCTTCTCAAGAAATCAAAATATCGAGAACAGAACTTTCAGGAATATCAAGCACATTGCTTGACTATAGATCTTGGCTGCTCATCTATACTTCTATCGTTAAATGACTCTCTGGTGAAGTGTTCTCGTTCCAGTGGTGAGAGAATTTGTAAAACCAGAAACGTTTGCACTAAAAAGAACAGAAGGTAAATTACTGAACAACCTTATTGCTTTATTTTAATATTAAGCTGATTGACTTGTTATGCCGAAATATGGCGACACCGCACATAGAAAATTACCACAAAACGTATAAAACGTATAGGACAATGAGTACTGTACAAATATAATTTTGTAAATTCCGATGGGAATTTAAACAAAGAACCACAATCCGTTCGATAAATATATCTCATACATTTTTATTTCACCTTCTTGTCGGCGCAGAACCTTTTTCGCCTTTACTTCAACAGTCATCATTTGTGATTTGCCTACTCCCACTGAATGTTATGAGGGTTTTTCGCCAGCGAGTCGATCATTTGGGCACAAAAGCAAAACAAACAGATTCACTCACTCGAAAACCACTCGAAAATTTCATTTGAAGCAAAAGCATAAAAAAATAAATTTCGTACTAGGAAATTATTTTGGGAAAATTCATTGAAAACAACTGCTCAAGATTCAATTATCAGAAATCAAATTCAGTCAAATTTTTCTGAGGATAAATACGAATAGAAAATAGAAAAAATTATTGAAAATATTGAAAAAAATACTTTGAGTAACCAAAAAAAACACCGAATATAACTCGAATAATTTTAAACAGTGCAGCCTGCCCGAGAGAAAATAGAAAATTGAAAAATTCTTGATTCATTTTTTTCCCAGAAAATTTGTCTAATGCTTTTCTCAGGACATCAATTATCTATTATAATACATAATATATGTCACAAAAATGACTTATTTGAAAATAAATATATTCTGGTCGAGTAACTTCGATAAATACGAAATGTTTTTAAAAAACCGTTTTTCCTTGAAAATTTCCTTTGCACACAAATAATATTACCAGAAATTCCAAGGTCGACCAGGAAAAATCAATTAAATCAATTAAACCATGTGTTGGAAGAATAAACCGAACCGAAAGCAAACCGAAAGCGGCGGTTCTGATTTCGTCAGAACTTTTTGACTTTAACTTCAAAAAACTTTATGCTTATCTCCTTATCTTGCAAGGATTCAAATGTTTTGTTTAGCTTATCTTGCAATGAAGCCACATTGTCTAATCTATCGTATTGTATATAAACAATATTGTAAACAATAAATTTTAACCACACCACGAATAAATATTAGAATTTAAAGTAATTTTTGTAAACACTAACATATAATAAAAAGAACGGAGGACCAACAATATTTCACAGAAACGATGATCATACTCAGGAAAAAAAAATTAGTAATAATAATAAAACAACAATAATAATAAATAATAATGATAGTGACAATAGTAATAAATATTGTTATTTATTATCATCAATAATAACAATAAATAATAATAATAATAATAATAATAATAATAATAATAATAATAATAATAATGATAATGATAATAATAATAATAATGATAATAATAATAATAATGATAATAATAGTGACAATAAATATTATTTTATTATCAGTAAAAATATAATAAATAATAATAATCATAATAAAGCAAAAATGAACTACTTGAATAATATGAATACTTTTATTATTCTATTCTAAAAATTTAATAAAAAGAATATTCTAAAAAATTTTAAATTATAAATAAATTATAAATAGAAGAGGTAATGATGCATTGGTCCGAATATTTGTTAAGGATTTATAAGTGAATTGATACTGTTTTATTAGAAAATATTGTTTTATAGTCAATGATGAAGTAAGGAAAAGTCCACATACATGTGAGCAACAGCCGGCCGACTTATGCTTTTTCGCGGTGATAAATATGAGACGATAATCAAATAACGTTCTATTTAATGGTTCGCCAAAAATCCGAAAGGATTATTCCTCTTTCTTCTTCCTTAAGAATCACAGAATCACAAATTGAGAGAAAAAATTTTTGCTTATCAGTGAATGTCGTGGATCAATGATCAATGATCGTCGATGAAGGCCCAATGAAAAAAAGGGCGAGGGTGAAGATTCCATGCTAAGTCGTGCCAGCCGTCGTGTTTCTTTTGCTGTTCTTCTTCCATTGTCGTAGATGATTTTCAGAAACTTCGCTAGATTTCTCTTATAACATTTATTTATTGTTTCTGAATTTCAATCGTATGAAATAAAATAAAAATTCCGCACTGAATTCTGTTCGTGAAACATCGTTGCATTCGCAATAAATTTTTCTTGAATTTAAAGCATTTCCAATTCAACTTCTCTTCTATTTGTTCGAAACTTCGGTGGGGTGGTCAGGTGGCATGGTCGCTTCGATTCGCGATGGGGTTTGCTTTCTTGGCTTTCCCGAGAGGAGCAAATCTGTCGTCATCTGTCCTGGTGCTTACGATCCATCTTTCATACTTCTTTCGCCAAGTGATTCCCTGGCAAGAATTTCTACTAGCACTAATAGCCAGTAGAGCTAGTCAAGCCAGAAAATGCGAACTTTGACCTTCTCCACATAACACATACAAAACCCAGTTTGCGGAAAAAGAGAAGGCACACTGTTACATACATTGCTACCACGTCACATAGATGTATTAGTGAAATTATTGCAAACGTATGGGCTGCGTTTTCGACATTGTCGGCTGGGCCGCCGTTTTCTCGTCGAACGTTCAATTTTTCTTATAAGCAAGGGTGTAATTCTTTAATGCAACTTTATTGGTGGAGTATTGCTCTGATATGATGTATCGTTGCCACCTCTGTATCTGTCGCGAAGAGACTTCCTGGCAGTCGATCCGACAAGTTGGCGTGACGAGTCTATCCAGCAGTGAGAAATGCTCTTAAAAAGAATTCCGGTCGGTGCTGGCGATCCACCGGTACGTCTGTCGCTAAGGGTCCAAAGAATTCATTTCTGATTATTTTTATTTAAAATTCTCTGTGAACTTGTCTCGCAGCATTTTGTCGACTGATGTATGCTGTTTTGTATAGTCATCGCGAATTCGAAATTGCATTTTATCACCAAAAATATGCCACATTTCGATTAAACAGCTCTAAAATTCAAAATCTTTGCTTAGTCATTACAATAGCTCACTAAGAAACTGAAACGAGGCGATAAGCAGATAAGTGGTATCAGCCATAATTTCTGGTTACATTGACTGCTAGTAAGATGAGAATGAGGTGAGAAATTTTTGCCGATGTTCGTTGGCGATAGAAATGCAGTGAAATCATGAGCGCCTGTTTGGATGACTTAGGCTTACTCAAGTGGGAGATAGCTTCTGAGCTATTAGTTATCAGGGCGATGGTCTGAAGAACAACCATATGTACACTCAAATTTATAATTGTAGGCGACGTCATGTTTGGTTTTTTGATTTCTTAATCACTTAAACCCAATTGAATACTTCATTTTAAAAATTTTGTGGTCTCAGTTCTTAGTAAAATGCATCTTTTCCTTTATTTTTTATTATATTTGGTTATTTTAGGCTGGGAAGAGAGGAGATAGAAAGGGTGGAAATGTGGAACAGTTAGTTATATTCGAATATATAAGGGGAGGAAAGGTTGTTGGTAATTCTGAAAGGAACTCACACTGATTAACACTCTGCCTCACGAGGTTTTTAAAAATTTTTAGTGGAAAAGGAATTATTGGTATAAATTTTTTAAACTCACAAAACAAACTTATAAATTTATAAAATTTTGAATAACATTTGATTTATTATCCAGGCTTTTAATTGAAGCCATAATTTTATGGAACTAAAATAATTGTATGGAACTGTCATTGCACTTGTCTGATACGATATTGTTCTATGTTTTCTTTGCCTTTTTCTTCTTATTTGCAGATGAATTCGTGTAGCAATTTAAATTATACTCAATTTGTTTTATTTTTATTATATAAAGATAAGAGATAATTGCAGATAATTTGCTACGTAGATAGAATGCCGCGTGCAAAACGTGAAAGAGAAGGTTACTTTTCTATTTTATTTTAATTTAAATCGGTTTATTTATAATCATTTTAAGAGTTTTTTGGATTATTTTTTATATATTTTTTTTAAAAATTTTCAAAAAATTTCAATTTTTAGCGAAAAAAATTTAGGACTTTTTTCTTGAATTCAATAATGAATGAAATTTCCAAAAATTCACTAATTAATATTAATGTTAATTGATTTTGAGTTAATCTTTAGATTCAAAAATTTAATTTAATTAAGTTAAATTTTGATCGAGTTGAATGTAAAGTGTATTATATTAATTATTAAACGATTTTTATACCATCAAAAGAAAATAATTAAGAACAAAGTGGAGATGGAACATGAAATAATCGACTAAATGGTAGAATTACTTTAGAGCAAAGTTAAATAATTTCCTTTTAAAAAATGTTCTTCAAACTAAATTAGCAGTTTTTCAGTTTCATTCACAAAAGTAAAGAAAAAAACGAAAGAATCGAAAAGAAATTTGGTGAATGATATTCATCGTTGCATCGATTCTTATAAAAATATTTTTATATTTGTTGTTGAAAATATGAGGACAACTAATTTTCTAAAAGTAAGTCTTTCTCAGTCATGAGAAGAAAATGGTGGTAAATGATAAATGAAATATTATTACGAAATATTCTAAGTGATGCTGTAGTCCTAATTCTCTTTCGAAAGGATTCTTAAATTTAGCCAAAAATATTCAATGGATGATAGACAAAGAATATGAAATATCAGTTATTTTACAACTTTCATGTGGTCATGAACCTTTTTTTTCATTTCACCTAAATACTGCTACTTTTTTTTGCACAATTTTGATGAAATTTCTAAGGATTATGGCATTCCTATTGCATTAATTTTTGCAATTTGTTTGTAATTTGTTTTAGATCAGGCAAAAGTACAAGAATACTTCGCGCTTTTTCTTCGGGAAAAATAATTTAATGGCAGTTGCATTAGGCCGAGACAAAGATAAGGAATATGCCAAGGATTTGAGTAAGGTTGAAATTGTTTTTCATTATTTTCATTTTGTCTAAGTTTATTGTCTTTTTTTTAAGTTTCATATTCTTTTATTTTTCATAATAAATTCGAATTTATGTTTTAAAAAATAAAAAATGGGTATGGGTAGTAGCATGGATAGTAGGACTTTTGAATAGAATCGTTGAAAAGAATTTGTGAGTAAAACTTCAGATGTGTCCGTGTTTAAAAGGTCAATGTGGCTTAATGTTTACGAATGAAAGCAAATTTTCAGTTATTAAGTAAGTATGTTTTAAATCTAAGATTTTAAAAACTTTAATAAAATGTTTTTAAAGAAATTATCTGACCAAATTAGGTTTTTCAGTTTCATAATCATTGGATTATATTCAGGTTCATAATTCATTAATTTCTAAACAGATTGCATCATAGGTGGAAAGAAATTTCCCCATAAAACTCCGCTTTTGACTAATTTTCAAAGATATAGTGATTTGATAACTAGAAAATTTGTACTTTATATAAAATATAAGTTTTCATACAGATTTATCTCCAAAATGGCAGGTTTCAAATTACGAAATTTTTTATAATGGTTTCTGTTGCGAAATTTTGAATGAAAAAGTCATGTGGTAAGCTGAAAAAGAAACGTAATTAATGAAATTAAATGAAAATTGAAAATTTTAATATAAATATTCTGGAAAATGGTAAATATGAATTACATTTTTCAGATTTTTTGAGGAATTTCATGAAATGGATTTTACTCGGTGTAGTCAGATTGCAACCAAAACTATTGAACTGTCGGAAGGACCATTACCTCAATTTCCTTTTTCTAATGAATATCAGTTAAGGCAACTTGGATTGCCAACTAAACTGGAAAAAGGTGTGATTGAAATAATGTTTTTAGCATATAGAGAATTTCTAATCCCTAATCTACTCGTCCACATTTCTACTGCTCTACTATTTCAGGTGTTGTTAAATTAATTTCTGACTATACTGTGTGCAAGGAGGGTGAGCAGCTAACTGCTGAACAGGCACGACTCTTGAAATATCTTGACATAAAGATGGCAACATTTAAAATTACTTTGTTAGGACATTGGTCCAAGAGTGATGGGTTTAATTTATTTAATTAAGATACTTTAAAATTTCACATTTTATTCTTATCAAAAAATGGGTTAATAAAAATGTGGGTGAAAGGAAATTGAAATGGATTGTAACTTTTACCATATCTGAAAGAAAATCTTTGTTCTTGCAATTATGAATGGATGGTACTTTATATTATTTATTGTTTATAATATTACAAATTGTTGAAATAAATATACTAAGAATGTAGTAAATGGGATTTTTCATTACAGATGTGATTCTTTTGATAAATAAATCTTAATGTTTTTTTCCTTGGTTCATTTATGGCACTGGTTACACAATTTTTTTCATTATAACAACTCTTTTGTAATATTTTGGTGCACTTCCTCAAATTTTCCCGATTCTTATATAGACTATGAAAGAATTTCCAGAATTGGTTTTTTAAATTCAATAATAGAATAGGAATGCCCTTCTATCTATCAATATCTATACATTAAGATTTGCTCCAAGAAACATTATTTAGAAAGTTAAATGAAAGAAAAAACCGCCTTTTGTCTGCAAAGAAGAAATTTGAGTGAAGGAACTGTTTTGCGCGAGAATATGCCGCGTTTATATTAAATGATTTAAAATATTCAATTTGCAAAAGGTCCATCTTTCCATTCATTTCTACTGTCGAAATCGAAATGGAAATGAAAGTTAACCGAACGGTTAAGCATCGGGAAAGGAACAATGGTCGTTTTTTCCATTTCCATTTGGATTGCCAACTAAACTGGAAAAAATCAATCGGATGAACTGTGAAAAATGACATAAAACCGTGAAGAAAAAGGTGACAAATTGATTCTTTGGAAAATCGATTTCTGGAGGAGAATAAACTTCGTTTATTTCTGGGGAAGAGAATTCCCCAGGAATGAAGTGGTTGGAACAGAAATTCTGCTTAGAAGTAAAAATCCATAAATTAGATCAAAATATTTTATAAGGAAAAGCAAAAGTAAATACGGTCTATCTCTGAAAACTTGCGATTTCTCCAGAGGATATTATTATTATTTTATTATTGTTATTATTGTTATTACTATTATTATTGTTATTATTATTATTGTTACTATTATTATTAATCATTATTATTATTAATTATTATTATTAATTATTATTGTTATTATTATTATTGTTATTATTATTGTTATAATTATAATTATAATAATTATTATTATTAATTATTATGCCACCATCGCAGTTATTTCTTTAAACAGCTGGATAAACTCTACCAATTGTCCTTTGTCATAACGTAGCGGTAACACAGCGGCAAACCCTGTCTTTTCTTAACGTTCTTCCGTGTCTCTAACACTTAAACGTATTTTTAATAAAAATCCCATGGATTCTCATTATTTTTTTCTTGCTTTAAAAAATGAATTGTTTTAAGCAAATTTGGCAAATTTTTTTGGTTCGTCTTTTTCATTATCTTCGTCCCTTTGTTTTCGTTATTGATATTGTGCAATATTATCGTGATATTACTCACATTGCTTTTTGATGGCAAAATATATATCAAAGTTCATATAAATCAAAATATCAAAAAATATCAAATATATATTTTTCAAAATATATTTATATTTGGCTTTGGTCATTTTTCGCTTCGAGAGAACGGGCTTTTTGATTTTAATTCAGGTGAAAAGGGTTACGTTAAAAAGGTTCAAAATCGTTGGTACTTATTTTAGTGATTCTTCGTTTTTTAAAGGGTAAAAAAATTTTTTCGTAATATGCAATAAGTGTAATGAAATAGTATAATAAGCTGCTATAATATTGATATTTTCTGATGATAAATATGCATGTTATCATTAGTATGTTGAGATGCTATAATGCAAATGCCAAAAGTTTTCGTTAAACTTCGGAGCGCCGAGGCTTTATTCCCGACAAGAGTAAATATGTCCGAAAATGTGAGCGGTGCTGACTGCTTACCTGTTCTTCTATCGCCGAGGGACTCCCTGGCATATTTGTCCAGTCCAGCAAGCCAGCGAAGTCAATTTAGTTATGGTGAATGCTCTTTAAAAAAATTTTCTTATTTCTTTCATCCAATATCTCTTTCATCTTCGTTTTCGAGAATGGTTGAGAAATTTTTGAATATTTGCAATAAATTTTATTGCCGTAATGCTCATATTAGAATAAATTTCTATTCGAGAAAAAATTTTTAAGCTCTATGGGAAAAATTTATCGAAATCTCCAGCTTATTACAGTATTTCCTTAACATACCAACAATTTATTTTATATTTTTATGAAACACTGTTAGAAACAAAATAAACCATTATTTGCCAGCTTTGCATGAATTTGCACGAATTCGCCAAAATAATTTGCTCAGCAATATTAGATTTTACGCAGAATTTCGGTTTTCTTTAGATGAATGGCTATGATCGAGCGGTTGATTAACATTCAATAAAATCATCCTTATTAGAGGAGTTAATGGTTATGGAAATTCCACATCCACATCCACTATTATCGCCTCATTAAAACTAAATATTTTGGTTATAAATGGATAAGATTTGCTATATTGATGTATAAAACCTCGAGAAATGAAGGAATATTGTCCTTTTCGGAATAAACGACTTTCAAAAACCAGCCTTTTCTTTTTCTTCTAACAGTTCTCACCATTACTGGCTAGGCTGGCTCTACTGGTTACAAAGATAAGACATTTCCAAGCTGCGCGATCTTACGCCATCGTTAACATTAATAAAAGCCATTCTTTTTTCCATGTCTAACTGCAACCGAATTCCATAGTTCAAGTCCATATATTGCTGGCCCGCCTATACGTTCAAAATTTTTTCTGATCGTGTCACTCCAAGTCTTGATTGGCCCATCTAGCTTTTGACGCCATCGATCATACGGTTAGCAAGTAAAAAAATATGCGTGAACGACGGAGATGAAGACGGAGAACGACGTGAACGCGCACTAACCAGCTCTGTGATAACATCAAATATATTTAATTCATGTATTTGAGCGTAGATGGATGCAATAATCATGTACAATTTTATCCGTTTGGCAGATCCGTAAAATATGAATGTCTTAGATATGAATGTCTTATTTATTGTATTTATCGACTGAGTTGAACCACTCTGGTCTTCGAATTTTTAATCCAAGACAATAAAATTTCTGGAATTCTATCTTCAAAAACAATATCGCACAAAAGATTTGGAAATTGAAACTATTCAAATTAAACAAAATTATTTTAATGCTTCGAATCAAACGCTTTTCAGTATCTTCGAATTTATAAATTTGATTAATTTTTATAAAAAAATTATGCAAGATTTAGAAAATAATAGAAAATGATTCGTAAAAAATCTTAAATGATTGAGAAAATTCGAAAAAACTTAAAGAAAATTCGATTGATAATTTTTCGCAGCATGGCGGGACAGAAATCTTTCTTGGAGCGGGATGATCTTGAAAATAAAAGGGTGAGCTCAATTAAGTGATAACAGGAAAATATTCCGCTTCATAAGATGGAACGAATTATTTGAGGCGAAATTAACCACGATGCACGGGCATAGCTGATTCGTTCATCAAACCAAATATTTGCAATTGCAAACCGCCAAAAGGAGAGGAAATAATATTTATTATCAATAAGGTTAAGGCCAATAAAACTCTTGGAGATAGTTTTCAGGACGAACTACTCTTCAAATGTCTGTTATCCTTCATATCACACTTTCAACTGTATTCTCTAGTATGGAAAAAATAAATTTCACCAGATGACTGGAGTAAAGCAGTTCTACCAAATCCCAAGAAAAGTGACAGGATCTACTGCGACGATTATCCAATCAGCCGTCAGCAAAGATTTTTGCTCCCCTTTTACTCAACAAATTTATGGAAGTACGAAACAGCAAGACCTTGCAGCTGCCTTTAATTCAATCGATATAGCTGCGCTTTGGAGGATGATGGAACACAGAGGTGTTCCAGGAAAGGTCATTCGACTCATAAAAGCATTTTATCAATGTACTTCAGTGTAGGTCTGAGTGTATGGGGAACTGAGAAAATCCTTCGAAATATGGTCTAATATCCAGCAATGCTGCGTCCTATAACATTTCGCCCGCAATATTTAATTACGCGATAAATTGTACAGTGGACATCGCATTTATGAAGTATATATGTATATAAATCAGTCCAGAGCATAGTACCACAAACCTTAAATAAACTAATGATCTAGTCCTTTTCGCTGAGAATTATGACGAAATGCAAATAATGCTATGCAACGTGTCAATAACTGGAGGGAAAATCGGGCCAATGTAAATAAAATAAAATCTTTTCGTCTTATATACAAAAAGCTGATGAAATATCTAATTTCATAAATTCAATGCCGGTTGAGGAAGTGATTTTAAATACTTTAGATCCACTCTAATTGTCCCAATTGACTAGACTTGAAGCCTGATAACGGCAGTTAGAAATGCGTTACTTCATGCAGCCGTCGCGAAATCACCATAAAAGCGAAATTCCGCGTCTATATAGCTGCGATTAGCTCGATCCTCGATCTTGTCATATAGTTGCGAGTCATGGCTAATAGGACAGAAGATATTAAGTTATGTGCCTTTGATCACTTATATCTAAAGCAAAGGTCCGCCGAGTCTAGAAAATCTCACATGATTACACCCACTTTCGCTCAAGTACAATTTGTATTAACGTAACATTACAGAGAATTCGCATTCGCTAGTTAGGACATGTTCTTCATCGCTCACCACAAGAGTTGAGAAATATTTCGTTATCTACTGAATCCTGTGATGGGTGGCGTCAAAAGCGACGTGGACCTGGACTGATACGATCAGGAAAGTTTCTGAAAGTATAGATGGACCAGCAATATAGGGACTTGACAATGGAAAAGGGAATGACTTCTATTCCTATCGATATCATGGCATCAGGTCGCGCAGCTTGGAAAGGTCTTACCCTTAGAGCCAGCGGAGCCAGCCTAACCAGTAATGGTGAAAAGGATTTTTTTACTTATTACCAGTTAGTAAATATTGGAAACTTTCGCAATAATTCATAAATACTCATTTACTCGAAACAATGCAGTACCACTTCATCTATAACCATTCTCATAATAAAATTACTTATTACACCGCATTTAATGCATTTTGATTGTCATAATAAACATTCATAGAATCCCATTTCTAGAAAATTTTCCCATTATTTACGTACTTTTTAAACCAATCCGTAATAAATATTCGTGCATTTATATTTCGTTATTGTCAGTTCTTGCATGCATTTGTGCATGAGCATACCTCCATTAAAGGGGGCAAGAAATGCAGTGAATAGAACTAAAATCCTACCAATATTTTATTAATCGTTTTACTACATTATCATACAATTAACAATTTCAACTAACTAATTTCAACAGTTTATGCTTTCCATGCAATCTACATTTGTCTAAATCTATGGTCTATATTCCTTCTCTTCATTTTTTATATTAATATAATTCTTTTAATATAAAATATTATATTAATATTTAATATTAATACATTTTTTCAAAATATTTTCTTAAAATATTTTACAAAAATATTCTCTTAACGATTATCAACAGCTCACTTATTATTGAATTTATCGACGTTGTACCATTCTATTTTCCACAAATCTATTTTAAGCTGTGGAATTTAAATTTAGAGAAAAACTCGCTATTACAATGAGCGAATGAGCTAATACTCTACTTGACTTCAAAAAAAAATTTTAATTTCAAAAATAATTATCCGAAAAATAAGAAAGAATGCGCCATAAAAATCATTTTAAAAAGCATGTAAATATAACAAATAAATGGAAAATCTGTGCATAAATATTAAATAATATCATATTTAAAAAACCGAATTCAAATCGTTAAATTAAAAAAATCCTCAAATGAAGCATTTTAAAATATTCTGAAGTGGTAGAAAATAATTTCTAAAATGCACATTTAAGCCATATTTGTAAATAAAAAGCGGAACAAGACAAATTAGACAGTTTAAAACACGAAACAAACAAAAGCTGGCATTTTGAATTACAACTTAGATGAATGGTATTATTCTAACGAAAGAATAAGCAATTCATTGGGGAATAAAACAAATGCACCACTGTTTTCGATTTAAAATTAGTTATGCAAAATTATAAATGACAATAGTCTAAGAAAAATTAAAATGAGTAAACCTGTAAACCATAATAAACTTATGGGCAGCGTGCAATTTTAGCATTACACATATATAAAAAAATCATTTCTAAAAACCCAAAAAAAATTTTCTAATTTTAGGGTCCAAAAATCAAAAAATTTCAAACATGTAACAGTTATTTAATGCATTCCCTCAACTATAATAGAATAAAGATAAATATGTATTTATTTATTTATTATTATTATTACTTATTTATTAATTATTTGTTACTTATTTATTATGCTAATATTTTCAATTTTTTTCAGCAAATTCACCAAAAGGAAATTGACTAAGGAATTCATATTTAAATTGGTGATTATGGAGCCTTAATGCCTAAGCTTTCCGCAACAAAATCAAATATAATAGTTGGTTTAGGAAAATCATTATCGACAAGTGTTATCAAACAGAATTCGTCATGAATTACTTCTAACAGTGCTCGGCTTTCTGATCCTTCTGGATAAATCATTTTCCTAAAATTTTATGAAAAATAACAATATAGTAAAATAGACATTGAGAAAAAATAACTCATTAAACAAATTACAAAAAAATAGTTCAAATTCTCTTTTTCTTCTAAAAGCACTCACCATTAATGATAAGATTTATTCCGATGTGTGATGCCATCGTCTGATGAAAATAATAGAAACCATTCCTTTACCCATCGTCTAAAGCCATACGACCACCTATACGTTCAAAATCTTTCCTGACTGTATCAGTCCAGGTCTTGATTGGCCCACTTTTGATGCCAACCGCTCCGTTACAGAGTTTAACAAGTAATGAAATAAGTGTAAATAAGTATACAAGTGAAATATGTGCATTTCTGATGGAAGAACGCAAGTTCAACGCAAGTAGCAAGTTAACCAGCGAAGGCGACGATATGTGATGGCAATACATTAATACAAATGGTATTTGAGCGAAAGTTATGTAATCATGCGAGATTTTATCCGCTCGGCGGATCGGTAAAATATTTTAGACATGAGTGGTCAGAGGTACATAACTTAATATCTTCCACTCTCATTAGACTCGCGACCATATGGCAAGATCGAGCTAACTATATAGCTTAACTATATAGACGCGGACTTTCGCTTTTATGATGGTTTTGCGATGGCTGCATAAAGGTTTCGCTAACCAGAAGAATATATTTCTGGCTACCACTATTCGAGGAAGTATATTATTTCGCCTTTTGCCTGGCTAGATTAGAGTGGATCTGAGATATCTAAAATGCGACTTCCTCAACCGGCAATGAATTGATAAAAACAGAAATTTTATCAACTTCTTACTCTGATATACTCTGGACTGATTTTTATATTTATAAGACGAACAGACCTGCGTTTTATATATTAATGTTGATCCTGAGCTGGATTCTGCAGTTGCCGACACATTATCTAGCATTGTGGCATTTCATCATAACTGTCAGCAAAAAGGACTACATTATCAGTGTATTCGAAGTGTGTGATATACTCTGGAATGATTTCTATGATTCTTGAGTGCCGAGAAGTGGTATCCATTATCCATTATCATATCGTATAGTTAAATATTGTAGAGCGAAAAGATGCAATCTTTGCTGGCTTTATGTCAAAAGATTTTGTCAATTACCCATATATACAGATCTATGCCGATGCTGCTAAAATGCTTTTATGACTGGAATATTTCATTATTCAAGCGCTGTCCTGTCAATTGAATCGAAGACAGCTACAAAATCTATAAGATAGTTGATGCTTGCCGGTATCTGAAACGATGTTTTAGCATCCTTCTTAACATGAATATCTGGTCAGCAAAACCACGTCCTAGGTTTGAGTCCAGCTTGGTTATAGCGCATTCTGCTGTCCAGTGTTGCAATAAGTCTACTGGGTAAAAGGGAAGAAATAAATTTTCGCTGATGCCAAGGCTGATTCGACGACAGTTCTTATTGTGAAATGCGATATGCTATATTTATTCCAATTTATTATTTGAATTCAGTGACCTCGACCAAAGTGGTCATCCATTATTTTAATCAACTATTTCGTAGTTGCTTATAAATCATTGATTATAAGCCTAATTCCTTAACATTTAATTTCCAAAATGAGATTGACCACATAATATTTGTCTGGATGTCACGCCTACCAATCAAATTAATGCTGTACTGTTCTAAGGGCCAATGCAGTCGGCCCCAGTTTTTATATTATAATAATTTTATTTTTTATAATCAATAATTGATTTATAAATTTATTTCGTTTTGGAACTAATTTGCATATGCATTGTTATATTGGCCTTAACCTTACTAATAATGAAGATTATTATCTCTCCTCTTGGCAGTTCGCAATTGCAAACATATGGTTTGATGAACGAATTAGTTATGCTCGTGGTAACAGATGGTGCATCGTGGTTAAATGTCGCCTCAAAGAATTCCATCTTATGAGGAGATCCTTAATAGACATGCCATTATTATCCCATATCATTTCACTGACTATTCCAGGAGTTACAGTTGCTTTATGAACAAAGTGGAACAGTTTCCTATTACCTAATCGAGAAGCCGTCTCCATTGTCAAAACCATACTTTTCCAATAAAATTTCTGTCACTGTGCTGCTATTGTTGTAATGCATCCGATACCAGGATATCCTGACATTATGCTTTAGCAGACAGTTGGATAGTTGCTTCTGATAGTCAATTAGCGCATTTCCTACTAGTATATCCTAGTATGAAAGTGGCTAACATTTGGAAACATGCCTCTAGTTGGAACCAGTATTCATCGATAGTTCCGGAGATCTCATACATATTTCAATAATGTACTTCAATAATTCGGTTTGAAATGCGCTCATTATCCCCAAACCTTTTAGTCTGTTCTCTTATTCTTGATACTTTAAAGATATTGGGAGATGCTGCTTCATGCAAATTGTCAGTTTTATGCGGATCTTAGCTCGAACCATAATATAATCTGATCCATGAATGTTAGTTCTAGCGCCACAAGAACGAGGGCCTAGTGTCTAATACGCAATGCTTCCAGTGGCGACTGACTAAAATATAATCAATCCTGTTGGAATGTTGATTATCTGCAGAGTTCCACTTGGATTCTTTTCTTATCGGAGGCATGTATTGGTTTACAAAAAGTTCATACTGTTCGGCAAAGCGTAGAAGACTTTCTTCACTGACGCCCCGGCCCCGATGGCTATCTTTGCCAATTATCGATTTTAGAAAGAGTGTGGACAATTCTCGTTTGGCTTACAATGTCCACAAGCATTTTGACGCTGCTACGGCTAACATCTCATCACACGTACAGAAAGCTGTTGTTCTTGACAGGTTTGGAGCAATTGCTCCTGGTTTGCGAGCATATCTTATTCATTAGTAATGCGAACTCTCGGATTGGATCTTTTTATACTCGAATATATATTTTGATTGCTTTCACCATAGAGTTACCCAGGAATAGAGTTACAGGTGGGTTTTCAACAGCAACTTAGATTTTTGATGTCATAGATTTATTCCTATCGAGGACAAAGAGGTAATTGAGAAGGAAAAGATAAAATGGAAAAATTAAAAAAAATTAAAGGAAATTAAAAAATTAAAGGAAGAATAAACTCAAAAAAAAGCTTACCATGTGAAGCGAAATTTGTGGAAATCTCGAAAAATATTATATAGGTAATACATGTAAATCAAATTAAGATTTTACCAATTATTCCAAGTTTCGAAAGCTTCATCTTTCCAAACTCGAAATGAAAGTGGATCAACGACAGTTGGTTGGGCGATTTCTGAACCCGGAAATACTCCCCACGTAACAGCGATAGGCATCGTAGATTCTCCATTAGTCCAATCAATTGTTGCCTAAAACTCCTTAAAATAAAAGTTCTAAACCAATTCAACCATCTAAATTTAGTTCAGTGGTTGTTGTTTATATCACCATTTCCATGTCAAAGTTTTTTTGCCGACAGAAGTAAATTATTAATTGTTATCAAAAAATCCTACAATATAATTATTTAATAAGTATAAAGAGAATAAATATATTAAAAAAGAAATGATACAAAAATAAAAGCCTAATAAGTTCTCACATTATGATTAATTATTTGACAACTAAGGCGAGGGTATAATGGTAATAGTTGGCGAAGAGATTCAGTATTCTTTTGAGATGTAAAAAATTCGAGATAAGCCTGAAAAGAAATATTGCAACCATATCATAAATTTACATTCATTTTGAAAAATCTGCAATGAGAACAAACGGAAATTTAAAAAAAACTGGGAAATTTAAAAATCTAACTTCATCGCATTATTCTGAATAAATGAAATCAGTAAATATCAAATATGAAAATAAAAAAGAAATTATGAAATAAAGAAAAACTAGCTTCAAGAAATAAAGGAAAAGCAAAAAACCTAAAATAAGCTTTTCTTAACTTGCTGCTCTATAATGCGATGAAAAAGTTAAGGGAGCATTAATTGTTTCTAAAAAAATGGAAAAAAAGAATAATAAGAATCGGGAAAATTAATACTGAGAAGCAGTAGGTATCCAAATAGAAATTTATGATTTCAGAAAACGGTCTTGCTTGCAATATTAAAAGATATATCATTACTACAAATAATAAGAATACGAATACGAATCATAATGAACGATACGCTAATCTTACTTTCTGATAGCAATAACCACCTGGTTTGCCCCATCCAACCAAAGGATCAGTGCTCGATGCACCATTTACAGCTGGTTGACTATTTATTGTGAGAATTCCATGCTTGTTGCACCAAATTAATTGTTCTTTGATCAATGAAGTTTCTGGCTGCGTGCCGATTTCCTGTTCATTCCAAGGTAATCGAGTCACCTGTAGTAAAATTTTGATGATTCTGTAAAAAAAAAGGAAACTTGAGGGTAAGAATATTCAAATATTTTCATTAGAACGACAGATTTTTTTAAAATTTATGAAACTGGTAACTGAATACTTTTATTCCATTTTGATTCGGTTGCTGAGATATAAAACTGACGAAAATATTTTGTACATCAACAATACTTTTTAATTCTCCATACATTTTTAACTGATCCTCCTTTGATAGATGACCTTTTAAATAGAACAAATAATAATCAGCAAGATCATTAAAAGCCGGCGAGGAACTATTTCCCCAACGACCATTGGGAAAATCATCCCAGTCCTGAAACATCTAATTAAATAAATGCAATGTCACATAATTCATATTTTATCAAATCTGACCAAAAAAATTGAAAGCACTATGATCAAAGGATTTCAAATTAAATAACATTTTAGCTGGAAGGAAAACCTGTGTACGAAAAACATAAGAATTCGGCCGAGTGGACCAAAATATCGGCCGCACTGTTTCTTTATATCGCACCGGATGATTACAGCCAAACGATTTCCATGGCAAAGTACGCATAGGTTTTTTAATCCATAATCCAAGTTCTTGAAGTATCTCACTTAAATATTCAAGATTAGGAAGGAGAAAAAAATTCCAGGAATTTTGAATTTCAGGAAAAGCATAAAATATAAATAAAAACCATTCAAAAACAGTTTAAAAAAAATTTTATACTCATCTATCAAGTTTTGAAAGACAATTTAGAAAAAAACAGGAAAAAAATTTGAAAAATTTCAAAACCGAGAAGCCGATTCACGGTTCAAAGTATACAAATGAATTGAAGTCGTAAGACCCTTATTCAATAATTCTCGACATAGGTGCACCGCTTGATGAATACCAAATTTCCGAACTGCATCGTCATTATGACGAATTGGCTCCAAAGTGGAAATTATATACTCTGGCAATGTTAGCTTCGATATTTCAACAATCCGTCTTATACTTTCATAACTCTAAAATTTGAATTGCCTGTTAAAATCGCACGAAATTCTATATATGATGGCAATAAATTAGCATTTAAATTTTAATATTCAATAAATAAATCTCAATGGTGACCTGTGTGCTATAGAGCGGTTGTGCTCCAAAAGTGCTCTGCTCATTAATCAATAGAAAAATCAATAGGTAAACAAATTTTACTATTTTTATCACCATATTATTATATTGTATTACTGTCTAATAATTTATTATTTGTTATCAACGAATGATCAGACCGGATTTTCTTTTCCTTTTTTTTCTTCTTAAAAACTTTATTTTTTAAACCTTTCTTTAAATTTCTTAATTTTTTAATTTCTTAATCTTAATAATCTTTAAATTTCTTTTAATTTAATTTAATTATCTCTACTCTTTATCTTTGACAGGAGTAAACCTGTCATAATGTCAAAAGTCCGGATGACTGCTGGGGACCCACCTGTATCTCTATCCCCAAGTGACTCTATGGTGAAAGGATCTTTGACGCGATGTCCGCGTCTCCCGACTCGCATGTTACTTCTGACCCGATAGTAAATGCGATAAATATACAATCCGAGCGTAATAATAAAAATAAAATTCCAAGGCATAAACATATAATATATTTGTTCGTGAACCAAGATAAGTACTCAAAATCCGTCAAGAGAGGCGAAAAGAGAATCCGGTCTGATTATTCGTTGATAACAAATAATAAATAATAAATTATTAGATAGTGATACAATATAATAATATAGTGATAAAAATCGTAAACACTTTATAAGCACGGTGAGATGCTGGCTATAGCTGCTTGGAAGGTCAGAACGCTTATGGATATTACAAGCGATCACTGTCGACACCCTCTCTAAATACCACTGGATGATGTGGCCTGTTTATCGGAAATCCGTCTTTCTCATGTCGGCTCTCAAGTAATTATTAAACCTGGTTCAGAGGAAAGATATTGGTTATATCATTGTGATGTCTCGGATAACTCGAGGCGAAATGGCGTAACGATTGTCATATCTGGAAAGGCTCGATCTAATCTGATTGAGTGCAAAGCGATAAATGATTATATGGCCTAGGCGCGTTTCATGGGAAAGTTCTGCAATATTTAGGTCATCAATGTATGATATGCTCCAACTTTATGCACAGATGACCGCGATAAGGATAAATTCTATGCGGAATTTCAACTGTTAACAACATCCCTACCGAGAGGTGATATAGTCATACTCCATTTAAAATCATTTAAAATTATGAATAAATATTATATCATTTTAATAATTTGTGTATAATGAAAATCCCTCAAATTTTTAAAATCTTAATTGAAAACTTTATTTTTTTATTAATTCATATGTAAATAAAGTGTCTTCGGTATCGGAGGAAACATCTAGTCACGTGGAACTCTCCGGACAACCAATATTCAAATCAGATTCAGTGTCATTAGTCATTTAGTCATTATTAGTCATTTCATCTATTTTAGTCATTCATCGCTGGAAGAGATTTCTGTATTTGATAGTCGTTCTTATCGAGGCGTTAAAACTGGTAACTGCCATGAACAAATAGAACATTGACAAATTCCTTCGAAATAAAAACTGGTGGCCGTCAGGGCTGCATTCAGGGCCACAATATTCAACTATGTAATAGACTGGATAATAGGCATCGCTTGTCGGCACTCAAGAGGTGTGCGAATCAGTCCAGAGCACAGCATCACAGAACTTGAATACTCTGATGATGTAGTCCTTTTTGCTGACAATTATGAGAAAATGCAAATAATTGTTAAACAATGTGTCAGTAATCGAGAATTTGATACAAAATCAATGTAAATAAAACGAAAGTGTTTTCGTCTTATATATAAAATACTTATTTTTATCAATTCATTGCTGGTTGAGGAAGTGCTAGACTTCAAATACCTTGGATCGACTCTAATCCCAAATGGCCAGGCAAAGGATTAAATTGTAACTCGGATAACGACAGCTAGAAATGTGTTTTTTCGGTTGATGGAATTTTTATGGAACCGTAGCGAAATCGCCATAAATCCGCCTACGAAAATCTGCGTCCATAGAGCTGCAATTCGCTCGATCTTGCTATATGACTGCAAAACATGGCAATGAGAGTAGAGGATATTACGAAGCTATTAGCTTTTGGCCACTTTTGTTTAAGACACATTTTAGTCCGTCAAACGGATAAAATCGCACGTGATTATATCCATCTTCGCTCAAATACCATCTGTGTTAATAATGTTATCACAGAGTCGCCTTCGCTGGTTAGCACGTTCTCCATCTCCATCGTCCACCATAGCAGCATATTTCGTTGCTAAGCCCTGTGATGATTGGCGTCAAAAGCGGGGAGCGCCAGTGAAGACATGAACTGATACAGTCATTTTGAACGTATAGGGGAACCAACATATGGACTTAAACGATGGAAAAATAAATGCCTTATACTACTACTATCGATGGCGTTGGACCCAATAGCTTGGAAATGTCTTACCCTTATAGCCAGGGGCACCAGCCTAACCAGTAATGGTGAGAGCTGTTAGAATAAGAATAAATAAATTTCAACAATTCTTAGATTAAATAAATCATTAAGACTTCAGTCGACAAGAAAAGAACAGATTTTGAAGGGTAAGTTATACGAGGTATACAATGGAAAAAAAAGTAGGTATATTTAATTTCAAGTATCAAACCTGAAGCTTTAAAAATCTTACTTTACTCTCAGAACAGCCAGCCAAATCAGCAATACTTATTGAAGAATATAATTTGTGGAAGAAGAAGACTACTGATGAAATAAAAAATTAAAAACCATTGAAAACTACAAAGTTTCGCGAAATTATACTTGTATTGGTAATATGCCTGGAATAATAGGAACTGTAATACCAATTTCACGACAATCTCGGATAAATTTTTCAAAAACTTCCACTTCAAAAAATAATTGTGTTATAACAAAATTTGCACCAGCTTCAATCTTTGATTTAAGATAAAGAATATCTGCAGCATAAGATGGCGCATCTGGATGTCCCGTTGGATAGCATAAAAAAAGATTTTAAAATTTTTAAAGAACTTTAAAAAGAACTTAAAGAACTTTATCCACTCAAGTTCTGAATCAATTTAAAAAATTTTTCATTGAAGAATAATATAGTTCGTGGAAATCAACCGCTTGCTGTGTATGATAAAAATTTTCATACAAATTAGAAAAATTTATGAACATTAGCTTAAAAATTAAGCTTAAAAATTGAAAAAATTAAATACCATCAAGTTAAATGCACAGAAATAAAAGATGTAAAACAAACTGATAAAAAGAAAATTGACAAAATTAACCAGCGCAAGCAATCGTAAAATAATCATCAAATTCTTCTCGGATCCATCTTATCATATCAATCGCACGATATCGATAAATTATCTGTTCATCATTCTAAGAAAAAAAATTAAAATAATAATTAAAGGTTGTTCCGGATGATACTGGCGATTCACCTGTATTTCTAAGGGACTCTCTGGCATATTTGTCCAATGCGACAAGTCAGGGGAGCAAGTTTAATCAGTAATGGTGAGAAACCTTTAAAAAATGCTAAAGCTCGTTAATTAAAATAAACATCCTAATTATTATTAATAATATTGTATTATTATTATATTATTGATAAATTTTTTTTTTTTCTTCCTACAACTCTCACTATCACTGATTAGGCTGGCTGTATTGGCTACAAGAGCAAAATGTTTCCAAGCTGCGCGATCTGATGCCGCCGTCAACAGTAATAGAAGCCACTTCTTTTTCCATGGCCTAAGGCTATTCGTTCAAAATCTTCCTTGAATGTGTCAGTCCAGTTTTTGATTGGACCACTTTTGACGCCATCCATCACAGGGCTTCACAAATAGCGAAATACCTGTCAATTCCTGTGGTGAGTAGCGAAGACGATACTCTGTAATGGTGATTTCGCGACGGCTGCATTTCTCCAACCAGAAGAACACATTTCTGGCTACCACTATTCGAGTGAGTATATTATTTCGTCTTTTGCCTGGCTGATTAGAGTGGATCTGAGATATCTAAAATGCGACTTCCTCAACCGGCAATGAATTGATAAAAACAGGAATTTTATCAACTTCTTACTCTGATATACTCTGGACTGATTTTTATACTTATAAGACGAACAGATCTGCGTTTTATATATTAATGTTGATCCTGAGCTGGATTCTGCAGTTGCCGACACATTATCTAGCATTGTGGCATTTGTCAGCAAAAAGGACTACATTATCAGTGTATTCAAAGTGTGTGATATACTCTGGAATGATTTCTATGATTCTTGAGTGCCAAGAAGTGGTATCCATTATCTATTATCAAATATTGTAGGGGGGAAAAGATGTCTTTGCGGGCTTTATGTCAAAAGAGTTTGTCAGTTACCCATCTATGCAGATCTATGCCGATGCTGCCAAAATGCCTTTATGAGTCGAATGATCCTTTGGAACATCTCCACATTTCATTGTGCTTCAAAGAACTGCCCTGCCAATTGAATCGAAGGTAACAATCGATAAAACAATTGACAGTATTGACGGTGGCATGCCGATACTTGAAGCGATGTTTCAATATGTATCTTTTTTAATATGGAAATCTGGTCATCACAACTACATCCCAATCCAGGTCTGAATCAAGCTTAGTTAGGACGCATTCTGCTATCTCATGTTGCCATGAATCTATTATTTAGCAGAAGAGAAGCGAAAATTTTTCAGATGTCCTGAATTTTTCCGGAGAATAAGCTAATTCCTCGATAATTGTCGCAGTACGTCTGCCACCTTTCTTAGGAATTGAAATTGCTTTCAGTCTTCTGATATTATTTCTTTTTGCCATACCAGAGAATATATTTATTAAGGTAAGTTATGAACGATGATGGACAAGATTTGAAGAATTCGACCCAAAGACCATCTTCTCCGAGTTTTATAGGTCTTAAGCTTATGGATTACAGAAATCATTTCTTCTTCTTGTGTTGGCGGTCCACAGTTGCGAACATATGGTTCGACGGGCGAATCAGTTATATTCGGGACAACAGATAACGCATCGTGGTTAAATTTGCCTCAAAAAATTCTTCCCATCTTATGAGGCGATCCTTAATGGCTTTAAAGGCACCCTATTAATATTCTGTATCATTTCACTGATCCTTTCTTGAGTTATAGTTGTTTTGTGAAGGCAAAATATTTTTCTTGTCCCGCCTGTTTGCTGTCGTTATAATTCTTCGAAGCACCCAATAGTCAAGATCTCCTAACATTCTTTGGCAATTTTCTCAGACAACTGGACAGTTGCTTCCGATACTTGACTAGCTTACTTGTTACTAATATATCCTAGCATGGAAATGGTTAGCATTCGGAAACATGCCTTCAGTTGGGGACAAATATATTCATGGGCAGTTCCGGAGATCTCATATATATTTCACTGAGATGGTTCCATTATGCTTCATTAATTCGGTTTAAAATGCGCTTATTGTCTCCGAATTTTAGTCTGATCTTTTAATCTTGAAAAATATTTTAAAGATATTGGGAGACGCTGTTTCATACAAATTATCAGTTTTATGCGGATCTTATGCCGAACCATAACATCTGATCCATGAAAATTATTCGCGTCACGATAAGAACGAGTGTCTAGTATGCAACGCTTCCAGTGGCGACTGATTAAAATATAATCAATCTTGTTGGAATGTTGATTATCTGCGCAATTCCACATGGATTGATATCGGAGGTATGTATTAGTAACAAAAAGTTCATACTGTTCGGCAAAGCGTAGAAGGCTTTCTCCACTGGCGCACCGGACCCTGATGCCTATCTTAGCCAATTATCGATTTTAGAAAAAGTGTGGACAGTTCTCGTTTGGCTTACAACGTCCATAAGCATTTTGACGATGCTACGGCTTATCGCGCATACAGAAAGCCGTTGTCCTTAACAGATTTCAAGCAATTGCCCTGGCTTGAGAACATATTTTATAAGTCTTGGGATCATTGCACGTCCAGATTGTATATTCATCGCTTTTACATTTTGAGAATATTATACGCTTCGGACACCATATCGAAAAAACTTGACCCTTTCACCATAGAGTTACTTGGAAATGTAGTTGCAGATGGGTCCCCAGCAGCCACTGAGAGAAAGGTCAAAAGTCAGAAATGCTAAGTTAGAAAAAAAAATAATATTGCAACAAATTTCTTTAATCTGTGAAGTTTGTCGTTACATTAATTTATACAAAATTATATAAAATAACAAATAAATCAAGAAAAAAATTATAAAAGAATACCTGTTTCTGTAAATCACCACGAAGTGCAAGAATATTTCTAAGTCCAGCAATTTTACTTTGTTCTAAATGTCTCAGCGTTTGCTTCTTTGAATAATTTATGCAAGACATATGAAGCATCGTGTCAACGGCACAATAATTTAAACAACCAGCAGCAATCGACGTTGATGATGTTTCTTTTTTCAAATTTCCTGAAAAAAATTTTGTCCAGTCGTAAAAAAAATTACTGATAAATACAAAAAAAGGAAGAAACGAACCAGGATCGGAACCAGTATGCCAAGTAACATCAACAAATAATGGATTTCCTTCTCGCATTCGTTCAACTCGAGAAAAGAAATTCGAAACACCATTCACAGTTTTCGGTGGAAAAAACTCAAATAAAATTTGTTAAAAAAGGGAATGTGCAATTCGATCAAAACTCGCCAAAAGTTTAAGTCAAATTGGCCAAAATACAAAAAATAAATAAAATATAGGAGAGAATTATTTAAGTGGGCTTTACAATGTATGTAATATCTGAGATAAGTGATAAGAGATAACCTCGAGCGAAAAAAATGGTGAACCATCCTGTATTCGTTGATTTATTCGATTGTGTAATGGAATATATAAACTTCTTTCAAATAGTTCCGAATCGAGAAGTGGAGAAATTTTCGCATGAGCTGTTTTTTTATGACCATTACTACTGTTTAATCCATCAGTTGTACTGCAACTTTTTTTAGACATAAAATGAAGATAATTTCGAAAAATTTATCAGATTTAAAAAAAAAAGTTGATTTCAAATTTGAAATTATTTGATGAGGTTTGATGAATTTATTAGAAATTACTGAATTATCTATATTATGAAAAGAAAACATTGCCAATGGAATTTGTAAAAAATCTATCATCGTACTGGTGAAAGGACAACAAAAACAAAAACATTTTGCAAAGCCAGTTATATCCATTAGTGTCCCTAAACATCCGTAAAAGATCGCGATATTCCCAACATCCTTTCAAAACTCGTCATTTTTCCTCAATACCCACCGCTTAATATAACATCGCCTCAATAATTAGTGCCGCTATCGTCTTGGGGTCCTTTACGATTTTATAATGTACGACTAGAAGCTCACAGTTGGCGTTGAAGCGACATACTGGGACTGGACGACGAAGTTAAGAGGCAATAATCGGAGGCAATAATTGGAAGGATTTAAAGTGGGAACACACTAATAAAGAGAAGGTGAAAGAGCACAAAGGTGTAATGAAGGCTGAGGAGAATTCTAATGAATAATGAAAGGTTTCCGAGCGTTTAAGGTTTTCGTTTCCCACAAAAAGTCGCAATTTAAGGCCTTCGCGATCTTTTAGAATTTTATTTCTTCCGAATGTACAAGGAATTAGGCAGCAAATCAGTCATTTCAATAAATTTCAGTAAATTCGGTTAAAGAAGTCATTGAAATTCAGAAAATTTAGAAACCACTCAGACGTTGCATCCAATACACTGCTACTCGATAAACCATTCATAATCGCTTTTGTGTCGCTGGATAACTATAAAAAAGTTGATTAACCGCACTTGAAGTGTTTTAGTGGCGAGTCAAGTGTCGCCGAGAATCGGAAGTGGCTCGGATTCGGCACAGCCAGCGTTTTCATCAGCTGCAACGTCGCCGAATGGCGAAAGCCAAAGGAGAATGGCTCAGTGGCTCGTTGCTCAGTTCGGAGGGCCGATGCTCAGGTTCACGTTCGGCGTCAGGCATATGTATAAATCTATCTCAAAAATCCGGACGATTCATCCATGCTTTTATCCTCTCTCTGGCTCTCTGGCAAAATTGTCCCGTCCGACAAGCCAGCGAGTCTAACCAGACTGAGTCTGAATCACTGAGAAATCTCAGAACCAACGTCGATAATTTTTTTAAATGAAGAAATAGCATATGTATAAGAGAGAACGCATAGATAAAAGATGAATTAAGGATTCGATTTAAAAAATTTTGAGACGATGAGTTAAAGCGAAAAGCGTGGAACGCTTAACGATTTTACAAGCGAAATTTGCGAAAAAATTTTTTGTTTTGTTGAATTTAAATTAAAAATTCAATATAAAAGCAATTTCGTTCGTTTTTTCTGAAAAATGTAAAAAATTGATTCAACGAGACGAATTAATTAATTGATCGAGCGAAAAGATCTAATTTGGGGAAACAAATTTGCAACAAATTTAAAAAAAAAATCAAATTTTAAAAACAATTTTTCAATAAAAATGGCCAAAATCATTAGAAAATACCCTCCTCCTCCCTTCCTCCCCCTCCTTCCACTACCCTCCTTCCCATATTCCTTTCTTTTCTTCTTCCTCTCCTATCCCTCTCCACAGCCACCCTCTTTTCTTTACTTTTTCCTATAATCGCACTAGATTTACCAGAAGAACGCGCGCAAATATCATTCTCACATTTCCATTGCTTACTTATTTTGCTTACTAATCATAATTTATCATCATTTTTTATTATTTGAACATCTGTTTTCATTTGGTTTGCAATTTAAAAAGAGGATATTTTTATTGGTTATGACAATTGCGCTAATAACTCGCGTTGATTTGCAACGAGACGATAACGTAGCATTCAAAATTCACATGCATTGACTGGGCGCAATTTAAACTCTTATCTGCAAATTCAAATGAATCCGATTGCGCGCTAGGAAATGACAGCGAAGCGTTATTATCAATCATTTTATCACTGCTCTTTTGTTATCTCCCTCAGTCCTCTGACTCAAATCGTTTATTTCAAGGACAATTTATTGATTCACTTGCAGATCAACGATATCTCCGCCCATTTTACTTTTTTCGTGATTCGAATTTAAGTATTCGTACGGTGATAATTCTTTGCAGCAACTCTCCGCAAGAGTTCAGGGGGGTTCAGATGGTACTAAATTGATGCGAAGAAATTCAGGTCGTAGGTATTAATCAAATCAATCGGGAATTTTCGAAAACAAGACCAACAAATGATTTTCTTATGCCCGTGACCTGTCACCTATCACCTTTCACCTGTCACCTATCACCCCTCATCTGTCATCCATTCTGTCACCAGTTTTTTTTATTATTCAAATTATTCGTAAAAGCATATAATTATCAATGAATTTCATTACGTTGAAAACCACTTCACTTTTAAATTTTTTTGTTACAAATTTCATAATTTATTAATGATAGAGTTTTTTCAGCCTTCGGCGAGGATTTTCGCTTCACTATTTTTTTCACATTTCAACAATAATTACTTTAATTCGATAATTATTCATCGCATTCATTGAATTTAAAAATTTTTCACAAATTTTTCTCTCTTTTTATTTTTTTTTTGCATTTTATATTCTTTTTGCACTTCGGGAATATTAATAATTAAAAAAATAATACTTTTTGTCGGAAGGGGCGGAAGCTATTTCATTAATGCTCGGAAGCTCCGCCCACTGATTGCTGAAGATATTTGTGAAATGCAAGTTTTTCTTCCCTCCTTTTTTTTAATTTGTTCATATAATAATAATATTTAAATTGAGGTCAGATTAATTAAAAACTAATCGATATTTGGAGTGATTCTGTGAGAAGGAGAGGGAGAGGAAGAAAGAGATTGATGAAATAGCTCTTTGAAAAGCTATAGCAACAGTTGAGCAGACAACTCTTTTCGAACGAAGGGAAGAAAAAATTCATAGTTTAGTTGCAAATTTTCTTTTCGTTCGTCTTAGCCAGTTTTTCAATTTTTCAGTATATGCGTATGACGTCATTTACTTTTTCGTTTTTTTCGCACTTTTATTAGGACTGTTTTATCGATTTACTGCATAAAATATTCGAAATGGACAATTTTTGATAATGAATTAATTGATATCGATCGATTGCGACGAGGTTATCAGTTTTATTATCAGTTATTAATAAAAAAAGTCTTAAATTTAGTAATTTAAGTTTCTAAATGTCTAAATTTCTTCGCCGCTGTAAGTTTTTATTATTTGTTTCATTTTTTTATTTGTTAAAATTTCGATAATTTGATTCATAACGATTTTTACTTATTATTAACGATATTGTAACGATATTGTGAGAGAGATAGTGGAAAGAAGGAGCTTAAATGGCGGTGAATGAGGGTGAACCTGGATAAAGAATTCCGGAAGGGAAGAGGAGCGTGGAAGCCTGCATCGTCTAGCTATGAACCAACTAAATGGAGTACATCGTTTTTTTTGAATTCAGCATTATTTTGCTTATTTTGGTTCTAATTTCGTTTTTTTGTTCCCTTTTACTTTATTTCAAGTATTGCCAATGTCGCCTACTTTGTGTTCGCTTGATAAGAGTAAGCCTGGAATTAAAAAAAATATAATTCACATTTGTTCTTTTACTTGCCAATGATATCATTGGTAACTATAATAGATATAACAAAAGAGGAAATCTAAATGATACCTATGTGAGGGCTTCTCAATACTTCTATTTTTTGTATTTTTTTCAGTTTTATATAAATTTTTTGTATTGGTACCAGGTGCATTTTTTTTTTCATCCATCACGTTCATTGATCAGAAAACTTTTTTGTAATTTTTAATTACTTTCATATTAGTTAATTAGTTCAACTTACTTTTGTAATTTTTAGCACCTTAGTTCATTTTTTTAAAACATAGTCATTATTTATATATAATGATATTTATATAGTCATTGTTTATTTATAATTTATTCAAAATCATAAATTCATGCAGTTTTATTGATGTTGTCAGTTATATCGCATATTATACAAATTTAAATATCCATATATATTTTATTATTTCGTTGAGTTTTGTGATGATAGATGGCCGAATAGGCGAATGGTCGTGCAGATTACCACTTTTAGCACCTTAGTTACGTTAGTTTAGCACCACTTCGAGTGTAAAGACCATACCTTTCACAAAAGGTGTCATTAAAAAATCGGTGGTGATAGTAACCCGCCTGCATTTTTTTTCCATAGTAACTCATTAGCAAAAACCTCTCATCGTATAATTGCCACTGGAATTTAAAACAACGGGCAGTAACCATTTATTTATTTATAGTGATGATAATGGCAAATAACGATGAGAAAGGAAGAGTTTTATCTGGTGATGCGACTGATTTAGCTGAACAAGAAAAATTACTGAAACATGAGGAGGCAGCTAAAGCACTTGGAAGACAACGCGATACTGATGAGCTCAAAGTTACTTTCCAATCGTTTTTTTTTCCTTTATTTATTTGGATATTGCATATAAATTTTTTTTTTGAAAAGCGTTCTTGTTTGATTAGGCTGGCTTGCCTGGACCGCATATACTTTCCGGGGAGTCACATAATAGGATTGCAATTTCCAGCGCCAGGTTTATTCCTGTCAGAAGTGGAACCTCAGCATCAGAATTCCGAAAAGGAAATAATAACTTTGTTGCACTTTAAACATTAATTTTAAACTTAAAATTGAATGAATAAATCGTTCTCGTGATTGCAATTTTTTTGCTATTTTCTGATGCTTATTCTTTGTTTAAATGAAAGTTATAATAGAATGAATGTAGTGAAATGTTCATAGATTGAAAGCTGGCAAAGAATTTTAGAGACGGATTGATGCAGAAAATGTGCGAATAGACTGTGGTGTAACTAAAGTAGGGATAAGGAGTTATCGATGATTTTTTTATGTTGATTATTTTGATGATTATTTTTTTCACCAAATAAGTTTTTAACACTTTTACTGTGTTTCTTATCAATCCTTAAGCGAAAAGTTATTAAAGTTAATAAAGTTTTTTACAAAAGTTATCATTTTAATTTTTTTTTCACAGGGATCGTGGACTTTTCCTTTGTTTTTATCGGTTTTAGCTGCAACAATTGCTTCATTTCAATTTGGTTATCACATTGGATGCATAAATGTTCCGGCAAAGGTTATTATTATTACTCTCTGGTTATACTTTTATCTGTTGGAATCAGTTTTATGTATTTTTTTTATTGAGGATAATTGAGGCATTAATTGAAATGATTGAAATACCTGTTAAAAAAAAATATTTTCTTCTGTGAATATTCTTTTTAATTTTTGAATTGAATTTCTTTTTAATTATATATTATTGAACGGAGAGTCGAATTTTCCCGAAAATAAACATTTGAAAAACGATACATTTGTTAGAAAAAGAGAAATAAAGAGCGATTTTTCGAATAGATTCTAATTTAAATCGGATTTTAGGTAATAATTGAGTGGTATGTCGAATCACATCAGTATTTATTTAGTGAAAAAACTTCATACGAAGAAGTTGCGAGATTTCAATGGTTCTCTTTTTTTATTTGTTAAACTGTTAAATTTATTAGCATTTGCTTTTTTGTTATTATTATATTATTATTAATAACAATATTATTATTAGAATATTATATTATTATTAGAATATTATAACAATATTATATTATTGTTTTTATTGTATTGTTATTAGTAATGTTATTATTTGTTAATAACACAATATTATATTATTAATAGTATTATTATACATTATTATCATTATATTATGATTGAAAATTTTAATGCAGTTATTAAATTATATATTTACATCTCGCAATTTTATAAAATCTGTTATTTTCTTTTTAATTGACTCTTAAATTTTTCTTTTTTGATAAATTATGGAAAATTATTTTTTTTTATTTCTTTTTGTTCTCTGTATTCTCTGGTATGGCGAAAGGAAATAATACCAGAAGACTGGGGCAAAACAATCCTATTTCCCATTCCTAAGAAAGATGATAGGACGTACTGCGATTATTAATGAGGAGTCAGCCTACTGGGCATCTCCGGAAAAATTTTCACTTCCCTTCTGCTAAATAGACTCATGGCAACACGAGATAGCAGAATGCGTGCTAATCAAGCTAGATTCTGATTGGGATGCGGTTGTCCTGACCAGATATTTACGCTTGGAACATCGCTTCAAATACCAGCAACCCACCGTCACTTGCTTTATCGATTTTGCAGCTGGTTTCGATCCGATTGATAGAGAAGCGTTCTGGAAAGTGATGGAATGTGATGGTATCCCAGAGAAGATCATTCGACTCATAAAGGCATTTTATCAGCATACCCTGGCGGAAGTCTGTGTATATGGGGAACAGATTCCTTCGAAATAAAAACTGGTGACCGTCAGGGCTGCGTCCTTTCCCCCACAATATTCAACTATGCGATAGACTGTATAATCGGCATCGCTTGTCGGCACTCAAGAGGTGTGCGAATCAGTCCAGAGCATAGCATCTCAAAACTTGAATACTCTGATGATGTAGTCCTTTTTGCTGACAGTTATGAGGAAATGCAAATAATTGTTAAATTGTCAATGTTTCAAGAACTGCAGGGAGAATTGGACTCAAAATCAATATAAATAAAACGAAAGTATCGCTTACAAGGTGCTGATAATATTCCTGTCTTTATTAATACATTGCCAGTTGAGGAACAGTCCGACTTTAAATACGTTGGACCCACTCTAATCCCAAATGGCGAAGGGTGAAATTGTAACTCGGAGAACGACAGCTAAAAATATGTTTTTGCAGCCTTCATGGAACTGTCGTGAAATCACCATAAAGATGAAAATCCGTGTTTATATAGCTGCAATTCGTTCGATCCTACTATATGGTTGCGAAACATGGCCAATGAGAATGGAAGATATTAGGAAGCAATTAGTCTTTGTCCACTCATGTCTAAAGTATATTCTACAGATCCGCGAGAAGGTGAAATCGCACATGATTGTATCCACCTTCGCTCAAATGCCAGCTGCATTAATAATGTTATCACACCTTCGCCTTCACTGGTTAGACGTTCTTCGTCATCCACCACAAAAATTGACGCATATTTCGTTACTTGACGATGGAAAAACCATGTGATGGATGGTGTAAAAAGTGAAGGCCAATCAAGACCTGGACTGATACAGTCAGGAAAGAACGTATATGTATATGAAAGAACGTATTTTGAACGTATATGTTGAACGTATAGGCGGACCAGCGATATATGGACTTAGACGATGGAAAAAGGAATGGGTTCTATTACTACTAGCGATGGCGTCGGACTGAGCTGCTTGGAGACTTACTCTTATTCTTGTAGCCAGTGCAGCCAGCTTAACCAGCAACAGTGAGAGCTGTTAGAAGAATAAAAAAGAATTCTTTTTATTTTAAAATAATAATTTGTACGCAATTTTTAGGGCAATAACTATTGGTATATTTGCGATCGGTGGTATGATTGGCGGTTTAGCATCTGGTTGGTTTGCTGATCGAATGGGACGTAAAGGTGCATTACTTTTCAACAATATTATTGCGGTAATTGCTGCTGTGTTTATGACTGGTGCAAAATATGTTAATGCTTACCCATTAATTATTATTGGCCGTATTGTTATTGGAATACATTCAGGTATTATTATGGTTCCATTGGTTTACTTTTTTTTTAGTAAAAAATGATGTTAAGCGAAAAATCTTCCCCTGTACAAATTGATCGATCCTTATAAATCATTAATTTTGTCCTAAAAATAGGAGATTTCTTTGTATTCTTTCCTATCATAATGTCGATTTTGGACAAATACAAAAAAAAATGTATTTCCTTAAAGACTTAAAGATAACTTAAGATAGACTTAAAAGTTAAAATACTTAATACTGTTTTAATTATTAGTCATTTTTATATTTTTTGTCATCATTTCATGTAATATTTGTTTCTAAATAACGCAAAATTAAATTATAAATTACAAAATTATATTAGAAATTTTCAAAAATTTTCATTGGAACTGGCACAAGTTCATTCATTGGATTTGACAGAAGCACTAAGATGTTTTTAATTTTTAGGGTTAAGCACTGGTTTAGTGCCAATGTATCTCACCGAAATATCACCAATCAATCTTCGCGGAACACTTGGTAGTGCTCATCAACTACTAATTACAATTGCTATTCTTTTTTCCCAGATCATTGGATTACCAAGTGTATTGGGTAGTATGGAACGTTGGCCTATGATTTTTGGTAACTTAGAAATATCTTTGAGCCTTTCTTAAAATTCTAGATTTTAAATTTAAGCAAAAATAGAAAAATTAGCATCAGTTTTTTTTGTAGACGAAAAAATTTCCATTTCTTTTCATAATTTGGAAGATTCTTATCTAGTAGCGCTGAATATCTTGTCTGATGAATTAAAAAATTTTTTATTAACGCTAATCAGGAAAATATCAAAATATAGAAGAAAATTTTAAAGAAAATATGAACTTTAGCCAGTGAAAATATAAATAGGATTTCAGTAATATTCTTTATTATGTTTTAGGTTTTACTATTGTTCCGGTCATTGCACAAATTTGCATTTTTACTGCATGCCCAGAATCACCTAAGTACAATTTGATCGTGAAAAAGCGAACCGAACAAGCCGAGACTGATCTGAAAAAATTAAGAGGAAAAGAGAATATAAGTTTTTCAACATTTTAATCAAAGTTAGACAACTTATGGTGAATAAAAATTTAAATTGTGATTTTTAGGGAATAGCGATGGTACTATGAATTAATTTTAGGTTGCTGCAGAGATTGATATCATGAAAGAAGAAGCGGCAGTTATTTCATCGATGGAAAAAATTGGTATAGCTGATTTATTCAAAGGTGAATATGCTTGGCCAATGTTTATTGCAATTATGATGATGTGCGGTCAACAACTATCGGGTATAAATGTGGCAATGTTCTTTTCCACAAAAATTTTCTCAGATGCTGGTCTTGGCGAAGGAGCTCTTTATGCAACTCTTGGCATGGGAGCTCTCAATGTTGCAATGACTTTCATCTCTGTTTATCTAGTAATTTTTTAATTCATTTTTCTTCCGAAGCTTTCGTATTTTTCGTTTGAAAAACGTAATGCTTCTTCAGTTAAACTGTGTAGATTTTCAATTATCGGCGTTACTCCGATTGAAAATTTTTTGTTGTCGTTTAGTCATCTTTATCCATTTGTTTTTTTCAAAATTTGATTTCTGCCTATTTATATTGTTATATTGTAAGGTCATTACTGATGAATGATTTTTCCGATTTTGATTAGTTTTCGATTCCCCTCAGAATTATTTATCTCAGTGAAGATTTCTATTTCAGGTTGATCATCCAAAATGTGGTCGTCGGCTTTTACTAATGATTGGTTTCCTTGGCATGCTGATCACTTCAGTATTGCTTGTTATTTCTCTTTCTCTTTATGTAAGTGAATTTAACAATAATTTGTTATTGAATTTAACTTGAATTGGCATTTGACCTTTTTTAATAATTTTATGTCATATAATTACAAATTTATTTTTTTTCTTTTTTTTCTGGTGATTTAATTTTTTTCAATTATTGCGCAGGCTAAGGATAGCAAAGTATACGGCTTTACGGCATATGCATCCATGGTCTTTGTATTTCTTTTTGTTATTTCTTTTGCTACTGGACCTGGTTAGATTTATTAATTAGTTAGATTTAATTAATTATAAATTATTGGAACATATATACTCATGATCGAAATATATATATTACCACCAGAGCGTCGCCTTTGCTTGTTAGGTTTCTTCGACGCTCACCACAGGAGTTGCCAAATATTTCGCTATTTGTTAAACTCTTTGACGGATAATGTCAAAAGCGAAGAGTACCCATCAAGACCTGGATTAATGCGATCAGGAAGGGTTTTGAACGTATTGTGAACAAGTGGGAACAAGCGATATTTACTATAGCTGCTACATTGAAGGTTTGCCTTTTCACTAAAGGCAAACCACAGTAATGAAAGCAAATCACTAATCTTAGATATCATCCCAACCTCAGATGTCATAATCATCCTACATTTCCACTCACCATCATGTTAATCTTTTTATCATCCATGATTGCTACTACAGCAAAAGTACAATACAAGGCTTGACATTTTGTTTTATAGGCTCAATCCCTTGGTTTTTTGTTTCGGAATTATTCTCATCTGCAGCTCGTGGTAATGCGAATTCGATAGCTGTTATGGTCAATTGGACAGCGAACTTTATTGTTGGAACTAGTTTCGAGTCTCTGACTGTATGATTTTTTCGGAATATTTTCAGATTTTTCAATTTTCTGCAATCTTTTTTTTGGCGATTTGTTTTTTAATTTCGTGGTTCATAAAAACCCTTAGAAAGTTTAAATATTAAAATATTTTTTCATTTTTGCTTCATTCGAAAAAGTCTTTTATATTATAGTTTATTATACGATAACTTGCAGCAACTTTTGCACCGATTCACTTTTCTTGTATTTTCGGCCTTCTTGGCCTTCTTCCTGTTCTTCGTTTGGATGTATGTACCGGAAACAAAAGGTCGTACGGTGGAGGATATAAACGCTGAGTTTCGTCTTGGAAAATCTCGTTTCGCTCGTAGCCAGAAGCTTTAAAGTGGTTTTCGCTTTCTAGATCAGTCTGAATTAATTTGTGTTGCTGGTTTATTAAATTTTTTCTGTTTTTTTTCAAATTACATGTGCAATGACTTTGATTTTTCTTCTTACCTAAAAAAGCGTTAGAAATATGATCGCCTTGATTTTACGGTTTGAACTTTGTTGAAATATTTTTAATTATATTTTATCTAAGAAATTGTAAAGAAAATTTTAATTTTATGTTTATATTTCCTGCATAGTTTATTTGAAAAAATTTGATTTTGATATATTTGAAATATTTAATGGTTGAAAATAGCCTTTATAATCATAATTTCCAGTTTTCTTCGCACTTTAACGAAATTTTTCCAGTCAAAATGTTTGATTCGGATTCATTGATCAGTTTTTTTAAACATTTTATGAATGGTGTTTCATCCTGAATTTTATATGTAAATTGGTGATGGAGTTTGATTTCACAATATTTTTTTTCAAATTTTAGTAGTTAAAAATTTTTTTTAGCAAGCTTTGTGCTATGATCTTTTTTTTTTCTTTAAATTTATTTTTGATATTTAAAATTTAAAGGAATACCAATAATTATTTAGAATTACCTTGAAAACTGAAAATTTTCCTTTTAACTTCATTGCCATGAAAATTTGCCCGTTCTTGCTATTAATCACTGCTTTTTTTTTCTGGTTTTTTGATTGTTTTTTTAATGTTTTTTTCATTATATCGAAGAAAAATGATCATGATTAATATTTAGTCATTTATTTAGTCATTTTGCGAGATTTTTTGTTTGACCCAAAGTTATTAAGAAATTTTTCATTTATTTTCCAGCAAAGTGAATATTAAGAATGAAATTTTAATTTTTATTGGACTGCGTAATTATTATGTAAATATAGGAATTTCAATTGTTGCGAAAACAGTACGGCTTACCCTCGTCATATTGCTCGTTTACCTATTTTACGCTTCACCGATTCAACGGGTTGAGATACTAACTGGCATAAAATTTACATTAAAAACTACAATTTTGCTTGTGTTAGCACATCTTTCTATAACTATATGATGCTAGTTATTTTATGTATGACCTTTGTAAAAGGATTTGCGAATATTGTGAAAAGCAGACGTTCGTGCCGAAGGGCTTTGTAGCCAATGAGATTTGTGGTGGTAAATGATTAGGTTAGAGGAATCCACATATTTCATTCGCCATTCATCATTTCTCACCTCGCTGACGTCGCTAGGTTTTTTGCCAGATGGCCATTTGAAATGTGAACCTGCCAGCAGGTCAAAGTTTCACTTTTACGGAGAATGTGAGTCTCGTTCAAAGGCAATTCCGCTGTAATCTCATTGATTTTGTCTTGAAACGAAGATTAGGCGTTAGCGCGGACGTTGCGTGTGAGTTAAACTACGTTTATATTCATTTAATTCGCGCAGCGATCTTTTGAATTTTAGCTTTTTTAGCGTTTCAGCTATTTCTATTAGCCTTTCGGCGAAAGAGGATTTTCTGATGGCGCGTATTCTGCCGACGAAGTTGTTTTAAGTCCAATGAAGGGGAGGGTGGGGGAGGGGGGGGGGGAGGAAGAATAGGCGAGTGCTTATCGTTGAAAGTCCGTCGTTCGCAAATCTTGAATTGGTCTTAACTATCGCTCATTTGACGCAACGGCTCATTCGAAATGTTCAGTGAAATCGTCGATAATTTTGCGGTGATTAGTGGGCGCATCGTTAACCCGCTTAACGCGCGTTAGCGTGTAAGCATCCAGTTCGCATCCCTTGCCATTCCCCAAAATTGCTCGAATTGCGTTCTTTTTTCTCCACCTTCATTCGAGTCATTTTTAAACATTGTGGCTCCTACTGATATTTACTGATTAAAATATGTTTAGTTGGTGAATATAGATGACAATATTGTCAGTTGCGGGTAGCAAAGGTCGAGTACAAGCAGGCGGAGATTTGTTCGACCAAGCCAACTCATCGAGCAACGTATTTCTTTCATTTTATTTTAATAGCAGTTTTTTGATCTTTAAGGTTCTTATCATCTATCAATCAATCAATTCATAAATCGTGAGTTGACGATCGCGAAAATTATCATCCACATGGCAGATCAGATAAATTATTAACGAAATTAAAAGATCTTGATAATAACGAATTAGTTTCCACGAAGCATGCGAATGATACTTGGGATCTTAGTATTATTATAAATATAAATCCTTATTTTGGTCGTTTACGAGAAAAATGGCTAAGAAATCTTTTAGTTCATTGAATTTGATATTTTTTTGTAATTTTTAAAAACTTAATATTTTTAAAGATAAAAAGATAAAAATGCATAAAATATCCATTAGATTAGGTGAAATATGTCGAAAAACTAAAATTAGTTGAAAAAGTTGCTGAAAATTTTGCAAATATTGCATTATTGTTTTGGTTGGTATTTAGTATTTTTTATATTATTATATTATCGTGAAAGTATTTTCAGGTTGGTATATTGACGGCGAATGAAGCAGAACTTTTCAACAGTGTTAAACGTTGGCTTGGCGATGTGAACGAGCGAATTTTAATTCACGTAATTAAGGTAATTATTGTTAATAGTTGTTAATAGTCGTTATTGCTATCTGTCAGATGATTTCAGCAGAATGTTGGAAAAATTTGTGGAAAACCATTGTTCCTTTTGGTTTTTGTTGATTGCTTTTTTCACATACTGGTTTCATTTTTGGTAATAATTTATTTGTAACAAAATGACGCGTACAAATCGAATTGAATCATATGCTATATTTCTTAATTTATAGAACCACAGTACCTCAGTGCAGTCACAATTTGGTGGAAATTCAGAGAGTTTGATGAATGATATTATTGGTAGTTACTTTGATAAAATTCAGCCTGATGCCGAACGATCTTTCAAGCAAGTGCGATTTGATGAGGTTTGTTAATTATTGGTTTATTTTGAAAATGAAATATATAGGGAATATATAGGTTATTTTAAATAAAACTTTAAAAATTATCACTTTTTCTCTGTCAAGATGATGCAGTAATTTTTAATGATCGTAAAAATTTGTGCTTTCTTTAGAATTCAAAAAATTCTCCACAGAATGCATCTCTGAAGCGACCATCATCATTTACTAGTTGTGGGACATCAACAGATAAAGCTGTTGTTGTCGATTTGACATTGGAAGAGGATCGTGGTTCTTTAAAGTGGAAAAATTCCATGACAAATAATGTAATTGGCAGTCGTGAGGAACAAGACGTCATTAAGGCGATTGAAGAATCACTTAAGGAAAACCAGAATGTGCCTGGATTTTCACCATTTGCGCAAAAGGATGCGGAAAATCCTCATGAACGGAAAAGGATTGATCTCATGCCAGTTGGATTGAAAAATATTGGAAATAGTTGCTGGTTTAATGTTATTGCTCAAGTACTTTTTATTCTTGAGGCGATATATAGATTTTTCCTTTCATATATATATATATATATATTTATACAGATCGAAAGTATTTTTCCATCCGTTTCAGACGTTATTTCACCTTCCACGTTTTCGGCAGTTACTTTTCGAATTTACTGCTAAAGAATTTTGGGATGAAGGTGATGGATTTACTGAGCGGCCTTCTTCTTCAAAAGAGGTTCTTATATCGTATATAGTATTTATTTAATTTTTAATACATCCATTTATTGTTAATGAAATTCAGTGCGACTTTTTAGACTATAATTAGTTTAAATAGTTATAATTAATTATTTTAATTATAATTTACTAGTTAAACAATTTCAAATTATTGCTATGGTATAGTAACTATTTAAAAACTTGTTTATTTAAAAATTTTCAGAATTTTCAGATTTAATAAGTTAATTTGATTTAAATATTGAAAAAAATTGTTATATTATTCTAGGTAACTCCTTCTGATTTGTTATTTGCTTTTCGCGGTCTTTCTGCCATGCTTCTTGCTTCTACTCGTGCTTATGTAGATCCCACAGATATTTTACAAACTATAAACGACTTAAATACGAATTTGAATAAAACTGTTCCTTGCATCGGAATTCAGCAGGTATCTAATACTTTTCTGTAATATTTGTTAAGCTTTCTAGAAGATTGTTATGCAAAATTTCTATTTTTTGCAATGTTAAAATAGAAAATTTCTAATTAGGAATGCGAAATGAGTATTCAAAAAATGCATTGTTGGGATGAAACTTATTTTTTATTAAATATTATTAAATATTTTATATTTTATTGTATTTATTATATTTTATTTTGATTTCTTTTATTATTCGTACAGTTCTGTGCTTTAAGATCAGTATTTCAAACTGAGCTTTTCAAATAGCTTCAATCACAAATTATAAATTTTGTTATAGGATGCTATCGAAATGCTATTGCGATTAATTGAATGGTTAGAACAAGCTTTTAATGCATGTGATATTGCAAATTGTGCACCATTAGATGCAGAAATGGAAGAAGTTTCATGCTTCAAAGCAAAAGTAAACCAAATTTTGAAAATCTTTTAGAAATATTTATTTTTATTTGGTTTATAGGAAGATTGAGAATATTGTTTAAATTTTAGGAGGAATCCAATGCAGTTGATGAGATTACTGATGATGGTGCTAATGCTCCCACTACTTCATGCGTCTTGCGTCCTTTCAATTCTCTTTTGCATGGTTCTCATATTGAGTTGCGTCAGTTTCCAGGTTTGTCGTTCATTTTGCTTGGATAATTTCTTCAAGATTTTAAATTTCATTAGTGTTGAAAGAGTTAAAAATAATTTCAGCAATGCTAAAAAGTATTTTCATGATTTTAGATGGCGTAATTACACGATCCGTACTCGAAAATTCGTTACAGATGATAAATTTGGATGTTTCATTTGATAATCTTCACGATTCACTTGAAGCTTATCATTTTAATGATTATCCATCTAAAGAGGTTATTATTTTCCATTTTTTTTATAAATTACTTTTATTTTTCTTGAATGTTCCTGAATGTTTATTTTTTTCGTTCCTTTATGTTTTATTCTTTTAATTCTTATGCTGATATGCTGATGATGTTTAATTCTTTTTCAGTGATTTTAGGCAAATTTTATTTTAATTTGGCCTTTGTATTAAATATTTCGCCTTTATGTTAAATATACTTTTTAACATAAAGGCGAAATATTGAATTATATGCGATGATTATTTATTTAATCAGTTCTATAAATGCAATTTTCTAATAATAGATTTCAAATTTTTATTTTTTCTAGGTGTGGTTTGAAAATTTGCCTCCTGTGATTATTTTTTCATTAGTGCGATTTAGCTACAAAAATGGTCAAACCGAGAAGCTGCATAGCAAATTTCATTTTCCGCTTGATTTTTTCATGGACCGATATCTGCACCGTAATCGAACCTACGTTAATATAAAAAGACAAGAGCGTATGATTCTGAAAGAGAGACTTGAAAATTTAAAAAATGAATTGCGAAGGTTGTGTTTTATTCATTGCATAAAATTTTCTCGACGCACTCTTTTGCCCTCTTGGTTTTAAGTTTGTGTTTGCAAAACCTCTGTGCAGTTTGGGTCGATATTGTTGGAATCCTTTAATCAAAATTTGTCATATATTTGGAAATCTTGTCAAACACCTATTAACACTACATCTTTTTAAAACACTACTTAAAACACTACATCTTTTTTTTCTGTAATCCATGAAACTGGATTTGAAGAAATAAAGTTTGAGGGGCATCAGTGCATTTGGATTTGAAAATAATGAAGGATCTGGACGTTCATAGAATGAGTTTTTTTATTTTCTGGAACACGATAGTTAATTCTATTTGGATTGTCCGGTGAGAAATCGATAGTTCGTAGATTTCACAATTTTTTAAATATAGAATGGAAGATATTCCCATCGCTAGTGATTTTTTTCAATTTATTTTTTTGATAAAAATATAACTTCTTTTCTTTATTTTTCATTAAATATGATTTTATAGTTTGGAAAAATATCCGGTTGGCGGGTCGCAAGAATCACTAGTGAATATCATCACTGCTACAATTTCTCATTTATCTTCTCAAATCAAGAAAGAGTTGATTTTTTAATCAATCTTTTATCATCATAAATTAATAATGGTCTTTATTAACCATATTCCCAAATCTTTTAATATTATCTAATGGTCTCTTACTGATTTTCCTAGATCTTTACAAAATGATCCACCGGTTTCACCACATGAATCCATGGATGTTTCGTCTTCTTCTTTCGTTGGAGCTTGTGTGTCAAATGATTGCGGTTAGATTTCATTAAATTTCAGATCATTTATTTTATTTGTTTTGCAGTTATTTTCCACATAATTCCGATAACTCAAATTTGTAATAGAATATTTATTTCTTTTAAGATATGGAAGATCATTCCAATGAGTTCAAACCAGCAATTTCAAAAGAGTTAGTCGTATTAGATGCTGATGCTGTTGCACGCTTCCTGCTTCAGATTTCGAACGATGTTAATGCGAAAATTATCGGTATCTAATTTTTCTCAATTTTTACCGTGTTAAAATCTAGATCATCACTAAGATTGGTTTTCTGTATAATTTTTTGATAAACTGAGCAAAAAATTTTAAGGTCTTCAAGATGAAGTTAACAGTTTGCAAGAAAATATAGATGCTACTTTCAATGTCGAAAATATGAAAGAGGTAATTGGCTTTGATTCTTCAATTTTTCTTTCATTTTATACTAGAATTCTTTTAGGGAAAACGTTTGAAAATTATAGGTATTCTTTATCGATATCTAAGCATTTAATTTTTAAAAACTTTTGCAGCTGCCCATTAATAATACCAGAATTGTTTAGGAAGGCTATCGTTTGCATAGCGTTATAATTCATGAAGGAGAAGCAAATGTTGGACATTATTGGGCATATATAGCTGATCATTCAACACTAGATGAAAATGGATCCCCCGTGAACTGGCGACGATTTAATGATAAGAGCGTTGAACGAGCTACATGGCAACAAATTGAAGAAGATTCCTTTGGATCAAGAAGGACATGTTCAGCATATTGCCTTATATATACGAGAAAACGTTTAGAGCAAGAACTTTTTGGGCAAGGTCTTTTCTTATATTTTTTTGATCATTTTGAGGCAAATTTTTTAGCGCATTTAATTGTTTTGTAGGTGGTAATACAGCTTCTTCTACAATTCCACATTTGCTAGATACACTGCCGATAGATTTGAAGCAGCTGGTCGCTGCTGATAATGATAAATTTAACAAGGAATTGGAAAGCTGGGATTCGAAAATCCTGCCAATAGAATGTGGCCCTATTAACCGGCCTGTTTTACGTCTTCCTGTTGACAGTGTTAGTTTTCATTTTTCTTTGATTTCATTTTGTTTTAAATATTTAAATTTTTCTAATGAAAATCAATTTGTTATCCAAAAAAACAATTCGCTAGCTTCATCATGCTTCAGGAAATTGCGGATATGCTCGGTGTTTCAAAGCCTTTGGATTTAATGAACATTAGTCGGCGACATTGTGAATGCGCTTTTCATTATTTTGGGAATGCTATGTTGCAAAGGTTATTTTTTTATTCATATGCATATTTTATATTTACTATTTTTTATATTTATTATTTTTATTTTATGCCCATGCAGATAAAAATATCATTTTTCCATTGTTTATGTGTTGATGTATTTTTCATTTTCAGTGCATTAAAAATGCTATATGATAAAACTTTAGACAATGTCGATGATGCCAAGATGATTTTCAATGAGGTGCTTTTAAGTTTTTAAATCTTTCTTTTTTATTTATGATTTTTACTATTTTTTACATTTTATTCAGTTTATTGTTTTTTTTTGCATTTTATTTATTTATTGCGCATTTAAACTTTGTCAGTATTCTCGTAAAATCAAAAGTAGTCTTATTTTTTGTTTTTTTTCAGTTGCTCAATAATCATATTTGCCATATTAATCGTGCCATTGAATTGTTTGCCAAAACTTCAAATATGGATAGATTATTGATTCTTACCGAATGGGCACGTTTATTTGGTTTTTCGATGAGTAAGGAGGCCGAAAAGCTTTTTATTGTACAGGTGCTTTCCAAACTGGATGAACCGTAAGCTTTAAAATTTTCAAGGGCAATTGCTTATATATGTGAAAGTACAATTAAAACCTAACAATATTAATAAAAGTATTAATATATTATTCATTTTTAAAGATATTGCAAAAAAATAATTTTTATATATCTTTGTCGCAAATCATTATTGTTATAACTGGAGAATTCAGTATTTTTTATTTCATTCTTAAAAGTTTCAGAAATTTACAGTCACTTTGCAAAGCCTATAAATCTGAGCGGGGACTGGCAGGAAATAATAATCCTGTTATCGATGAGCTTGATGTATGTCTTTTCTGTTTGTTTCAAAATATTTTCAAAATATCAAATTAAGAAAACCTTTTTTTCATTTGAAATCACTTTTTCAGAGAATTCATTTATTATATGAATTATTCTGTGGAAGTTTGAAAATATTCACTGAATTGATGCGAAACATTGAGTTCAACAATAAAAAGTTTGCTTTTTTTATTTTTACTGCTGATTATTGAATATTGAAATATTAAAATAATTATTGAAATAATTATAATTATAATTATTTAAAATAATTATTGAATATTGAATTTAATATAATAATTATTGAATATTGAATTTTATATTTATTTAGCAAATTCAGTTTTGATTCCTTCTTATTTTTTCAAAATTTCTGTGATTTAATCGTTTTATTATTTAAAACAAATAAATAATATCGGTTTCAATTTCTCCCTTATCGTTTATTTTTATTTTTGATTTTATGCATTTCTTACTTAATTGTCTAAATTTATATTTATTTATCGATCTTAGTGTGTGGTCTATTCATCATGACATATTGCAAAGCCGGAGTTTATGTGCAGCTATTCGCCGTATGGACAAAATTTTTTTATTTTCATCAAATGAGTCGGAAAAAACCCCAGAGACAGATTTTATAAATTTAGTGACAAGTGCACTATTAGTAGCATATTGCATTGTGAGTTCTTTTCTGGCGAATTTATTTTTTTTTTGTTTGATTCATTGTAAATTATTCAAAGAAATTAATTTTTTATTTAATAGCAGTTCCTATTTAATTTTCAAATTTAAAATTTGATTCTCCAATTAATTTGTTTAGAAAATTAGTCAAGACATTTTGCACTCTATTTCCGCTTCAAATGAAAAAATCGTGGTGGAATACGATAATTTCCTTCGAACGGAATATAGAGCCATGCTTAGTAGACTTCGTTGCTATAAAGGAGAAGCATATGAACAGGTAGTATATATTGTTTCATTTAAGTATTTTTTTAAATGCTTTTTTTAATTATATGAAAAAGAGGCTATAAAACATTTTAATAGAAAATATTTTAAAATTGGATCTGAGCCGTTTATTTTGATTCTTAGAATTAAATTGAACGAAAATTATCTTGATGGAATAATTTATATTGAAGAAGCTTATGTGATTCAAGTTTGTTTCAAAAATTTAGAGTGGGAAATCAATTTTTATAAATATTTATAAATATTTTATAAATATTTTGAAATCTTAAAACATAATTGAAGTATAATATAAGTAGTATGTAAGTGTATTGAAGTGTAATGTAAACTCCATTATCATTAAATTCTTTTAATTCAATATTTAATTCCATGAAGATTTCTATATTATTATCATTTTCTTTTTTATCGTTTTTTAAAAGGTTATCGGAAGAAAATATAGAAAGTGTACCTATAGACTCGGAACAAAACAAAAAGTTTTATGATTAATTATAATAATTTTCTTCAAATTCTTATAAATTTTTAAATTTAAATTTTTAAATCTTTATGTTTCAGACAATCAGATATATTTTATCTCTTTGGAATAATTTAATTACAACCTTTAGTAATTCGCCTATATTGTTTGATTTACATGAGGTTTGCATTGTTTTAAATTCGTCAATCAATCCTTCATTAAAGAAAGACTATTTTTTTATCTAACCATTAGTAATCCTATCGTTTTTCATCAACGAAAGGTATGATTTTATATCTAACTTTTTGTTTTAGAATAATCCAATATCACTAAATTTATTTGGCTTAAATTCTTGTTTTGCAGGTTGTTGTCAATGGTTGTAGTAAGAGTAACTTATCAGAGATGCCATTCATACATTGTGATATTAAAGATGTTTCAGTAGCGAAGGATTTGATTTCTTTAAAACAGTATATGATGAAAGTAAATCTCAATACTGTTGATGATTTATTAATCACTGTCAGTATGTTGATAAAACAAGAATCTGTTACTCCCAGCTGAACTTTGTTTTTATTGTGGAAAAGAAGGTTTATCCTTCGTAGCGGAATAGCATTTTTAAAATTTTTCATGAGCTTTCATGTTCAACATTTATGTACGTTTTATGTATTCATTCATTATTCCCTTTACCCTAAAAAATTTGCTGATTTTAATTATACTAGCTTACTATTTATAATTTTTACTATTTATAATTTATCAAGTTTTTTTGCTATTAATTTTTTGTGAATACATTTATATTATAATGTAAGATTTTTTGTGAGTTACTTAGTAATTACTGTTTGATATCTCGTTTTTCTCTCGTACTTCTAATTATTAATATATTATTTTGTTTTAACAATCATCCTGGAGCCTTATGAAATGATTATTTATATTGATGACTAATTATAATTGATTTTTTAAAAAATCTTAAATTTTTGTCATCAAAATATGCACTGTTTTTATTCTATTGAGAAAGAAGTTGAGGTGGATGAATGGCAGAAGTAATAAAATAATGTACTTAAATTGGTTGGGTACTCATAGAGCTGATCGATAAAAATGTTAATTGGGTAAATTTAGGCCAAAAAAATTCGGAAGGAAAGGTTGAGAAAAACTGACAGCCCGATGCGGGGCTCGAACCCGCGACAGCCAGATTAAGAGTCTGGTGCTCTACCGACTGAGCTAACCGGGCCACGTGTTGTGTTTTGTTATTTTTTCTTATATCACTGCTTTGTCAATTGCGATAACTAAACTACATCTTTTGGCATACCGTAAATATAATTTAATGTTACATTAGGAATTAAAATAAAAAGTGAGGATCGAAAGTGTAAAGAGATCGAATGATTGTTGCGCTCCCTTTTAGATGGGAGATAGGGTAGCCGACTCCCCAGCAGTCTTTCATCATATAAGAACCAGTGAAGAAGAGCGTTAGCAGAAAGGAGAATCTTTCCCATTCAAACAATTTTGGGGAATCGAATCCGCCCTAAGCAAATTCACTGCAGACAGTTTTGTACCAACAAGATGCATAAATATCAAAAATAAACAAGGGGAAAATTTCATTTCCAGAGATAAAAGTTGGAGAAGAGAGAGAACTTCCAATAACACGTTTCAGCTTTCACCACACGTTTAACGTGCTCCGCGATTGAGCCACCTTTCACATTTCACTTGGAATTGTGTTCGGCGAGCTCGTCGCATACTCGCAATAGTTTTCGGCTATGTTGCTAACAGTATTTGTCGGTCGAAGTCGGTTTCAGAGTGATCCTTGGATTTAGGCTGTGTCGCCAAGCGCCTGGGTTCCTTTTTAATTATAGGTTCGTCTAACGGAAGTAAAGTGCCTCCTCGACCTTTCCACTCGTCTCTTTATTGATTTTTTTCGTCGTTAATTATCTTTATAACTTAGCAGATATTATCTAGAGGTAAGGGTTTGGCTCACTTCCGATAAGAGTGGACCTGTAATTAAAAATCCTCGAGTGGCACTGCGCAACTGTTTTCATCTCCATAACGGTTCCTAAAAGAGTTCCTAACTCTACCAACATGCACCGCCAGCGATCCGCATGGTGAGCGCTAACCTATTCATTGTTTAGACCGAAAGATATGATAGTGAATTTTTTATGGATTTCGATGATATTTATTATTATTCTTTTAACTGCACTATACGAATTGTTATTGCCAAATAAAACTGGTTTGTTTTGCTTTATTTTTTTTAGGATATTTTATTTCTTTCTTCTTCTAACATGTCGCACCACTATTGTTAGGCGCGCTCCTTCGGTCCCTCTGGCTTTTTTTATTCCACTGGCCACAATAAAGCGTTTTATTTTTGCAGGAATTATTGGTGAAATTCTTGTTTATGGCAAAATGAGTATCGAAAAGTTCTCTAATTGGCTAACGATATTTCTTCTTCCTAAACGGTTTTTTATTATTAAAAAATTTTAAAAAATATTATTAAATATTATATTAAATATTTGTTTAAATAAATTTTGCAGTTCTTTGAATACTACCAACGGAAATCATTTAAAAGGTGTTCTCCCTTTCGTTTGTTCTTGAAGTTTAACTCCGGCGTGCCGTCCTAATACCCTTAATTGTTTATTCGCAACTTTTCCAGTACCCTCCCCTATCATTTCGCTATTTCTGCTGTCGCATGTACTTTCGATATATGGCTCTTGTAAATTGGCGTTGACCCTAGAGTTGGCACATATAAATAAGTTTTGGTAGATGAAGGAAAAAATCTCCCATAGTTCATAGGTTTTAGAAAATTCTTTTTTCCTAAGATACCACTGCTCCGTTGCTGTCGCTTATTATTGCTGGTTAAACTCGCTCTTGAACCCTGTTGAAGCAGATTGCCTAAGTTATTTGGCGAAGAAGTACAGGTGAGTCGTCAGCATCATTGGGATTTTTGTTCCTGAATGTAGACATAAGCATTAGAGCTTAAAGCTCAATTTTAGCCCTCCTTCTGCTTTTACCATTTGGCGTCTTTGTAATTGAACCATGGTGCTTTGGCCGAATCTGACCATTCATGATTCTTGATATCAATCATTTTGCGACCAAGCCACTAACGCTGCTTTAGGTTGTTAGAAAATATTTATTATGGCATAATTTATATAATTTTCTTAATTTTCTCTAATTATAGAAATATTTAGCTAGCAAATATTAGTTATTATGAATTTATCCAAATAAGTTAATTTTAAATTCTAAAATGAAATTTTTTAAAAAGTTTCAGACTATTTTGGGTGTTTTATGCATGGGGTGTAATTATTAATATTTTTGCACTTATATACTTACTTTTATCACCAACTTTGTTCCGTTAGTTTTTTATAGTTCATATATTATTTTTTAGTTCATTTTTCATTTTTTTCCTCCAAATAAATTAATAGCTTATACTGGCTCGAATCACTGTTAGCACTATTAGAAATTTTTGCGGGTAATCACTTTTCGATAGAAATATATGTCATTAGCGGTCAGAATTTTTAATGGCAGGTTTACTCCTACGGAGCAGCGATCGAATTTTTGCCTCTCAAGACGATAATCTCAGCTGTTCATTTAGTTAAAATTATTGGGGAATAAAATCATTTTTATAAAATTTTTTCTTCTTTAAATCTTTCGATTGGAATTATTGAAGCTATTAAAAATTTGCAAATATTAAAATTTTATTACAATTTACTGAAAATAAAAGAATTATCAATATTTTTAGCAATTTTTAAACCATTTTTATACCTAAAATCTTGCAAATATTTTCAGATCAGTCTATCCCAGTTTTTATCGGTCTTTTGGTATATTTAACACATTTAATGCGTCGACTTTACGAAACACTTTATATATCTGTTTTCTCGCAATCATCAATGAATATACTTCATTTTATGATGGGAATCATATTTTATACTTCATCGGTTTATTCGCAATTATTATCTGCTTTTAAAGGAAGCACTCGTAAGAATTTTTCTTTTAAGTGATTTTTTACATAAATGGATGTTTCCGCGAAAAAAATTCTCTCGATTGAACGAATGCTATATAAATTATTTATTATTATTTCTCGTTAATGTTAAAATTTACAAAATTATTTAAACGATTTAGAGGGAAAATTATTCCAAAAATAAATTAAATTTGATTGGTTTTTTGTTTTATATTTATTTTATTTTTATTATAATTTATTAGTTTAATTAGAAATTTTTAGAAACTTTAGAATCATTAAACGAACGAAATATTTCTTCATTTTCTTTCATTACAAAATTCCAAATTGTTTTATTGTTAATTTTCTTTCTATTTCAATACGAACAAAACAAATGTTGCAAAATTCTATCAGCAACACGTAAAACAAGCAATGGTTATTTCCTTTGATATTTTGTGATATAGAATTTTTAACTGCTGAAATCAATTAACATTAATTTTTGAATGAAATTTAAATGAAACACAGAATACTTTGAAAAGTAGATCCTGCTTCCGGCAGTACACCTGAAAATCCAGATGGCACTGAGGACTCAATTTCTATGTCCAGTTGGTAAAAATTTTTAACTATAACAGCCAGGGCGAACCTAACCATAAATGGAGAGCGCTAACCATTTATTTTTATTTATTTACTTTAGAATGGCTCATATGTTTCAAGAATTAATATGGGTCAGAAAATTAACAGTGATAATAATTAAATGTTGAGTTTTATAAAAAAAAATAGTTTAAATTTGGTGAATTTCAGGTTCAATAAAAAGTTACGATCATTTTATTGTCAAAGGTCGGCTGTTCGAATATATTTCGTCTCCTCATTATTCTATAGAAATTCTGCTTTATTGTGTTCTGATGATTTATTATAAATTTACAATAGAAATTACGTTATGTTGCTTGTTTGTAATTGTTAACCAAACAATTGCATGTTTTTTAACACATCGTTGGTATAAGGAAAAATTTGCTTCGAAATATCCCAGTAAACGAAAAGCTATTATTCCTTATTTGCTTTGACTTTTGCAGCCACTAACTTCGGTAATTCGATGGATACGTCAATACAATTTCTGTTGTTGTTATATTGTTAGTTTCTTTCATTTTTACAACACACGTTGTTTCTTGTTGTCAGAGGGAATAAAAATTTGTGGGAATAAAAATTTTTGATGGAAATACTTGGTCGAAACACTGAACAGTAAATGAGACTATGCCTATGAAAAATTGCAACAAAAAAGCGATATATGAAAAAAACGCAAAAAAACTGTATAAATACTTCTGACCGTAGAACATTAGCAGATTGCCGTAGTTGCGCTGAAAGGTAGCATTTCTATATTGCGGTCTTAAGTTGCATATGGAGCGTTGCAATTTATTATACAATTGCTTTGGTCGTTTGAGCTGTTTAATTTATAAAAATTTCCCGCATAGCTGTATTTTGATGGATCGTTGTATCTCGGCCAGCCAGTTGTACAGTTAGAGGTCTTTGTCGGAGAGCCACTTGACGAGAGAAGTAGAGGTGAGTCGCCCTCGGATTCCTTAACTTGTTATTCCTATCATAACCATGAAATCAGCAATGGAAATCAAAGCAACGATACCATTCGATCCCCCATCAATGCTAACAAATAACTTCTTCTTCTAACATCCTCTCCATTACTGGTCAGGCTGGCACCACCGGCAACGGTAAGACAACGGTAAGACGTCTGCAAGCTGCTCGATCCAACGCCATCGCTAATAGTAATAAAAGCCATTTCTTTTTCCATCGTCTAAGTCCATATATTGCTGGTCCATCTATACGTTCAAAATCTTTTCTGACCGTGTCACTCCAGGTCTTGATTGGCCCACCTCGCTTTTGACTCCATCCAGCATGCGGCAAGCAAAAAAATATGCGTCAACTCCTGTGGGTGGACGACGGAGAACGTGAACGTGCGCTAACCAGCTCTGTGATAACATCACATATATTTAATACATGTATTTGAGCGTAGATGGATACAATCATCATATGCAATTTTATCCGTTTGACAGATCCGTAAAATGTATCTTAGACATGAATGGTCAATGGCAGGTAACTTCTTACTATCTTCCACTATCATTGGCCATGAGTCAGGGCCATATAGCAAGATCGAACGAATCACGGCTATATGGACGCGGATTTTCGTCTTTATGGTAATTTTGCTACGGTTCCATTAAGATTAAGATTTCATCAGCTGCAAAAACATTTCTAGCTGTCGTTAATTTCATCCTTCGCCATTTGGGATTAGAGTTCCAAGGTATTCAAAGTCGAGCACTTCCTCTTGAATGCCGGCAAGCGATGTTCATTATCCAGTCTATCGCATACTTGAATATTGATAGAGAAAAGGACACAGTTCTGACGGACATCAGTTTCTTATTTCGAAGGAGTCTATCAGTTCCCCCATGAACATAGACCTGTGCCAGGATATGATAAACTACCTTTATAAATCGAATGATTTTCACTGGGTCATAGTCACATTCCACCACTTTCCAGAGCGCTACTTTATCAACTGATTTATTGATAGAATCTTTGAAAATCTGCGAGATCGATTCGTGCATCGTATGTTCGATTCAGTTGACCCGATTTTCATTTGATAATTCCCACGAATGTTAGAGTAAATTAAAATGAAGTGTTAAAAATTGCGTAGTTAAGAACTAATTAAGAATTGTCTAGAAATTTAAGTTTGAAGTAAACGCTGGAAAAAATAAATTATCGTATTGTAAATCATAATGAATAGTAAATTTTTGCTGTTTGCAAGTTTGTTTTGCATTTTTTCTGTGTCTTTTGCAGATGGCAAAACTTGATGAACTGCCACAAGAGATTATTTGGATGATATTTAATTTTCTTTCTTCTCGTGAACTCTGCCTTAAACTTCGCCTCGTTTGTCGGTTTTTTGATAATCTTATCGCAAATGCGCGATACTGGAAATCGAGGTTAAAGGTTAATGCATATCTTTTAATTTACTGCTGATATTATCCATATTACTAAGCATTACCTTATTATATATTATACTGAAGGCATTCTTGAGAAATTGCGTGAAGAATTTTTGTTTAATTCTTACATTGTTAAACTTTTCGAGTAATGCTTTCCTTTCTTTCCTATAAGTTTTCTCATAGATCTAATCTCCTGGTTTTGTTGCATATTATCCGTTATCCGACCGCTTCAGCAGTTACTTATAACGATTCACATTGATCGGCAGTGCGACCGAGCTGTATTGCTTAAATTGGCGCCTTTAGTATCGTGGCGCCTCACCTTCGTAGAAATAGTTTGTTATCCGCGACCCACTTGCGCTGAGTAATTATTTGGCCAAAATTCCTCATACTATTACCCACATAATTTTTCAATCCGATAACCAGTAAGTAGGACTAGAAATGTGAGTGCTATACAAAATGACAAACAATTACTTTATCTCTCGCGTAATCACTTATCACTTTATCTCGCTTCTTCAGCCTAACAATATTCTTCCAGCTCTACATTCT